GGGGGGGGGAAGAGTCAGCGGCAGTCTACCCGAACTGAGCGAGGTCGAAAACGCACCATCGTCACCGAGTACCAGGAAGCCGTCTAGGAGTCTCCGAACGGCCGTTAGCGAAGCCCTTCACAGCAGAACCGGGAGAACACAGAGGCACTCACGAATCGCAAGGCCCTCAGCCTGATCCCTCTCGCCTTGTCTGCAAAGAGCGGATGGTGACCCATACTTCCCCTCGATATCTCCTTCTCGACGCTGCCGCTTTCCGTCTGCGCGGCCGTATTGGACGAGGAAGTCCTCCCGATGAGAGTCGCCTCTGCCGAGTCGGGAGCGCGAGTGACAGCGCGCTGGGGAGCCGCTGGAAGCCGTGGCTGGCTGTGAGTCATCGTATGAGCGCCAAGTAGCGTAGCAACAAGCTGTACGAGAACGAGAGCGAGCAGTCCGAGGCCAACCCCCGCTGCTCGCGAGATGAGGACAACTTGCGCAATACCAACGTTCGCAGCTTCCTCGCCTAGACGCGCAGATAGAGCTATCACATCGCTTAGGCTGTCAGCAGTGCCCGCCGAACGTCTGCGCCAGCCAAACAGCGCGAACGCGTCTCCCGTCTCGCCTCCCCCGCTTCGACCCCTTCGTCTCGACGCGCATCTGAAGCGCTCCAGGGTGGACCACGAACGTCTGAGGGAGGTCTAGAGTCGGACTCGCGGACGGACGGGCTGATCGGGCGTGTCGAGGTGAGTCTTGCGACCCGTTCGGCAGAGGGAGATGGGCAGGACGGGCGAGCACTTGGACGGTTGCGCTGTGGCAGCTCGGACAGGCGCATAGGTGCCCTTACAAGGCTGGGCACGCGGCCTCAGGTCCTCCAGCGCCCGTGGACAACGCTCACCTCCCTCGACCCGCAGGACAATCGGCGCGTTCGTTCACCTTCAATCGCTCACGCCGGCGGTCACTCTTCTTCTTGCATGTGAGTCGCGCTTGTTCAATACGGCAGGCTGCCTGACTGTGCGCTCATCCCGAGGCGCCGCGCCCGTTTCTACAGCCCATCCACCTCGTCCCGATCACCTCGCTCTTTCGCACCCCTACGCTCCTTCGATCCTCGTTCCAGCGATGTCTTCGCCTCCTCCGCCGTTGACATTGTCGGCACTCCTCGCCGAACACTCGGATGACCCCCATGCCGCCCTTTCCACCCTCCTCAGCCGCTTCAACCGCCTTCTATCCGACTATTCTGTCCTGCGACAGGAGAAGGAGAACGCGGAACGTTCTGCCGAGCGCAGTGCAGTGGAGAATCAGCAGCTGTGGCGGAGTCTGAAGGCGATGACGGGCAGTTCGAGTCCGCGGCCGCCGGTGAGGGGGGAGAGCAGTCTGCCGTCGAGGCAGAACTCAGAGGGCGGGAGCACGGTGAAAGGGCTGGGGATCGGTGGAAGCGGCGAGTCGACGCCTGCTTCGCGAGGGTTGAGGCGCGGCTTGTCATCCGAGTCGAACCCGGCCCGCCTCGACCTCCCGAACAGCTCGTCTGCTTCATCCTCACACAACTCCTCACCCCGATTCGGCCCGTCGTCGTCGAATTCAGTCGACTTCGAACCGTCCACTCCCGCAGGCACGTCCTCCGACCAGGACCGCTCGCCTCGACTCGCCTCGAACTACCACTTCCCGTCCTCCTCTTCACCCCTGCGAGCGAAAGCCGCCACTCCGCCTCCAAACGCCTCGCCCAGACACATGCACCGAGACGAGCCTATAGGCGCATCAGGTCTTCGCAAGGCCAGCTCGCTCGACCTTGGGCGCGGAAATCCGCCAGAGCCCGATGCCGAAGCGACGAACAACTCGCCCAGCAGCTTCGTCGCGCCATCTGTGCACATGACGCTCCCCGACGACTACTCTGCCACCGAGCCGAAGACTCCTCCACCTCCATCAGTCAACGGCCCGCTCGACCGATCCCTCCTGCTCAACCGGCGAAGACAGAGCAGCCCGCGCATCTCGGGCAGCGCGAGCATGCCCATGATCGCCAACTCGGACGCTGCGGGCGGGAACAGGTTCTTGCCATCGATCCAGCCCGTCAGCCCTTTCTTCAACCCGTCGCCGAGGTCTGGCGAGCGGGGAGAGCCGATGCCGACTGGGTCTGCGGCGGGCGAGCAGCTTCAGCAGCAATTGCAGGGTGGAGCAGGCGTGCCGAAGCGGGACCGGACATTCTCCGCAGCTTCGGCGGCGTCTCTGCCGCTTGGAAGCGCATTCGAGGCCGGTCAGCAGCAGCAGCGCGAACAGTACCTCCTCCCGACCCGCTCTTCCTCCACCAACGTTCCTTCCTCGTCATCTTCGTCACACCTCGCCGAATCTGCCCTTCCCCGGGAGCGCGAACGCAGGCCGTCCGCTCCCGCTTCCAAGCTCTCCCAGACCCGCTCCGCAGGCGAGTCGAGCGGCGAGCCGTACCCCTCCAACTTCTCTGCCCCCGCTTCTCGCCGACCATCGGGAACGGCGCCGCTTCCTGCGCTCCCTTCGCACGAAGATGTGCCACTCCCGCCTCCCCCTCCCGCAACTCCGCCCGTTCGACCAGTCCTCACCCCGTCCCTCCTCCCTCTCGCCCGCGTCCGTATCGCCAGCTCCAACATTCGCATGAACGAGAAGCACAAGGAGGTCATCTCGTTCGTCATCGAGGTCGACCTCTCGCTTCCTTCCTCGCCTTCCGATATCGACGGGCCAGCAGGTTCGACGGTCCGGTGGCGCGTCGAGAAGCTCTACTCAGACATCCTTGCGCTCGACTCGGCTGTCAAGAACAAGACGAACAAGCAGGAGACCAAGAACATGACGAGTTTGCCGGACAAGAGCCTGTTCAAGGATCATGCGCCGCACAAGAGCGACCAGCGAAAGGTCCGCATTCGCTCTTTCATCGCTGTCCGCCAAATCTGACATTGTCTTCCGCCGCAGGCTGTCCTCGAGCGATACCTCCAGACCCTCGTCTCCCTTCCGCTCCGCGACCGCTCCGCCGTCTGCGCCTTCCTTAACAGCGACATCGCCTCCGACTCGCCGTCTCCAACATCGAGCGGGCCAATGGCGGGATGGCTGACGAAGCGTGGCAGGGCATTCGGCGGCTGGCAGACGCGGTACTACATCTTGACGCCTGGCTCAACGCTGACCTACTACGACGCGGTGAGTCGCGCTCGCCGCTTCAGCAGCTAGTTTCAGCGACTGATGCGGTTTCTGCATGCAGCCTGGCGGCAACAAGCTCGGCGAGATCCCGCTTCACTCGGCGACAATCGGTCGGCAATCGTCGAGGTCCGCCGATCCAGGCGAGGATGCCTACCTCCACGCCTTCCTCATTCGCACGAAGGACGAGAAGGAGCAGGAGGCGGACCACATCCTCTGCGCCGAGAACGACGACGTCCGAGACGCCTGGGTCGTTGCGTTGACGACTTTGCGGCCGAAGGGTGGCTCGGCGAAAGCGAACGGCAGCGAGAAGGACAAGGAGCGAGGGTCGGCACCGAGCGCGTCCACACCGCCTATCCCGACCGTCGTCTCGCCCGAACCTGAACCTTCGACAGGCAAGGAGCGACGACGATCGGGCTCGGGCCCTTCCACCGTCGGCGGATCTGAGCAGCAGGGTACGGCGCAGGACCCGCGCAACCTGTCTGCCCGGTCAGCCGGCGACCTTCCGCCGTCGTACTCGCTTCCCTCCAACCTCGATGCCTTCGCTCGCGGCATGCCTGCTCTCGACGCAGCTTCAGCTCGTGGCATCGGGACAATCCCCGAAGACGGTTCAGTCACTTGCGAGCCATCGTCATCGCGGGCAGGCGCGACCAAGCTACAGGCGCCGCCGTCTCGTCGACCAGCCGCGCAGAACGAGCGACCTCTCAGCCCCGACCGGCGAGGCGACACACAACAACCACCAGCGAGGCGACACACAACCACCACCAACAACGCCATCGCAGCAGCACTCGACCAAGTACAGCGCCAGCGACGTGTCAGGACCGATGAACGCCGTGCCTCTCCCCTCCGGCTACGACTTCAAGAAGATCGAGCGGCAAAAGAAGACAAAGTCATCGTTCTGGAACTTCGCCTCGCGCAACTCGAGCGACAAGGGTTCGCCTGGCCAGTCTGCCGCCGCTCCCGCACGACCCGTCTTCGGCGTTCCGCTGAAGGAGGCGGTCGCCATTTCGCGCATCCGGCCCGGTCTCGAGTTGCCCGCTATCGTGTACCGCTGCGTCGAGTACCTCGAAGCCAAGGTGAGCTGCCTCGTCGTCCCGTTTGTGTTTGTAGCTGACCCGTCGATCCGAGCAGAACGCGGAGCACGAAGAAGGCATCTTCCGACTCTCCGGCAGCGCAAACGTCATCCGCCTGCTCAAAGACCGCTTCAACGCCGAGGGCGACGTCAATCTGCTCCAGAGCACCGAGTACTACGACCCGCACGCGATCGCCGGTTTGCTGAAGCAGTACCTTCGCGAGCTGCCGGTCCACCTCTTGACTCGCGAGCTTCACGGTAACTTCCTGCGGGTGATCGGTGCGTCCTGCCCTCGTCTCTATCCTCTATTATTTGTGCTGACAGACCGTCGAACAGACCTGCGGAACCGACGGGACCGCGTCAATGCACTCGGGAAGCTGGTCGCGCAGCTGCCCATCGAGGAATATACACTCTTCCGCTTCTTGTGCGTCGTTCTCTCGTCAATTTCGCCAACGATTACTGATACTCGACTCCTCCAGCTTCGCCCACCTCTGCCTGATCGCTCAGAACGCCGAGACGTCCAAGATGAACCTTCGCAACCTGGGCATCGTCTTCTCTCCGACTCTGGCGATACCTGCGCCGCTCTTCAGTCTGTTCCTCAGCGAGTTTGACGTGCGTCAATGTCTCGGCGAAACCCCCTCACGCTCTAGCTGACATTTGCCTACGTTCGACCAGCTCGTATTCGCCGTGGAATCGGAGACTGGCGCCGCCAAGCCCATCACGCTCGAGGAGGAGGCGACAGAGGACACGACAGCTCCTCAAGAGCGACGGACAACGAACCGCAACTCGCAGATCTACGAGGCGAGCGGAGCCAACAAGTTGATGGAGAGTGAACTGCGCCGGCTCAAGGGTGCGCTGCACCGCTGTTCACGCGAAAGAGACTTCTGCTGACTCGCGCATATTCCGCGTGCAGAAAACGACGAGGAAGAGGCGACTGGCGACTTGCCGGACGAGTCGGACGGGCCCGAGGAGACGACTCGGGTCATCAGCCCGACAGACGGGGACCTCACTTCGTCCAGTACCTACGACCCGCACTACTCGCACTACGTCAATCCGTCCCTCGCCAACCTCCCCGCTCCGCCTCGCAGTCCCGGTTTGCCCGCCTCACCTCGACCGGGCGCAACCTTCCAGACGTGAACCGTCCCTACGGCATACCCAGCTTTCCTTTCCTCGCCTTTGTCATTTTGCGGCGTCGCAGGCCTTCCCTCTCCAATACCCAGATATCAGCTCTGCGTCCTATTTGTGTAGTCTTCGCACCTAGCTTTGCTTCGCGCTGCCTCTCCTTTCCCTTATGTCGTTACGTGGCATCGCATACCGTGTCTACTGCATTTCTGCCGTGAGCAAGGGGGGCATCCCTCGACGAGACGAGGCAGAGACCTTCGCAACTCTCGCTCGACGACAACGCTGCCGCTCGACCAGCGTTCTCTGCTCGTTCTTGCTCGATAGACTTGTTTGCATCGACGCAGGCTACTCGCACTTTGCACTGACCATCCAAAGACTACACGACGCACCAACCCCTGCTCCCTCTGCCTCTCGCGCCTCACTCGCTCTCGCACTGAGGCAATCAGGCAGCTCTACCGGCCTACCACGCTGTCTCCTTAGGTTTTCCCATCCGTGCTGCGCGCCTCGCGCCCGCTATGACGTCCTCTCTGCCTCGTGCTCGCCGCCGGGACTCGAGGCAGAATCGCTCACTTCCTGCGCCACCTACTCGGTATAGTGGCTCGCCGCTGCACCGGAGAAGACGATAAGGCTGCTGTGAGCAGGTGGGGGCTTGAGCGGGCAGCGAGGTATGGCATGGACGGCTCGGCGGACGAACGAGCGGACGAGGAGCGCAAGGGACTGAGCTTGTCGCCCCCAGGCGGCGCTGGATTGCTTAGTCGAGGTCGATGACCGGGTTTGAGACGCTGTGGAGCGCATCAGACGGTCGAGGAGGACGCTGGATCAGCACGAAGGGCGGAGGAAGACGACCTTGGTCGCGCGCTAGGGCTCTGAAGGAGCTGCTTGTCCTGCGGACTGCTGCAGGAGGACGGGTCAAGCTGCATGGTCAGATTAGCGGTCTTCTGCGGTGGAAGGTCATGGCTCAGCAGGCCGCTGAAGACTAGCGAGGAGGAATGACGCAAATGGACGACGGGAAGTGGACGAGCATCCTCAGCGCCGGCTCTTTCTCGGCTCTTACGACGCTCTTTGAGCTACCTCTGACTCCGCCTGAGACGCACGAGATCGGTGGACGTGCAGCAGCGGATGGTTCAGACTCAACCCTTGCCACGACAGGCGCGCCCGCAGCTCTCGCTCGTTCGGCACCTCCCTCCCGCTACAACGACCACGAGCGGGTTGTTTACCCTGCTCAGTCGGCGAAGAGCCATGACTGCTACATCTCGACGCCCTTTGTGCTCGCCAACGAGCCATACTCGACGCACCAGCCGCCTCGACGTCCTCATCAGTCTCCGCTGCTCGAACTGGTATACAGCTCCAAGTCAAGACCGCCAGGCGCAGCACTGCAAGGTTTCAGCGACGCTGGAACCCGTCAAACATCGACCTACAGCATTCTCGACCTCCGCGACGCCTCTTCGTCCGCCCTCCGCCCGCTCGCTTCTCCTTCACCACGACATCCACCTCTCCGCATCCTCTGCCGGTGGCTGGGACCACGGCAGAGACAGGAAGGCAGCACGGGATGGTGAAAAGCGGAGGAAGAGTGCGGCGGCAACCTCAGCAACCCCCTCGACGCCTCTTTCGCCGTCTCGTCGCTCTTGGACTCAGAACAACACAGCAACTTCGCCTCGATGGTCAGCCGGACCTTTCGCACGCCTCACGACTCGTCAAAAGCCCTTTCACGACCTTCTTTGCCTCGCGCTCCTCCGCCTAGCTCTTTCTTGCCTTCTCTCGCTGCCGACACATCCTGTACAATGCCTTCGACCCCTCATCGGCGTACGAAGCGCTCTCGACTGCTCACTCGCCGGCGATAAGGGTCCGTCACATCCTCTCGAGTTGGTCCCGAGTCAAACGGCTGCTTTCCTCGCTCTCTGCGCTGTCGGACGCGCCCGTTGGATGAAACTGCTTCGAGACGTGTGCTGAACCTTGCCGTGGTGCGCTTGTCTCTACGCCACTCGACAACGTTTGCGACAAGGGCGAGATGGCTGGGCGCTGTGACCGGGAACGGACTCGGGCGGGAACGACTTTGGTGCGCGCGCTCGCTTTCCTCTCTCTCCCTCCTTCCCTTCACTCGCTCACACCCTTCCGCATTCGAACAGCAACTCGCTCTCTCACTTGCACACCTGACACCTCGAACACACTCGCACACACCCTCACTCGATCCAGCAGCCATGCTCTCCGCTCGCTCGCTCCTCCGCTCCTCGCTCGGCCAGTTCGTTGCTGCTACCGCTTCGAAGGCGCTCGACTGTGCTACTGCGACCGTCCTCTCCAGCGCCTCGAGTCTCATGGTGCGTCCCCAGACACTTCGCCCTCCTCAGTCGAAACCGTCACGCTGACTCGCTTCGTCCAAACTCGCAGACTTGCTTCGAGACTGCTCCTGTCGCCTCGAAGACTCGCTCCTCCTTCTTCGAGCCGACTCGCGCGAAGCCCGCTGCTCCGGCTCTCTCGCTCGTCACCCCTCTTGCCGTCACCTCCCCCTCTCCTAGCGACTCGCTCACTGCGCTCGACGCTCCCGCCAAAAAAGAGCTCACCATCGACGTCGTCGCGCACGCCACCTCGCTCGACATCCCCGAGCCTCCCTCGCCGACTCTCTCCGCCACCTCGTCCATCTCGTCCTCTCCCTCCTCGCCCATCTTCGACTCGGACGCCTCGTCCTTCGTATTGCAGCAAGTTGAGGAGGTCCAGCGCTCCGCTGCCTACACGATCAAGCGCGAAGGCCTCGACGACATCCTCGTCAGCATCGACGAGACGTTCGGCAAGAAGGGTCTCCTCCGCGGCATCTCGCTCGCCGACGTCGAGGCGTACGGGATCAAGTTCATCGAGATGGAGGAGCCGTATGAGCTGGCACTCGAGGCGTCGCGCGGGAACCCCCAATGCGAGGAGGACGAGATCGAGCGGGAGGAGCGTCTCTGCTGCCGCCTAAGCGACCACATCTTCAACTGGCTCGACCGGCAACTCGAGAACCTCGACGCCCTTCCTCCCTTCGACCCGACGCGTCCCGTCGCTCAGACCTTCACCCCCTCGCGCCTCGCTCGCCTCGACTCGACCGACGCACTCGTCGACATGCGCACCCTTCGCGCCCGCCTCTCGCTTCCTCCTCCCGCTCGCCAGACGCTGCAGAAGCTTCCCCGCGATTGCCGCCCCGACACATCCAACCTCCGCGTCGAGCTCGCCAAGCGGTCGTGCAACCTTGCCGAGTACAAGGCTCAGCAGCGGGCTCAGCGGGCATTCATCGAGCGGCCACGTCCTGCACGAGGACCTGCGAAGCGCGCTATGCCCATTGCGCAGCGTAGGATCCCGTCGAGCGCACCTCGCTTCGACTGAAGGAGGAGGAGGACGACCTTCTCTTCGCCGGCGGTTGGAGGAGTTTCTTATATCTAGTCTCTCGTTCTGTGGCTCTGTGTATCGCTCTCGTCACTGTTGTTGTACTCCTGGTCCCTCTGCACCGTCTGTATCGTTCGCTTCCGGTTCTCCTCCTGTCCCGCTCGCTCGTCACCGCTGCAGAGAGGTTCGCGAGTCGCCTCCGCACTCGAGAGACCCTCTGAAAGTTGCCACGTTACTTCGTAGGCCGTACGATGCTGATTTGCCGTCGACGGCGTCCTCGCTCCGCGACGAGTCGCCAGGTTGAGCCAACTTCATCTGCTCGCTACGCTTCTCATAGCTCGCCTGGATGCTCGAGGCTCATGTTCAAGTTCTGGAAGTCGAAGAGCAAGTCGCCCAAGCAGCCAGCGCAACCCGACAAGTCCCCTTCCCCCGCTCCGCCCGACCATCCAAAGCGGCCGTCCACGCCTTCGCACGCTCTGCACGGGCTGGGACTGTCTGTGCCGCCTCGAGAAGGGACTTCGACCTCGTCACGACGCGACTTCAGCTCCTCGACAGCGCCTAGCTTCGACTCTTCTCGTCTTTCGCCCGAACCTCTCGCAGCGGGTTCGAGCGGCGGACACGGCGGTGAGAAGGGATGGACTGGGTCAGGCAGTAACGGGGAGAGTCGAAGAGAGTCAGATCAGAGCGCATACAGCAATGCGCTGAGGGAGAAGAGCGTCAACGTCCTGGACTTTGGGAGGAAGGCCTATCCCGAGGGTCTGAAGGCTCCGTCCGGGCGTTCCGACCGCGCAGTCTCTCCAGCATCGTTCGCCACAACGACATCGATGATGCACTCGCGCTATCCCACTCCTTACGGTGCGGAGAATGGAGGATTTCCCGACAACGACCCGACGCAGATCCACGGTGCGCCCTTGCATCTCCACCTGTCAACCCGGCTGAGCTGACAACGACTCTCTACAGCTCCCACAACCTGGTCGGAGATGGCGCATCAAGAGTTGGTCGCCAATCTCTCGCCTCGCGAGCGGACGAGGCAAGAGATTCTGTGAGCTTCCTCTTTCTTGCCGTACTCGCTGCTCTTCGCTCATCGCTCGTTCACATGGCAGCTGGGAGGTCGTGGCGAGCGAAGAAAGGTAGATTCTCGCAAACGTCGTCGCGAACGAGACGCTGATTTATCTGAACCTGCAGATACGTCGCGGAGCTTCGGTCTCTCGTCGACCTGTATGCGCATCCACTCCTTCACCCGCTTCTCTCGAACTCGCCGTCTCCGCATACCTCTCCCAGTCTCAGCTTGTCGCCTACTATATCCTCGCCCTCCCCGCAACTATCCGCTTCCCCTTCGCCCGATCTCCCCATCGCCTCTCGCTTCTCCCGCTCGACCTTGCGACTGTCATCGCCGACACCCGACGACGATAACGACTTGTCGGAGATCTCGCACGGTCCCAGCACGAGCGGTGCTCTCAGTCTTTCCCCCATACCTTCCCTCCCGACCGGCGCACGGCAGAACGCCTCGCAAACCTCACTCAATGTCCCAGGCGCCAGAAGCCTCGCCAACCGCGTCGCGTCCTTCGGCTCCCGTACTCGGCACCCTCTACGACCCGAGCCGTCAGCCACCAAGCTGCACAAGTCGGCGTCGAAGGCTCCGCCTGAGGTTTTGCAGCCTCCGCCGCTCCCGGATGCGCTCAAGCAGGTCTTGGAGGCTACTGTCGAGATGTTGAAGGGACACGAGGAGCTGAGCGCGCGACTGTGCGTCCCTTTCGCCCAATTGGCCTCGAAAGTTTCGCTGAAGCACATCGTTCCGCAGGAAGGAGCAGTGGGCTCGGGCATTCCCCCTTGTTCGGTGCGTATTGAGGTTCATTCTCTGCTCGGCCCCACTGACAGCGGTTGTTGGTCGGCTCGTAGAGGACTTGCCGCGATCTGGAGTGATCAGGTCCGTCTCTTCTGTCTGCCGTATCGAGCGAGACTGACGGTTAAGTTGTAACAGCCCTGGTTCCTTCAAACCTACGCCTCCTACATCGTCGCGCTCGAAGAGGCGCTCGCCATCCTCGACACCTGTCTCCCCTCGCCTCACTCCCCCTCTCTCTCTTCTTACGCCTCACGCTTCAAGTCGCCCAAAACCGCCGCCGAGAAGGAGACGAAGCGTCTTGCCCGGGCGCTTATGCGGCTCGAGGAACAGGCTGCAGCGGCGGGCGAGAGCAGTTTGAGCATCTGTTTGAGCAAGCCGTTGATGCGGCTATCAAAGCTGCCGCTGCTCATGCAGGCGCTGCTGTACCATACTGGTTCGTCCTCTTTTTTGTATCTCACGGAGTAGCGCGCGCTGATCGCTTCGACTGGCCAGACCCGACGACGCACGAATGGGAGAAGGTGAGTCGCTTTCCCCCTCCTTACAACGCCTCTGACTGACGCCTGGCTGACGCAGACACGAGCGATGGCTCTTGAAGTCGATGCGTTGGTGCGATCAATCGAGGACGAGAAGCTGGAGGAGGAAGAGCGGGAGAAGGTGCGTCCTCGGCACGCTTCCGCTCGAGCAGCTCGCTCACCTCATCTGTACAGACTCGCGACGCTCTTGCACGAATAGACGGCATCCGAGATAAGGTGCGTCCTACTGTCGAAAGTTCTCGACTCGCGTCGCCTGACCCGTTCGTCCACAGGCCTTGATGGCACCTCGCAGCGCCCGCATCCTCATCCAGGAAGTCCCAGCGCCGGACGCACGGACGAGACGGCGACTATCGGCGCCGACTGCGCGAAAAGGAAGGAACGAATGGCTCATCAGGTTCACTGATGTGGTCATTCGCGCCGAGAAGACGGGCGAGACTGAGTGAGTTCCGCTTCTTCCTCTCCCTCTTCGTCGATGCTGACGCTTGCTTTGCTTTGCAGCATCCCTGGTAGCTTCTCACGCCAGAAGGAGAAGAAGGGCAAGCAGGGCAAGCCGCGCAAGAACGGCAAGCTTCGCAACACCTGTGCGTCCGCCTCCCTCTCCACGCTGCTAGTAGCTGCTCGTAGCTGCTCGTAGCTGCTCGTAGCTGACCACCTACCCCGGCAGACCGCTTTGTCAGCGTCGAGCGCTGGGAGCCGCGCGAGATGGCCGACCTCGCGCTGCACGACCTGAACGAGTTGCGTAGGCTGAAGAACGAAGGCAGCGCGCCTCCTTCGGAAGACGGCGAGATGACAGACTCGATCGCCGAGAGCCGCATGAGGTGCGCACGAGCTTTCTTCTTTCCTGTACGGAGCTGACCGCCTTGGACCTGCAGCTTCCGGTACGACACGGACGAACCGCAACCCGTCCGCCGCGACTTCACTTCCCTGCGCTCGCCTCCCGCCGCACCCTCAGCCAAATTCGGCCACCGCCTGCGTATTGGCTCCGAAGGACCGCCCGGCGCGCGTTCACCGACACCGAACCAACACCAGCACCGCTATGACTCGCCAACGGTCAGCAGCGCTCTCAAGGCTCAGCCTGTGCGTGCGAGTGTGCCAGCGCAGAATGGAGTGAAGCACGAACCGCAGGCGGGCCGGTCGTTGGCGCACGCGAGGGACGACTCGACGTTCGCTTTGTATAGCATCTGGTCTTCAGCGCAGGAGTAAGATTCACCTTCGTCTTCTTGTTGTTATGCTTCTCGCTCCTCGCACTGCACATCTGTTCCGATTCTGTGATCTCCGAGCGACGGGATGAGCCAGCGACAGACGGCTCTCCGCAAGAACGCAGGAACAATCGCGATGGATATCTTCCTTTTGTCAGCGAGTGCGACTCCTTGCGCACTCAAAACCTCTTGGGCAAAGAAAAAGCACTTCTACAGGAAGAAGAGAGGGGAGGGAGAGGCGGTCTTCACGGCTTGTGGAAGAGGTCCGAGAACTCCTTGACCGAGAGGTTCTCGAGCGCTGACTGGTCGCCGACGACCTTGAGGATCCTGCGAGCGCACGCAGCGGGTCAGTCTCGTCATCAAAATCTGGTGGAGGACGTGCGCGACGGACTTGTCAACGTGCGCCGAGTCAAAGTGAGGCTTGATGTGGCGCTCGAACTTGGCGTTAAGGAGCGGGGTGCCTTCCTCGCGACGGTTCTTGTGGCCGACGGGGAAGTCGATGTGGACTTCGGGGAGGACGGTGCCGTCGTTGAGGGTGACGGTGAGGCCGTTCGAGATGTAGCGCTTGTCGGGCGAGTGGTAGTCCGACGTGAACTGCTTGTCCTCGACACAGTACATCTGTGCAAGACGTCCCCACTCAGTATCGCGCATACGAAGGAGCACGCTTCGAAGCGTCGAGAGACGTCCTGCGCACCTTGTCGCGGAGAGCGTCGATGCGAGGGTCGGCAGCAACTTTGTCCGAGTAGTCCTCGGTAGTCAAGCGGCCGTAGATGACTGCGTACGGCGCAAAAGTCAGCACAAGCTCGAGCGGGAGAGGGAAAAGAGTGGACGCACGAGGAACTGCGACCATGTACTGGATGCAGTGGTCACGGTCGGCAAAGTTGTCGAGCGGGCCCGACTTGTCGATGATGCGGATCTGTGAGACGTTTCAAAGGCACTTGATCAGTCACAATCGCTTGTTGGCGAGCGAGAACCGTCGGCCGGCGACTCGGACTCACGGCAGCCTCCTGGGTGCGGATCTTGACGCTCTTGATGTCGTCCGACGACTTGCCCATCTCCTTGAGCTGCTTGTGGAGGATGTGCGCGCCCTCGGCGGCGGTCTGGGCGTCTGCAGGAGCATTAGCGAGTCAGCCTCGGGCGTAAGGACAAATGAAAGGAAGGAGGCGCGACGCACGGAACTCGGCGGGGAAGGAGATCTTGAAGAGAACGTTCTCCATGATGCTGTGGCGGGGGAACTCTCATGATCAGCTCTGAACTCCGCGAGAGCTCACGTTCCGAAAGCGCTTCACGCCGACTCACTAGGAACCGTACGGGCGCTGGAACTTGAACTCCTGTCCCTTGAAGAGGACGTCGTAGAAGCCCCAGGTCTTGGCAGTAAGGACGGTGGGGATACCCATCTGGCCGCGCTTGACCTGAAGCGCAAGGTGGACCGCGCGCATGCAAGCATCACCCGCGGACCAAGACTTCCTGGAACCGGTGTTGGGTGCGTGGCGGAACGTGCGCAAGCTCTGTCCGTCGACAAAGACCTGCGAGATGACGTCGACAGTCTGGTCGCGGGTGAGGCCGAGCATCTGCGAGACGACGGCGGCAGAGGCGAGCTTGACGAGGATGACGTGGTCGAGACCGACGCGGTTGAACGAGTTCTTGAGCGCCATGCAGCCCTGGATCTCGTGAGCCTTGATCATGGCCGTCAGGACGTCGCGCATCTTGAGAGGCTCGCCCGAGCGAGAGAGGTAGTCGGCGACGGCGAGAATCGCGCCGAGGTTGTCCGACGGGTGTCCCCATTCGGCAGCGAGGAAGCCTGTCAAGTGTAGCGTCAGTAGGCGGACAGGCGTCAGGCGGAAGAGGCAAGGACGAACAGCTGTGGAAGGAAAAGAAGGTCAGCTCTCGTCGTCTCGCTTCGCGGGTCACAGTACGACTCACTCGTTGAAGTCGAGCCAGCGGATCTGGGTGCCGATAGCGAAAGCGCCGCGACTATCATACACAAGCGGGAAACCGGCATCAGCAAATGCAGGAGGTGGGGGCAGAAGAAAAAGCGTCTCGCGCGAGACTCACACCGGGTCCATCTGGAAGGGCGTTCCGGGAACCTTGGTGCCGTTGGGGACGGTGGTGCCGGGCACGATGGGCTCCATCAAGGCGCGGCACTCCTCCGAGACGCGAAGACCTTCGAGACCGCAACCGATGGTGTCGATGAGGCAGAGGCGCGCAGTCGAGTAGGCGAGGTCAGACTTGATCTGGAGAGCGTATCGAGCAGTGTTAGCGCAGTAACGATGAGCGAGCGGGTCGAACGAGTTTGTCCTCGCACAACTTGCCTCGTAGTTGTGGACGTAGTCGGCGATGTCCTGCATGACCTTGTCCGCGGGCGGTCGGACCTGTACATGACGAGCGTCGACGGCAACACATTCGGGCAGGGATGGCACGGGTATTGGAAACGAGGGGGTGTGAGTGTGGGGGTGACGAGGGGGAGCGAAGAGAAGACAGGAACGCACGGTGCTTTCGCCCGAGTGGTGGGAGAGACGCGTAGCACCCATGGCAGCTGTGAGAGCGGTCTGTGGCCTGTGCGAGGCGTTGGAGCGTGCGGACGAGGGGAGCGAGGGGCGGACTGCCGGGTTGGCGACGAGGGACGAGACGGCGCGGCGGGAAGCGGGAGCAGCGATGGACTGAGCGAGCGAGCGGGACGAGGTGCGCAGGGAGAGCATCGAGCCAGCAGCAGCCGTCAACCAAGCGGGAGTTGAAGAGCGAGAGAGAGAGAAAGCGCGAGGAGAAGAGGAACAACCGGCGACCTCGCAAGTCCCGACTCGCACTGCTCAGCACGGCCAGCGACGACGACAATCACAACTGCAATGCACTCACAGATACAAACCGACTAATCCGGAACACACAGAGAGAGAGAGAGTCCATATCGCATCCATCCTTTTACTCGCCTCACACCTGCGGGACACCCAACGACGACGCCTGACTCGCACCCGTCGCCGTCCTGCTCCTCCTCCCAACACGGTCAAGCACGCTGTCGACCGTCGCACGACTCGTCCGTCTCCGCTGCTGCACCCCCGACCCGAGCGCCATCCCCGCCTTCAAGTCGTTCAGCGTGTACACGCTCCCGCCCGCGCCTGCACCGAGCCCGTACGCGCTCGAGGAGATACTCGGCGCTGCGCTGCCCCGCGCACTGCGAGGAGATGTGCCGAGCGAACCTTGCAAGTCGGCGAGCGAAGGGGTGACGCTCATCCGCCGAAGGACGGGCGACGACCCGCCGTTCCCGTGTCCGTGCGTCGTCGACGGCGGCGAGGCCGGAGGGAGCGACGAGAGGCGGTAGGTGCTGCCGGCACGAGACGCCGTGCCGAGATTGACGAGCGAGCGGGACGGGAGGGCGCCGCTCAAGTACGGCGAGCGAGTCGCGGCGGACAGGGCTGCAGGCAGGAGGGCGTCAGTACTGCTCGCGTGAGTGCGAGGGAGAGGGGAGCGCACCTTCCACCTTGGCAGTCTCGTAAGACCACGGCTGTCCAAGCAACGACGCAAGACTAGTTCGGTCGAGCGACGATTCTTTCTGGATCTCGCGGTCAGTTGCGAGGATGTCGATAGCGAGAGAGGCGTTGAGCGCTGCCGGGTTCGGCGAGGCGCGAGAAGCGAAGGAGGACGAGGGAGATGCGCGAGTGGGGATGACCGAGGGCGAGAGGGTGTCGAGGACCTGCCAATGTCAAGTTTCGTCAGTATCTGCAGCTCAAGAGACTCAAAACTAGAGCGACCCACGTCCTGCGCCAGCTCCACCAACTCTCCCAACCCCCAAGTCCTCCCAATCCTGCCCACCGCCCTCGCCGCAAGCTCCCTACAAGCCTGCGCCCTAACCCCATCCGGCCCTCCCCCCGCACTCCCCAACTCTCCCTGTCCCGCAAGTCCAACTTCCCACCTCGTCGCTGCTTTCGCGTCGAGTGCGAGCAGCGCGGGGAGGGCTTCGACAATCGTGGTGGAGGAGCGGCGGGAGAAGAGAGCGTCGAGGAGTGTGAGGAGGGAGGAGTAGTCTGCCGCCGTTGGGCCATGGCCGCTAGACGAGGAGGGAGCGGAAGGTTTCTGCGGCGAGTCGTCGAGGAACGACTTGCGGCTTCGGAGACTCCTCACGCTCCTCGTGCGGTGCAAGGCATGCCCGCCCGCTGCCTGGTCCTGCTCGCCGTTGTTGAACGCCGACGAGCCAGTAGTCGCAACCTCACCAATCGCCAACCCATAGACAGCCGCCATAACCTGCTTGACAAACGACGCCAACTCGTCCGTCGTCCCTTTCGCGATGGGCATCTCCCGCTTGCAGTAGATCGCCGCAGCTTGGGCATACTCGAACCGCAGTCGCGAGTCGGAATCGAGGAGGAGGAAGAGCGAGCGCGCGAATGTGCGTGGCGAGATGGGGTGGCGGTTGACGGTTGAGTGAGTCGGCGAGCCGGATGGGGCGGTCGAGGCGCCGCCGGGTGTTTGGACGCGGAGGATCGGCGCGTCGGTCGCCTTGGACGACGAGACCGAGGCGCGCCTTCGCTGCTCTTTGGTCGTCGAGGATGGGGCGGAGAAGACGTCGCCTGTCGATGACCCGTTGATGGGCTTGCCGAGGACGAGACCGCTGCTACCATATGCGCCGATCGCTGCCGCAGGACCATCTGAATCGGCAGTCGGTCGGCGGATACGCTCGTCGTCCTCCTCGTCTGCGTGAGCGGGCGCGCCGTTCACAACGGTCGTGGGCGGCGGAATCGTGCGAGCGCCGTCCTCCTGAGTCTCGACCGCTCCTTCGACAGCCGGCGCCTCTTGCAACAGCGCCTCGAGAGCCATCACGACCCTAACCTTCGCGCGACTCTTCTCTTCGCCGTTCATGCCGCCAACAAGTCGCTCAGCCCTTCCCTCCTCATTCTTGAGCGACCGAAGCAGGTCGATCAAGTCGCCGGCGAGGTCGTCAAGCTGCGTCGCGTAGCCTGTCGTCGCGGACGCACGAGCGAGCGCGCCAACGGTTGTCAAGATCGGCCGGAGGAGAGGGTCGTCGTCTGTGTCTGCTGCATCGAAGCCGCGCGTCGTGCCGGCCGAAGAGTGGACACGAGATGCGCTTGGCGAGGCTGAGGGCGACGAGAGCCTCGCGCGGCGCACAAGAAGGTCGGCGAGGGTGCTGAGGATTCCCGCTGCGCTCAGTCCTTCGAGGCGCGAGGCGCCGGCTTCGCGCCCTTCGCCGGTATGCGCGTCCGCTTCGGGATCGACAAGGTGCTTGAGGACGAAGAGGAGCGTGACGCTCCGGTGCGGCGACTCGTTTTCAAAGATCTCGCCGACCTGGTCGCTCCACCACGTTACGGCTGGTGCGCGGTGTGAGGACGGCGCGGCAGCGATGATGGCTCGAGCGAAGAAGAGGACGTGAGTTAGGGACGAGGCGTGCCAGAGCGAGCCATGGGAGTAGCGGTCGAGGAAGGTGGAGAGCGCGTTGTGGAGAGCGAGGAGTTGCGGGAGTGTCGAAAGGCGGGAGAGGAGCAGGAGGGACGTAAGAGCGGTTGATACGAGTTTTGGCGAGTCGGAGGGAGGACTGATCGAGGGTGTTTTGCGACTGGCGAGGGACGATGCGAGCGGGGCGAGCGACTTTTCCGACGACATAATCGTGGATTGCCTGTTGACGAAGAGTCAGCTCGAGGAGCAAGGCTGTAGCTCGAGAGCAACGCACTCGTCCCGCAAGTCTTCCACTGAAACGTCTGCCAAGTTACTCAGCAACGCCGGGACGATCTCGCCGACCTGTGTGTCGTAGTCACCTCCCGTAGTGTACAAGAACTCGGATTTTGCGGCTCCCTCGAGAGCTTTGAGCGCGACGTAGCGGGATCTGCGGAGCGGACAAGATGAGCCAGTTCTTCCGCTCGAAAGGGCGAAGCAAACTAACTCGATGTTCTCCCGTCCGGACAGCTGGGCGAGCGAAGACAGCAGGGACACACAGCGGAGATACTGCCTGCCCATGCCGTCGTACGAGCCGAAGAACGGCGGGGTCAAGTAGGTCGCAACGGCATGGAACTGCGGGAAGTCGAGGTCAGGTTCGCTGGCTCCGTAACGGGCGACGACTCTGAGTACTCACCAAGCTCGCGCCGCGCGCCTCGAGTTCAGGGTCCCTCTTCCCGCCGCTCCTGACCTGCGCATTCGGACCCCCACCTGCCCCTCCCAACGCCATTTCCGCCACCTTGAGCGCCGTCTCGGCCAACGCAGCCTTGACGAGCTCTCCACTCCCCTCCTTTCCACTCTCTCCCGCCTCGACAACCAATCCCCTCACAATCTCAGTCGTCACGGCCAACTCTTGCCTCGCTTTGCCCGACCCGGCTCCTGGCCTCGCCTTACTCGCCCGCTCGAGGAGGATCGCAAGGACTTTGGCGAGTTTGGCGGGACGGTTGATTGCGTAAAAGGCGAGTTTCGAGAGCGAGTTCGAGACGGGTTGTGGGAGCGAGTCGGGCGAGGACGACGAGTACGGTGGGTAACAGTCCCGGATCAGGGCTTGGTGGTTCGGCGTCGGTAGGATACCCATTTTGCGGTAGGGTGTATGTGCGCTTCGTCGCGGCGTTTGGAAGGCGGGTGGTCGACCGGAGGAAGCGATGTGAGATGACGAGCCGAGCGGGGGAAGGGAGAGGTGTGCGGAACGTGCGAGTTGGACAGGCGAGGCGAGTCACTGGCTGAGCGTCTCTTAGCCGTGCGAGCGACTCCAACGAAGCAAGCGAATCAAGCGAGCGAGTCGTCGTCGGCGAGAAAGGCGAGCGGAGAACGGCGACCTGCGAAAATCGCTCCGCTTCACGCTCGATTGCCGTCCCATTCGCACAGTCTACGACTTCTACAATGATTCTACTGCCCGGCCCGCAAAAGACCGGCGAACGTTTCGGCCGTCCTGAACCCCCGAAGTTACTCTCCCTTCGCAACCGCGTCCTCCTCTCCCCTTTGCTTCTTCCACCGCTCTACCGCTCCCAAAACCTTCCCCAATCCCTCCTCCGCCCCCCACTGTCCGACAACAGTCACACCCACAGGCCAGCCGTCCTCCGCCCTCCCAGCCGGTACCGAAACAGCCGGCAAGCCCGCAAGAGACGCAGGGAGGGAAAGGAGGTCCTGGATGTATGGTTCGCGTGACGAGCGCGAGGCGGAGGAGGTGGAGGAGAGGAGAGGAGCGGTGGAGAATGCGGTTGGGTGGAGGAGGAGGTCGATGCCTTTTTCGGAGCGGTGAGATGCGGAGGGGGCGGAGGGGGAGGTCGAGAAGGGTGAGGAGGAGGAGGTGTGAAGCGGGTTTGGGACGCGGAAGAGTGAGTCGAGGTCGAGTTGGATTAGGCGTCGGACGCGTTGCGCTTGGAGGAAGTAGTTGTCGAAGGCTCTGCGCGACACGGTTCGTCAACGACCATCAGCCTTCGCCCGCGCAGAGCGTATAGAGAGCCGAGTCGAGAAAAACCATGCGCGTACTCAGCCGACAACGCAAACGTGCCCAAAAGAATCCTCTTCCTGACTTCCTCCCCAAACCCCTCCGTCCTCGTACGCGCATACAACCCCTCCTTCTCCCCACTCTCTCCCTCCTCAGCGCGGTACCCAAACCTTACTCCATCGAACCGCGCAAGATTCGAGCTTGCTTCGGCAGACGCGAGGACGTAGTAGGCGCTCAATGCGAGAGGAGTGGTAGGAAGACGGACGGGGTGGAGGGAGGCGCCGAGGGTAAGGAGGTGGGAGAGGTAGGTGCGGATCGGAGCGAGGGTCGTGGGAGAGGAGAGGAGAGCGGAGGGGAAGAGGTCCTGCGTCGCATTCGATTCTCGTCAGCATACGCATGTCCGTCTGTCCCCGAGAGGGCGGGAGGGGGAGAGACACGCACAGCTGGCACGCCCACCCTCAACCCCTCAAGCGGTTTCTCCCGCCCTTCCTGCTTCCCTAACCGCTCGACAAGCGGCTGATGCGCTTTGCGCGCTCGGTCCCGTACATGCGTGGGTACGCTCGTCGGGTCTTTGGGGTCGTAGGCGTTCATCACATCTGTGCATCCCATGCAGACACAGTCCCATCAGCTCTTGCGCTCAACAGCAAGGGAAGACCTGAAGCCGTCCGTGATCCGGCACGCACCAAACGCCCTCCAGACCCCTTCCACTTCCCTCCCCATCACACCCACCGTATCAAGGCTACTCGCGTAGCTGACGAGTCCGTGTCGAGAAAGGAGGCCGTAGGAGGGTTTGAGGCCGTAGATTCCGCAGAAGGAGGAGGGGAGGCGGGTTGAGCCGCCTGTGTCGGAGGCGAGGGCGCTGTGCGACCATTGTCCAGTCAACTACCTTTTTCAGAGCTTCAAGAGCAAGAGCAGAGGAAGGAGGGGAGGACGCACATGTCGCAAAGACCTGCTGCGACTGCCGCCGCACTCCCTCCTGAACTTCCGCCCGCCACTCGCTGCTCCTCCTCACTCTCTAGCTCTCCATCAGCCCTTCGAGGACCAGAAGGGTTGACGGTCGGTCCGAAGATCGAGTTGGTTGTTGAGGAGCTGTTTCCGCACAAGGTCAGCGAGAGCACAGGGCATAGAGGGCGGAGAGCGTGGCGCACCCCATGCCGAACTCGTCCATGTTGGTCTTGCCTACCAGGACAGCGCCCGCCTCCCGCAAGCGCTTGACGACCGTCGCATCAAACGGCGAGCGATAGTCTGTCCCCGCTCTCGCCTCGTCAGTCCGCTGGATCAGGGCAAAGGATAGAGAGTGTTGCGCACCCTTGAGCATCCTGCTAGCGCAACTAGTCGGCGCATCGTCCGCTGTCGCAAACATGTCCTTCACGCCGACCGTGACCTCGTCGAGTCTGCCCTTCCCCTTTGCCCGTGCGCGATCCAGCTGCAAGGAGACATCTGTTCGCGGGACGAGTCTCGTTGAGCGGGGTCGGAGTGAGAGAGCGGGATGGGGACGGACCCGAGTTGGAGTAGAGGTGGGTGAAGCAGTTGATGCGTGGGTTGAGCTCTGCTGCGCGTGCGAGTTGTTTGGCTATCCGTGGGGGCAAGCTGGAGGGTGCGGTCATAGCGAGTGAGTGCTGTCGAGCTGTGTGAGGACGGGATGGTGAGCGAGAGGGAGAGAGATGAGGGAGAGTTGTGGACCGCGGACTCCGCTCATCTCCGTCGACACTTAGGAAAATCAGGGAGCAAGCTGTGATGCTCTTCGAAGCATTGGAACACTTGCTAAGCTGTGCAGACACGCCGTACTAGCCATCCTCGACTTTACGAGCGGGCAATCGAGCACTCGTCCCCGTCATGCTGCCTTGCCTCGTCCTCGCTCTCTCACGACGGGGGCATCGCACGGCTGACGAGCACTCGCACGGGCAGCCATGGCCGCATTCAAACACGCACTCGAATCGGCAGCAACCGCACTCACAGGCGCAACCACGACCGCACCCAAGCCCGCCGACTCGCTCGCTCACCCGCGTCACCCTGCATCCACCGCAAACGGATCGCACGACGACGAGGTCACGGTGTACGCCGTCGCACTCGAGGACAACGGAGACCCCAAGCATGGAAAGACGGTGCGCACCGCTCTCCCTCGCCCACTCGCTATCCTCCAGCCCGACCCCGCGTCAGGCCCCGCCTCTGCCCGCTGCTCGCCATCGCTGACCCTCGCTTTCGAGCGCACACAGCTCCTCCGACTCCCGCCGCCGTCGAATCCCTACGTCTTGCGCATCACGATCGACGCGGGAACAAAGGCGAGCAGGAACGGAGTCTTGCACACCAACTTTCCCCTCGACGGCGGCAAGTTTGAGCGCGAAAAGTACGCCAAGGTTACGTGAGTCAATCTCGAGTACCTTCAGATGTGAAGCGAGCTCACTGGGAGACGTTCGCTCCGCCCGCAGCCTCCCGCAGGACTTTAGCAAGCCGTTCGAGATTGACCTTCCGGTGCGCTCGTTCGCTCGCAAACTCCCGCCATTCTCGAACTCACAACCGCCCGCAGATCACCTCGGCAGGCGCGTTCTCGTACTTTGTTGAGTTCGACTCGGCCTCGGGCGAGCGCACTCGTTCCCAGCCAGGCTACTTCGTCGTCGACCCCGTCCTCTCCCTCCCCCCTCGCACGTCCATCCTCGACCCCTCGACGCACGCCGTCCTCCCCCTCGGCAAAGGCGGCGTCGTCCAGTCCTCGTCCCCGCCCATCACTCTCCCCCTCGACGGGTTGGTCATCCAAACCGTCATCGCGAAATGGATGGGCACGCTCTCCGAGTGGAAGCCGCACCTCGACTTGATGCGCGACAGGGGATACAACATGATTCACTATACGCCGCTCCAGCAGAGGGGGGAATCGAATTCGCCGTATTCGATTTACGAGCAGAACGAGTTTAGTGAGGATCTGTTCGAGGGGAAGAAGAGTAGGAAGGAGAAGGAGAGCGAGATGAGGAGTATGCTGGGGAGGATCAAGGAGGAGTGGGGGATGTTGGGCATGATCGATGTCGTCCTCAACCACACGGCCAACAACTCCAAGTGGCTCGAGGAACATCCCGAGGCCGGTCAGTCCGGCGAACTCGTCTCTCGCAGGCTTCGTACTGACTCTTCTGCGCGCAGGCTACTCGGTCCACTCGTCCCCTCACCTCGCCGGCGCGCTCGAACTCGACGACGCCCTCCTCTCGCTCTCGTCCAACCTCTCCTCCCTCGGCCTCCCAACCAAGCTCACCTCGACCTCCGACCTCGACGCAATCATGTCGCACGTCGAGCACACCCTCCTCCCCTCTCTCAAGCTCTACGAGTTCTACGCCCTCGACGTCGCGAGTCTCAAGGCCTCGTTCCGCGAGGCGTGGGCTTCTCCGGCGGTGAAGAAGAACGCTGTTCCCCCTCCTCAGGGAAAGAGCGACCTCTCTCCCCTCTCAGTCGAAGACCGGGCACTCAAGTTCGCGCAGCTCTGTCTCCCCGCGACATGGTCGCAACTCGGACACCGCTTCCACGCGCAACTCGACTTGCCCGCCTCGATCGCCTTTGTCGCCCAACACCTCGGTATCCAGCCTGGACAATCGACGGCGGACCAGGCGGCGGACGAGGTTGGGAAGATGTTGGACGTCTTGAATGTCGACCGGTACCGCGAGTACGATGGAGATGTCAAGGCGATTTTGGACAACACGAGGAACCGTGTCAAGTACACGAGGTTGGACGAGCATGGGCCGAAGAAGGGCGAGATTAGCGCGAGGTGCGTTCCCGCTTTTTCCTCGAGAGCGCGAGAAAGACGAGGCCTGACCTTCCCAATTGCGCTTCTTGCAGCTCTCCGCTCGTCGAGTCGCTCTTTACGCGTCTCCCAAAGAACTCGACCACCTCATGTCACGACCCTTCCCTCCTCGCACTAGCCAACAACGGCTGGATCTGGGACGCCGACCCGCTCTTGGACTTTGCCTCTCCCGGCTCGCGCACCTACATCCGCCGCGACCTGATCGTCTGGGGCGACTGCGTCAAGTTGCGCTACGGCTCTTCGCCCGCCTCGAACCCGTGGTTGTGGGACCACATGAGTCTCTACGTCGAGAGCCTCGCGGGAATGTTTGATGGATTCCGACTTGACAACTCGCACTCGACACCGATTCATGTCGGCGAGTACCTGATGGACAAGGCGAGGAAGGTCAACCCGAACCTCTATGTTTGCGCCGAGTTGTTCACCGGGAGGCAGGAGTTGGATTTGTTGTGGGTCTGTCGGTTGGGCATCAACTCGCTCATTCGTGAGGCGTACAGTGAGTCGGCGATCTCCTCTCCGCGACTTCACTGCCGTCACCCATTTTCGATTTGCAGGTCCCTTGAGAACTCGCTGACCCTTCCCTTCGCCTCGCAGACGCCAACAGTCCGAAGGAGGAGAGCGGCCTGCTCTACGGCTTTGGTCTCGGCAAGCCTATCGGTGCGTCCACTCGCTTCGAAACAGCTCTCGCGCGCCGTCTGACCCGTTTCGCTCGCAGGCTCGATGGACACCGACTGCCTCAGCGAGCGCACGACCGTCTCCTTCTCCGGCGTCGAGCGACCCGCCAAGCTCATCCCTCACCCAGGTTCGACCCCTCACGCTTTCCTCATGGACATCACGCACGACAACGAGTCGCCTCTCTCGAAGCGCACGGCGGAAGATGCACTCCCGACTGGCGCGCTCGTCACTTTCGCTCGGGCGGCGGTGGGTTCGAACAGGGGTTTCGACGACTTGTATCCCAAGTTGTTGGACGTTGTTGGCGAGACGAGGAAGTATGAGGTCGTCAAGGCGAATGATGGGATTGGGGAGGTCAAGCGCTTGCTCAACCACCTCCATACGGAACTCGTCCTGGATGAAGGCGTCGAGGGTCACTTCTCGCAGGAGGGAGAGGTGTGTTGCGCTTACGGACTTTCGCTTGCACACCCACCTTGCTGAGACTCGCTCGCTCGCAGTACGTCACGGCGCACCGTGTCAACCCCGTCACGCACAAGGGCTACCTCCTCGTCGCGCGAACGGCATTCTCGTCAGGCGGCGGAAAGGACAAGGGCGATGGTGCGAACCGCTCCTTTTCCGCTCGTCGGAAGCTGCCGCTCACGTCTCGCTTCCTACAGCCCCGACGATGCGTCTGGACGGTACGCGAGTCAAGTTCATCGCCGGCGCCACCGTCAACGTCAACTCGACTGCCTCGCGCGATACCGAGACAACCCTCCGCGGCCTCGACGCGACCATTTCGCACATCAAGGCTGCCGACCCCGCCGTCGAGAAGGACTCGTCAACCGGTCAGACCTTCTCCGTCATCACCGTTCCCGACGAGTTCCCCCGCGGCAGCGTCATGGTGTTCGCGACTTGGATGGACGACTTGCCGGCCGACCTCGACGACGTCTGCGCGAGCGGAGCTAAGCAGGCGTTCGGCGAGCTCAACACCGTTGACCTGAACGTCGTGCTCTACCGCGCGGACGGCGAAGAGCGTGATGCAACTGGCGGAGACGGCGTCTACTCGCTTCCGGACACGGGCCCGCTCGTCTACTGCGGCTTGCAGGGATGGATGCCGCATCTCCGCCATATCATGGAGCACAACGACCTCGGACACCCGCTCTGCGCCAATCTCCGCAACGGCACCTGGGCGCTCGACTATGTCGTAGACCGTCTCGAAAAGCAGACCGACGTCTTCCCCGCTCTCGCCAAGCCCGCCGCCTGGTTCCGCGAGCGCTTCGACCTCATCAAGGCGCATGTTCCGCCCTTCCTCCGACCCAAGTACTTCGCCTTGGTCATCAACGTCGCCTTCAAGGCGGCGCGAGACCGCGCGGTCGACCTTTGCTCGCCGCTCATCCGCAACGGTACCTCGTTCGTCCACCAGCTCGCCTTGACGAGCGTCCAGATGTACGGCCAGGTCAGGAGCGCCAGCCTCGACGCCAAGAAGCCGACGCCGAGTCTTGCGGCGGGCTTGCCGCACTTCACCGCTGGCGTGCGTGTACCTTCTCGAGCTCCGACTCCCGACCAAACTGACCTTCTTCGCATCGCAGTGGGCTCGTACCTGGGGACGCGACGTCTTCATTTCGCTTCGCGGCTTGTTCCTCGTAACCGGCCAGTTCGACGCTGCGAGGGAGCACATCCTCGCCTTCTGCAGCGTCCTCAAGCACGGCCTCATCCCGAACCTGCTCGACTCGGGCCGCACGCCTCGCTACAACTCGCGCGACTCGCCCTGGTTCATGCTCCAGAACATTCAGGACTACGTCAACACCGCCCCGAACGGCCTCGATATTCTCCAGGCGACCGTCAAGCGTCGCTTCCCGCTCGACGATACCTGGGTGCCGTTTGATGACGAGCGAGCGTACGCCACGACGAGCACGGTCGCCGACGTGATCCAGGAGATTTTGCAGCGCCACGCGAGCGGGATCCACTTCCGCGAGTACAACGCGGGCCCGAACCTCGACATGCAGATGTCGGACAAGGGCTTCGACATTGACATCGATGTCGACTGGAAGACAGGCGTCATCTACGGCGGCAACGAGCACAACTGCGGAACCTGGCAGGACAAGATGGTGCGTTTCCGTCCTGTCGTTCGACTTGCTCGGCGCTGACGCGTGATCTTCGTAGGGCGAGAGCACCAAGGCTGGCAACAAGGGTGTCCCCGGAACGCCTCGAGACGGCGCGCCGGTCGAGATCACCGGTCTGCACAAGTCTGCCGTCCGCTGGCTCGCCGACCTCTCCAGCAAGGGCAAGTTCCCTCACAAGGGCGTCAAGGCGACGGGTGAGCTCCTACACGTCTCTCTCCCTGATTGAGGCGGTACTCATGCGCTTGATTCTCGCAGTCGACGGCAAGGAGCGCGAGGTCTCCTACAAGGAGTGGAACGACCTTCTCCAGCAGAACTTCGAGCGCCTCTACTACGTCCCGGCCGACCCGTCGCTCGACCCGGAATACGACGTCGACCCGTCGCTCATCGCTCGTCGCGGCATCTACAAGGACGTCCACGGCACGCCTGCGCCCCGCTCCCGCGCCGACTACCAGCTTCGCGGCAACTTCCCGATCGCCATGGCTGTCGCGCCCGAGCTCTTCACGCCCAAGTTCGCTCTCGACGCCCTCGCCGTGCTCGAGGCGAACCTCGTCGGACCGCTCGGCGTCAAGACGCTCGACCCGGCTGACCCGGACTACCGCCGTGAGTCGCCCTCGCTTCCTCCTCGCAGGTTCCGCCATCTGACCGCCCTTCCCGCAGCTCACTACGACAACTCGAACGACTCGGACGACTGGCATGTCGCCAAAGGCCGCAACTACCACCAAGGACCGGAGTGGGTGTGGCCGATGGGTGCGTCTCGCGATAGCTTCCATACTCTCTCAGTCTCGCTGACTAATTCTCGCTGCAGGCTACTTCCTTCGCGCTCACCTCATCTTCGACACGCTCGCGGGCGCCGGTCGCTCAGACCCCACCTCGACCTTCCACCACATCTACGAAATCCTTTCGCGACACCGTGCCCACATCACGCACGACCCGTGGGCCGGTCTTCCCGAGCTCACGAACGAGAACGGCGGGTACTGCCACGACAGCTGCCGGACGCAGGCCTGGTCGGGCAGCACTCTGCTCGACGCGCTCGACGACATGGCGAAGCTGGCGGCGGGAAAGAAGGCGCGTAACTAGACGACGGCGACAACATGTAGATACCCATGCATAGCGGCGCATTGTTGGTGCAAAAATGGACAGTCAGCCTTGCGCTCTCGCCCGGACCTTCGAAGTGAGCAGAACTAGCGAGCGATGTTGCGAGAGCGACAATTACAGACAACAGGACGACCCGAATACAACACTGTCCGACGACCCTAGGATCCTTCTCACCGCGCAACCCGTCCACTCCGCCTAGAATTTGTAGTCGACTTCCACCGCCAGCATGCCGTAATGAGCGTGCTCAGGGAGCGGCTGAGGGCAGTAAAACGCCGGCACCTCGCTCGCGCGCAGTCGTCGTCCGCCAATCTGCTCGTGCAGCTGATTCTCGCGCGCGTAGGCGTCGCGAATCTGAGCGATGCGCTTGCTCAGCTGCTTGGGCTGCTTGGCGACGTCGGGCGTGAGCAACTTGTACTTGAGCTCGTTGGCCTCGCTCACGCGCATGCGGCGACCCTTGCGCTTCTCGAACTCGTCGACGTAAGGCTGGAGCTGCTGACGACGGAGCTCGAACTTGAGCGAGTACATCTCCGACACAGGCATGCGCGGGTACAGCTCCTGGCCGAAGTTGTCGTCGCCGCGAGGCTTGCGGGACTTGCGCTCGCGGCAACGACGCTCGTGGTCCTTCTCCTCGGCGATAGTCCTCAAGTCGAAGTGCTCAGCGTAGGGCGAGCCATACGCGACGAGCTTCGCCGCCGACTGTCGCTGAGACTGGCTCGAACGGTTCGAGCGGGTTGACCGAGTCGAGGTAGGCGTCGTCTCGTAGGAGGTGAGGGAGTCAGAGTCGGAGGCGGGCGAGTCGGTGGCGGAGGCCGAGTCGAAAATGCGGGAGGAAGCTGCCGACGAGATGGTCGACGAGCGCGAGGAAGCCGGCGACGAGGGTTCGCTGTTGCAGGGGCAGTCGGCACCGCAGGTAAAGTATCCCGGCGAGGTCAACTCGCTGTAGACCTCACCCCAGAACGAGGTCTTGCTCTCGCTCGAGTCGGAGCAGTCGTCGAGAGCTTGCGACCTGCGGGATCGGGTCGAGCGACTTGAGCGGGTCGACCTGGTCGAGAGCGGCGTCGACGTGTACGACGCGCGGGAGGCGATGTCGGAGTCGGAGGTGCGGGAAGAAGTGGTCGAAGAGGGCGACGAGGCGTAACTGGAAGCGGGGGACGAGTTGGGGTGGTCGCAGGTGCAGTCTTCGTCGCACTCCGACATAGCAGTCAGGATCTTGACGCCGAACTCGTTGCACGACTGGATCCAAGCCGAGACGGTGCCGTTGCTCGAGCACCGGTCGAGGTCGGCAGTCGAAGCAGTCGAGACGGCGGCAAGAGCAGCAGTAGCAGCCGACTCGGGGGCGGCAGCGTTGCCAGCAATCACCGAGTCGTCGCACGAAGCGCTGAAGAAGCGGGAGAGACGAGCCTGCGAGCGAGAAGGACGAGGTCAGTCAGTCGTTCGGCAGAGGGAAAGGCGGGGTAGCGGAACACACCAGGACGGTCGTAGGCTGCTTGCTGGTGGACGAAGAAGCAGGGCGAGCAAGCTCAGCGGCGGCGGAGATGGTGGTCTCGACGGCGAGCGATGTGACGGGCGAGCGAGCGGAAAGCATGGCTACTGGGTCGAGTGAGAGGGTGTGCGAGTGTGTTCGAGGTGTGAGGAGTGCGAGTGAGAGTGCGAGTTGCTGTTCGAGTGCGAAGGAGTGTGAGCGAGTGAAGGGAAGGAGAGAAAGAGAGGAAAGCGAGCGCGCGCACCGAAGTCGTTCCCGCCCGAGTCCGCTCCCGGTCACAGCGCCCAGCCATCTCGCCCTTGTCGCAAACCTTGTCGAGTGGCGCAGAGACAAGCGCACCACAGCAAGGTTCAGCACACGTCTCGAAGCAGTTTCACCCAGCGGGCTCGTCCGACAGCGCAGAGAGCGAGGAAAGCAGCCGTTCGACTCGGGACCAGCTCGAGTGGATGTGACGGGCCCTCATCGCCGGCGAGTGAGCAGTCGAGAGCGCTTCGTACGCTGGAGACGGGTCGAAAGGGTTGTAAAGCATGTGTCGGCGGCGAGAGAAGGAAAGGGAGAGCCAGGTGGAGGAGGCGGAGGCAAAGAAGGTCGTAAAAGGGCTTTTGACGAGTCGTGAGGCGCTCGTAGGGTCCGGCTGGCCTTGTAGGCGATGTTGCTGTGTCGTTACGAGTCCAAGAGCGACGAGACGTGGAAAGGGGCGCCGAGGGGGATGCTGAGGCTGCCGCCGCGCACTTCCTCCGCTTTCCTGCATCCTCTGCTGCAGCCCTGTCTCTGCCTTGGTCCCAGCCGCTGGCAGAGGCTGCGGCGAGGTGGATGTCGTGTTGAAGGAGAGGGCGGGCGGAGGGTGAACGAAGAGGCGTCGCGGAGGTCGAGAATGCTGTAGGTCCGTGTTTGACGGGTTCCTGCGTCGCTAGGACCCTGCAGTGCTGCGCCAGACGGTCTTGACATCGTGGTGTGTCCCGGTTTGAGCGGCGGAGAATGATGAGGTTGTCGAGGCGGCTGGCGCATCGAGTACGGCTCGCGGGAGAGCGCAAAGGGCGTCGAGATGTAGCAGCAATGTTTCTTCGCCGACTGAGCAGGCTAGACAACCCGCTCGTGGTCCTTGTAGCGGGAGGGAGATGCCGAATGAGCGAGAGTTGGGGGCGCGCCTGTCCCCGCGAGGGTTGAGTCTGAACCATCCGCTGCCGCTCGTCCGCCAATCTCGCGCGCCTCAGGCGGAGTTGAGAGGAGTCCACAGAGCATCGCAGGCGCCATCAGAGGACCTGCGCTGAGGCCGGTGCTCGACTGCTCGCCCTGCTTTTGCTCCCTTCTTCCTCGCTTGTGGAGAAGACAGCCTGCTGAGCGCCATCGAGCGGGCCCATGTCGGCTGACGGACTGAGGTCAAGTTCGTGCGTAGTTCAGCCCTCGTAAAAGCTCATACGCCGCTTTGGCTCCTTCAGAGCCCCTCGCAATCCAGCAGGGTCGCCCTCCTTCCACGGTCAGGCCAAGCCAACGTCCTTCTTGAGCGCCCATGCCGCTCGAGCCTGTCTCAAGTGCATCCGATCCAATTCGACGGAGTGGTCTAGCGCCGCCTGGTGCGGGCGACATGCGTTCTTCACCTCCTCGCACGCTCCTCCGCCGCTGGTCCGCTGTCAATCCGTGCATCCGCCCGGGCGAAGCCGGCCCTGCGCTCGTGAATATGTCCTCCATTGCCGTCAGAGCGCCCAAGTCCCCGACAACGGGCTAGCAAGCGAGAAAGCGAGCCATCTATCCTGCCGTGCGACCGGTCGAGAGAGGCGCGAGGACAGCGTCGGAGGGATGGCGAGGCCATAAGTGCCAGTTCTGAAGCGTATCTCAATGCCGCTGCAGGCCCAGGGGGCGTCCAGACCAGCCATTGGCGAGAGCGAGCGTAGAGAAGGAGAAGAAGAGACGGACGAGGGAAGGTCGAGTGGGTCAGCGTCGTTGTGCGACCTTTCACGCAGCGTATCATACTCCTGGAGGTCTCTCGAGTGTAAAGCGCACGAAGCCAGTTTCTCCGGAGTGAAGACGGGCGAGCAGGAGACGAGGAGGAGAAAGTGCGAACGATACAGACGGTGCAAGGGGACCAGGAGTACAGCAACAGGGACGAGAGCACTACAGAGAGCGACAGAACGAGAGACTAGATACAAAGGATCCCCTCCAACCGCCGGGGAAAGTCGAGAAGGTCGCCCTCCTCCTCCTTTAGTCGAAGCGAGGTGCGCTCGACGGGACCCTGCGCTGCGCGATGGGCATCGCGCGCTTCGCAGGTCCTCGTGCAGGTCGACCGCGTGCGACAAACGCCCGCTGAGCTCGCTGCTGAGCCTTGTACTCGGCGAGATTGCACAACCGCTTGGCGAGCTCGACGCGGAGGTTGGATGTGCCAGGGCAGCAATCGCGGGGAAGCTTCTCCATCGTCTGTCGAATGGGCAGAGGGAGGGAGAGGTGGGCGCGGAGGGTGCGCATGTCGACGACGTTGTCGTTCGAGTCGAGGCGGCGAGCGAGGCGCGAGGGGGAGAAGGTCTGGGCGACGGGGCGCGTCGGATCGAAGGGAGGAAGGGCGTCAAGGTTGTAGAGCTGGCGCACGAGCCAGGCGTTGATGTGATTGTCGAGGCGGCAGTAGAAACGGTCCTCGCGCTCAATCTTGTCCTCCTCGACCTTGTTGATGCCGCGCGACGCCTCCAACGCGAGCTCATACGACTCCTCCATCTCGATCAAGGCGATACCGTACGCTTCGATATCGTCGAGCGGGATGTCGCCGATGGAGCCATTCCTGCCGACTTTCTTCTCGACGCAAGCGAGGAGTTCGTCAAGCACCTCACGCTTGATCCAGTAGGCGTCCGAGCGCTGGACCTCCTCAACTTGCGACGAGGCGAAGGACGAGGCGTCCGAGTTGAAGACAGGCGAGGACAGGGCGGACGAGATGGACGAGGCTGCCGAGAGAGTTGGCGAAGGGGGCTCAGGGATGTCGAGCGAGGAGGCATGCGCGGCAACGTCGATGGTGAGCTCCTTCGCCGCGGAAGTGTCGATTGGCATGACCGGAGCATCGAGCGCAGTGAGCGAGTCGCGAGGACAGGCGGCGGAGGTGACGGCGAGAGGGGTGACGAGCGAGAGAGCGGGGGCAGCGGGCTTTGCGCGAGTCGGCTCGAAGAAGGAGGAGCGAGTCTTCGAGGCGACAGGAGCAGTCTCGAAGCAAGTCTGCGAGTTTGGACGAGGCGAGTCAGCGTGACGGTTTCGACTGAGGAGGGTGAAGGGAAGGGAACGCACCATGAGACTCGAGGCGCTGGAGAGGACGGTCGCAGTAGCACAGTCGAGCGCCTTGAAAGCGGTAGCAGCGACGAACTGGCCGAGCGAGGAGCGAAGGAGCGAGCGAGCGGAAAGCATGACTGCTGGGTCGAGTGAGGGTGTGTGCGAGAGTGTTTGAGGTGAGATGAGTGCGAGTGAGAGTGCGAGTTGCTGTTCGAGTGCGTTGGATGTGAGCGAGTGAAGGGAAGGAGGGAGAGAGAGGAAAGCGAGCGCACGCACCGAAGTCGTTCCCGCCCGAGTCCGTTCCCGGTCACAGCGCCCAGCCATCTCGCCCTTGTCGCAAACCTTGGCGAGTGGCGCAGAGACAAGCGCACCACGGCAAGGTTCAGCACACGTCTCGAAGCAGTTTCACCCAGCGGGCTCGTCCGACAGCGCAGAGAGCGAGGAAAGCAGCCGTTTGAGAAATGACCAGCTCGAGAGGATGTGACGGACCCTTATCGCCGGCGAGTGAGCAGACGAGAGCGCTTTGTACGTCGAGGAACGGTCGAAGGCGTTGTAAAGCGTGTATTGGCGGCGAGAGAAGGAAAGGGAGAGCTAGACGGAGGAGGAGGAGGCGAAGAAGGCCGTGAAAGGGCTTTTGACGAGTCGTGACACCTTCGTAGGGTCCGGCTGGCCATCGAGGCGAACTTGCTGTGTTGTTATGAGTTCAGGAGCGACGAGACGGCGAAAGGGGCGCCGAGGCGGATGCTGAGGCTGCCGTCACTCCCTTCCTCCGCTTTTCTGCATCCCGTGCTGTATCCCTGTCTCTGACTTGGTCTCAGCCGCCAGCAGAGGATGTCGAGAGACGAATGTCGTGTTGAAGGAGGAGAGAGCGCGCGGAGGGCGGACGAATAGGCGTCGCGGGGGTCGAGAATGCTGGAGGTCGGGTTTTGACGAGTTCCTGCGTGTCTGAGACCCTGCATTGCTGAGCCTGGCGGTCTTGACATCGAGCTGTATCCCTGTTCGAGCGGTGGAGACTGATGAGGACGTCGAGGCGGCTGGCGCGTCGAGTACGGCTCGCGGGGGAGCGCAAAGGGCGTCGAAATGTAGCAGTCATGGTTCTTCGCCGACTGAGCAGGCTAGACAGCCCGCTCGTGGTCGTTGAAGCGGGATCGAGGCGCCGAATGAGCGAGAGGTGCGGGCGCGCCTGTCGCCGCGAGGGTTGAGTCTGAACCATCCGCTGCTGCTCGTCCGCCGATCTCGTACGCCTCAGCCGGAGTCGAGAGGAGTCGAAAGAGCGTCGTAGGAGCCGAGAAAGAGCCGGGGCGGAGGGCGTTCGTCCTGTGTCCGTCGTCCATCTGCCTCATTCCTCACCGCTAGTCTTCAGCAGCCTGCTGAGCCATAATCTGCCGTCCCAGAAGACCGCTCATCTAACCGTGCAGCTGTACCCGTCTTCCTTGGGCAGTCCGCGGGACATGCAGCTCCTTTAGAGCCCGCAGCGCGCGAGCAGGGTCGTCTTCCTCCGCCCTTCGTGCTGATCCAGCGTCCTCCTCGACCGTCTACTGCGCTCCACAACGTCGCAGGCCGCTCATCGACCTCGACTAAGCAATTCAGCGCCGCTTGTGCGCGACAGGCTCAGTTCCTCGCCCTCGAGTCCTCGTCCGCTCGTTTTCCCGCCAACCCGTCTATTCCGTACCTCGCTGCCCACTCAAGCCGCCCATCCATCCACGACAACTCTATCGTCTTCTCCAGTGCCAGACGCGTGCCAGTATACCGAGTGGGAGGCGCAGGAAGTGAGCGATTCTGACTGCAGTTCCATCGGCGAGCACGACGCAGAGAGGACGTCGGAGCGGTCGCCACGCGGACAGCGCGAGTCTGAAGGCTTAGAGTAGGAGAGGCAGGCTGCCAGAGCTGTTTCGTCAGAGGGGTGCAAGAGCAAGCGAGGAGAAGGAGGAAGAGAGGAAAGAGGAGGTCGGTGCGTCGTGTAGTCCTGGCATCGTGCGTTCAAACGTGCGAGTAGCCTACGTCGATGCAAGCAGGACTGTAGAGCCACAACGAGCAGAGAAGCTGAATGAGCCACGGCAGCATTGAGCGAGAGTTGCGAATGTCTCTGCCTCGCCTTCGCCTCGGATGCTTCAACGACGACTACCAAGCGCTCTGACTACTCGCATACTCCCAAACACCTTCTTTACCATTCCCAGCGCTTCTACATCCCAGACGCGCCTTTACATGATCGCTCACTCCTCCTCGCTGTACAGGTTCAACCCCAACAACGACCTCTCATCAAAGTTCCTGTGCTGGAACCCGAGCTTGTGTAGTGCGCCTGTGTCGGCGACAAAGATCCGGCCTTGGGAGATCTCGAGGCCGCACCACCGGGTGCTTTGTGCGTGAACGAAAGGGGTCAGTTGGGAAGGGCAGGGAGAGGAGGAGGGGCAGAGACGGGACGGACATGAAGCAGCGACTGAAGTGGCCGTGCGAGACGATCAGGATGTCTCCGTGGTGTCCCTCCGTCTCTTCCTGCCCATGGTGGGCGCTACCGACGCAGTCCATCAGCTCCTAGCTCAAAACAAAGAGACGGCAGAACGCACTCGGCCAAGTCGACAATCTTACGAATCATGGCGTCGCAACGGTCGCGCATCTGGTCGGCTGACTCGCCTTTGGGGCAGCCATCGGTCCAGATGTCCCAGTCGGGCTTGACCATCTCGCGGATCTCGGCAGTCTTCTTGCCTGCGAGTTGCAAGGATCAGCTGCCGGTACCTATCTGGCGCCATCGAGAGGGATGACCAGCCGTGAAAGGGGAGTGAGCGAGCATGCGCAAGACTCACCTTCACAAACCCCGTACTCCCACTCCCTCACGCCCTCCTCAATTCCAAAACTCGGCCTGTCCTCCTTCTCGACACCCTCAAACAACAACTCGAACGTCTTTCGCGCGCGCGAGCGGGGCGAGACAAAGACGTGTTGGATGTGGGAGGGGTCGAGGATCTTGCCCGACCCGACGATGCGTTTGCCGAGGGCGCGGATGATGTTTTCGCCGTTGGGAGTGAGGGGGAGGTCGGTGCGGCCGGTCTGCGTGGCGGGACGTCAGCGGACATTCGGAATAGGGAACGAGGGAGACCGTAACGAGGCTCTTCCCCGCCGTCCCCTCCCCTTCGAGCCGGAGAGAGCGACTCACATGCTGCCCAGAGATACTCCACTCTGTCTCGCCATGACGGACGACAAAGACGCGCGGGAGACGAGGTTTCTTGCTCGCAGCCGAGGACGAGGCGGAGGGGGACATGGTGCGTGTAGCGGGTGCGGTGGGAGCTGCGGGGAGGGCAGGTGTCAGTGGCGGTTCATCACTCGGTACGCCTTGCTCCATGGCCAAGCAAAGCCGTGAAAGCGAGCGACTGAAGCGAATCGACGCACCGAGTGAGAACGAGCGAGCGGAAGTTCGGGGCTTTCCGAGCGCGGGTGGGTCGGAATGGAAAGACCTAGCGAGAGTAGTCGCACACGAGCACGAAGCGAACGGAGCAGAGCAGTGTGAGGAGCGAGAGCAAGCTTCCTTCGCCCGACGGAGGACGGAGAGGAACGATGACGGCACCTCGTCTCTGTGCGAATCTGTCGAGCGCAGAACACCGTGTATCTGGATCTACTTGGGTGAGCAGGCTGACCCTCGTTCACCTCGAAGCGAGAGAGCGAGCCGTAAAGTGAGCGGAACTTGCTTGAGCTCGCAGCGGGACGAGAGGTGCACGACATTTCTTGTGAGGCCATGGGTAGTACACGAAGGATACTCGCAATCCAGTTGAGCGATGTTTCGAGTGCGGTCGCGGGACTTAGCGGTTTTCGCTCGAGGGTGAGCACGAGGCGCTGGAGCAGGCGACGCGGCTCTCTCTGCCCGTCGTCCTCGTCTCTTCTTCAGGTCCACCAACAAGGTGCGCACACTCATCCTACTACCCTCTAGCAACCCACTGACACGTCCTGCCTGTCCCGCCCAACCCCTCAACCCGCGCAATCACCACCCCCGACCCCCTCACACATCTACGTTTTCGCACCCCTCCGACGCCCCTCACACCGCCCGAACGCCCCTTTCGACCCGCCCAACGAACGAATGCACTTGTTCTGACCCGCCTCGCACCACCCACGCCCGCCCGCGACCCCTTCAACTCGCTCGCAAACCCTGCCCATCCTCCGACCTTCACTCGCCCGAACTCGTCCTCACCAACTCGCTCGCCTGCCTCTGGAATCGGTCTTGTTCCGTTGGGATTGGTGGATTGCGGGAACAGATGACGAAGCGTACCAGAAAGGTTGGCGTGACGGGCAAGTACGGTGTCGTGAGTCTCCACTCCCTCGCTTCACCCCGCTCGAGGGATGCTCACCTGGTTGCGTGGGACGATAGCGCTACGGTGCGACCCTGAGGAAGTCCATCAAGAAGATGGAGATCACTCAGCACGCTACCTACACGTGAGTTTGCCGATGGTGGTTCGTCTCGCTCAAGCGGGAAGGGTGCTGATGCGGTTCTTGTTGCGCAGTTGCACCTTCTGCGGCAAGGTTAGTCTCTCGGCTCGCATCTCCAACCAGCGGACTTGCGGTAGGGAGGGGAGGAGACCTTGGACCGGAACGGAGAGGAAGGAACAGGCTGGTTGACGCTCGTGCGCCCCGCAGGACTCCGTCAAGCGCACCGCTGTCGGCATCTGGCACTGCAAGGCCTGCAAGAAGACGACCGCCGGTGGCGCGTGGACCGTCTCGACCACGGCTGCTGCGACCGTCCGCAGGTGCGTCCATCCCTCGCTCCCCTCTCTCTCTCGTTCCCGTACTGACGAGAATGCGGTGCGTGTTGCGCGTGTGTAGCACTGTCCGTCGTCTCCGCGAGCTCGCCGAGGTCTAAGCCTGCCAATTGGACCCCCCGGTTTGGCTGTTTAATCCGTGCGAGAGAGCAGTTCCTCGCGAGTAAGGCTGCGGAGTTGAGCGAGTTTGTAATGACGCTGTTATGGAAAGGGTCGAGGCCGATGCGAAAACTTGCCAGTTTGCCAACTTCGACCGCTGCAGCCGCCCGTCGCCACCCTTGCGCTCGCACCACTCACCCTCCCTCGCACCAGGACCACCCACGAGCCAGCGAGCCGTGTGCTAGCATAGACGACTTCAACCGTGAGCCAACTCGCACCCGCCCGCGTGCCGTCGTCGTCGAGCGAGCGCTGACACCCTTCCACCTCCCCTCCCCTCCCATCTCGCTCGCATCGCACCGCACCACGCGCACGCAGGTCTACTCTAGCACCCGCCACAGACCAGCCCACCATCCAGTCGAAAGCGGACGTCCGTTCTCTCGCCGCCGCTCTCGCCTCCTCCCCGAGGGCCATCCCGCGTCCTCAGTTCCCAAAGCCCCCCTAAGTCGGCCTCTGAGCGCCTTTACTCGTCACACTCCCTTTCATCCGCAACTTTCTTCGCCTTTACGGGGGCGAAGACCGCCTGCCGCATCAGCCGTCCGTACTGAAGAGGGCCCGGTAAATCCGCCTTGTTGACGCCCGTCATGGCTCGCACACTGACATGTTCGCGCTCTTTCCGCTCGCGTGAAACAGGGGCGCCCCGCTGTCACACGACAGACCTTTCCTGCTCGACAGGACCCTCCGGTTGCCGACCGCACCGGACGCATCTCCCTTCCCCCCCTCCTTCGCGCGTTCTTATCGCCTTAAGTCTCGCCTAGCGACTTGCGCCTAGCTCGCTCCCTTCCCTTCCTTCTATACACTCTACACGAGAAATGGCCGCCATCGCCATCCCCGCCGGCGCCGCCCAGGCGTTCGCCCAGGACGAGTCGACCTCGTCGTTCTACCCTCTCTCGTGCTCGCCGCTCTCGCGCAGCCCTTTCCTCGCCCAGCTCTCGCTCTCGCCCAACTCGGCACCCAAGTACTCGTCCGTCGTCCCCTCGGCGAACCAGTTCGCCCAAGTCCGCCGCAAGTCGTCAGTCTCGGCGCACGCTCGCCCCGTCATCCGTCCTCCGACACAGGCCGTCCCGCGCGAGGCTCCGCTGCCCGCAATCCACTCGGGCGCGATCATCGACAACTTCCGCGCCGCGCTCGACACGATCGACATGGACGACTGCGAGGCGCACGGCGAGAACGCCTTCTTCGTCGCCGACCTCGCCGAGGTGTACCGCCAGCACGTCCGGTGGATGCGCGAGTTGGGACACCGCGTTCAGCCTTTCTTCGCCGTCAAGTCGAACCCGGACCCTTACGTCCTTCACCTCATGGCTGCGCTCGGGATGGGCTTTGACTGCGCCAGTCAGCCCGAGATCTCGGCTGTCTTGGGCTTGCCTGGACCCGTCTCGCCATCGCGCATCATCTACGCCAACCCGTGCAAGGCCGCGTCGTTCATCCGCAACGCGGCCAAGTGCGGAGTCGACACCATGACGTTCGACAATGCCGACGAGCTCGCCAAAGTCAAGAAGTACCACCCGAACGCACGTATGGTCCTCCGCATCCTCACCGACGACTCGAGCTCGCTCTGCCGCCTCGGTCTCAAGTTCGGCGCGCCCTTGAGCGAAGTCCGTGGATTGCTCAAGCGCGCCAAGCAGCTCGACGTCAACGTCGTCGGGATCTCGTTCCACTGCGGAAGCGGCTGCAAGGACCCGTCGCTCTTTGGCGACGCGATCCGCCGCGCGCGCTGGGCGTTCGATGTCGGCGCCGAAGAAGGGTTCGACTTTGACCTGCTCGACATCGGAGGAGGGTTCGAGGACGACAACTTTGAGCAGATCGCTGCTGTCCTCCGCGAGGCGATCGACGCGCACTTCCCGCTCGACGCGCAGGGGAAGGGCGTCAAGGTCATCGCCGAGCCGGGGAGGTATTACGTCTGCCGCGCGTTCGAGCTCGCGACCAACATCATCGCGAGGAGGGCCGCGCGCGAGGGGACCAACGACGATGCGTCGATGCTCGAGCTCGCGGGCGTCGATGACGAGGAGGCCAAGCCGGTCACGATGTGTGAGTCGTTGACTCCTTTTCCTCGCGTGGAGAGACTCTCTCGCTGACGCTCGCCCGCGACTGCGCAGACTACATCAACGACGGTGTCTATTCGTCCTTCAACTCGACCATGTTCGACCACCAAGTCGTTCACCCGCACGTCCTCACCCTCGCCGGCGACTTCCACGACGGTCCTGTCCTCTCCCAGGACGCGGACTTCGAGGAATGCTCGATCTGGGGCCCGACATGCGACTCGATCGACTGCGTCCAGCCCAAGGCCGTCTTGCCGACCAACTTGATCGAGGTGGGAGACTGGTTGAGGTGGGACAACATGGGCGCTTACACGATCTGCGCTGCGAGCCAGTTCAACGGGTTCAGGAGGTCGGACGTCAGGTACACCATCGACGCCAAGGGCGAGCCCGGACTCGAGGCCAAGATTCGCGCTCTCCTCGACGCTTGAACCTCCCCTCCCTCCCCTCGCCATATCTCGCATTTATTCTCTCCCCCGTCTCTCCTGATGGTTCTCCCTTCCGTGTCATTTGTATACCAACGCGCAAAACAAGTCCTGTTCTCTTCCCCTCCGTTCTCTCACAGGAGACACTCCCTCACATAGCTGCAACAGGACAAGGAACACTCATTGCGCTCAATCCACCTGGTCTAACTCTTCTAACCGAGAGGTCTACTGAGAGGAAGGGAGGGTGGATCTACCATTCCAGCACGCCGCGTGGACCGGTCTTGCCGGCGAGTCCGAGTCCGCCGCGCAAGAGTTCCGGGATGACTTTGCCCTGCATGATCGTGCGGTCGACCTGCGTTGTCTGGTCAGCGAGTCAGAGATGGGAAGGAAAAGGAGAGCGACACACGATAGCTGCGACGTCGGCGGGTGTTGCGCGACCGTACCAGATTGACGAGCCGTTCGGGAAGTAGATGATTACGTTGCCCTGCGCATCGCGGTCGTCAGCTCGCGTTACTCGTAGGAAAGGAGGGAAAGGGACGAACCGCATACCGATGACCGCCGATATGCGACACCTTGAACAACCCGACCCTGCCACCCTCAACGCTCCTCTCCCTCAAGCTCTCCTCCATATTCCTCCGCTTCTCACCCTCGTCCCCCTCCCACTCCTCAATAGCCGGTCCCTCCGCAAGGTCCTCCCCACGCTCATCGACGTGCAGACCGTGTTTGTCGAGGTGGGTGTGGAATTGGGAGATGAGGAGGGGAGCGGCGATGGAGCATCGTTTGTCGCGTTTCCGGTGAGAGCAGAGGAGGATGACGGCTTGGTAGGGGAGGGGCCTGTCCGGCTTGCTCTCATCAGCCTCGCTCAAGCTAGAGGAGAACGAAAGGAACTCACCAACTTCTCAGCGCCGACTGCGACGCGTCCAACCCCACCCGCCCAGCTTCAGGTCTCAGATACCGCTCCACAAGCTCGTCGACAGCCGTTCGAGTCGGCTCGACGTCGTGCACGACTTTGTAGTCGGGAAGGACGATGACTGATTCGTGGTGGTGGGTGTGGGAGTTGGAGATGAAGGATGAGGAGAGGATGGATCTGTGTGTGTTCTGTTGTATTAGAATGAGTGAGTGAGAGAGAGAGGGGGGAGACGCACAGCCGGGAAGAGACGGCGACATCTGCGCCCGCAACCGCCTTTGAAGGATGCACGCCCGGCAACCCTCCCTTCTCCTCCGCTTCCTCGCCCTTTCCGCTCTTGAACAACTTGCCCCCAACCTTCCCCAACAACCCCGCGCTAGGCTTGGCCGTCGCCTCGTCGTACGCGAGTTTGACCAGTCCAGGGATCGAGTCGGTGTCGTCTGTCACTTCGCGGATCCAGTCGCTCTTGCCTGACGAGACGAGGATCTGCCTGTGCAGAGTGTGGGAGTGCAGGTGAGCCTGGGAGAGTGCTGCGAGGGAGAGGGAATTCGCCGCACCTCCCTAAGGGCTTCAACTCGCCCAACATCTGCGAGTCGAGGTCGACGTCGAATCTGTGTATGCTTCCCATCAGTCCAACTCCTCGCGCACCTCTAGAAGCGACGACCGCACCCCTTGGGATAAGCGAGATCCTCCAAGTCCGCCTCATCATCGCAAGCGTCGCACGCCTTGCAAGCGTCTGCGAGCGATTCGAGCGGTACGCCGACTGTGCGGAGGGCGTCGACGAGTGCGGCAGGAGGAGCGGGGCGGTCGGGGATGCCAGCCATGGCGAGTGAGCGAGTGAAGAAGCTGTGCAGGTCGGGAGCAGGCGGCGGAGGTGGGAGACGTTGATCCGGCTGGGGGTTACGAGCGAGTTGTAATTGAGAATAGCAAGGCATAGTAATCAATACGAGATTACCCGCGATCGATAATGGCATTACACGGCGAAGGTAATTGTCGCAGGAAGGTCCGCTGGGAACGTCGCTCGTTCGCCTTGACGGTGTGCGTGGCGTCGAACGACGTCCGTTACGAGGTCATCTGTCGCGGAACAAGGCCGCCTGACGAACCGGGGACCGTGCGATGCGGGCCTTGTCCGCTCGAAGTAGACTCCTCTGTCAACTTTGCAATCCTCTTTGCCTCGCTCACTCTCCCTCACTCTCCTCGTTCCGCTTACAAGGACAAGCAGGGCTTGTCAACCAGCAGTCGCTACCGGTAGCAACTCGTCCCAACCACCTCCGCTCTCTCCCTCGTCCTCCTTCCCTCGCTCAACCCCTCTCGACCGACCCACACAGCACACACCATGCTCCGCTCGCTCGTCTACACCACCTTGCTGGCAGCAGGTCTCGCCACAGCACACATCGAAATGATGTACCCGCCCCGTGAGTCCGCCTTCGCCTGTTCGTCTCGCTCGCGTCCGCCGTCCTCCTCGCGCGTCGGAATGTGACGACCATTTTTGGGTTTCGGCCGCATCGTGCGCCTCGCTCGCATGCTGCACCGCGTGCTGGGATCACTATGGACGCACGAGTGTAACGATGGATCGCTTGGAGGCGTTGTCATTGTGCATGAGAACCCGCTCGCTCGGATGCTGACCTCGGTCGATGAGCAGCCATCAACTCCAAGTACGACCCGCAGACGCTCGAGGCGAACAAGGACTACACCATGACCGCGCCGCTCTTCCCCGACGGCTCAAACTTCCCGTGCAAGGTGAGCGAGCGACCGTCTTTTGCCTTCCCGGCCTGCTTTGCAGCATTTCTCCAGCTGTACAACTCGGGAGGGCTTCCGCTGATGTACCTGTTTCTCACAGGGCTACAACACCCCCGAAGCGTACGCCTCGCTCAAGCCCGTCGCGACCCTCTCAGCCGGCGGCTCGATCGACGTGCAGTTCGCCCCGAACGGCGCAACTCACATGGGTGGCTCGTGCCAGTTCTCCATCTCGTACGACCAAGGCAAGACCTTTGCCGTCATCCACTCGATCATCGGCGCGTGCCCGCTCTCGTCGAGCTACTCGGTCCCTGTTCCTGCGGGCCTTCCTAGTGCCGACTCGGCTACGTTCGCCTGGACTTGGTTCAACGAGATGGGTAACCGCGAGATGGTGCGTTTGACGCTTTCCATCATCTCACCAACCCACTGACTTTGGGAACTACTCGTAGTACATGGACTGCGCAATCGTCGACATCTCCGGCTCCTCGTCGTCCAAATCCTTCACAGGACCCGGTCTCTTCCGCGCCAACACCCTCCCCGACGGAACCTGCATCACCATCGAAGGAGACGACGTCGTCTTCCCCAACCCTGGACCGTCGGTCGAGTATGGGGGCAAGATGAGCAAGAGTTCGCCGGTGACGAAGTTGAGCCCTTGCTCGTATGACGAGGACACGACGGTTACGATTGGACCCAACGGATCGTCGTCGTCACCTGGATCTGGTTCGGGCGCTGGCTCGTCGGCGTCTGCGTCGAGCTCGACCAAGTCAGCTTCCTCGTCGGCTCACGCAACCACCGTCAAGCCTACCACCGTCGCTCAGCCCACGACCGCCGCAACCACGACGACGACGAAGCCTGAGACGGTCCGCTCGACGCAGGGCGCTTCGACTGCCGCCGCTTCGACCACGACTCGGCCCGCCCGCGTGCCCTTCCGCAGCCGCTACCTCTTGTCGTCCTCGTCCACCGCTACCTCGTCGACGAAGCCGACTACCACCGCAGTGCAGAAGACGACTACATCGGTCAAGCAGGAGCCTACGACAACCGCCGCTCCTCCAGCCGCGACCACTTCCGCCTCGTCCGGCTCGAGCAACGGCGGCACCTGGCTCAAGTGCCTGTCGTCGACAACCTGGGCCCTCTGCGACGCCGCAGGCTGCACAAACATGGGTTCCGTCGCGGCGGGCACGATCTGCAAAGACGGCGGGATCGTGATGGCGCCCGTGAACAAGAAGCGCGACGAGGAACGGATGGTCCGTGTGGTCTCGAAGGAGAAGAAGAGGCGTTCTGTGAACGCCGAAGTTGAGCCTTCCACGCTGGCGGTGAAGGGCGAGAAGAGGAAGATGAGGAGGAGTACGTTTGCGGGTCCGGCGGGCCGGGCGCATGTCGCGAGGTCGAGGAGCGGTCACTGAGTGGCTCGTTCCTCCTTCTCTCGTTCCTTCTCTCTTGTCTCCTACTCGACTGTTCTTCTACTCTCCTGTGCTGTCTCCCTTACTCTCCCCGTCCTCTCACTCACGAGCTTGACGCAACACCCCCTCGCAAACGGTACTGGTATACCCCCCTCACACTCGTTCCTTCCCTCCTCACGCACTCTTCACGCAGTCTCCCTTCTTCGTTCTGGTTAACGACGCACCCCCTCCTCTCGCTCTCGAATCCTCGCTCCCCTCAACCCTCACTCGAAAGACACTTCGAGATTCTTGACACTTTTCGTAGCTAGCTGCTGTTGAATGCAGGCCCGGTAGGCGCGAACTTGCAAAGATGCTTAGTTGCCAAAATGACTAGACTGGCCGAAGCAGTGAATGGGAGCTGTGAGGTGATGAGGAGGGAGGAAGCACGGCAAAGTCGGCTCTGTCGCTCCGCGTCGTCGTCTCTTCTTCCGCTGGCTCTCGCAGTGACAACCCTTCCTCCTTGCGACGCCAGTGTTGCCTGTCAAGGCGTGCAGAACCACTTTGTTCGCCTCCAACCTTCCTAACTCCCCTCCACCTCTTTCACCACGCCTCCGGCTCCTTCGAGCGACCCCTTCTTCCCTCCCCAGCTCACACTCGACAAATACGGCGGCGACCGCGCCCTCTCCAACCCTGCACCCACCTGCGCAACCTGCCCCTCGAATCGCTCGCGCGACAGCCTCTTCCTCCTCCTCTCCTCCTGTGCGCCGGTATCGGAAGCAAGACTCGATGGACGGAGGCAGAGCGACCGAAGGTGGCGGTCGTCGATGGCGGATGTCGAGCGATGCTGTTTGTGACGTGCTGTGAAGTCTGAAGTGCGAGAGCGAGAAGGGTTGGCGGGGTGAACGACGATTTCTGAAAGGGGTGACGGAGGTTTGATCTCTGTCGTTGAGGATGGAAGAGTGTTGGAAGAGGTGTGGGAGGACTGGGACAGGGTTGGGTCGAGTAGGGGGGATGGATGAGGCGAGAGAGTCGAGAGGGAGAGAAAGGCGAGGCCGTATATGGGTGTCTCAAGGAAGCGAAGGGATAGGGTGACGCTTGTGAGTGTCGTCGAGGGAAGGAAGAGAGCGGTGATGGCGAAGATAGCTGGCAGATTGTCAAGATCAGTTTGCCATATCGCTGTGAAGGCTTGAATGCGACGCTGCGCAACCGACCCGAGGTTGTTGAGAGTATGATAACGCAGAGCAGCCATGCGGCAGATGCAGGCATAGGGGAAGGGAGGGAGGTCGAGGAGTTCTTTGGCGAAGGGAGCGAGAAGAGGAGCACGGTGCCGACAAGGAGGTCGCCGAGCGCAGATGCGACAGTTGCGAGAAGACTGGAAGGATCAATGTCAGGCATCGCAAACGGATGTGGCGCGCGGCAGACTCACAAGGCCGGATCACTCGACAACGAGGCGAGGACAGTTGAAGTATGGGAGGTCTGCGGGAGAGGGCACAGTCAAGCTCCTCATTGATCCTCGTCGCAGGATGCAGAGCGCACCGTGCTGAGAGCCACTGCCGCCCAGATCGAGCCAAAGCATGCGAGAGTGGCGCAAAGACCGGTGAAAGCGAGGATGGGAAGGCGGATGCAGAAGTGCTTCATGTGCTGCAGAAGCCGTGTCATCAGAAGAATGTAGTAATGCCGGTGAAAGGACTGAGCAACTGACCTGGCGAGCTTGTAGAACGAGGGTCAGGTCAAAGCAGGCTGTCGAAAGTCCGCTGGTGGCGCTGAAAGTGCCCAGAGCTACGGCATGCTCTGTAGTCGCGACATCTGGGAATGTGAGGTGGGTCAGATAGCTTAGCAAACCGGGAGTTGATGCCAATTTTGAAAGGAGAGAAGCGGGAGGGAAGGGCAACGCAGACGCACCCTGAGAGCTCAATAGCTCAAAGCCCGCTGTGACTGCCGCAACTGCGCTCAAGACGACTAGAAAGACGGCAGCAAAGCGAAAGTACAGTGGAAGGAGGATCCAGCGTCGGGAGGATGTCGAGAAGAGTTGCGCAGCGAAAGCGCCGAACAAGACGAGCTGGATGGCGCAAGCGGCAGCTACAACATCTAAGAGGCGTTGAAGTCAATCGCCCTTGCTTTGCAGGCCAATCGGTCAACAAGGAAAGGAGGAACGTACCAAACATCTAGCCCGCCGACTGCTGCAAGCCACCTCTGGAGGAGAAGGCAGTCACGCCGTCCGGCCGCTTGCACGCCTGCACAGGACGTTGAGCCGGGCGTGCGACAGCTTCGACGCTGACAAAGTGGACGCCGTGGACGAAGGACGAGGAGGAGAACCAGAGAGCGCCAGTCCCGCGTTGCGATCTTGCGGCTGCTTAACGTTGCTCGCTGACTAGGCGATTGATTACACTGCTCCTAGAGAGCCACAGCTGGTGTATTGGATGCTTCGAGGTCGACCAGCAGAGCCCGGAAAAGGAAAAGAAGCAGGAGACGCAGTTGCCGCGCGATCAAGAAGGTCAAGAAGGTCAAGGTCGTGCGCGACAACCTTGAAGTCCAGGAAACGATGCCGAAAGCGACGCTGGTTGCAGACCGTGCCGTCATACGTCACTTCGCCTCCTCCGCCGACCCGCCCGGCGACGCGCCTCTTGTGCTCGCCCGCAGCCCGCCAGCACTGCCCGCAGCGCCAGTCGCTCCGCCTGCACCAGCCGTCCGCGCGGTCAGCAGACTCTGGAAGAAGTCTGCGAGGACCTGATTGCCGCCAGCGGCTGCGCCAGCCGTCGAGGACGTCCCGCCAGCTGCTGCCGAGGGAGAACCTGCTGCGGCTTCTTTCGACAAGCTCCTGCCGAGAAGGGCCGACGTCGACGACGCGCTTGACGAACCAAACGTAGCCGACGAGCTGAGTGGAGGCGAGCGGGCCGAGGTCGATGTTCCCGAGTTCTGCGAGAGCAAGCTATCAGCCTACAGATCAAGGAAAGTTGGGACGCATGAGTCTCACCTGTCGGGACATGCTGGTAAAATAGCGCTCGTCAGGTCGTGCGCCATCCCTTCCTGCAGCCGCTGCCGTGTCGCCTCGATCTCGTGCGCGCTCGAGCGTGCTCGCGACCGTCGGCAAGTCAAGACTCGCGCCAGCCATCGGACCGACGACGCTCGGGCCGAGAGTTGACGAGACAGAGCCAGTCGACGTGGGTTGGCGGAAAGCGAGTCGAGGATCCTTAGCGGCTTCCGCCTGCAAGACCTCGTAGTGCTGGCGCAGGAAGGACTGCTCGTCTGCTGGCGCAACAGTCGTCGACGCATTGGTTGGCTGCAAAGGCCAACGTCAGCGTGCGCCGGTATATGGCAAAGGGAAGGTGCGGACTCACTCGGTCCTCCGCCTCGAAGTCGACAACCACCATCTCGTATTCCCGCCGCAAGCCTCGATTACCCTCCTCGCCTGACACGTCCGTCTCAGCACCACTCGCACCTGCTCTCAGTCGCTCCAGATCCGCCTCCCATCCCTCTCCCGCCTGCTCGCAGTCAAACCGTTCCCGCATGATCTTGATCTTCCCCCAGCTGTCCCAGCCCGCTGGCACCAGGACCTGATCTCGGTCGACGACGTTCGCGCGATGAGGGAAGGGAAAGGATGCGCGTGCGGAAGTTGCGATTGGTGCGGGAGCAGCGGGGCGTGACGAGGACGTCGGAGTCGTGGGATTTGCTGATGCGTTCGTGGCGAGAGCCGTCGATGCCGGTGCGGCGAAGAGACGATGAAGGATGTACTGTCGGAGCTTGGCATAGGATGAAGGAAGGGTTTGCGAGGTGTAAAAGACGGCAGCTCCGTCTGCGGACATTGCGGGTTAGCGGTTAGCATGGGGTCGGCAGATCGCGGCGACGCCACATACAGCGTAAGGCGACCGTTCGCAGCAGCTGCTGGATATAGTCGAATTGCTCCTCAGTAAACTCCCTGTCCCGCTCGAGCATGTTCATCTGGTCGGCCTGGGTGACGCATACAAGCGTCAGCAGGCGTGTCGGTGGGCAGCCCAGAAGATTGTGACGCACCTTTGTGCACACGATGACGAGGCCGATCCCGAGGTTGTCCAGCAGCGTGCCGGGCGGAAGAGGGGAGTCGTCGAGATGTGCGGCGGCAGAGGTTGATGGGGCGGCTCCGCTGGAAGTCGGTTCTTGATACGATCGGACGTAGGCCTCCACTATTCGAGAAGCAGGTCAGCTGGCTCGACAAAGCAAGATTCGAGCGAACGCACGTCGTTCCCGCGCCTCGACTTCTTCGTACGCCTCCTTCTCCTTCTCTCCCCGCCTCGCCCTCTTCAGCTGGTCTTCCAGCAGCGCCAACCATGCCTCCAGTTCTCGCACGAAGTTCCACGGCTTCTCCCAGTCGAGGACGAGGACAACGAGCGAGTCGAGGAGGTTCGAGCGGGAGAGGGCAAGCGAGAGAAGGGCGGGGTAAGGCGGTGAGGGCGCAGGGACGTGGAAGAAGCCGAGTCGAGCAACCGTGTCTGCAACGGAAGCAGGCAGCAGAGCCTGTCAGCCTATCCACGAGGATGCAAGGAGAACCAATTCGACTCACCACCCTCGTCCCCCTCTTCTCGCACATCCAGCACTTCGTAGCTCATTCCCAGATCCAGCGGCTTCTCTCCATCGTCTCTGCCCTTGCCAGCCGAAGTGGACGAGGAAGGTGGTGCTTCCCCGGTGGTCATGCGGAGTCGAGAGACGAGGGTCGATTTGCCGCTGTTGCGCGAGCCTGCCAGCAAGAACGAGTACAGTCAGCACTGTATCTTGCTCGTCGAATCGCAGACTGCCGTGATCGCGTCGCCGCACGAATCATTCAGCAGGCCTCGACGAGGAGCGAGCCAACAACGCACCGAGAACGAAGCACTGTTTAGTCTGGACGTTCTTCGTGCCCTTGACAGAGTCGAGGATAGAGCTCCACAGGTCGCCGTTGCCGGGAAGGACGACGCCATTGCTGCTTGTCGCGCCTGGCGGTGGAGGGAGAGCAGACGCGCTCGATGGCCCGGCGCTGGCGGACAGCGGTGCGAGCGAGGGCATGCCAGGCAGGTCTAGCAACTCAACCAATCAAGCAGGCGCAGCGAGAGGCAGAGCGGATTGGCACGAGGAAGAGGTCGTCGAGGAGGTCCGGAAGAGGGGCTCAAGCGTGCAAGGCTTTCTTCTCTCGAGATGGGCAGTGACAATGCTCGGCAGTTCAGGTGCAACTACGCCTGAGCCGGCGGCGCTGTCCCACCGTTCTGCGCCGCTGCGCCATCCGTCGAAGGCGGCATCTTTTGTCGCTCGCTGTTCTCCTTCTCCTGCCGCGCCTGCATGAACGCCTGGCCTCGATTCCGGTAGGGCGAGTACCTGAGGGCGAAAAAGGTCAGCGGGAGCGCAAGCATGAGCGGCAAAAGCGAGCGAACCAAGGGAAAGGCTTGTCCTTCGAGAGAACGACTAGCTGATGTGCGTGCGAGATGTAGCCTTTCAGCAGACCCTACGAGTGAAGAGCAGTGTCAGCAATGATTTGGCAGTCGCGAGCAGCCAATTTCGACGCACCTTGTAGATCATGTTCGCCAGCAAGCACTCCATCTCTTCCGAATCGATCTCCGCGCTCTTCCGTACCCGCTCGATATCCGCCGCGCTCAGTCCCGAGTCTAAAAGCCCAACAGCATACGCCGCATTGTAGTATCTTCGGAAAGTCTCGACCGACAGCCGTGCAGGCTTGCCCTCCAGGACCCATCTGCGAAGAAGCAGCGTCAGCCCGAAATAACAGAACCACGTAGGACGATGAACGTACGCCCGCTTTAGCAGTCCTCGCACCGCATTCTCCCGCGCCCGCTCAACTACGAGGTACGTCCCCCTCTCCATCAGCCGCTTCTCCGCCCGCTCGAGCTGCCGCTCATACGCAGCAACATTGCCCGTCTTGATCGCCTGCGCAAAGGGACCGTAGAGAGTCTTGTGCCGTGCGGACTTGGCGAGCAGTTTGGAGGAGGGGAAGACGCCGCGGAGGAGGAGGAGGGGGATTAGGTAGTCGAGAATGAGCCTGGGGCGATGCGGGTGTCAGTTCATGGATACGTTCGCTACGCTTCAAGAATCGGCTCAATGCGCAGGAGGCATCATCAAGCGGAACTTGAACGGCGGGACGACGCACTCGATATTCCGCTTCATCCGATAGTGGCACATCTCGAGCGCCTCCCTGAACCGGTTCTCCGCATCGGCATAGTCTTCTCGCAGGAAAGCAAAGACCGCCATGTAGTACTTGTAGGTGACTTGGTGGGCGCGGGGGAAGGAAGACAGAGGAGGGAGGTCGGCGGCGCCGATGCCGCGGATGATGTTCTTGCAGAGTGCCGTCGAGTTAAGCTGCGAGGTGAAACGATTAGGATACGGTTACTCGACGAAGCGAGGATGCGATGTACCCGGAAGTAGGTCTTGAAGAGCAAGGTCGCGAGGTAGTACGTGCCCATCTTTCGAGAGGCGGCGATGTCGCTCGCTCTGCTCGAGATTGACCATCAGAAGGTAGCGCAAGAAGTGCGGGCAGGACGTAGGCGCACCGGTCGTTCAGGCAGCAGGAGAAGCATTTCTGCAGCGAACGGCTCGCCTCTTCGAGCTTGACCGCCTTCTGGCTATTCGCGAGTAGCTGCTGGTCCGCCTGACAGCGATAGACGAACGAGGGACGTCAATGAAGCAGTCAGGTAACGCTTGACCTAGATGAAGGGGAACCGACCTGTTCTGCGACTTTCCGCAGGTCGCGACAGACGACGTAGAGAAGAGGGAGCGCCCAGCCGGTCGTCTGGTCCCTCGCGTCCATCAGGTACCGATAGAGTGCGCTGTCAAGGGCACAAGCGGGTCAGGCGATTCCAACAGGGCAGGCGAAAAGAGGGCGGACGAACGTGACGACCTCGTGCTGCTTCTGGTAGGCGACAACCGCGTCCGAGTGATGCATCTGGTGCGTCATGGGGTTCATGACAGGCTGCAGAGCGGTTTGACGGATGAGTTCAGAGACCGTAGCGGTCTTTGGAGAGACGGAAGGAACGCACGTTCAGCGCAACGAGCGCCCAGATGTGCCCAGTCGCCATCTCTGCCCATGGACCATCCTTGCTGATCGTTCGCTTGAACTGGCCAGCGTACGACGGGTTCGGCTGCGAGGTTGTCGAGTGAAGCGGGGGTCAGTTCCTCCGAAACGGCTTGCCACGGCGGCGGAAGGCCACACGCACAGTGTCGAGCGTCCTGTCGATCCATGCAGTCCCTCTGTCCGGCTTGGCGAGAAAGTCGAGTACCATCTGACCATGCTTGCCGGAGAGCGAGAGGAGCGAGGCGAGTGTGCGGCCGTCGCGGAACTTGGCGGCCTGATCGATCTGCCCAGCGTACGACGAGATGTGGAGCGTCGGCATGACAGTCTCTGACGCTTCCCAGCAGCCGCAGCTAGCGAAGACAGCGATGAGGACGGGGTCGAGGAGTGGGAGCGCTCGTCGTCCGCTCTCCTTCGCCCGCTCGTCCTCCTTTTGCTAGGCCGAGAGGCTCTCACGCTTCTCCACAAGCGCCCGCTCCACCCGAGAATGGCCTCGCCTCGCCCCGTCGCCGTCGCCATCGTCATTTGCTTCCCCTCCACTCCACAACACACGACCCCGTCCAGCAACGCCCCTCAAGATGCGCCGCAGCCAGCTTTCCTGCTTGTTTCGAGTCGCAAAAAGAAGCACCTGCATGTCTTCCCGAAGGGTGGAGTCGAGCAGGGCGAAACGTCGGATTTCGCAGCTCAGCGGGAATCCTGGGAAGAGGGTGCGTCTCGCAGGGCTTCCCGAACGGTGGATGGCGTTGCAAACAGTGCTGACAGGGCCTCCCCACTGCTCACAGCCGGCTTGAAACCCAACTCGGCCGTCCATCTCACCCACCTCCTCACCCTTCACGACCCGAGTCCTCACATCCTCTCCCCTTCCACCGACCGCGAGTCGCCGTCCTTCGTCGCCAGCTGCCAGTACTCGTTCGAACTCTTCCTCCTCCCGCCTCCCGAGACCCGCGCGGACCGATCGACTCATGACGCACCTTCGCACGACGAGGCGAATGCGGACGATACCGCCGCTCTCGCCGACTCAGCCTCGCTCTCGACATCCGCAACCTCATCCGTCTCGTCCATCTCCTCCGCTCCCTCGTCGGCATCCTCCAGCGCCCCTTCAGGCCACCCTCTCTCCTCTTCCGCCGAACCCATCGAATCCGCCTCGTCAGCTCTGACAGAACCCTACTCCCTCGCCTACCTCTCGCCAACATGGCCCGAGTCGACCGAACGGACACGGATATTCCTGTCGGGCTGGGACGAGCTCGAGAAGACTGTTTGTTGGGGACGGAGAGAAGACGTGATGCGACAGGCCGTGCGGAGCGCGAAGGAGTGGGTCGACGACTGGTGGAAGCGGACTGGCGGGCGGATAGAGGACGCTGAGATGTCGAACGGCGTGGAGGAAGACGAGGACGAGCGGATATGAGGGAAAGAGGGGAATTTACACGGTGCTTCCTGCGGCGGGGACGGCGGCAAAGACGCGGCGCACACTCCCATCTCGCATGTTGTAACAGTTCACACATATAGCGATACCTCACCACTTCATCCACTCTTATCAATCAACCTGTTGTCGTTCTCGACGCCCTCAGCCCATCTTTCCGACGTCTCCTGCCTTCCGCTCGCCTTCGTTTGCTTCGCTTCCGGCTTGACCGACATCGCAAGGAAGCAGTGACTGTCTGCACGAGCTCACAGCCTGCCAGACGCTGTGGCCGAGGTTGACCTGTCATCAGTTGTCGCAAGCGGAGACCTCTTCCTCTCTCCGCACAGTCAGGATGCACGTCCCAGCAGGTAAGCCCCCGCGGTGTCCTCAAATGTCTTGCAGAGCTCACTCAGGACCCCTACAGACGCGCCGGGCGATCCAGCGCCTCCCGCTCACCCTCCTTCGTCTCCTTCACCGCCTCAAGTCCCTCCCCGTCCATTCTTCGCCGAAGCACTGTCGAAGCGCTCGCCCGACCCTCCACCAGTCCCTCCCAAGCCGGCTATCCTCGGCCAGCCAGCGCCCGTCACGACCAGCGCCTTCTTCCAGCCCTCGACTTCCTCCTCCTCCCCACCGTCATACGCTTCCGCCTCGAAACGCCGCACGAGCTCGCCTACGTCCTCTTTCAGACCTGCTGGAAGCACAATGCAGCGTCAGCGTTCGTCGCAGGGGCAGGCGAACAGGCCGCCGCCGCCTTCCGCACCAAGCAGCGACGAGATCGAGGAGAGCGAGGACGAACTGCTTCTCGTTGGGAATGAGCGCGCGGCGATCCCTCTCGGTGGAACGCAGACAGGGCGGGCGAAGAAGGTCAGCAGGACGTACGGGTCTAGCTCGAAGCCGTCGGGCTCTGCGGCGCGACTGGCGACGGGGTCGAGTACTGGTTGGGCTGACGACGAGTGGGCGGGCACTCCCGCCCAACCTGCGACGTCTATGCATGCGACTAGCTCGTCGCGGTCTACGGCCCACTATGGAGGCGGAGCGGACCCATCCTGGCAGGAAGGCGCGCGCTTCGAGGACGCTGTCAACGCAAAGTACGACGCCCAGCACTTTGAGCATGCCCCAGGTCCTTCGACGCCTACAGCTCCCATCAAGGCGATCACCTGGCGCGAGTCGGCGCCGCCGCCGCCTGCCTCTGACGCCGCCAACCCCCTCGACGGCTGGTGGACGACGCCGAGGGTGCTTGCGAAGCCGGGCGAGAAAGGCGGGAAGGAGGGGATCTGGTCGCAGACGGTTTGGGACTTTACGATCGACGACACGCCAACCGCTTCTGGGGATTACAAGGCGATGGGAGAATGGGTCGACTTGTCTGGTTCGGCGGCGAGGAGCGAGGCAGACTCGCAGGGGATGGAGGTTGAGCAGACGGAGCAGCAGAAGCCGCTACCTCCTGTCGAGGCGAAAGACTCATCCGCCGCCGCCTCGACTTCCTCCCCTCCGCCCATCCCGCCGAAAGCGCGGCGAGGCTTTCGCACCATCACCCGCGAAGAACTCGACGCGGTTCGACCCCATCCCTCCCTCTTTTTCTGCCGTTCGACTTTCTCCTGGGCTCTTCTCGCTCAGGTCCAGCCCGCCCAGAAGCCAAGCGACTCTCCGGAACTCTGGCAGCAGAGCAACCGATCCGTCGACCCGCAAGAGGCCCTCACAACCCGCCTGTCGCCTCCGCCCTTCCCGCTCGAACCGCCTATCCCTCTTGCCGACGCGTCCTCCCTCGTTTCATCCGCGGACGACGTCCATCGCGAACCTCGCACCCTTTCGAATCTCTCCTCGCCCATTTTCGAGCTCACCTCGACGCAGCAGCGCGTCTGCCTGCGTTCAGGGTCAACGGACTTCTTCCCCGGCGTCGTGCGGCCAGAGCTTTGGCAGCGCTTGCTTGAGGCTCGGGAAGCAAATCCAGCCGCCGGCGATACTGCCCTCCAGTCCAAGTTCAAGACCGTGCAGACGCTTTGGAGGTACGCTCAGCTTCCCTCGTCCAAATTCCCGTTGCTGGAGCTGACCCTGTGTACCGCTTCCAGGATCGTTGACGACTGCTTGTTCAAGGGCGAGACGCGCGGCCTACCTGTCAAAGGCAAGACTATGGGCAAGCATCTCCCGATAGGCGACGAGATCATGTGCGTCGTTACTCGTATTGCAGAACCTTCCGAGTGCTGACCGCGCCGTTGTTCACCAGTCACGACATTATGATCGCCACGCTGGGCTGCAAGGTCTACACGGCCAAGGTCCAGGAGAAGGACAAGCTTGTCGAGAAGACGTTTATCCAGCTGCCGTCTATCGACGAGTCGACCGACGAAGGCCGGCAGCATCGCAAACGCCTGCTGCGCTTGTGGCTCGAGACGGGCATCTGGCTCGAAGATCACTACAAGCGATATCGTGCGTGCCAGTGCCTTTCACGGAGGAGGAGTCGTACGCTGACCGCATCCACGCCACCTGCAGCCGACCATTTGGAGCGTAAGCCGACGAGGATCAGGCTCAAAGAGAACACGAAGGAGGTTCTGGCTGGCATACTTGGCGGTGACAAGCGTACGTGCCGCTCTCTGGCCTCGCACGCATAAAAGGCTGACCTTGGCTTCCTCCGACAGTTGCTCGCATCCCGTCGCAGGAATCATGGCTCACAGCCGGTCCATCAAACCGCCTCGACTCTTCCGGTCTCGACCCTCTCGCCAACGACTACAGTCTCCTTGGCGTCGTCCCCGACCTCGCAGACTCGGTCGTCGAGCGAGTCTACGACATGCAGTGCGAGCTGAACTCTCTCTATGTGCCGTTCTACCTGAACGCACTGTCACGGATCGCACAAGGTCGCGACTCAGAGGCGTTGAACATGAAGGTCGCGCTCGAACGTTCGCAGGACAAGCTCACGTCGGACGAGATCAATGCCGCCTACCAGGAGCTCCGCCTCCCGTCTCCCTTCGACATGTACAGCACGATCACCGACGATGACCTCGTCTCGGCCTTCCAGACTCGCGTTACGCAGGTGACGCATCCAGGCAGACGCAAGGCCCTGCTCGAGGCCGCCCGCATCGTAGCTGTCTTCACGCAGTCCGAGCTGTTCAAGACCATTCTGGCGACAACAGACTTGGGCGACGTTGAGGGAGCGGCCAAGCCGAAGATGGACATTGACGCGGCGTACCGGACCTTGGGCGTCGACGCGGACACTGACGACGGCTTGATCAGCATGACTTACGACATCCGCGTGCGTGCCGCAGCGCTGCTCGATATCCTGGATTGTGCTCACACTCGTCTCTCATGCAGCTTCACGACGCCTCGTCGGATACGGAGAAGAAGAAGATGGCCGAGGCGCTCCAGGTCATCGCCGCGACGAGGAACAGCCCGAGCTTGCTCGCCCTCGCCAACGGCCAGAAAGGTGCGTCAGCTTCCGAGCGGCCCAACGGTGTCATCGCTGACCCAACTACTCACAGACGAAGGCGCAGGATGGCAGGCCGCTCCAGCCATCGACCCCGACCGGCCCGTCGGTTTGACCAACATCGCCAATACCTGCTACCTCAACTCCCTCCTCCAGTACTTTTTCACCGTCCGCGAGCTGCGCGAGACGATTCTCGCCTTCGACGACTCGCCGACACCGGTCGACGGACGACAGATTCGTGTTGGCGGAAGGCTTGTCACGCCCGCTGAGGTCAAGCGTTCGAAGCGATGTGCGTTTCGCTTGATCGTGTCTTCCTCTTCAGCTCAAGGAGCTAACGAGGTCGTCCGCGCAGTCGTCAAGCTCCTTCAGAACCTGTACCAGCAGCTCATCCACGCGCCTGTCTCTGCCGTCACGCCCGAGACCGAGCTCGCCTATCTCGCTTTGGTCCCTTCGAAAGAAGAAGCCGATGCGTCGACTTCTACGACCGACGCACCAGTCGCCGACAAAGCAGAGTTGACGGACGAGCCGGTTGCGATGGCGACCGAGGATGAGGTCAAGGTTGCGGCGGACGAGAGCAGCGGGCGCTCGCCCTCGTCGGTTCTCGGCAAGCGGAAAAACGGCGACGACTCGATGGCGGAAGACACGCAGATGCACCCTCTCTCGCCTACCCTCGCCGCTACCTCTTGCCGCACGTCGATCTTGACTATCAGCGACGAGGCTGGTGACGCACAGATGGCCGAGTCGTCGCAGCAGCAGACGCCGACGCCGACGGGCGACGATGGAGATGGCCACCGCGTCAAGCGTGGCAAGTCGGTTGACCGGACGGTAACGGGCGAGGTCGAGCCGATGAAGGTGGATGCGCCGCCGTCTTTGCCGCCTCGGCCAGCACCGCCTGCGCCGCCGACAGAGGGCAAGACAGGCAAGGAGAAGGAGAAGGAGCTCGAGAGACAGTTCTCGACCTACATGGCTTTTGGTGCGCCAACCTCATTCTGCCGCTTTCGCTGCTTGACTGACACGCTGTGTGCGCAAACGCAGGCCGTCAAAACGACGTCACCGAGTGCATGGACAACGTCATGTTCCAAGTGGAGGCCGCCCTTCTCGCCAACGCAGCGAACGGCCAGGTGCAGGACGCCGCTAACCTGCTCAGGCGGTGCGCCGCGCTCTTTGTCTCGAATCACCCACACAGACTGACACGAGAGCACCCGCAGCACCTTCTACGGCACGATGCGCCAACAACTCGTTTTTGACGACCCCTCTTCCGTCTCCGACCCTGTCCGGACGCAAGACGAGCCCTTCTCCTGCCTTCTCCTCGACGTCCCTCCCACCTCATCCTCCTCCGCCGCCCTCACACGCGACATCTACGACGGCCTCGACGCCGTCTTCGCCCCCTCCCCAATCGAGCTCGAATCCCACCCTGCCCAGAGGCGCGTCGCACTCGTCTCCCCCCCTCCGCCGGTACTCCAGATCCAGCTTCAAAGGGTACAGTACGACCGTGTCAAGCAGACTGCGTTCAAGAGCAATGCGCATCTGCGGTTCTTTGAGGAGATCGAGGTCGGACGGTACTGTGAAGTTGAGGAGGGAGATGGGGAGGGAGAGGAGAGGAGGAGGAGGACGGAGGAGATGAGGAGTGAGTTGGAGAGGGTTAGGGAGAGGTTGGGCGAGCTGACGGCTGACAAGGTGCGTCGGGACTGCCTTCGTTCGCTTCTCTTCTCCGAAGGAGTTGGCTGACTGCGGGGACACCTCCAACTCACAGGGCGCCAACACCCCCTCAATCCTACGCTCGACCCTCTCACACGCACAGCACCTCTCCACCCTCCCTTCCCTCACCCTTCCCACCTCACTCACATCCCTCCTCACCCCGTCCCTCACATCCGACTTGACCTCCGAAGCGACCGACCTCGAATCCGAAATTTTTGCGCTCGAGAAGCGCGTCGAAGAGTTGAGAGCGGGTATTGAGGGCGTTTGGAGGGAGAAGGAGAGGGAGGAGACGAGGTATCAGTTGACGGCGGTGTTCATTCACCGGGGTGCGTCAGCTGCTATCCTCTCGGTTGCACGTCTCTGAGGAGGATGAATGAACTGATAGATGTGTTCCTCCGGCAACGCAGGAACGGCGACGAGCGGTCATTACTTCATCTACCAGCGCGACCACCGCAACCCGCAGCGCTGGCTCAAGTGTGCGCCCCTTCGTCCTCTTCGCATCCACCGAGATTAGTGGCTGATGGGCATATGCCGGATGCAGACAACGATGCCGTCGTGTCCGAGGTCGACAAGGAGGAGGTGTTCCGTGAGACGAGTACGTTTCGGCGCTTCCGCGCCATGCTCACTACTCAGCCGACACGCTGACGCTCTCGTCGATGCAGCCGGCGACACGAACCCCTACTTCTTCTCCTACGTCCGCAAGGACAGGCTGTGAGGCGTCTTCTCGTTCGTCTCTCTCCGCCTCGGTCGCTCACCCGGCTCCTCCCCGTGCAGCGACGCCATCGAGTCGATCATGCGCCTCCCTGCGTGACCCAGATCCCGAGCTCGTTCTTCTCTTCCCTCGCCTCGAAGATAGACCCGTCGACTTTGCAACGGCCACCTTTGTCCGCCCCTCGTCGCGCGTCTCGGTTCCAGGATACCTGTGCTTGCGTGTGTAGCCTGATACCCTGTCCCAATGCATCCATCAGCACGTTACGAGCGCGTTTTTGGGTGTATGCGGACTGTTTGCGCTCGATCGTTGCGAAGGGGCCCTCGTTCTGCTCGCGCGGCCTCGTCTCGTGTTGTCCCCCGTCTCTCGCTCTCGAGTCTGCTTGGGTTAGACTGCACCTGCTGCAGCACAAGCACACGCAGCACACTCCTGCTCCCGCCCTCCGCCGCGCCGTCGCAGCACCAGTTCGAACGGACCTCGTCTCGTCGCCTGCTCAGCTCGAACGCATCGCATCGCCGTCACCTCGCCGCGTGAGGCACTCGCACGCACACCAGTCGACCCGCAGACCCTCACACGCGTCGATCCATCCACCCACACCCGCGCGCGCGACCGTTGATCCGCCCTCAGCCAGCGTCCACACGGCCGCAGCACGCTCCCTCGACCCTCGCCTCCCTCGCCCCCTCGCCCTCTCGCCTCCGCGGACCACTCGAGCAAGCCCAGCTATGCTCGCCAGCACCAGCACGAGCTCCCAACGGAGTCGGACACGCACGCGCAGGACCGTCGCGCGCGCAGCTCTCGGACTCGCCGCCCTCGCGACCGTGACGAGCGCCGCTCAGTTCGAGCCGCCCAACGACCAGGTCTTGCTCGGGTTCTGGTTCGACTCGGCACAGCGTGAGTTGCACTCGATATCAGGCTACACTGGGTTTGCAGTGCGGTGCGACGGGCGACGAGGGACGCGAGGAGCCCGACACTCCGGAGAGCCAAGTGACGGACACCGAGATGGGCGGCGACACGCGCGCATGGCTTGGGGGCTCGTTGGGGCCATGGGACAGGATACGGTGGACGGTGGACGGAACTTGGATCCGCCGCGCTGGCGGTGTCGAGGCGCGATGGATTCGCACCGCCTCCCGCTCGACCCACTCTCGGCGATTCTCTCTCGCCTCGTACGCGTCTCGAGCAGCCTCAGTCGCCTATCAGAGCATCTCAAACTGACACGAGATTGCCCCGTGACCCGCAGCGTACAGCGATACGCCGACCGCGATCAACAACAACCTCGGATTCAATGTCCCCGTCTTCCAGATGGCGCAGGCGATCCCCCTGCCTCCGTTCGACTGGGTCACCGGTGCAGGTGGTCCTGCACCAGAAAACGTGCGTCGCGTCCCTCACGATTGAAAGAGTCGACGCGTCGAAGAGCTGACAACCCACCCCGCACATTTCGAATGTTCGACGACGCCGTGCAGCAAATCGAAAAGTCGGCGACGGACGCGGCGGTCTTCTTGACGGTGTACCCGGTGGATGGGTTCCAGACCGTGACGGACGACGACTTTATCGCGCTGGGCAAGCAGATCCTCGACTGTTCGTCCTCGCTCAACCGACTTTCCTCGCAACGCGGAGCTGACCTCGCTCGCGCCCGCAGACCAAATCAACTTGAACCGAACCGTCTTCCTGCGTTACGCGCCGGAGATGCAGGGAACGTGGATGAAGTACGGCATGCAGCCTCAGGCGTTCAACCAGTCGTGGCACAACATGTACACGCTCGTCAAGTCGGTCGCGCCCGAGACCATCATGGTTTGGGCGCCCAACACGCCCCAGGGGTACCCGTACGGCCAGCAGGGCACACAGTACAACGCTTTGAGCGCGGTCGACAAGGCCCTCCTCGATACCAACAACAACGGACAGCTCGATGCGGGAGACGACGCCTTGGCGCCTTACTACCCTGGTGACGACGTCGTCGACTGGATTGGATTGTCCATCTGTGCGTCCTGACCGCTTCCCTCGCTCTACCACCTCAGGCGGGACTAACGGGGCATCGCGAGCGCAGACTACAAGGGTATCCCGTCCGACACGCAGAACACGATCCAGCCGAACGGGTACTGCGCCAACGTCATCTCGGGCACCAACCCCGAGAGCGGAGATGCCATCACGCCCTGGTACGGACCTTACTGCGAGCAGAAGCCCGACAAGGCTTGCATGGTGCGTTCGAGCCTTCTTCCCCTGTCGCGTAGGTGCTGATGCTAATGAGCTCGGTGGCGTGCATAGTTCGCTGAGGCTGGTGCGGCGTACCACGTCAACGATGCCGGTGCCGCGACCCAAGCCGCCCTCCAGCAGGCATGGTGCGTCTGCTCGCCTTCTTCTCAGCTGAACGCGCACGCTGACGATCGGACTCTCGCACAGGCTCAAGGACTGCGTCACCAACTCGTCGATGCTCGACGCCTTCCCGCGCATCAAGCTCTACATGCAGTTCGAATACGAGAAGACCGAGACGGCCAACAACGGCCAAGACGACCTCCGCGACTACCGACTGCTCAACGTCACCGACGTGCGACAAGAGCTCGCCGCCGACTTGCAGTCGCTCGGCACGCGCTTCAGCTGGGCCCAGTCGCGCGCCCCGCCCACTTCCATCTCGTCGCCCGGCGCACCGGCGGCGACCAACTCGGCTGGAACGTCGATCATCCAGGCTATTACGGCGACTACGCGCCCGCGGCCTACGACGTTCCCGAGCTTGTTTGGCTCGACGAGCGATGGGACTCAGCGGGCCGAGTGGGCCGAGTTGGGCATCATGGTCGCTGCGGGAGTTGTCGGCGCTTGGACGGTCATGAGGACGCTCTAGACGGACGGATCGGACGGACACTCGGTTTCCTTCTTTCTCTTTTCTCTCACTCGGCGGACGGGAGGCGCGTTCGACCGACTCCTAGACTTTTTGGCGCGAAGGCGGTTTCACCTCTCCCCCCTTCTCTCGTTCTTCTGCTATACTTGCCTTCCCTCTCACCTACTCTTTTTTTCTCTCACGACGCAACCACCCCCTCTTTTCCACGCCCTCTCATGCGCTCGCACAAGGACACTACACCCATTCCCCCTCCCCCTTCTCTCACACCGTACCCTTACACGCACTACGGTACTCTTCCCCTCATCTCCTATACTCACAGTCGTTCCTTCTCCACACATTCGTTCCATCGCATGGACTTTGCCCCCCCCCCTCCTCTCTCCTCGCCTCTTACTCGCCGCTTGTCCAGTTCCTTCCCTCTCACTCGCTCGCTCTTGCTCATACAGTAATGATACCCCTCGCTTCCATCGCAACCGTGTCGTGACCTGGATTTGAGAGGAAAGAGAAAGACGAGCGATGAGTCGCTTCAGGACTTGGGTTCGGATCAGGCTCTTCGTCTCGAGAGGATTGACTCATGCAGACAATATACAGTTTCCAACGAACGTTCTACGCCAGTAGGTTCGCCTAGAACCCCCTGCCCGCAATAAGCTTCTCCAACGCATCCTTCGTCATCTCCTTGTGCTCCTTCACCAGTCCCGCCATCGCTTTGAATCCAGGATGGGCAGCGTCTTCTGCTCGTCTCATACGTGTCAGTACCTCGCTCACTGAAGAGGGGAAACGGAGGCGGAGGGGGGGACGAACGCATGATTTGGAAGAGGATCGATTCGGAGGTCGTGATTTGCGCGCCGGCGTCTCGCATGCGCTTCGATCCTCGCCTTGTGTCAGCTGGTGGGAAGCTAGGGAGGGAAGGGAGGAGCGCACCTTGATGGCGATACCGACTTCGTCGCCGTTGCAGGACGAGATCCCGTCGGCTAGGACGTGCACGTCGATGTCGCGCTCGAGCAGGTCGAGGGCTGTTTGCAGGACGCAGACGTGGCTCTGAAGACATCGTCACCCCTAAGGATCAGTTGGGCTGTCGAGGAATTTCGACAGAGCAAGCCGACGAGAGCAAGCGCGCCTCACCTCGATGCCCATTAAGACGACGCTCTTTGTCTCCCACTCCTTCAACTGCTGCTCCACCTGCGGCACGATCATGCTGAACTTGGTCTTGGCGAGCGGGACCCAGCTTGGTCGGAGGTGGCTCGGCAAGTCGAGTAACGGCAACGGGACGGTCGCTCCGAGTGCTACGAGCGCGGTTTTCGGCGCGTGTGGGTTCGGTCGAGGAGGCGCGGCTGGCGAACGTGTCAGTAAGGTTGGCGGTTGGACACAAAAGTCAAAGGGAAATCAGGCTGGAGAAGTGAGGGCTGTAGGAAGGGGCAGACGCACCTTTTGGGTTTTGCTCGGTCGCGATCACGGGCACGTCCATGAGCTTGGCGGCTTTGAGCATCTTTTCGGCTGTGGCGATGACGGCGGGATAGGCATGGATGACCAGGCGGAACCGCTCTTGCTGAGGAGCGAGGGAGGGGCACGAGAGGGTCAGCTGGCTTCGTCCGACGAGCGAGGCCCTTCGAGGGGAACTCACGATGTCACAGACGAAGAAGGCGGTCTGTGTGAGCGAGAAGACGACGAGGCCAAGCGGAGGAAGGTCAGCGATCGGAAGCGAGTGAGCGGGGACGAGTCGTGCGTCGTGGGCAGCGGTGGCAGGCTGACCTTGTTGGGTACGATCTTGCGTACAGGCGACATTATTCACGAGCCAGCAAAAGAGCAAAGGGAGAGAGAGCGTGCGAGGACGAGCGAGTGCGAGCAAGCGTCGGAAGTGACGGAGCGCGGGGCAAGCGAGTTTCGTACCGACTTCATCAGTGAACACGTAGCACCGCGCGAAACAACCCCAAGTTTCGCACCCGAAAGAAGCGATCAACTCGACGTGGGACTTGTCTGCGCGCTCACTGCTCTCGACAGCGACTGCTTGCCTGTCCTGGCTGCTCAACGACTCGTTCAGGCGTCTGCCACTCTCGCACAAACTACCGTGAGTCACCCTTGCTCGTCTGCGGACCGGCTGGCCTTGTCCCAGCTCGCTCTCTTCTCTCGAGGCATTGCCCGCCTTGATGCCGCTCGTGCGGGTTGAGGAGGGTCGGAAGCGCTTGCAGAGCTTGAGTGTTAGGCTTGTGAGGCGCGCACAGTCACACCGGGCTGACACGCTCGTCCCCGCAGACCCTCGTCGCATCCCGACCCTCCCTCGGCACCTTCACTGCTCGTCGCTGCCTCCTCCGCGCTCCTCCTCTCGTTGCTACCTTCACCATGTCCGCTCCTGCTCTCAAGCCTCCTGCGGACCCGACCGCCATCTCCTGCGTCACCGTCCTCGGCGAACACATCGCCAAGCCGTTCCGCACCGCAATCCATGAAGCCACCTCGAAGCTCGCGCAAAAGCCCAAACTCGTCGGCATCCTCGCCAACTCGGGCGCACCTTCCCGCGCCTACGCCAACTGGACCGCCAAGGCGTGCGAGGCCGTCGGGATCGAGTACGAGTTGCGTGAGGTGGGTATCGTCGCGGAGGGCGCGACGGAGGGTACGGCTGAGCAGGGAGAGGTTGAAGAGGCGATCCTGGCCGCCAACGAGGACGACAGCGTGAACGGAATCATGGTCTACTACCCGATCTTCGGGCCTCGGCAGGACGGGTACCTCCAGCAGGCCGTCAGCCCGCTCAAGGACGTCGAGGGCCTCAACTTCACCTGGTGCGCACGCTCTCAACCTGATCTGGCATGCATCTCGCTCACACTTGCTCGCGTCGCAGGCTCTTCTCGCTGTACCACAACATCCGATTCATCGACCCTCGCAAGCTCGCCCTCGCCGCCCAAGTCCTTACTCCCTCCCCTCTCCCCGCCTCCGCCTCCTCCACCGTCCCTACCACCTCCACCAGCACTCCCAGCCAATCCTCCACGACCGACGACGGTCTCGTCAAAGCCATCCTCCCCTGCACGCCTCTCGCAATCGTCAAGACCCTCGAGCACTGCCAAGTCTACAACCCGCTCCGACCTTACGGTTCGCGCGCCTTCGGACGCACAATCACCGTCGTGAACCGCTCGGAAGTCGTTGGACGCCCGCTCGCGGCGCTGCTTTCGAACGACGGAGCGCGGGTCTTTTCGGTTGACCTTGACGGGATTCAGGAGTTCACGCGGAGGAAGCTTGTGGAGGGCGAGGAGGGTGCGAAGGCGAGCTTCCACCCGTACCATGTGGTCAAGAAGTGCGAGTTGAGCTTCGAGGAGTGCTTGCGGGCGAGCGACGTCGTCATCGGTGGCGTGCGTTCCTCTTTCCCCTGCTCTCTTTCTTACTTGCACTCAGGAGTATCTCCCTCCGCAGGTCCCCTCCAAATCCTACAAGATCCCCACCTCTGCGCTCAAAGAAGGAGTCGTCGCCATCAACTTTTCCGAATCCAAGAACTTTGAGGACGACATCAAGGAGAAGGCGTCGATTTACTGTCCCGGCATCGGCAAGGCGACGATCGTGTTGCTGCAGCGCAACTTGTTGAGGTTGAGGGAGTATCAGGCGAGTTTGAGGGGCGAGATCAAGGGCGAGCAGTAGAGCGTGGGACTGGGTCTCGAGTGGGCCGTATAGACGTTTCTTGGGCAATCACAGATGTTTCAGCAGTGCCTCTATCGCGCCGAGCGGCTCATTGTCTACACCACAAACTCCCTCGCCCACCAATCCACCACCTCCTTCCCCTGCTGATGCTGTCCGAAATTCCTATCCCTACACACGATCGCGCCGTGCGAGAAGTACGCGTCGAGGAGGACGAGGTGTTTGCGCAGGTGTGGGAGGGCGTTGAGCGAGGAGAGTTGGGAGAGCTGAGAGGGGGAGAAGGTGGGGTCTGTACCGAGCTGGAGGGCGGCGGAGAGATCGGAGTCGGAAGGGGCGGAGGAGGGGGAGGCGCAGGCTTGGGAGGAGGCTGGGGGCGAAGAGTCGAGAAGGGCAGTTGAGGAGGTTGCGGAGCTCGTGGACGACGCTGCTGACGTCGAGCTCGTCGTCTTCTCGTCGTCATCGTGCCTCACACCGACCGACTCGACCCCTCCGTCCGCGCTACCCTCCAGCCTCGCAGCATACTCCGGATTGTCCCCTCCCGCTCCCTCCGCAACCTCCCCAACCGCAATCCCAACCCTCTCCAACCACCCCTCACGTCCTCCTTCAACCTTCTTCCTCGCACTCCGTATCCGTCGACTCGACTGGGCGGTATGGACCAGAGAGCGCGAGGCGAGGAAGGCGATTGAGAGAGGCCAGATGAGGGGGAGGAGGGAGATTACGAAGAGGGCTTTAGGGCGCGAGACGGGATAGGTTGAGGGGCGGAAGGGGGTGGGGAGGCGGAGACGAAGGCGGAAGCGGCGGCGGGAGGGAGAGGGGGAGGCGGTTGAGGGTGCTGAGGTTGTGCGGGTGTAAGAGGCGACAATAGGCGCATCATCGTGTAATGTTCTGCATTGTCCGACCGTCAGCGTGAGTCTGAGGTATGGCGAGCAAGGGGAGGAATGGAAGCGTACATCTCGAGACCCCCGCTCTGCCAGTCTATCCTGTCGTGCGCCCTTTCGCCGCGCTCTTCTGCCGCTTCCTGTGCTCTAGCTCGTGCGAGGGCAAACTGTCGTCCAGCGTCAGCGTCGGCTGTCACGCCTTCAGCGCGAGCAGTATGCAGGGAACGCACCGGGTCGTGTGATTCGAGGGCCCCCGTCGGGAAAGGGACAGTCCTGTCGTTGACGCTGCGTCATAGAGATGACGAGGTCAGTACCGCAACGTTGCTGAAGAGTGAGCGAGCGAGAGAGGAGGCGACGCACATGTTCGCGAAGACGTCGATCCGCTCGAACTTCTGCAGAGCCTTGTAAAAGCTGTACCGCGGGTCCGCCATCACTTTAAGCAATGGTGCCGCCTCGACCTTCCCCTTCTCCCCTCTCACGCCCTTCTTATCCGCCCCGTCCGTAAATCGCAAAGGCAGAAATCGATCCCTCTCATAAAGCTGCCGTCCCGTCCTGCTCAACAACCTTCCGCCGAGGTACCTGAACGTACGGGACCAGAACGAGCTGTAGGCGGGAATGCCGATCCAGGGCGAGGCGAAGGTGGTGAAGTTTTTGGGTTGGGCGTGGGTAAAGAAGGAGGGGGTGCGGGAGTCGAGGAGGCCGAGGACGTAGCGTGCTACGAGACCACCGAGGGAGTAGCTGCGCGTTATCGTAAACGAGTCAGCGGCGCTCTCGGCTGTGTGAGGAAGAAGACGCACCCGACGATAGAGAATCTCTCCACCTTTGCTCCCTCTTTCTCCAGCCTTCGTACCTCCTCATCAATCTCCTCCACAACCCTCTCAGCACACACATCAATCCCGTCATATAAATGGCCCGCCGAGATCCCGTTCGCCTTCGAGATGAGCACCTCGAGGCCGATCGATTCCTCCTCGCCGGCTTCGGGCTGGGCGGTAGAGCGTGCGTGGGATGTGAGCGATTCGGAGAGGTAGGAGACGTGCGAGGGCGAGCCCCATAGGCCGTGGAGGATGACGCAGAGGTGAACCGATGTCGGGGCCATGCGAGCGGGCGGTAGCAAGGAGGGAGGCGTCGTGGGAGATGCGAGAGCTCTGACGGTAGCTAGCGAGGGGCACGGAGCGAGAAGAAGAGCAGCAGACGGTGCGAAGGCATGGTCGGTGAGCGATGCACGAGGACGAGCCGAAGTCCGGGTGATGAACGAGCGTGAGGATCGGGCGCGCAACGGTGAGGGCTGAGGCAGGCAGAGTCCGAGACCGAGCAGTAAAGTGCAAATACGGCGTGAAAGGCGAAAGAGAGGAGCGAGAGGAGGAGGAGAAGGCGCTCGCCCGCGAAAGGTCAACGAGAAGTCAACTCGCAGCGCAACGCTTTGCTCTCTGTCTTTGCGCGCTCTCCATCACGAAGCCCATAGCGAGAACACTGCGTTGCGATAGAAACCAGACGAGAACCCCCTCCTGCTACAAAGACCTCCCTCTCCTCCTCGAGATAACCTTAGCGACTCGCGCGGCGTAGTCGGATCTACTTCTTGGGCTTGTCGGGGACGGGCTTCCACGGTGCGTTGATGTCGTACTCGGCGTTAGTGTCAACACCGACCTGCGCGAACGAGGCAAAGGCGAGAGTCAGCTCGAGGTGTGCCAAGGAGGAAGAGGAGAGAAAGCGCAACGCACGGTGATGTAGCCGATCAATCCCTGCTGGATGACCGACCCAACCTTGAGGACCTCAAACTCGGGGTTGTAGCCGTTCCCGTGCGCGTCGTGGTAAATGTCCAACGAGTCGACCCAGTTCCTCGTGCGACCCCACTTGTCCGCAATAGGGTTCGTGTTGTAAGGCCAGATCTTGTCGATTTGCATGTTGAGCGAGTCGGGGACGAAGAATTGGCCCGTGTGGATCATGCGAGACGAGGTGAAGGTGCCGTTCGGGAGGGGCTCCCAGGCGGTGTGGATGCGGACGTGGATGTGCGTCGCGCGGCCGGTGTAGTAGCCGGGGAAGATGGCTGTCGAACACGCATTTCCGTCAGCTACCTCTTACCCTGGTAGGAGAAGCGAGAAACGCGACGCACAGGAGAACTGCGCCAACCCATTCTTGTTCGTCGGCCACGCCGCCCTCAAGAACGTCTCGTGGTCGTTCGTGCGCGGGTACTTGCTCAACAAGCCCTTGCGAGGCCCGCTCGTCGCCGGTCCCTCCCACTTCAATTCGGGGTCTTGCTCGGGGTGGCCAGCGTAGTGGCCAGTCGTGTTGGCGTGCCACAAGTCGACGAGGGCGTTCTCGAGCGGCTCGCAGGTGTTGACGTCGATGACGCCGACGTCCATGTACTGCGGCGAGGGAGAGGTCAGCCAAGAAGCGCGAGTCGGAAGGATGGAAGCGAAAACGCACGAAGGGAAGACCGAGCTGGTCCTCGGCCATGTTCTGGCGAATAGGGTGTCCCTCAGTGTGGTAGTACGGGCCCTCCGTCACCTCGGGCGCAACTGATCCACTCAGAAGGCAATCAGTTCCTGCTCCTCGTCGATGCGAAAGTCTCGAAACTCACGAATGCACGAGTGGTTCCGGATGCGCGGCTCCTCCGTCAAGGGCGCGAGGAGGGTGCGGGCGATGAGGGTGTCCTCGACGTCGTGCTCGGAGGCTTGGTCGAGGAAGAGGTCTTCGGCGTTGGTCGAGGCAGGGCCGCCGCTCAGGACCTGCTGAGCCTGCAAGCATGGGCGAAGCAGGGGTCAGTGGTTGTTCTGAGGACGCTATGAAGCTTTTAGCTCGACGAGGCGCTGTAGACGGGAGCCGAAGGAAACCGCGGCTGCATCCTCGGTTCAGCTAGAAAAGCGACAAAGCAAGTTGCGCGCCTCCTGCCGCCGCGGCTTGCTCGTGAACGTGCTCCAGTGGAATGGACGAGGTCGTCCTGCGAAAAGCTTCCGAACGAACGCCGCAAAACCCATCCGCGGATCGCTTGGCCGGACAATCCCCCTCGCTCTTCTGCCTCACCGCTCAAGGCGCACCTAAGCAGTCCATAGCACCTTAAAGAGCTTGGACGCACGTTGCGCTTGCGGATAGCTTGGTACTTTGCGATCTTGGGCGCGCAGGCGTACATCTTCTCCTCGAGGGACTGGATGTACTTGATCTCTCTGGGGTCGGTTGGCCGCTCCTTGTGGGCTGTGGCGTGTGCATGACAAGTCAGTCGAGTGTCCTGAGTGGTCGAGAGGGCACTGGGTGGCGAGACCGAGGCGAGAGAGGCATGCCGGTGGGTAGAACGGTGGACGAGGGAGAGACGCACCGAGGGCGGTTGAAGCGAGCGCTGCTGCTGCGAGGGTGAGTGCGTGTGTCCGCATGGTTGTCGCAGTCGAGTGTAGAGAAGGAGGAAGAGAGAGAAGAGCAAGAGTTGGACGAGGGCGAGAGCGATGAGAGCAAGCCGCGGCATCGGCCCAAAGTTCGTCCATCCCTCGGCAGCGCACTCAACACACCGCAGTCACAGAAGACGCACGGTGGACAGAGAAGACTCGAGTAGGACTGCCAGTAGCAACCCGTGCCGCGCAACGAACGAAGGAAGCGAGCGCGGCGACGACCTCATCGCGGAGAACGGCGTCGAGGAGACTTGCACCTCTACTACGCGCTCGTATTCGGCTTGGGGCTCCCGAGGCTGTCTAATGGACTGCTAGAATTCGGCCTGAACGACCAGCGAAGGGTACAACTCCTCCCACCCTTTTCTTTACCCTCCTCCCCACTTCCTCAGTCCAACGCTCGTCACCTACGCGCACCGCTCAGGACGGCTCGAGGATGGCCGCAACTTGCGTGAGTACACCCTAGTAACCACTACAGCCGGCCGCAAGTTGAACCGATGCTCCCACAGCCCGTCCCGCCTGCTTCCTCCCTCCTCGCCGATTCCTTCACGCCGCGGCTCCACTACATCCTCACCGGCACCTTCAACACCCTGTTCCTCTACCTCCTCGCCTTCTTCCCGTACTCTCCCAACGGCCCAACCCTCACCGTCCACCGCCGCGTACGCGGAGAAGGCCCACACCAGTTTGTCGCGCTGAATGAGGAGCGGGACAGGGCGTATGTCACAACTTGGGCGCAGCCGCCGAGCTTGAGTAGCTGGGAAGTACTGGAGGGTGGGAGGGGAGGCGTGAGGAAGATCAATACCGTGCCAATCTGTGCGTTGGCCCTCGCTTTCCAGCAGCCGCGGTCCCTCGAGTCCTTACCTCCCCTTCCTTCGCTCGCCAACAGCCGCGACAGGTTCCTACCTTACCGTCTCCCCCTCGTCCCTCCCCTTCCCTACCCGGGTCTACCAAGCCGGCGGTCCCGTCGCCCAAACCTTCTCCCTCTCCCCCTCCTCACGTGGGTTCGACACCCAACTCCAGGAAGTAATCTACCTCGACGGAGGAGAGAAGGAGCTTTGGGATGAGAAGACGGATCGTACGAGAGTTGCGTTGAGGTATGGAAGTCATGCGGTGGATATTGATCCGGTTCGAGCGAGGGCGTATGTTCCCCATGTGTGAGTTCGGCGTCCTCCTGCCTGCCTTGCCTTCGGTCGATCTCCCGAGCTTCCGTTGACATGTAGTGGATGCGCACATCGCAGCGGCCGCGACTCGATCTTCGTCTACTCTTTCAACGAAGACGGCACGCTCAACCACCTAGCCGAAGTACCGACGCACGGGAAACAGGGCCACGAAGGTGTGAGGCATAGTATACCGAGTAGGGATGGGGGGAGGTTGTATGTCGTTACGGAGCACAGTGAGTTGGCGGGTTCGCTTGCTTGAGAAGTGCTCGCGGATTGTCGGGAGACGCACTCGACGCTCCGCTAGCTTTCTGCCAGCGAGAAGCTCGCTGACTCATGCTTCTGCTTCACAGCCTCCTACCTCGACATCTACACGACCCACTCCTCCGCCCCCTACCTCTCCCACACCGCCCGCTACTCCGTCATCCCCCCTTCGCTCAACTCAATCCGGCATCTCTACCGCGGCGACACCCTCCGACTCTCACACGACGGTCGGAGGCTGTACGTCACTACACGGGGAAAGACCGGGGCGCAGAGAGGGTGGGTGAGCGTGTTTGAGGTGGATGAGAAGGGGGATGTGCGCGTCAGGGAAGAGGAGGAGAAGGAGGAGGGAGTGAGATATGAGGCTTTGAGTCGTTTCGAGGCGAGGAACAGCGGTGGTAAAGCCCACGCGATCGAGGTCTTCCCCTTCCACTGTTCCTCGACAGGTCAAGGCCACGATTACCTCGTCTTCACCGACGACGAAGCAGGCCACGTCTCGATTCTCGAGTGGAGGGACGAGTGGAGCGAGTTGAGGGAGGTTGCGGTTGTGCAGTTGGGGGTGGATGCGCCTGTTGAGGGAGAGAGGAAGGGTCAGGTGCTTGAGGAGGAGAGGGGGACGGGGGCTAGTCATGCGGTTTGGCTGAGCTAGAAGGGGCATATAGGTTGGAGCAATAGAGATTTCGTCGTTGACAAAGAGCTTGCGCGAACCGGGCTCGTGGAGCGCGAAGAGCCAGAAGTTCGCCGCGGCTGACTGCTCGTGCTCGAGCACTTGATCCTCTTCGCCCCCCTCGCAGCTCTCCACGACGCGATGCACGCAAGTCTAGCCATAAAAATATTGCGGCCATACCCGATCTGCTTCTACGCCCCTTCTGCCCTCCCCTCCTCCGCTCGACTATCCCGCTCACGCATCCTTCGGCGCCGTGTTAGGCGTGGCCTTGTACAACTTCCACCGGCGAACCTCGGTCTTGCCCTCCGTAGCCTTGGCGTAGGCGGGCGACGAGGTGTAGGCTTCGGTGTCGAATTCTGCGAGCAGAGTGGAGAAGGTGGATCAACGAGCGATTCTTGGAAGGCTGCGCGCTTCCAAAAAGTGTACCACAAGGGGGAAAGGACAAGAGTGCGGCAAGACGCACCGTGGATTACGACAAACTTGGGCGCGACGTTGCTCTTCGCCTCCTTGCCGTACCCAATGATGAGCGAGTCGTACACGCGGTGATAGTGACTCCTCCTCCACCCCTCCTGTCCCTCAAACAGCCTCAACTCGCTCTCGTCCGGCCTCTCCTCCGATGCAGCCGTCAACACAAACTTCGGCGCCTCGCTCGCAGCCGGAGGGGGACTCGTCTCGCCCAACTTCTCGGCCGTGCGGCGGTCGAGCACACCAAGTCGAGCGACGAGCGCTCCCTCGCGAGGAGAACGGTTCGCGCGAAGGCGGGTGTACTTGTTGTCGGAGAAGAGGGCGACGGATCGGATGTCGTAGGCGGCGGACCAGCCTGGGGTTTGGCCGTCGGCGGCTTCATAGCGGGCGCCGGTCTCGAACTCGGGGATGCTGGGAGAGCGGGCTGTGAGCGAAGTGCGGTCACGAGAGGGAAAGGAACGGGACGGACTGCTCCATGCGAAGCGGCACATGCTCGTTGTCGTACCAGTCTGCAAGGCGTGCGGATGATCAGCTCATGTCAGGACGTCGCAAATCCCGCCTCGCCAGTAGGCATCAGCAGATCGAAGCACTGGACGAAGGCTGACCTTGGAATTCCTCTAGCGTAGCCTGCTCGCCAGGGTCGCTGAGAACCCAGAGGTAGCCGGGGGCGGAAGGCGAAGGTGCGGACATGCTGTAGGCTGTAGCGATCGATTGAATGCAGAGCAAGCCGTACCGAGCGAGGTCAAGGGATGATGAGGCAATCAGGCCAGACGGGTCGGTGGGGAGGCGGGAGAAAGCCGTGGACCCAAGTCAGCGTTGGTAGCAGCGACTGAGCGAGCTGCTGGGAGGTCAGACGCTACTTACACGTCGAGTTTGACGGTGACGGTGAATTGTGGGAGGGAGAAAGCGCTTGCCGCGGTCGGTCGGGAGGGGCCGCTGCTTCGCCTCCCACTCTCGCTTTCACAACAGCTCACTTCGGCCAGCTGGTGAGCTCACAATCCCCTCAGACAGTCACAGCAGCTACACCGACCCGCCGCGGCGCTCTCACGGTCTTCCATCTCGATCCCTCGACTCGGCACTTCGGTTCGAGTGATGAGGATCTGAAGGTGGAACGAGGGCTTGGAAGAGGTCGCAAGAGGACGCCGGAGCACAATAAGACGCTCTTGAACGCTGCTGTGCTGGACCGCGGAGCTTCTGCGCCCGGCGACGTCCGCTTCACCTTCGACCTCCTCCTCCCCACCCCGGCAGAACAATCTGAACGCCGCGCTGACCTCACTTGCTTGCCCTCTCCTCTTCACAGACACACAGAATGCCTCGCATCCCTTACAAGAACCCGGCCAAAGGCACGAGCGCAATCGGCGATGCTATCCGCGAGCGTCGAGGTGCCCGCGGTCTCACGCCTCTCGACCAGTCTCTCCTCAATGCGCCCGAGATTGCGGTGCGTTGTCTACGATGACTTACGAGTAGGCTTGTGCTGACGTTATTTCCTCAGGCCGGCTGGAACAACCTCCTTGGCGCCGTTCGCAACCGCAACTCGCTTCCCGACGATATTCGCGAGCTCATGGTGCGTAACGTTGTCCGCCCCTCCAAGTCACTATTTAATGGATACCTTACGAACAGATCCTCCGCGTGGCCGCTCGAAACTCGGCGACGTTCGAATGGATCCGTACGCCTTTTCCCTCCTGACCTTCCCAGAGCGCGACCTGACCCTGTGCTTGCAGACCACGCTCATGTCGGCACCGACGCCGGCTTGACTGCTCAGCAACTCACCGTCATCCGCGACGTCAGCACTCCTCTGCCGACGCCCGCTTCCCCTTCCCCTCTCTCCGCCTACCAAGCCGCCGCACTCCGCTTCGCCGATGCCTCGACCTACAACGTCACCGTCCCTCAGTCGTACCTCGACGAGCTCAAGCAGCACCTCAAGGACGACCAGCAGCTCCTTGAGGCGACTGCCGTTGTCGCGACCTACAACATGGTTTCGCGCCTCCTTGTCACGCTCGATGTCGGCGACATGGGCGAGCAGAGCGTTCCTCTGCCTGAGTCAGAGCAGAGCGAGCACGATGTCGAGATCGAGGAGGGCGTCAAGCTGCATGTCCGCGTGGCAAAGCGGGGCGACGATGCCCCCTGGCTCGTCTTCGTCAACTCGCTCATGACGAATCAGAAGATGTGGGACGGCGTTCTCCCTCGCTTGAGCAAGAAGTACAACTTGATCACCTTTGACCAGCGGGGACACGGCAAGGTGCGTGGCGCGGCTAACTTGCTTGAGCTTCAAGAACTGACCCGCTTTCCTGCAGTCATCGGTCCCGCCCAGCCCCTGCACTCTCGAGATTCTCGCCAACGACATCGCCGCCATCCTCTCCAAGCTCTCAATTCCTACGCCCATTCATGCCGTCATCGGTATCTCGCAAGGCGGCGCGACCACCCTCGCTTTTGCCCAGCACCACTCCACCCTCTTCTCCCGCCTCATCGCATGCGACACCCAGGCGACCTCGCCCGCCGCCAACGCCAAGGCTTGGGACGAGCGCATCGCCCTTGCCCGGCAGCACAACTCGATGGCACCTCTCGCCGACGTGACCGTCCCCCGGTGGTTCCCCTCCGGCTCGACGAGCGAATTCAACGTCGGCGGAAGGCGGCAGTTCTTCATTCACGACATGATTACCTCGACGCCGATTGAGGGCTTCGCCAAGGGCGCCGCGGCCTTGCAGGGCTACGACGTCCTCCCTGGTCTCGCCGACAAGCTCAAAGGCAAGAAGGTCCTCCTCGTCGCGGGTGAGCGGGACGGCGCTCTTCCGGGCGTGCTCAAGGGTCTCAAGGAGAAGCTCGAGCAGGACGGCGTCGATGCCTCGTTCGAGCAGATCACGGGCGCTGGCCACTTGCCCATGGTTGACGCGGCGGGACCTTGGCTCGATGTTGTCGACAAGTTTCTTGCGTAGACCAGCCTCTCGTCTATAGTTTGTAAGAAGAGATGTCTATACAGTCTCGATTGCTGCGGTCTAGGGGTAGCTCTCCGTCATCGCAACCTTGAACCGCTCTGCCAGATCCCGACTCTTCTGCTCCGCCTCGCTGATGAGCGTCTCCTCGCTCTTCCCCGTCACCGGCGTCGACCGCTTCTCATCCTGCCCATCGGCCGCGCCATTCGTCGCAGGCGTCGCCGCCCCGCTCGTCTCCGCACTGCTCGCGCCGGCAGACGCAGCTATCCGCGCTTCTCGCGCCGCCGCTCGTGCCGCCAACTTTTCCTGCGCCTTCTGCTTCTGTTCCGCCGTCGCAGGCTGCTTCGGCGCCGGCTTGGCGGGCGCGTCAGTAGCCGAGTCGAGGATCAGGGTGACGGGGCCCTGCAAGACGGACGGTTCAGCGTGGTGTAGCACGCTCATGGGCTCGGACCACTCACGTCGTTGACGAGTTGGACGTCCATCATCGCCTGGAATTGACCGTCCTTGATCCGTTCGGCCTTGTACTTCGTCTTGAGGTCCTGCAGGAAGTCCTCGTACATCTGCTTTGCGACATCCGGGCCCTGCGCAGTTGTCTGACGTTAGTACTGCGAGCGAGACAGAGTCTGTGCCAGGGAACTCGCCTTTGCGCCGTGAAAGTCGGGCTTGGCGCCTTTTCGCAGGTTTGCCTGGAGGGTGAACTGCGAGACTGCGAGATGAAGGAGAGTGAGCGCCCACGAACGCTCTTCAGGGAGCCAGTACTCACCACACAGGATCTCATAATCTGCCTCGACGACGCTCTTCTTCCAGCCCCAGCTCTCACCCTCCTTGTCCTCGGGGAAGACCTTGAGCGCCAGGAGCTTCGCTGCGAGCCACTGCGACTCGTACTCAGTGTCGTTCGCGCCGATGCCAACGAGGCAGAGGATTCCTGGACGCAACTGAGAGCAAGATCAGCTTCGCTTCGATTTGAAGTCAATGACGATGTCGAGGAGAGAGAGCGAGACCCACCGCGTCCGATCTGCGATATGCATTGTCCCTCAACCGTCACAGACGCCTGCTTGACCCGCTGAATGACCGCGCGCATGACCGGTCCGTGTTATCGGCGAACGGCGGAGAGAGCGGGGGAGATGAGGAGAGAGGCGTCGGACGACGAGCGCGAGAAGATGGCGAGCAATGGAGACAGGAAGAGCGTCGAAAAGTCGAGCCCTGGGAGCAGAAGAAGCGGAGCGTTGTGAGCGAGTGGAAGGGAGGAGGAGAAGGGGAAACGAGGCGAGAGACGAAGGCTACGACTCGCCAGCGAGCAATCGCGGTGAACAGAACGTTGCATTCAGATTCAGGTTCTTTGCTAGTCAGCGGGAAAGGCGAGGGAATCAGGCGGTATGGGTACAAGCTACAGAGGTTGGAGGAGAACGAGGGAGACACAACGATGCAGTGAGGATGGGAGACTGTGCGATAGGCGTGAAAGCTGGAAAAGGAGAGTCAGGGAAGAAGCGGTCCTCTAGCGACTGTCGTTCAAATGCGACGATCTAAGCCTTCTGCGCCCGCGCGCCCTCCTCGATGCCCTTCGGCTGCGGGACGTTGTTGCCGATGCCGCCGCCGAGACCACCTTCGACGCCCTTGCCGAAGGGTGCGTCGCCGTCTGTGGGCTCAGGCGCGGACGAGCCAAACGAGACGGCCTCGTCGTAGGCATCGCCGTACGGGCGAGGTCCGAGGATCTCGATCATGTCGTGTCTGTGAGAGCGCCGCAGCGTCAGCAGTGGAAGGAGAGATGTGCTGCACGAGGAGCGGGAAGCTTGGAGACGTCGGAACGTACCGGCTGAGGACCTCCTTCTCGAGCAAAACCTTGGCAACCGCCTCAACCTGCTGCCTCTTCTCCGTCAAGAGCTGAGTGCACCGAGCGTGTGCATCGCGGACCATCTTGCGGACCTCGTCGTCAATGAGCTGGGCGGTCTTCTCAGAGAACGGCTTCTGGAACGACTCCTGCTCCTGGCGGTATGAGAGCGGGCCGACCGAGGCGTTCATGCCGTCTGCGAGTGGGTACCGATGACGATGGCAAGGTGTAGTGAGGTGATGTGGACAGAAAGTAACGCGGATTGGAAAGCAGGGTGTGAGAAGGAAGAGCGGAAGGACGGGTCAGTCTCGCTCGACCGCCAGCAGGGGAGAGACAGTCTGCCACGCACAGTTGGCAATCGTCTGCATCGCCATGTTGGTGACCTTCTGCAAGTCGTCCTGCGCGCCAGTCGTGATCCGCTTAAAAAAGATCTCCTCGGCGACACGTCCGCCCAAAGTCATGCACATCCGGTCGATGAGCTGTTCCGTGCTGTACAGGTAGCGCTCCTTCGGCAGGTACTGCGCGTAACCGAGCGCTCCGACGCCTCGGGGGACGATGGAGACCTGCGCAACACAGATGGTCAGTATCGGGCGCTCGGATGGAAGCATCTCCTGCGAGAACACCGTGTCGTCGCCCTAAGCGAGCCACGTGCTCGACTGAGAGCGCCAACGCACCTTGAGAAGCGGGTCTGCCCACTCGAGGAACCATCCCGCAACCGCATGTCCCGCCTCATGGTACGCAACCGTCCGCTTCTCCTCCTTGTCCAACACGCGACTCTTCCGCTCCATTCCCGCAATCACGCGCTCAATCGCCATCTCAAAGTGCTTCTCCTTGACGACATCCGCGCCCAGCCGTGCGGCGATGAGCGCCGCTTCGTTGCAGACGTTGGCGATGTCTGCGCCGGAGAAACCGGGCGTGTGCGCGGCGAGTTTGCGAATCAGCTTGCCGAGAGGCGAGTTGGGGTCGGGCTCGTCGGTCGGCTTGAGCGTGTACATCGACTCGAAGTTCGATGCGGCCTTGTCGCCTGTGGGCGCCTCAGGGGCGGGCGAATCGGACTTGGCGGTCGCGTCGTTCTTGTTCGACTTGGCCCGCCGGGAGGAAGGCTTGTCGGAGGTCGGGGTAGCGTTGAGGAGTGCAGAGAGAACTGGAGAGGCGGAAACATCGATGGCGGCGGACGAGGCGGGTGCTGCAGGCGCGGCCTGGAAGTGCGCAACATCCGGCTGCTGCTTGTCGCCGTCGGCGTGCGACTCGCGCTGCGCCTCACCATCCTCCTCCGCTGCCGCACCCTCCTTCTCGCCCTCCTTGGCATTCTCCGGCCGGGGGACGTCGAGCACCAGCTTGCGCAGGTGGACGTTGAAGATTTGGCGCCTGCCGGAGACGTCGGGGTTCGAGACGGCGATGTGCCGGTCGAAGCGGCCAGGACGCATCAACGCCGGGTCGAGGACGTCGGACCTGTTCGTCCCTGCGAGCAAAACGACATGCTCGCCCGTCCCGAAACCGTCCATCTCGACGAGGAGCTGGTTGAGGGTCGACTCGCGCTCGTCGTTGCCGCCAAACTGTCCGCCCTTGCCACGAGCTTTTCCGATCGCGTCAATCTCGTCGATGAAGATGATGCACGGCGCGTTCTTCTTGGCCTGGGCGAAGAGGTCTCGGACACGGCTCGCACCGACTCCGACGAACATCTCGACGAACTCGGAGCCGGAGACGGAGAGGAAGGGGACGCCGGCTTCGCCTGCGGTCGCCTTGGCGAGGAGCGTCTTGCCGGTACCGGGAGGGCCGGAGAGGATGGCGCCGCGGGGAATCTTGGCACCGAGGCGCTCGTAGTGTTCCGGGTTCTTGAGGAACTTGACGAACTCCATGATCTCCTCCTTGGCCTCGTCCATTCCGGCAACCTGCGAGGGTGAAGGTCAGCGATCGAGCGTCACACAAAGACAACAGCGTTAGCTTACGTCTCGGAAGCCGACCTTGATGTCGGTCTCGTGGTTGAACATCTTGGCCCTGCTCTTGCCAACGCCAAAGATTCCGCCAGGTCCGCCTCCTCCGCCCGGTCCACCTCCGCCGCCGCCAAGCAAACCTCCGCCTCCGCCAGTCATGCGACGATAGATCCAGACGGTCGAGCCGATGAGGATGAGAGTCGGGAGAAGGTTGAGGAGGGTCTGGCCGAGGGGGATCTCGTCGTGGTAGGCAACGGGGATGCGTTCGCCGAGGGGGATGCCGAGCTCGTTCTGTGCATCGTCGAGCTTCTTCTCAAACGCCTCGACCGATCCGATGCTGAAGTAGTACGAGCCGGTCGCGCCCGCAGGCGACGAACCGGTGCCCATCGTGCCGGTCGCGTTCGTGTGCAAGCCGACGCGGACGCGCGACTTGTTGATGACGGTGAGCTTGTCGACGAGACCCTTGGAGAGGAAGGCCGAGTAGAACTCGGTCCAGGTGATCTCGCGAGACGAGGGGTCGTACTGCGACGAGAGGCGGTAAAGGGCGTACAAGGCGATGGTGGTCGCGACGAGGCTGTACGCGGAAGGGTTGGGCGGAGTAGGCTGCTCGCTCGGGTCAGGCTTCTTGCCCGATCCTCCCTGGTTGCCCTTGTCCCGCCTGCCGTCCTTGCCATCGCGCTTGTTCTTGTCCGGCCCCGGTCCGCCCGTCGTGTCTCCCACCTCTCCGCCAAACAGGCCCTTCAGCGGATCCTTCGGTGCGAGTTCGGCGGCGCCGGGTGCAGGCGATGCGCCGGGCACTGCGTTGTCCTTTGGGCGTCGGCCGAGGAACCCACCGAAGAAGTCATCGAGGCCGGGTGGTCGCTCGCCGTCCTTTGGTGCGTCCTTCGAGTCCTTTGGCTGTGCGCGGAGGACGGCAGGGAGCCACGGGCGGAGCGAGAAGGCACGACGATGGACGGAGGAGTGGCTGACGAGAGGGCGCGCTCGCAGCGAGTGCGACAGACGCGTCGTTGTGGATCGTGGTAGCATGCGTAGACAGCTGTAGCACACGCTCTGTCTCCAGCAGCAGAGGGTGAGCGTGAGTGAAGCAGGCGCAAGCTTGTGCCGTCGCCAAGTCCAAGTCCGAGGCGAATACAAACTGAGTTGTATTGCAAAGCATTACAAAGTGTAATCAGCTGCAGTCGTAATGGCAACATTAGGACATGGGCTAATGCGGAATACAAAGTCTTCTCTCGCCTTCACCACTTCACTATGGCCGGCGAATCGCGTACAGAGCTCTTGGCCTGGGTCAACGACCTGCTCCAGCTGAACCTGACAAAGGTGCGACCCGCCCTGTCCGCCAGCCGCTTCGCTGTCGCCGCTCGTTCCCCTCGTCGGATGTCGTCCAACTGACCCTGCCTCGCTCTCTTCTGCTCCGGCTGGCTTGTCTGCGCTTTCTGTGCGGCTCACTGTGGTGGACAGGTCGAGCAATGCGGTGAGCCTTCCCCTTGAGTCGGACACTGTCGAGTCGCGACGAGGCGATGTTGGCTGACCCTTTGCGCATTCCCTTCCCTACCCCCGCCTTGCCCTGCCATGCCTCACGATCCGCCTCATCGCTATGCACGTCTTCGCCGTTCGTCTCGCCTCGAATCCGCCTCACCTTCGCGACACCTCCTCTCCTCGCCTCCTCCTTCGCCTTGCACCCGCTCCCCAGGCGCCGGCGGAGTCTACTGCCAGATCGTCGACAGCATCTTCGGTGATGTGCCGATGGCGCGAGTCAAGATGGGCGCCAAGCAGGAGTGGGAGTACCTCGATAACTTCAAGGTCCTCCAGGCCGTGTTCAAGAAGCATCAGATTGACAAGGTGCGTTGGCAGTTCGCACGCTCGAGAAATCAGGCGAGAAGAACGTGGCACACGACTGACTGCTTCGCTTCTCCTGCACGTCCTTTCCTTCCGGCTCGACCCCAACGGTCCCGTCCTTCCCGCTCGCCAGCCCATCCTCGTCGACCGCCTCATCCGCTGCAAGATGCAAGACAACCTCGAGTTCCTCCAGTGGCTCAAGCGGTTCTGGGAAATGAACTTCCCCGGAGGAGAATACGACCCGGTTGGCAGGCGAGGGGGTGCTGGTGAGTAAGCGTACAAGCGCATCGTTCGAATCGTGGCGATAGGCGCGTGGAGCTGATGAACATTCCGGGCGCCGATTTGCAGGTGCTCGCGCTCCTTCGGCGGCTTCGGCACGGCCGCCTGTTGCGTCCACCTCGACTGCGCGACGACCGCCTCGTGTGTACCGGTTCCTCGCTTGCGCCGTCCACTGGCGGTGACCTCGTGTGTCGCTAATCCGTCTTTCATAACGCACAGCCGCCGCCGCCCGTTCCGCTCCAACCGCCCGCGCCCCGCTAGGCACCTCGCGCGCCTCTTCCGCCTCCGCCCGCTCGTCCTCCGCCGCAGGCGCACACGTCGATGCCGCCGCACTCGAGGCGCTCACGGCTCAGATGAACGAGATGAAGCTTGGTGTGGAGGGATTGGAGAAGGAGAGGGACTTTTACTTTAACAAGGTGCGTTGCGACCACTGGCGCCCTCTGTCTCGCTGCGCCACGTAGTAGAGGAGCTGACAGAGGTTGATACGGGTCCCGTTGCGCAGCTGCGAGAGATCGAGATCATCATTGGCGCGCGACTCGAATTGGCAGACGCGCCGGCAGAAGAAGGAGGCGGAACGGTCACGGAGGAGGAGAAGGACACGCTCCTTCAGATGCAGCAGATCCTGTACAGTACCGAGGTGAGTGCAGAGGCGATGGCATCTGAACTTGGCGGCAGAGGCATCTGTTGACCTCGGCTGATCTGCTTCACTCGCGTTTTCGCGCTTACAGGAGGGCTTCGAGGTCCCCGAAGAAGGTCAAGAAGGCGAGCTCGTCAACGAGGAAGAGGAGACGTTCTAGGGGGTCCATCATCTCGTCAGCTTGAACCGTCGCCCTTCAACCGCGGCAATCCCTTCCTCCCTGCCCCATCCGTCTTCACTTCGCATTTCTTGCTCGTTCTACTCCCATCGACCACTCGTCATCCTGGCCAGGCCATCGCGCCCGCCAGCTTTCGTACCTTACTCTCGCTCTTCGTTGCAAGAGGATTCGTCGTTTTTCGCGTCTCTCCTGGTCTCGCAGGTTCTTCCGTTTCTTCCGCTGCACCAGCCACGATTTCAGGCGTCTCGCAGAGTCTACCGTGAGCTCGAAAGACAGGAAAGCAGACTTACTCGCGAAGGCTTCCATCGTCCGTCCGCCGCTCCTCGACCTTTCACGGCTCACTTCGCTTCTTGCACGAACCCGATGCTACCGCTCTAGAGATGCACCCACCAGATTCGCTCACCACCAGCGCCCTGCCGCTCTCGCTGCCCATCCCGCCCTCTCATCTCCCTCCTCCGCCAATGCCGACCGCGTCCGTCATCGTCGCCCAACCTCCTCCGCTGCCGGTCGTCGAGCGCCAGTCGAGTGGGCCGATGTTTACGTTCACGCAGGGAATACTGCTGGGGCAGGCGAGCATGTGAGTCCGGAGTCTCTTGAGGTCGAGGGTTCTTCATCTTGTTTGCGGGATGATCGCGCTTCTGCGAGGCTAGGAGTGAGAAGCGTTCGTCCGCTTCCGCACTGCTAGTCTCATCGCAAAAGTAGCAATGCCGCTTCCCGACTGCGAGATGCTGATCACTCCTCTCTCTCGCAGGATCCTCCTCGCCGTCCTCTTCCTCAAACACGTCGTCTTCGAAGACCCGAACGCTGCGAAGCGGGAACGAGAACGGAGAAAACGTGCGATGACAGGCGGGACGAGCGAGACGGATGGAGAGGCGGGCGGATTGGAGGATGGCGCGAGGAGGAAGAGGGATCGGAAGGGGAAGGGAAAGGTGCGTGGGCGCTCCTGCGCGTTCAGCTGAATGCAGTGTGCTTGTGCTCTGAGCTGATTCTAGTCAATGTGCGCTCCGCAGGCTGCATCCTTGACGGCCGACCCTCCACCGACGCCCGCTCCTTCAGCCGCCTCTCTACTCGCCTCTCTCTCCTACGACCTCTCCTCCCACGCTCCTGAGTCCCTCGACTGGCTCAACATCCTCCTCGCCCAACTTATCTCCTCCTACCGATCTCTCGCAGCGAATCACCCCGGCGGCGGTGCGCGACATCTCATTGAGGAATCGTTGAACCGGAGAAGTCGATTCGGTGCGAGCGATGAAGATGAAGATGGCGGCTCGAGTGGGATGGTGGGACTGGATTATATCGAGGTCGACGAGGTCGAGCTGGGAGAGGGCTTCCCCGCGTTGACGGACGCGAGGGTGCGGCCAAGCGGTGTGGGCGGCGAGAGTGTGGTGCGTGGCTTTCGCGATTCTCGTGAAGCGAGCGTCCTGATGATGTGTGTTGCAGCGCGTCGAGCTGGATCTCGAGTACACCGATACCGTCGTCCTCTCCGTCTCGACTCGAGTCGTCATGAACTTTCCCCGACCACGCTTCGCCGTCCTGCCCGTCTCGCTATCCATCACTCTCGAACGCTTCTCCGGTACCGTCACTGTCGAGCTCCCGCCCCTCTCCACTCCAACACCTACACTCATCCCCTCTCCCGCATCCGAAGCTCCACCTCGCCATGCCCATCCTACCGTCCACCTCTCACTCCATCCAGACTTCGATCTGGTCCTCTCCACCTCCTCTCTCCTTGGCTCGCGCGCCAAGCTGCAAGACGTCCCGAAGGTGGAGCAGCTCTTGAAAGCACGGATACGCGCAGCGATTCAGGACAAGGTCGTCTGGCCTGGACGGGTCGAGATTGCTCTACCCGGACTCGTCAGAACCCATCACCATCACCACCAAGCGAGCGCCGGAACGGGGACGGGTGCAGACGATTCTCCCGCATCGCCCGTCTCACCTCTCGCGACGCACCTTCCGACACCGCCTCCCGACCTGCCTCCTTCTCCCTCTCCTTCCTCCGCACAACCACTCTTGAACCCGCTCCTCACGCGCCTCTCATCCTCCGACCTCTCCTCATCCCAATCAGGCTCGACAACACCCGACACGCCCACCCTCTCGCTCTCCTCCAACACCGGAAATCCAACAGTCCACCTCCATCCTCGCGTCAGATCCGTACCGCACAAATTTCCTTCACCTTCACTCGGGGTCGGCGTTGAGGGCTTGGGCGGAGTAGGGATGGGGATGAGACCGACACCGAGTCCGACGGAGAGTCTGCCGGGATACTTCCCGCCTCTTCCGGGGACTGGACCTGGCGGGAACGGGCTGGGAGGGAAGAGGGTTGGTGGGACGGCTGGAGCGGGGTTGGGCGGGGCGGGGATGAGGTATAGGCCTGCTGCCGGTGTCGGGATCGGCGTGAGAGGGCGGTAGCCCAGGTTGCGAGGGCCGGTAGCTTATGTAACGCGTCGGTCTAGCAAGTGTGATCAGCGAGGCGGCAAAAGAAGTCCAGCCACGAGATAGCTGCTCTCCCTCTTCTGTACGAACGTCCCGTCTCGCGCAGATCAAGCCAAAAGTCTATCTAGTACACGCGGACAAGCGACCATCTACCCTCTAGGCCTTCGCCCTCCCGAACCTTTCCAACAGTCTCTCCTCGACGCCTTCGCACACCCACTCGTACTCAACAATATCCAGGTTCTCCCTCTCGGCCCTGAAAATCTTGGTCATGTCCTGCGCGGGGGCGCCGGGCATGGTTGGTGGAGGGGGAGCGAGGGCTGCGGGGTCTGCTGCGGCTGTTTCGGAGAGACTTGGGGAGTCAGCAGAGGCGAACGAGGGAAGGAGGAAGACGCACAGCTGTTGTTACCCAGCAAGAGTTGGTAGACCGGTCCGATGCCGAACATGCACAGGAAATACCAACTGCTTGTGGAGCACCAACTTGCGTCTGCTACGAAGGGAGTCGAGCCGGAGGGAGAGGGGAGGAGTTGGACGCCCCGTTGTAGGAGGTCTCCGAATTTGAGGGGGAGGGGAAAGGGAATTCGGGCTGGGTGTGCGAGGAGTGTCAGAGACAGGCGGGAAGCGAGCAAAGGAGAGGGCGGAACGGACCGATCAAGGCGCCGGTGAAGAAGCGGTTCACGAGGTACATCGTCGCCATCTGCGTCCATCCGGTTCGTCAAATCGCGCTCCGCACCTCATCACAACCTTTCGCACATACCTGAGGGACGAACCCGACCGCCTGCTTCTTCATCATGTCCTGCAATCCCTCCATCATCTGCTCCAGTTGCGCTGGGTCCTCAAACGGGTTTGGCGGGACTCCATCGGCGGAAGGTTTGGGCGGAGGAGCCTTGAGGAACGAGCCGTTAATGTAGGCTTGCGAGAGGGAGGAGCGTAGGGCGAGGAAGGAGGAGGGAGGGAGGTGTGAGGAGTTGAAGCGGAGGAGCTGGCCGCGCGTGATGGCGCGTCTGTGGGGGCGGATTGTCAGCAGCGGATAGACGCACAGAGGACTGATGGGCCCTTCCGCAGATGGAGCAGCCGGACGCACTGTTCTCTGACGGCCAGTAGGGGTTGCGGCTTCGGCGGTGTCGCGACGAGGAGGGTTAAGACATGTCGCAGTACGCCCGAGAGGATCACAATGAGCGTCAGAGGCAGCAGTACGCGGTCCCGGATGGCTGTGTGTCGTTTACGCAAGGTCAGCGATAACGGGGATTGACGAAGAGACACTGGGCACACCTGGGTCGAGAGCGAACGAGTCTGCGCCGAGCTGTATGGGTGCCGTGAACAGCTGCATCCCTCAGCAGTCCCAGTTGAGCCAGTTCAGCCGAGTGAGAGTGTTCGGAGTGGAGCAGGCCGATCCGGTTCGGTCGAGGAGGAGATCTCGAGAGCGAAGGGTTGCCCTCGTTTGGACTGCTACGAGGTGGGACAGTGACGCCGACAGATGGAGGGCCACACCCAATCAACAGCAACAGCGACGACCGCAACCGCACGCGACGACACTCACCCGCATCTCGTCGCAAACAACCTTGCCACCGACTCGAACGACACGACGAGAACGGTCGACAGCTCGTCTCGCACGGCAACACGCTCGCCGTCCATCGAGTCGACTCGCAAAGCTGGGCGCGATGGAGCACGGCGCCGCGAACGCACTTTCTCGCCCGACCGCCGTCCCTGGCCTGAACGGAGCTGGGCGTACGAGCTGATGCCGTTCAGGGGCATGTACAACGACGTCAGGAGGAGGCTGCCGTTCTATGTCAGCGATTGGACGGAGGGACTGCGCCCGAAGAACTGGGAGAGGGTCGTCGGAGCGACAATCCGCATGTACTTCCTCAAGTGCGTCCAGCCTGCGTCCAGTGTCCCCCCAGTGTTCCGAAGCGACGACGACGAGGGTCCATACCTGTCGCTTCGGTGCATTAGCTTGAGGTCGGCCTGGACTAACTTTGTCCTCCTCCTTCCCCAGCCTCATGCCCTGCCTCGCCTACATCATCGACATGTACGTCCGCACCGACGGAACGTACGGCGTCAACGAGGGCATCCTCGCGTCGGCCATCGCGGCGCTATGCTTCTCGCTCTTCTCCGTCCAGCCTTTGACGATTGTTGGAGGTGCGTCGCTTCGTTTTCCTCCTTCTGTTCCGCGCGGGCTCACGCTCGCTCGCGCAGTCACCGGTCTAATCAACTTGTTCAACTATACGACTTTCGACATCCTGCGCAACTACGACGTCAACTACATACAGTTTCAAGCCTGGGTTCTCATGTCCGACTCGCTTCCGTCCATCTTTCCTGCCGCGATTGACACTTTCGCTACCTGCAGCTGGGCCGCCATCATGCACTGGATCTCGGCCGTCTTCAATCTCTGCGACTTCACCCGCTTTATCACCGACATGACCTCCGAATCCTTCGGTCTCTGTACGTCTCCGCCCACCTTTTCAAGCCCACTGTCCCTCCCACTCACGTCGAGACTCCCGCGCAGACGTCGGCATCATCTACATACAGAAAGGCGTCGAGCTCCTCGTGTACGAGTTCGATGCCGGACGCGGACAAGCAGGATGGTTCTCCGTCGTCGTCGCGATCCTCTTTGCTTTGTCCGTCTACTTTGTAGAAAGGGCTGGGACGCTACACTTCGGCCGTGCGTTCGCTTTCTCCAGAGGTCGGGGTCGAAGCTGGAGGCTCACGTTTTTCGTTCGCAGCTTTCTGGGCTCGCAAGGCGCTCGTAGACTACACCTTTGCGGCGGCTATCATCTTCTACACAGGATTCGTACACATGTGCGTCGCGCTCGCAGTCTCCTCTCGTCCCTGCCACTGACGCCCGCCCGCGTGCAGTCCCGGATACATCAAGAGCAGCGATATCCAGTACCTTCCCATCAGTGCTACGTTCCGCCCCACCCTAGAGTGCGTCGAAACCCTACTGCACTGAGGCGAAGCAGGAGCTGACATTCTCGTAATCAACAGCCGCGACTGGGTTGTACCCTTCTGGAATCTGCCCGTCAAATGGGTGTTCGTCGCCCTTCCTTTCGGCTTTCTCGTCACGCTGCTATTCTACTTCGACGTGAGTCATTCTAAGCGCCGCGAGCGGTCAACGAAGACGGACCTGACGCGCCTCGCCTCCTCCTCGCAGAACAACACCAGCTCGGTGATGGCCCAATCGCGCGGGTTCCCCGTCAAGCGCCCCGCCGGCTTCCACTGGGACTTCTTCCTCCTCGGCTGCACGACCTTCGTAGCCGGTATCATCGGCCTCCCCGCACCGAACGGACTCGTCCCTCAAGCGCCGGTACATACCGAAGCGCTGAGCGTGACAAAGATGGTTCCTGCGCAGGCAGAGTTGAGTGAGGGGGGCTTCTTTGAGGGCGATGTGAAGAGGGCGCACAGGGAGGCGGATAGGGAGGTTGAGAAGGGTGCGGAGAGAAAGCCGCTCAAGGTTGTGAGGACGAGGGTTGTCGAGCAGAGGATCTCGCACTTTGCGATGGCGGTGCGCGCATTGTCTTGCTCTCGATAGGCGAGGAAAAGCTGACCTTGCGATGATCAGATGCTAACCCTCGGCACCATGTCCCGCCCGCTCCTCGTCGTCCTGTGCGTTCCGTCCTCCCTCTCTCCTCTATTGGGATGTCGCCGACCCGTCTACGTATCACAGCGGCCTCATGTCCCGCGCCATGTTCGCCGGCATCTTCCTTGTGGTCGGCTGGGGCTCAGTCGAAGGCAACGGCATCGTGCACAAGACGCTCTTCCTCCTCCGCGACCGGCGCATGACGCCTTCCTCCCACCCGCTCTTCAACATCAAGAAGTCGTCGATCGTCAAGTTTATCGCGATACAGTGGCTCTTTTTCGCGGCTATGATTGCCGTGTCCGAGACTATCGGTGCGTCTTGTCCGTTCCCGCTCCCATCGCTTCCCACTCTCACTGACACGCGACGATGCCACACAGCTGGTATCGCCTTCCCCATCTTCCCCCTCGCTCTCATTCCCGTCCGGTACTACCTCGTCCCGCGCCTCTTCACGCCCGAAGAACTCGTCGCTCTCGACGCCCCAACCGCCAACTCTGCTGCCGTGCTCGTCTCGCTCGGCGGACCTCTGCAGCCTGAATATGGGCAGCCAAGGGCGAAGAGCGTGGAGGATGAGGAGGAGAAGGTTGGAGGTGAGAAGAGGGGACGGACGAGCGGATTGATGGATGAGGAGGGGAGAGTCGAAGGGCTCAGGAGGCGCGAGGCGTTGGAGAGGGAGGAGCAGGAGAAGGGTGTGCCGGGTGGAGCGGCGGGTCTGCAGCGGATCGTCTCGATCAAGCGGTAGAGACGGGCGCAGTCATGTAGAAAGAGCCTGTTGTACCGAGATCTCGCGTTTCCTCTCACCGAGTGTTGAAAGCTGCAGCGCTACGGCATGCGATGCAGAGAGCGCGTCCTCAAGCCGTTTGCCGACTCGACGGCGGATCAAGCCATCCAAGAACTCGCAAGCTCTTGCGCACTACTCCTGCTCCTGATCGATACGCTCCTTGCGTCTTCCCCGCTCTTCTGCCTCCCGCACTTCCAGCTCGATTTGTCGCTTCTCGTCCTCGTCCGAATCGATGACCTCGCCCGCCAACTCGTCGACCGACCCGTCCGTATCGTCCGAAGCCTCCTCGAACGACGCGTCATCTGCGTCTGAGTCCGAGTCGAGTACGTCGAATGCGCCTTGGCAAACGATGCCCGCCTTGCCCAGCGCACGGCGCAAATTGAGGAGAGTCTGCCGGTCATAGTCGTTGTTGACGGGATCAAAGTCGCCGATGTCGTCCTGCAAGCGAAGGTATAGCGTTCTGAGGCCCGGTGCGCGATCGACCAGGCTGACGAGACGGTGAAGACTGTGGCAAGGGTACAGGAGGTCGAGATACGCGAGCGAGTCCGGCAGATCTGAGAAAGCGCTGCCATGTGCATCCTGTGGTACCTGTGAGCGCATGCGCAGACTTCTGAGCGAGGGAAAGAGGACGTTGAGCTCGGTGTGGTCGGTCGCCTTGTATGCGTCAGGAATCGTTAAGCGTTGGAGCCGAGGATATTCATCCTTTGTGAAGAGATGAATGGCGTAGTGCGGTGCGGCAGACAGAGCCGTCGATTGGTCATACAGGTCAATCGTCCATTCTTCAAGGGTCGGCGCAGCAAACTCGAAAGTCTGGCATAGCCGTTCGAGGTCGACGGCGTCCTCGTCGGCGCAGTCTGGGTCGTAAGTGGTCGGCCGTCCGAAGCTGAGCCTTGCGAGACCCGGCCACGACGGAACAAGGTACTTCGGCGTGTGCCAGCTGCGCCTGTTCGATTTGGCCGGCAGGGAGACCTCGCCTGAGAAGAGGGCGACGAGCTCCTCCAGGTTCGGGAACGCCCTGTGGTGCTCGAGGAACTCGTCGAGATGGTAGTCGTTCTGCAGCGTCAAGTGCAGCGAGGTCAAGGCGAGGAAGGGCGGTAGTGTCGAGATGCCGAGTGCAGCTTGCGCCCACTCCGAGCTGATGCGTCGCGGGACATGGGTATACATGTCGAAGATCGGTACTTCGCTCATGTCGGCCAGCTCGAGGCGTCTCAGCGTCGGTGCAGCAGCGCGAACGAAGTCGCTCCATGCAGAACGAGCGTTGTCGATCCAACCCAGAACGCTCTTCAGATCATCTGCCTCCTGCATCAATCTGAATGCCCCAGGGTCCTCATAGCGCATCCGACAGAACGGAACGAAGGTCGGGAACTCGTCGTCGTCGTCGCTGTATCTGTCGCGGTAATCGCCCTCGAACTCCCACCGCCGGCGCAGTCGCTTGATTTTCACCTTCGGCGGACCCTTGATATACGGCGCAAAGCGCAGCGAATGGACGAAGCGGCCGAGATTGCCGCCGTCGATCGGGTCGACGAGGATGTCGGGACGAGGAGGGAGGGCGGCGATGAAGTCGCGGTAGACGAGGGGGCGCGTGAGGCGGTACCAGGCTCGGCAGACGAGTCCCAGGGGTGCGAGAAGATCTGGGTTGGGCCCGCCGCGCCCAGGACACCAAGTCGCGGCTTCGATAATGGCGAGGAGGGTTTCGGTGGGCAGGGCGGCGATACGGCATCTTGGGGGGTGAGGGCGGGTGCAAGGCGTGTGTACGGGTCTAAGAGGCGGGTTCAGCAGCAGCCCAGTCCCGGCAGCGGAGAGCGAGCGATGTGCAGGAGAACAAGGTCTGGCAAGCGAGCAACTCTCGGGATAACACGTCTCGCTGGGACTCTTCTCCAGCAGAATGATGTCTGTCAGGCTTGGAATGACAGCACTAGAGAGCCTAGAGCATCAGCCATCCCTGCGCCGAGTAAGCGCGTACGTTCTCCCTCCGAGGCCCAGTGAGTTCTGCGTTAAACGTCCTCAATCAGCAAGACGGACCGAAAGCGGACAGAAGAACGGTACATACGCATGTCCCTTCGTCGCTGCTGCTTCTCCTCCGACCAAAAGCGCGTCCAGATCCCGTCGTCCTCGACTTCGTAGTCCAAACCCGTCGCAAACTCGTCGTCCGAGTCCAGTTCCCGCGCCGCCTCTTCGTCAAGTTCCATCTCGTCATCGCTGGCCATCAACGCCTCATCCAAAGCTTCCCACAAAGCCGGCCAATCCCCGTCCTCCTCGTCGTCGTCCTCATCCCACGCATCCTCTAGCTCGCCAAAGACCTGGCATCCCTGCGCCTCGAGTCCCCGACTCCACAGCTGCGTAAACCCAGTCCATAGCGTCCAAGTGTCTCGCTCCAGGTCATGCGGCAAGAAGAGGGCGATGAAGCGGAAGCGTTGGAGGGAGCGGTTCGACTGGGCTGCGCTGAGGGCGGTACGGAGTTCGGCGAGGCGCGAGTAGGGGCACTCGATGTCGAGAATGCGCAAGGTGGCTGGGAAGGTGGGGACGACCGTGCCTGAATCGACGAGACGGAGGCGGAGTTGCTCGAGGGAGGGGAACCGGTCGAGGAGAATCGTCGGACTGACGCAGCGGACAGCGATTTCGACTTGCAAGACGCGCAAGACGTCCGAGCGGATGTGCCCAGGGAAGATGTTATCGAGTGCGAGTGGCAGTCCGTCGGGCGTCGATGTCGGCGTCGAGGTGTAGTACGTCCTGATGCGCAACTCCTCAAGCGACTCGAGGAACGGCACGACGTAGGCCCAAATGAGCTAGTCGTACGGATACTCTGTCGCTTGAGGCATGTTGAGGAAGTCGAGGCGGCGAAGGCGAGGCCAAGGCGAAGTTTCGCCGTGCGTGACGACGGGACAACGGAACCTCGTGAAGTGACCACACCGCACGGCGAGTTCCTCGAGCGCCGGGAACAGATGCGCGTGTTGGACAAACATGTCGAGGTCAATCCCGTCGCAGACGCTGATTCGAAGGGTCGTGAGCGTTCGGAAAACGGGCAGCGATTCAAGTTGGAGGTAGTCGTGCGATCGGGCGCCCAACAGCCGCCCATAGAGGTCCGTGATATGCTGGATCGGGTAATCGTCCAGTACGGGCTCGATCAACAGCACGTCGAGCTGTTCGAGCGAGTCCGCGTAGCGGACGAACAAGTCTTTCCAGCGTCGCATGACCGCCCGATCCTCCTCGACAAACTTGACCACCTTTTCCAGCGCCTCTCGCTCCTTCTTCCCAACTTTGTCTCCCCAGCGCCTGTACACTTCCTCGCAGAACGCCCAAAAGCCAGGTAACGCCTCACCCTCCTCCGCTCTCCTACCCGCCTCAAACTCATACCGCTCCCTGAGGAACGCCTCTTCCTCCTCGCTCAGTTCGTCCTCAACCATCGCAGGATTGAAAGCGACGTAGCGGACATGCTGGTGCAGCGGAAGCTTCGAGAAGGGATCGACGAGCGAGGGAACGTGAGGAGCGCGAAGGGTGCGACAGGCGAGGGGCAGGACGAGGTTGTACCAGTCTTTGCAGACGCGGCCGAAGCGGAGGAGGAGGTCCGGGTCGGAGTCACACAGGCCGGGACAGTAGGAGGCTTGTTGAAGGATCGAGAGGAGGATGGAGGTGGGGAGGGAGGAGAGGCCCCTGGTGCGGGTAGCGGGAGGAGGTGCCGAGGGATCGACGAACATAGCGCGGGAGTGAGGTCTTCGCTAGCCGTGCAAGACGTGTGGGTCGGGGAAAGCGCGAGGAGCGATGAAGAGGACGGGAGGCTGACGGGAAGCCAAGACGGTCGACGAGCCAGAGCTGGCGGTGCACTACGACTCCGACAGCACGAGCCACGACCGATGTAGCTTCGCGAGCGAGAAGAGCGAAGACGGAAAAGGCAGAGAAGCGGAACCAGAATGGAGAGATGGAAGTCCCCGTCGCGGTCGCTCACTTCTCTCTCAGCAGGAATGAGGAGAGAAACGAAGCGACGTTGCGCGCAGATCCAGGGAAAACGGAGCGTCCAATCTCCGCCCAACCCACGCGCAAACACGCACTCCTCACTCTCCCCATCGCCCGTACCTAAACCAATAAAGCGTTTAGGCCGAAGCGACGACCTCGGCGTTGCCAGTGGCAACGGTCTCGGCGGGCTGCTGCTGCTGCTGCTCCTGAGCGGCGGGGGCGGGAATGTTGGCCGCTCCGACGTTGACCGACTGGACCTGCTGCGAGAACTCGACGTCGGGCTTGGGCTCCGAGACTGTGCACATAGAGAGTGAGTTAGCGGGGAAGGGAGGAAGGAGAGGGCGAGGGAAGGGACGCACTGGTGACGACGTCGGGGAGGGGCTTGGCAGGGCCGATACGGCCCTCGGGGTCCCAAGGCTTCATGATCTTGACCTTGATACCGAGGACGCCCTGACGCATGAGGACGTGGCGGGTGGCCGAGTCGACAAAGTCGCGCGCGGGCTGACCCGAGTGGAGCATGAAGCCGTCGGTGAACTTCATCGACTTGGCACGCGCGGCGCGGAGCTTGCCCGAGACGACGACCTCGCAACCCTTGGCGCCCGACTCCATGACGAAGCGGAGGACACCGTAGCAAGCGCTGCAGGCAGCGAACGCGAGAGTCGAGGTGAAGGGGAGTCGGGTGAAGCGCGATGGCGGCGAAGAGAAAGAGGGACATCGTGGGAAGTATCGCGATACGTTTGCGAGGCGAGCGAGAGGCGACAGGCAGAAGGAGGAGGAAAGCGAACGGGAGAAGTCAGCTCGCGTTTCCTCAAGATCGCCGCGCAACTCCCGCCTCGCTCCTCGCGCAAGAGAGTGAACACGCGCAACGCACCGACGGACGGCAAGACCGCCGAGGAGCTTGTAGCGGAGCGACTCGCACTGGGCGACGGCGTCGAGTCCACGGTTCTGGACCTTCTCGGCGTAGAGCTCGACGGAGCCCTCGGGGAAGCGGAAGCGCTTCTGGACGAGGGCGGTGAGCTCGCGGATGCGGCGACCCTTCTCGCCGAGGACCTCCTGCGTGTGGGTCGCGCGGATGATGATCTCGGTGCGGGCGTGGGTGACGCGGACCTCGCAGCCCGAGTAGCCCTCGGACGAGAGAGTGCGCGAGAAGAACTCGCTCAACTCCGCGCTGTGTACATGCGAGCCTGGTCAGCCTGCGATTCTGGGCGAGTTGCGACGAGGGGTGCACGCACTAGAAGACACCCTGTCGACGGCAACATCCACCACGGCAGCGCGATGCGAAGGCGCAATGGTCAGCACACCCTTCCCAGCAGCACTCTCCCGTCCACGCAAGCACACGAAACTCACGTCGGCGACGAACCTGGGCGCGGTGAGCGAGGGTGGGTCAGTTTTGTTCGCCCGTCGAGCGAGGGCGGCGAGAGCGAGCTCACTTGCGGCGCTTGGAGATGAGCTGGGAGTTGGACATGGTTGGTTAGCCGGTTGAGGTGGTCGGCGAGCTCGAGCAGGCAGCAGCTGGAGAAAGTCGAAGCTGGAGAGCGAGCGAGACGGCGGGCGACAGCGACGAGCACGGGCTCACACGCTTGCTCTCCCTCTCCCTCTCACCACTCAGAGGGGACTGCTAGGGCTCACAGTGGGCACAGCTGGACTGAATCACTCGCACCGGGGACAACAGCGACACCCGCAGACGCACCCGTCACCTACTCACCCTCGCTCGACGAGCCGACATTTTTACCCTCTCGCACCCGTTGATCACCACAGATGGGCGCGCTTGTAGGTGCAACGACATCAGGACGACACACTTGACCGACTCGTCTCAATCGGGTCGCCTCGAAGCACTGTTCTGACGCCGAAACCCGCCCTCTTCGACCTCGACGCCTCTCTTCCCTCGACCGCTGCCTCTTCATTCGACGCTATCGCCTTCTCTCTCACTGCCCAGCACACTCGCAGCATCGCACAGATTCAGCTCACTGCTCAACACCGTCCGAGCGCTCCTCAGCAGGTAAGCCCGCCCTCCTCTCCCTCACGCACGCACGCCCTCCCCCTCCTCCCCAATCCACACCCATGACGAACCGGAGTTGAGGAACTCCTTTCACTTAACTGGCACCTCTTGCATGAGCTCCGCCCTTTTTCACTCCCCTCTCTCTTTTCTCGAGGGAGACGAAGATCCCGTTAGATCTCTTCTTTTCTCGCGAGGGGAGAGGGAGGGGAGGGGGGGGCGGGACGTTGAGCTGAGATATTATCTGATTCGAATTGAGGAGCGAGGGGGCGTGCGCGCGAAATGAGGCGAACGAGCAGGGTACTGACTCGTGCCTCGTCTTCCCTCAGAAACAGATCTCGTCTTCAATGCTCCGATTTGCACAAGCTTAGATCCTGACGCAGATACAGACGCTCTCGCAGCTAGCACAGACACAGAACCAAACACAGACACAGACACAGAAGCAGACCCAGACTCAGACGCAGACTCCGGTTCAAACGCAGACGTCCGCAGCTCCTCTCGCAATGCACAGTTCTCGTTCTTACCTCTCGCGTCTCGTCCGTTTCTCGTAAGCGTCGTGCAAGTCGCAACACAGAGAGAGGGCAAAGCGAAGGTTGCGTAGGATTGACAACGAAAGGCATACACGGGGGAACGAGGCAAACGACGACGAGGGACATGACAGGAAGATGCGAGGGAGAGGCGAAGCGTGCCGGCCGCTTCCTTAGCTCGTGAAGGTGAAAGAGGGCGACGGCGTTAGAAGCGACGCGGAGAGACGGGCGAGGAGGAGGCAAGGGGAGTCGAGGAGGTGAAGTTGCCGCTATAATTCGGCTTCGTCGCCGTTTTCTGCGCAACCAGTCTCGTCATCTCTTCCCAGCCATCCAAGAGAAGCCCAGCAAAACTCACCCTACACGCCTCACACCTCAACCCCCCATCCTCCCCAACCCGACACTCACTATCCAACCCCCTCGCACACCCCTCGCACCTCAAACAATGCCTATGATACCTCCTCCCCCTCGGTCCCAAAACCAGCTCTTTCTCCGTTGCGCGCGACGAACAACCCGCGCAGAGGAGGTGGCCGCCGAGGTTCGACGGAGGCGGGCGAAGGCGGGAGAAGATGGAGGGTTCGCGAGGGTTGGAAGGGGCGGAGGGAGGAGGGGCGTGTTTAGGTGGGAAGGAGGGGAGGGTGGGAAGACGGGTCGAGCGGGAGGAGGAGAGCGCGTCGGAGGCGAAGAAGGGGGAGGCGAGGATGGCGGGCGAGGGGGAGGCGGGTGGAGGGGCGCACTGCGAGGACAAGAGCGATCAGCATGCAATGTAGGAAGAAGAGAGGACGTCGAAGCACCTTCTGATGATATGGCAAGCCCGCAACTTCGACAAACCCCCTCTCTCCGCGCTGCGTGCCTAACGCTCCGCTACACCCCGCACAGCAGAAGCAGTCCGTGTGGAACGACTTGCCGCTCCGAGGGATGGTCACGCTCTGCCCGTAGCCGAGCGGGCGGCCGCAGCCGGAACAGGCGGGGTCGTCGGTGTCGAGTTCGGCGGTGAGAGGCGGGTCGGGCGTGGTGGCGTCTTCGGACGTCGCGTCTGGCTCGGCGAGAGAGGTGATGATCGTGCGGTAGCGCTTCGGAGCCGGAGCGCACTGCAAATCGAGGCAGACCCGTCAACATGCGCCTGAATTCGCTTCAAGAGAACGCGACGCACCTGCTGATGCCACCACCTCCCCTCCGCCTCCACATACTTCCCAGTCCCCAACCTCTCCTCGCACCCTCCGCACCGGAAACAATCGCGGTGCATGACCTGGCTCGTCTTGGGCAGCTCGACGAATTCACCGTACCCGAGCTCGCGGTGGCAGATGGGGCAGGCGTCGGGGTCGGCTGGAGCGGGAGTGGGCCTAGGAGCGGAAGAGGGGAGCTTGGTTGGTGAGGAAGGCTGGACGGGCGAGGGAAGCGGGCGAGGAGGATTGGCGGTCGGCTGGACAGGCGCGAGCGCGGGTCGAGCTGGCGAACTAGTCGGTTTCGGCGGGCTGGTGAGGCCGCTCGCGAAGACCGACTTGTTCGGCGAGGCGGGGCGTGACGAGGTTTTGACAGGCGAGGCCGGACGGGCGAAGGGGGAAGACTTGCTCGAGGCCGTTGACGCGGGCTTCGACGACGCGCCGGTACTCGTCACGCCAGGCTTGAGGAACGACGCTTGACTGGGTGGATCGGCAAGGCCGGCTTGTCGAAGTCGCGTGCCGAGTTCGTCAAGCGAAGGCGCGATAGGCGACTTGTCCCGCTCTGCTCGCACCCGCCACGCCTTCGGCTTCTCATCGTTCGGTATAGACGCGGAGCTCGCTGGCGCGGCCTTCGAGGTCCAGACGTTCGACTTCTTCGCCGTGCCAAGCGAGGCGGACGGAAGAGACGGCCTGCCCCATTTGCTTGGCGGCGGAAGGACGGAGACAGGCTTCTTGCCCCATTCGGACTGCGAAAGGTGCGGCGAAGGAGGAATGCCGCGCGTCTTGTAAGCCTCGCTGTCGAAGCAGGCTTCGCAGGAGGGGAGGCCGGCAAAGTCGATGACGGGCGATGTCGAGGGGTCCTGCGAGCTCAACGTGAGCTATTGGCTGGGCTTGATGGGGAGGGAGGCGCACCTCGCAGTACGAGCAGGTGTAGCAAGCCTGGCGGAACGATCTATGTTAGCAGCGGTTGCGACTGAGCGAAGCCGGCCCCTTACCTCGTGCCACAAGTTGCCGTCATGCTTGACGAACGGTGCATCTGAGAGGACGGCGTACTTGCATTTCTTGCTGCAAAAGCGGGAGGGTCGGTCCGCCGTTCGACAAGCGGATGAGAGCAGACGGACCAGTTGCCCTTGCGGAATCGCTCGGCGAAACATTGGCGGCAGAAGAAGACCTCGGCGAGCGAGGCGTCGCCCTTGGCGTCAGGATGCGGGTAGATCACCTCTTCCTGCGAGCAGGGGGCGCTGAGCGACGGTCCGAATGAAGCAGGATTGGCTTTGCTCACCTGACGGAATTTGCTGGTACACGCTGCACACTGCCAATTGTCCTTCGGGCTCAATACGCTGCCGAAGACGCTCGAGAGCTCGCCGTCGTCTTGCTGAAGGAAGGATTGAGCGAGTTTAGTCGGGCTGGGAGGACGGGCAGGCGCGACGAGCGTGCGAGAAGGGGTGCCGAGTGGTGTCGTCGCGGTGGGGAAGGTCTTGGCATCTGGCGGTGCGGGCGACGGCGACTTTGGAGGCGAACGAGAGACGTAGCTGTCGCAAGACGAGGTCAGCACCGCCTTCAAGCCATTCGAGGAGGGTGAGCGCAGAGCCAGAGACTCCGAGCGCACCGCTGAGACCATCTGTCACTCGTGGCGCTCCCAAAGAGTGCCTTCGTAACCGTCTCTGCTCGCACGATGGTGTGTCAGCTCTCATCCTTGGTGTTGGCTGATGAGAATCGACGAGGAGCGGGCGCACCTTTGCTCGTCCCGCCGCACTTGCACCGTTCGCCTGTCGTGATCTCGCCGCAGCGTCTGCAGAAACCCATGAGCACCCCAGCCAAACGAGCGATGTGAGCGAGTGACTCTGGGCGAACCTGTCTGTGCGCTTCTTCGCCTCCTGCAATACACGGCTGTCTCGCTAGACTGCTCGAACAGCTACGGGACCGCTTGTTAGCCACTCTTTGGGGCCGCCGCATCCCCGTCATGCTCTCCATCAGCGTTCTTCCGGCGGAACTCGTCCTGCAGATCCTCCTCGACACGAGTTGGTGCCCGGGGCTGAAGGGGCCGAATCCAGACGTCCTGCGCCCCTACAGCCTCGTCTGCAAGTCCTGGTATCGACTCGCCCTGCCCTACCTCGCGCAGAATGTCTACGCCCTCACGCCGCCTCGTCTCGTCGATCCTTTGGACGGCGTCGACCGCTACCGCTTCGTTCGCTCGGTTGCGTTCGGTCCAGCCATACCGGACCTGGCGGTGACAGACAGGGATGCGGCGCTCTTCGAAGAAAGAGAAAGCATCGACATCTGGCCCCCCAGCGAGGGAAACGATCCGCCCGAGATCTTGGCTCGCATGCTGTCGGCACTCGCCCAGGATACCGACAAGCTCCACCCTGAGGAAGCTGTTGCGCTCAGTCACTTCAAGACAGCGTTCGCTCAGGATGCAGCGATCAAGGTCGCCTGGTTCGACTTCTTCTCGCGCTGTGCGCCGACTCTGCGCCGCCTCGACATCCTCGCAATTGATCGCTGGCTCGAGTATCCAGACGAGTCGGACTTCTTCGCGTTTCAAAGGTCGCGTGGCGAAGCGGCTTTCTTCGGCGCCTCTTGGCGACGAGGCGAACACGCAATTGACCAGTTGAGGCGCAGCCGAGGCAGATACGCCCTTGAGCACCTGCAACTTGACTCGTTGCCCGTCTCTGGCGCCCTCACGAGCTTGCACATCGGGATTTGCGACGATCTCGACCTCGAGCCTTTCCTCAAGCGCGGTCACCTCTTCCCCTCGCTCGAGACTCTCGTCATCCACCACACCGTTGACGCGCCGAACAAGCCTCGGATGGTGGAACGCGAGGAGGGCAACACGTTCATGCACCCTCTTACCGTCCAGATCCTCGGTGTACCCAACAAGCTTGACTTCCGTTACAGGAGACTCGTCAGGGCGTACGCTGCGCCTTTCGCCTCAAGTCTTACCTGTCTCGTTTTCGAAGGCGGGCCCGTTATGTCTGCCGGAGTCGTGTACCCGAAACTGGACTCCATGTTCTCGGAAGGACTCGACTTCCCCCGCCTCGAGTCGCTCTCCATCAGGATGCGAGTCTTCGGGAAGGATCGCCACCTCCTCAGGGAGCGCTTTCCGAACCTTCGCAGGCTCCAGCTTACCGACTATGCCAATGGGAAGGCGTCCTGTCCCGAACTGCCATCGACTCTGGAGTACCTCGATATTTGTTGCGACGACTCGGTCTTGCCGGAACTTCGCGCGATGACAAGCTCTCTCTCCCGCCTTCGTTACTTCGCTCTGCGCACCAGTACCTTCAGGTTCGTACCGTTCCTGCAAGAGTGGGCCCACGAGCTTGAGGAGAAGGGCTGCACCACGCACGAGGCCTTTGACTTCGCGCGCGCCGACGAGGATCACGCAGCCGCTCCCGACTCGAGGCCGGAAGACGACACCTACGAGCCTTCCGACGACGGCGCCGACTCCGACTCGTCCGACGACGACTTGGCGCCCGACATGTCGAATGGGAAGCCATGGTGGTGGGCTGGTGGTCCTCGCGAAGAGCTGATGGAGCGTTTCCTCGACGGTGAGCCCGCGCACTTCCTCCCTTCGGTCGCGCTGAGCTGACCCTTTCCCTCTGCAGTGCTTCAGCCCGAACAGCGGCGCCTCTGGGGAATCGAAGAGTGAACGCTTGCCTCGAGGTCGTGCTTGCGGGTTGAGCGGGAGGCGGACGTACTGGCTTTAAGGCAGGCCTGCAATCGCTTGAAAAGTTGACCGATCCTTTCTCAAGCGACCGTTCGCGCAGAAGAGAGAGCAAGCGACTGCACAATGACAAAGAGAGCTACAAGCGTAACACAAGCGAACCACCCTCCTCGACGCCTGAACAAGCGGACCTCTGAACTCTCCCTTTCTTTCCCGCTCACCTCCCTCCACCGCGCCACTTCATCGTCTCGCGCATCGCCTCGCCGAGCGTCGAGGTCGCGTCGAAGCAGGCGTTCTGCAAGCTGCGCTTCTGGACTTCTCCCTCGAGAGCCTTCTGTTCGGCCGTGCGAAAGTCCTGTGGCAACCGTTCAGGCGTCAGCTCTTCTCGCTCGACACAGGCGAAGGAGCGAGACGCACCGCAGACGAGCACACAACAAGCTTCGCAACCTCAAACTCCCCATCGACGACCTTCATCCTCAACGTCCTGTTCCCAGGCGTCTTGAGGTTCTGGTACAGGAAGCGGACCTTGGTGCGGTACGCCTGGGTCGGGGTCATCTTGTCGCTCGGAAGGTTCTGGTCCCAGACGGCTTGCTCGATCTCGATAGCTTTGGCGGCGAGCGTCTTCGTTTCTGCGAAAGTCGACTCCGGGAATTAGCCTTCGCTCCGTGGGAGAGGGTGACTTGTACGCACCGGCTGTCGAGTGGCAAGCGATTGCGTCGTACAACGCCTCACAGCACGACGCCCTCACCTTGTTGGCCTTTCCCGCCTTCCCGACCTTCTTCTCACCCTCATCCTCGCTCTCCCCTCCCTTGCTCTTCTTCCCTTTCCCCGTCGCTCCAGGAAAGATCTTGTCAAAGCAAACCGAGTCGGTCTCGTGCGTCCTTGCGGGCGGAGCGGACTCGCGCGCTTTTTTGGAGGCGGGCGGAGCGAGGTCCGGGTCTGGAGTGGCTGACGCAGGGCGCTTGAGAGGTGCCGGCGGAGTCGAGGTGGTGGCGGGGAGGGAGGGGCGACGCGTCGAGAGCGACGGGCGGGGAACGGTGGGAGAGCTGGACGTGGACTCGGGCGGAGAAACAGTCGCGGTCGTCCAGCGAGGCTTCTCCTCCTTGACCTGCGACGACTTCGACTCGGCAGCAGGAGGCGAGCTAGCCTTCTTGATTGTGGTCGATGTCGAGGCGGAAGCGGAAACCGAAGCTGCGAAGGTCCCCTCCCCCTCCGTCAGTCCCGCCTCTCTCTTCTCGCTCGGCAGGCAAAGCAACGCACGTGACATGCTCCTCCCCTCCTTCGGCAGCACCGCACTCCTCCACTTCTGCACGAGCGCCTTAGCTTTCGCTGTAACTTCAGGCGAGGAGGCGGACTGGGCGACTTTGTTGACCGTTACGCCGATTTTGGTTTCCTGCGAGCGTGCGAGCCGGATGTGAGTCTCGCCAACCTATCTCACGCCTGACGGCGCGACCGAATCGCGCAGCGCAGACAAGAAACGGGACAAGCTCACCCTGAGCAATTCCTCCGTCGCCACGACGCCCTTGTCCAGCTTCTCCAGCACGTCGAGACACGTCTGCACGTCGTTCAAAGAGTCAATGACCAGCGCGAGAGCCCGGCGAGAGCTGTGTGACGGCCAGGACGCGCCCTCCACTCGACGGTCCTCCTCGCGTGCACTTCCACCCGACCCGCCGAACAACGTGCGTTTAAGCCACTCTGCAGCCCGCGCACATCTTCTCCTCCCGTCTCCTTCCACCCGCTGCGACCCTCGTCCACCCCTCGTCCTCCTCCCCCCTCACCCGCCAAACGCGAGCAGAGCGAAACGCACCTTTGCGTCCCCCGCCCCCTGCGCACTCTGCAGCATCTTCCGCAGTTCCTGCACAGTCGTCGCGTCGAGCATCGTGACGTGTGAGAGCGGGTGGGAGGGGAGATGAGGAGAGAGGAGGCAAGGGAGGGGAGGATGGGACTGCGGGAGGGTCGGTGCGCTCAGGTGGGAGGATGAGCGCGCTTCGTCCGGGAGAGATGTGCAGTACAGTGCTGTGGAGCACACGAGTGGCGGAAGAGCGCAGGGAGGAGGAGAACGCGAGCGAAGAAAGCTGAGTTGCGAAGGTCAACCTCCCAACAACGAGCGGAGCGAGCAGCAACAACCGCAGAGCGTGTTTGGAGAGACAATAGTAGGCGGGATAGTATGGCAAACACTTGCGACACAGGCAAGGGATAGGGAGGGACTTTTGACGAGGAGGCGGGGAGGGAAAGAGACAAAACTTGCGCGAGGAGGAGGAGGGAGAACAGACATGTCTACTCCGAGTACTCGTTGTTGATCTCCTCCGGCTTCTCAATCTGCACAGTGACGAACGAAGGGACGAGTCAGTACGTGCGTTCGTCCAGCGAAAGGCGAGGGAAGTGGGCGCGAGCGACTCACAAACCGCTTGATCCTCTCATACACCGTAAACACGACCGCCTGACCGGGCGCGACACGCGCGACACGAGGCGTGATGCCCTTGTAGAATGCCGAGGGTCCTTCTTCCCGGAACATCTGGCCTGCGACGGTCGAGAAACGGGTCCATGCGGTCTCGCCTTTGAGGGCGGTGGCGCGCTGGATGCGGGTTCTGCGGGGACAGGAGTCAGCTCGTCGTTCGAAAGAGGGAGGGATGGAGAGCGCACTTGATGGTGTCGATGGGAGCGTTCGTGAAAGGTCCGACGGCGCCCGAGATCAACCCGATGATGGACGTCTGCCACGCGGGGAGACCGCCGTCCGGGTACTCGGGCTGCCACTTTTGCAGCAGGCGCTTGAGCTCGGTGTAGGCGGTAAAGTTGGCGGCTGTGCGCGCGAAGAATCGGCATATCGTTAGTTCCGGCACGAAGCGAGATCCGACGAGAGCGCTCGTGGGTCGCACGCACCCTGGTTCGTCGCCTGCCTCAGCGCCGTCAAAGCCACACCGCGGTAAAGCGTCCTCGGTCCCTCCTCGCGGAGGATGACGAAGAGCGCGTGGGCCGCGTTGCGGTACTTGGGAACGTCGAGCGGGTCCGTCATCGAGTGCACTTGGGCTTGCAGGCGGATCTTGACGACTTCCATCGGGCAGACGACCATGACTGCTTCTGTCACTCCTGCGCCGAGACCGGCTGCGACGGGGGGACAAGCTCTTGTCAGTCCGCGTCATTCCCCAAGCTTGTCAGTCCATTGGGTCGGGACGCACCGAGGAAGATCATGGAAGAGGAAGCGACGCCCGTCTCCTTGTTCGCCAAGAACCCCTTGTACTGCTCAAACGACGCAAACCGAATCGCCATCTTGGGCACGATACCCGTCACGACCGCTCCCAATCCCTTGTACAAGCCGAGGGGCGACTCTTTCGCGACGATGTGTGCGCCCGTGGCGATGAATCCGCGGGGCTTGACCTGCGCGACAGAGGGGAGTTAGATCCCGCGGCTTGTCGAGGTTTGGACGGAGAAGGGGAAGACGCACTCCGGCCTTCCTGCCGCTCTTGCTCAGTTGCATGCGGACCTGTCGCCATGCCGGACCGTTCAAAAAGTCAGCTCGTTGCCCGTCGGAACAGTCGGAGAATAGTCCGCATTCATCTCGCCGCACTGTTCTCACTTCCGACAGCTCCTGCAAGCGCAGGAAAGTCCGCACGCACCTTGATGGTGTCCAGCGGGTGGCACACGAGCGCCTCTGCCAGTCCTGCTCCTCCGCCCGCAAGCAAGTGGATACCAATCGGCGTCTTCTTCTTCGGGTCTGCCTTGGATGCGGGTGCCATGTCTGCCGTGCAGAATCAGGTAACGTTTCGGACGGTCGAGCGAAGTTCGGAGGAAAGCGAGGGGAGTGAACGGGCGGGTCAGCGTTTCTTGAGTCGGCGAGGAGGGTGGGGGAAGCGGAACGGCGTGCGCACCTGCGTGGGCTGTGCGAGTGTCTGTGGGAGGGAGATGCGGTTGCTGTGGATGCCAGGCGGGCTGTTTCTGGGCGCACGGAGCGGGTGAGGGAGCGGAAGACGGTTGCCGGAGTTGGGTTTGGTTTGCGAGTGGGAGATGTGCGGGTTGCGGGTGAGCGCGGGTCTTTGAGGGTGAGTGAGTGTGAGCTTACAGAGTAGCTGTGTACTGTTACTACGAGTCACACGAGCAGTACGAGGGAGAGGACGAGGGAGAGAAGTTGCTCGTGTGCGGTTCGTTCCGAAGTTGTCAACCCGGCAAACTCGCAAAGTCCGACCGACTGCAGCCAGCGTCACTCTTGCTAAGTTAGCTGCTAAGGTCTAGTACTAGCAGGGTTACCCGAGGACAATCAACCACTACACTCGCTCACTCGCTCACTCGCTCACTCGACGCTGTCCGCGGCCCCGCACACTTGGCCGGAACAGCTCTCCGCAGTCCGCACGCGAGTACGGCTCGAACAGGGGAAGGTGTACTGTACCCTGCATTGTCAAGCGAAGACACCTCCTGCCTCAGTACTCGAGCTCGTCGTCCATCTTGGCATCCGACGCCGCACTGACAGCCGCAGCCGCCGCGGGCTGCTCGTCGCTGGCCCCGTTTTCCGTCGCCATCGAGACGTCGTCCTGCTTCGACGCCGACGCCGACGCTGACACTGCTGCTGCCCCTGGGCTGGTCGAACGACGCGCGCCGTCATCGTCGACCGCCGTTTTGCCCGCCGCCGCCGCATCCTTCGACCTCGACCTGCTCCTCGATCGGGACCTGCTCCTCCTCCTGCTGGCCGCGGGACCCCTCGCCGTTCTCGCGTCTCCATCCTCCTCCATCCTCTCCTCCTGCTCCCTCCTCCTCTTCTGCCTCTCGACCCTCTGCGCCCTCTCCTGCTCATCCCCCAACTCGTTCCTCCTCTTCTTGGCCTCCTCCAACTTCTCCACCTTTTCCCTCCTCACTTCGTCCCAGTCTTCCCTGTCCCTTCGGATAGCCTTCTTCGCATCCGAAATCTGATCTTCGATCCGGTCTTCTTGCGAGGGGAGCAGGCGGTGGGGGAGGTAGTAGATTGGGCGGACGGCGCGCGGGTCGGTCAGCTTCATCGCGTGGGGGAGGCGGGGCATGAAGGGGATCGAGATCGAGTCGGTGGTGGTTGGCGGAGAGGAAGGGGCGAAGGTCGTGCAGAGGAAGCCGGCGAGGTCGAGTTTGGCGTTGTGCCGCGTGCGGTACTGCGCGCGCGCGGTCATTCGTCAGTGCACGAGCTGTAGAGACCGTAGACTTGTCACTCACGATAGCCTCGGCATGCGCAAGGTTGTCTTCCCTCCGATGCACCTCATTCTTGACCTCCCTCAACTCCCTCTCCCTCCTCTCCTTCTCCTGCGCCTCCCTCCTCTCCTCCCTCAACCTCTCACTCAACTTGCCCTCCAACTCGGCCCTCTTCCTCCCCGCATCCGTCTCCTCAACTTTCCTCACCTCCTTCTTAGCACGCTGCAATGTGCCCAACATCATCCCGAACATCCGGTTGCCACGCTGGCGAGCTTCGCGTTTGAGCCCTTCGAGCTTTTGACGCTTCTCGGCGCGTTGCTCGTCGGTTTCGGCGGGAGGAGGAGGGGAACGAGGACGGGTGGTCGACATGCCGGCTGTCGCGGGTTCAGAGGCGGCGGGAGGAGCGGCGGTAGACTCCATCCCCTCAGTCGCCGGGTCCGTATTCGTCCCATTCTCCGCAGGCGCGGCGGCAGCCTCGCCCGTTGCAGATTCAGGATGAGGAGGGGGAGGGGGAGCCGAGTCGCCCGCTTCCTCCGCAGAGACCATCGCCGCGTCCCCGTTCTCCTCCACCTGCGCTTCTGTACCCTCCGCAGATGCGGGCGCCTCCATCCCTGCTGTTGCGGGCTCCGTCTTGGAGAGGGGAGGAGCGGTGGATGATGACGAGGGACCTGGGTCGGCGGGGCTACGGGCGTGTAGAGCGGTCAGCTAGAGCGCGTACTGAGTGTGGAGAGAGTCAGACAAACTGCGAGTCGGACATCCTGGTGAGAGGCGGGCGGGGGGTGCGAGGAGAAGGTTCGCAGGAGGTCCTCGAGAGGTTGTGACTTTCGAGCGGTCGCTTAGAGGTGCGCTTTTGCGCTCAAGTCGATGAAGCAGGAGTAGAATTGACACCTCACGCGAACGGGAAGGGAAAGGAGCTTTCTCCTCGCGCCAGCAAACAGCATCGAAATTCGAAGTCACTGCCAATGCACACCCGAAGAGCTCACTACCTATTCCTCGCCCTGTACAACGGTCCTCCTGAACCACTGCAGCTCGCGGCACTTCTCCCCACACATATGAGCCTGCGCGTTCTCGAGGTTGATGAGGCGGAGTGTCCCGTCGTCGGCCACAACGAAGTTGCGCCCGGCAGCGTCGCCATGCTGCAAGCCTACTTGGTGTAGCCGCTCGAGGAGGCGCAGACCTTGCAGCCTGCCAGAAGGGAAGGAATATATGAGCCAAGGTCAGGGAGAGAACGAGAGAAAGTCCGCACGCAACGCACTTTTGCTCGCGAGTCCAGTCTGAGAAATGCGACATCACCATACCCGCGTCCTCCATAATTATCATCTCCCCTTCGCCCGTGTCGGAGCAGAAGCGCCCGCCCACGACTGGTGTAAGCGGCTCCAAACCCTCCTCTCCCTCTCGCCCGAGCGCCATCTCGAGCTTTCGGTAGTTCTCCATCTCCGAGGCGAGGCCGTCATACGCGTGGGAGACCTTGATGAGCACTGAGGCGCCACCAATCTTGCCGCGATATACCCTGCCAGCCGAACCGTAGCTGACGGCGTCGTACCCCATCTCGAGCGTGATGTCGTCTGTACAGCTGAATTCTTCATCGCCGCCGTTGCCCGTCGAAGCGTTGAGCCGCTTTGCAGATGAGCGGTCAGGCGAGGCCGCCGGTGTCGCGAGGCCGTTGATCGTGGAGGGGAGGAGCGGCGGCAGCCTCACGAGCGTGTCCTTTGCTTGCAGACCTTGCCAGGTGCGACGAAGCGAGGGGATCTGCAGGCGCAGATATTGTCAGCACGGGGGTATCGCGAGCGCAGCAGATTGACGCTCAACGCACCGACCGCAGCTTGAGTAGGACGTCAATTCCACAAGTCGGTACCGGCGAGATCTGCCTCTTGCACTGCATTAGCGCCGTCTCCTCGAGACAAACGTCCGAAGAATATACCTCTGAATGACTTGCTATGCGTGGTGGGCTGTTGGCGGAATCGGCGCGCACTTGCGAAGACTTGGTCTCGCCTCCCGATCCGCCTGAAGGCCATTCGCGCGCCGCCTCCTCGCCAATCGACGCACCACTCGCTCGAACTCCGCCACGAGTAGTCGCCACGCTTGGACGGCTCAGCTCAGCCGGCGGTTCCTTCCCGTCGTCCGTCCCTCTGTTATCCTCACCCTCGCCTCCTGGCAGAAGCGGCGGCGGTGATGACGAATTCGCGGAGGGAAGGGCGGATGTCGCCGTCGAGGCGAGGCGAGGGTCGCCCCAGAAGAACAGCCCACGCGAAGCGTACGCTTGGACTACGGTGCGATAATAGGGCTGGGTGAGGACGAAGTTCGAGAAGAAGCGAACGTAGAGAGGCGGAAATAAGGGAAATGTTTCTTCGAGGAGAGGGGCGAGGAAGACGTTGAAGAGGCCGCCAGCGAGGAAGGGGGTGATCGGGGAGAAGAGGAGGAACGAGCCCTGCGCCGAGTCGACCGTCTTGGCTCGCGGCGGCGGGTCTGCGATAACTCGGGTCAGTGCGACAGAAGCGACGAGCGGATTGTTTAGCGCACCAGAGTACGGCGCCGAGAAAACCGGCAGCCAGATTTCGACGACCGCCTCCGACGTGCTCATCACGACTGCGGAATGAGCCTGCCCGCCTTCAGCCTTGTCCATCGAGCAGTGCATCTGTGTGATGATTCTCAGAACGTCGAACGGCTGACTTCGTAGCGAGAGCGAACCAACCTTCTGCATGAGGACCTGGCTTCCCGTCGCGACGATTTTCTTCTCATTGCGGGTCCCGGTCTCCTCCTTGAAGCTGAGCGGAACGCTCTTGCAGTTGAATGGGCGGACGTAACTGAGGCTGCCCTTCTCGCTCGCCTTGTACTCGAAGTCGTCGACGTACGCGAGGAGTCGGTCGAGCGGACGCTTCGCCTTCAGCTCGATCAACATGAGCAAGAAGGCATCGCCCTTCTGTTTCCGCGGCAACTGGTTGAGGTAGCGCACGACTCGAATATTTGGGCGCAGGCGGTCCTCGTCCAGGATCTGGTGGTCGTGGCTCAGTTGAGGCTCGTATCCGATCGTCGCGCCAAGAAGAGCGGAAAAAGCGATCAAAGACCGCTCGATAATGGTGGACAACTTGATCGTGGCGCCTTCGTTTTGCTCGCGCTCATCGTCCAACGCCCTGTCGGAAGAGAGGGAGATCAGCCTGGGGAGGCTCATGATGTTGCGTCCACCCGCTGACTCACTGTCGCCTGAAGCAAAACGTCTTGAGCTCGCCTATCGCTTCAAGAGCGTCGGTCCGTCTTGGCTCCGGCAGATCCCACAACACGTCCGCAAGCGGTCGGTCAAGCAATGCTGCTGCGCCCCGTCGTTCGAAGAGTGAGGTGATCTGGGAAGCGTTGGACTCGGCGTATGACTTGATCAGATCCGTCTGCAGCGTGCAGCACAAGGGGGCGCGGCTTCCGCGGTCAGACGATGAGGAGGAAAGGTAGTCGCTCAGAAACCGCGTGTCGGTAGATTCAGACTCCTGAAGAGCGTTCGTCACGTCGAGCTCGTTGACTCCTAACGCTCCAGAAGACAGCAATGTGCGTGGGCCGCCGAGGTGGCGCGTCTTGCAGACGAAGTCGATGCAGGAGAGGTACTTCCGAAGGGGATCGCCAGGCAGGCAGGAGAAGGGTTGAACGCGGGAAGCGAGAGTCTTCTCCTGAGAGGAGCAAGAGTCAGTACAGATTGCTGCATGGACCTGCGGAAACGTACAAATTGTCGGCGTTCTCCTTGTAGTTCCCTGCTCAGACCCGATAGCGCCAGACGTCGCGCCGCTTCGTCCTGCAAGTACAGCGGCAGTTTGTTGACGTAGTCGATTTCGTCTGGTTCCAAGGAAAGCAAGACCTCTTCGATCGTCTCGAGTTCGTCCACACGATCCTCGTCGTGTCGGGACGTGGACGTCATGTCGGCAGGCTCTTGAAGCAGGCAACGGAGCGTAAGCGGCAGAGGTGTCGCTGCTTTGAACCTCGAGTGAGCGGTAGCAAGCCAGCCTGGGGCGTCGAGCGAGAGCAGCGGTGATGGAAGAGAGCAACCTGTCGAGTTGTGTCGAGGCGAAGGTTTGGAAGAGCCCACCTCGCCCAGTCAGCGCCAGCCATGTCGTGAGTTGTCTAAAGGGGTACACCAGTCTACCGAGCCACCGAATCCGCTGACCCGCCTTTCATGCTCTCCCCGCGACCCTCCCTCTCCTCATCTTCGACAGCGACATCGCCATCCTCGCGAGCCAGAACAGGTCCGAGATGGAAGCGGCGCAGAATCGCGCGCTGGAGAGGCAGGAGACCGGCCAGGAAGGCGTCGCTTCGAGCTTTATCTCGGAGAAGCAAAGGAAGAAATCCTACTGCAAATGCAAGCGAACGCTTGCCCCTACGACTGACTCTTGACGGAATCTCGACACATCTTCCTGAACCACTCGAGCTCGCCGCACTCGCCGCCGCAGGTGTGAATCTGGGCATGCTCGAGGTCGATGAGGCGGACCGTCCCGTCCGGCGAAAGGACAAAGTTCTGTCCGTGGACGTTGTTGTGCGACAGGCCGGCACGGTGGAGGCGTTCGAGGAGACGGAGAGCTTGTTGCCTGTACGACGCACCCGTGAGCAAGGGCGTGAGGCGGCGAACAGGACGCAAGACTCACCTCTGCTCGAGCGTCCACTTCTCAATCCACCTCGACATGACCTCGCCGCCATACTCCATCACGATCATGTCCTGCGCATCCGTCGTCGAGTAGAAGCGACCAACCACGATCGGCGTGATCCGCTCCGAGCCGAGAACGCCCTCCTCGCCCATCGCCTCCTCCAGCCGCTCATACATGCACGCCTCGCGCTCGAGCGCATCCTCAACGTTGTGCGTCTTGAGAACCAGCTCGACACCTTCGTATGTCGCGCGGTAGACGGCCAAGTTCCCTTCCTGCTTCAAGCGGGCTGGATGGGCGAAGACAGGCGGGAGGTCTGCTGGATCTCGAGCGCTGCGGCTCGCGGCGGCTTCGGCGGTGAGGAGCGCTGCGCCAATGTCGAAGTCGGAGGGGTTGAAAGGCGGGATGGTTGCGAGGAGGCTGGGAGGGAGGGCGCTCGTGGGAATGGTGATGGTCGCAAGCTCGTCGTACGATTCGCGGGACGAGACGGCCGAGAGGGAGTTGTGCGAACGAATGAACTTGTCGTCGGCCGGCGCACCCGGCCAACGCACGCGGAGTTTGGATGCCTGAAGCAGGCGAGAGAGTGTAAGAGTGCGTTTCGCGTCAAAAAGAAGGAAAGGGAGCGCACCTGACGAAGTTCCTCGAAAGCCTGCTCCATGCTCACCTGCGTCGCCGTTGTGGCTTTCTTGCCTCCGCCATACTCGACAGCGTCTCCCATCACCGACGCATCGTCACCCGACGTCGCCTCATGCAGCCTCGGGTCGCCAAAGAGGAACAAGCCCTTCTCCGCAAGCTTGTCAAGCGTCGGGCGATACTTGTCCGAGGCGAGTACGCGGGCGGACATGCTGCGCACGTAAGCTGGCGGATCTTGCGGGAACGGTTCTTCGAGGATCGGCGTGAGGAAGGCGCGGTACAGCTTCGGGGCGAGGTTCGGCAGGACTGGCGAGAAGATGGGGAGCGATGACTGCGCCCACTCAGCGACGGTCTCGCCGGGAGCTGGCGCTGAAGGGCTCGAGGCGGTCAAGATGGGATGTGCTCGTGCTCCAGCAAAAGAAACGCACCTCGATAAGGCGGAGTGAAAAGTGGGAGATAGACCGCGACGACGACGCTCGTGCGGCTAAAGATCATGGTCGAGTAGCGGTCGCGAGCGCGGTCGGTCTCGATCGGACGCTGAGACTGCAACATGTGTGGGTCAGCTTACGTCGAACCTATGGAAAGCGAACGTCAAGCACCATAGCGAGCAATGCCTGACTCCCGTTCGCATAGACGACGTCGTCCTCCTCCGTCCAGCCGACCGCGACGTTGTCTTCGGTGAAGTCGAAGAGAACGGTGTCGCCCGTGGAAGACCCGCCGCGCCCAGACACTTGCCGCACGAAGTCGAGCAGCTGATTTGCCTTGAGCTCGCTGAATTCGAGCAACGTGACAATCGTCAGGGAGACTTGGCCTCCGCACGACCAACTGCGGCCGAAGACGGATTGCGCAAGTTGTTCTGCGGGCGAGGTTGGCGGATCGGGCACAGAAGAAGAAAGGGTATCCGGGTCCGTGAGAGGTATGTCGAGGAGAAAGGCGATGAGCTGCATGAGCTTTGGCGTCGCATGATCGTACTCGTCGAACAAGCGGTTCGAATGCCACGATCGGTGCGATGACAGGCCGTAGCACGACAAGAAGAGTGCAGTGAGCGCCTTCGGGCGTATAGCGTCAGGCAAATATGCGATCAGATCGAACAGGCTTCGGTCAAGGACGTCTTGACGGCCGACTCGGGTGAAGAGCGCGTTGAGCGAGTCTGCAAAGTCAGCTTCGAACCAGCTCAGGAGATTTGGTTCGACGCTCGCAAGCTGCGGAGTGCGACTGCCAGTGCTGCTGGGAGAAGCGATGTAGGCAGAGAAGGGCTTGGTTGGCGCGAGGACGGTCGGAATCGTGCGGTCCTTGTCCTCCTCGAAGCGTGTGTGGCCTGCGCCGATGACAGCCTTAGGAGGTTCGAGGTATACTCCTCCATCGATGCGAGGGTGGCCGGTCATCTCGAGCGCATTCAGGAACTCGCGAAGGGACGAGTCGGGGGTGCAGCCGAAGCAGTCGACGGACGAGGCGATCTCCTCGCGCTGCGTTCCAAGCGAACCGCCGGGTTAGACTGTCAGCTTGCTCGATGTGTGCTCGAGGCGAGATCTTCGCGTACCCAGTACAGGCGTCTGCCCTCCTCCCTTTCGCGGACGAGGTCGAGTGCGAGAGCGCGACGCTCTTCTTCGTTGACAAAGTCCGGCCTGTCAACGAGTCGCCGGCCGACAGGTCCTAACAAAGCCAGAAGCTCGTCCAGTGTGCGGGTATCGTCTGCCATGCTAGGCGAGACGGGGAGGAAGGGTGAAGGAGGCGTCTTGGGGTTTTGCGGAAGGATGCGCTCGGATGCAATCGTACAGTCAAGCTCTGAGAGGCCTGTGCGAGGATATGCGAGCCAGCCTGAGCCGTTGAGTGGAAGCAGCGGTGGTGGAAGAGGGCAACCTGTCGAGGCGAAGGTTGGAAGAGCCCACCTCGCCCAGTCAGCACAAGCCATGTCGTGAGTTGTCTAGAAGCGTACACAGGACCATTGCATCCAGTACACCTGCTGACCCGCCTTCCCCGTTCTCTTCGCGACCATCCTTCCCCTCATCACCTCGCCCGCCAACTCGACAGCAACGTCGCCAACCTCGCCAACCAGAACAAGTCCGAGATGGATGAGGCGCAGATTCGCGCGCTGGAGGAGCACGAGATCAGCCAGGGGTGCGTTCCAGGTCCCGATTCGAGCGCTTCTCTCGAGGACGGTTGGCACACGAGGGAAGGCGAGAAGGGGCGGCTGCGAGCGGACAGCGGTATCGCCTCGTCGAGGGCTGCGATAGAGTTGCGCGGGGTGGATGGCTTCAGCTGGCGACCTCGCCTCCTGAAATGGACGCCCTCCTCCCGTCGCGATATGTCGCTGACTTGCACCACACCCTGCGCTTTCTTCTGTACCAATATACAGTCCCCTCTCCGTCTTGCAAACAGCGGTGCGGTCCGGCTCGCAGGTCCTTGTCGCCCTCCGCAACAACCGCAAACTGCTCGGCAAGGTCAAGGCGTTTGACCGGCATTCGAACATGGTGCGTCCGGTTCTCTAGACTCTCGCTACACTGAAGTCGTCTTCGACGATTGAGAGACACGAGCGCTAACAGTCGCTTCCCGTGCTATCGCAGGTCCTCGAGAACGTCAAGGAGATGTGGTTAGTCCTCGCCGTCCTCCTCGCTACTACGCTGCATGCGAGAAACGCTGACGTCTACCCTCGCAGGACTGAGGCACCAAAGTCGAAGAACCGCAAGCCCGTCAACAAGGACCGGTTCATCTCGAAAATGTGTACGGCCCGCCTTCGCCTGCCTGTGCTGAGGACTCCGCTGACGATCCTTGCTTGCTGCACGCAGTCCTGCGAGGAGACTCCGTCGTGCTTGGTGAGCGCGACCCGCAGCCCGCTTGCATGGATTTGTGCTGACCTCGTCCTCCCCTACAGTTCTCCGTAACACCTAAAAGCGCTTTGCTGGAGCGAGGATCGCAGTCACAGCATACCCTGATCGCGTGGAGCCACTCTCGCTTGTAACATTAATGTTCAAACACCGCACTTTGACGCGGACGGAAGCGCTAGGGAAGTTGCGAGAGTTGCATACGAAATAGAGATCGCTACGCATCGTTGTCGCTGTCGCCGAGTAGGTGCGCGTAGTCCTCGGCGCTGGCAAAGGTCGGCAGGTGCTTGACCTTGCGCTTCTTGCTGCTCTTCTTGCTCCGCGCCTTGTCCTCCTCGTCCTCCTCGTCGTCGTCCGATCCGCCGCCGAGCATGATGTCCTCGTCCGAGCCGAGCAGGTCGTCGTCGGCCTCGACGAAGCCGTCGGAACCATCGTCGCCCTCGTCCTCGTCGGGGAAAGCAGATTTCCACTCGCCCTCTTCCTCGGCGGCACCAGCCTTTCCTTCCGCACCTTCGTCCTCCGAGTCCGTGTAGTCGTACTGCGCGAGGTCGTCATCGTCGGTTATGTCCACGCCGCTCGCCTCCTCGTCGAGCAAGTCATCGAGATCCGAGTCGCCCTTCGCCTTCGGCATGCTCTTCCGCATCGCCTTCCAGATCTCCTCCTCCATCTCCTCGTCCGTCTCGGCCTCGTCATCCTCGACGTCGTCGCCCATCGCAGCCATCATCTCGTCCTCATCGAAGCCAGCGCCATCGATGTCGCCGCCTGCATCCGCGATAGACTCGGCATCGCTGCCCTCGGCCTCCTCGTCGTCCGAGTCGCGCGACTTGCGAGACTTGCGCTTTGTCGCCGCAGCCGCCTTGTCGCCATCGAGCGCGGCCTTCGAGCTGAAGAACTTGTGGAAGAAGACCTAGGGAGGAAGGGGGATAGGTCAGCGAGAGAGAGGAGGAGGAAGGAGGCAAAATTCAAGCTCACCTGGTCGGCCGGGATGTCGTGCACATTCCGCTTCCTGAACTGCTCCGAGTTGACGGGTACCTCAGCCTTGCTCGCTTTGTGCGCGCCCTTGACCAAGACGACCCGGTTGGTCGAGTCCTGACCCGCCAAGCCGGGCTGCATCATTGACGAACCCTTCGATGACGCCGCTTTCTTCGCTTCGCGGTAGACGAAGCGGTCGAGGAAGGCAGCGACGGAGTACTGCTCGAGGTCGGATGTCGCGGAGATGGGCTCGCCGGAAAGGACGGCCGAGGCGTATTGCACGACAGTCGGGTGCCAGTGCGACAGGAGCGGCATCTGCAGGCATTGATCGTCAGCGGAGAGGGAAGACTCGACAATAAGAGTAAAGTACCAGCTCCCACAGGCAACTGCTCTCGGCGTGCGCAAACTTCGGCTCGCGCTTGCGACCGTCGTAGCTGTCCAGCGCGTGCGAGTCCCGCTCGCCCTCCGGCAACTGAGCCTGAGCTTCAGAGACAGCCGCCAGCTTGGTCTTTTCCGGGATCGTGACGAGCGTGCGGAGGCCAGCGACCGTTGCCATGAGCTGCAAAAGCGCAAGAGTCAGTACGCGCCGGACAACGCAAGCAAATCATGCGCACCTCGCCGACGATGAAGAGACCGCCGAGAACGAACGTCGTGTCCATCCCGCACAAGATCTGGATCAACCGCTTGACGAAAGCTGCAACTCGGTTTACATCCTGGTCCTGCTTCGTCGCCCGGAAGAGGAGGTTGAGGTACAACGCCTGCTTCGACGAGTTGGCGAGGCGGGGGTCGTGCATAGAGGCGTACAAGGCGCGGTAGAAGCGCTCGAGGATGTCCTTCTTGGCCGACGCGACGCGGAAGATGAGCAGGAGCGCCTGGATCGAGACGTTGAAGGTGCTGGTGTGGGTGATGCGGAACAAGGTGTCGAGGCGCTTCTTGAGGAGGTCGTCGTCGATCTTGGCGAAGGGGAAGGCGCGGTTGATACCGGTCAAGACGGCCGCAACGAGCTTGCTGTCGACGTCGTCGACTGCGTCCTCGCGCCCGTTCTCGTCACCACCCTTCTTGCCACCCTTCTTCCCCTTGACGTCGCCACCGCGCGAGCGCTTCTTCCCCTTCGCATGTTTGTCGCCCTCATCCGCGCTTCCTTCTCCCTCGTCATCCTTGTCCGGCAAGCGACCGAGAACGTCGCTGAACACTTCAAAGTAGACATCAACCATCTTGCCCGCGACGTCGGCCTGATCCTTCTTGAGCATGACCTGATTGAGGGTAACGACGCCGTAGTAGCGAGCGTTGTCACGCGCGTGGTCCTTGACGGCGGCGGCAGCAGCAGCCTTCTTCTGCTTCGCCTTGTCTTCGTCGTCTTCGAAACGCATGTGAGAAGATGAAGCGGCAGGCGCGGAGGCGGCGACGGCAGAAGTGCGCGGTCGGAGAACGAGAGCGGCGACTTCGCGGACAAGGATGGGGGTCATGCCGGGGTGAGTCTGGAGGACCTGGAGGAGATGGTGCGAAGTCTTCGAGGCGATCCCGCGGTTCGTGTCACCCTGCGAAACAAGAAGTCAGACGAACCCACGGATCCGCCCAGCGAGACAAGACGCACAAGCTTGTTGACCAGGAGGCGAAGGATGTTGCTCTCCTGCTCCGGCTTGTCGCGAAGGAGGCCAGAAAGATGCATGACGGCTTGCGTCCGCGGGTGAGGAAGCGGGTCGACAGACATTTGCTGCGAAGCGGAACAAGGTTAGCTAGGCTGGGAGACTTAAGCGAGCGTGGGAACGCACCTCGAGAGCCTGCAAGATCTGGAAAAACCAGCGCTTGAACCAGTCCTCGAACGTGAAGAGGACGAGACACCGTTCGACGTCCTCCTTCGTCAGGCCTTCGTACTCCGACACGGCGTATTTGCCCTTCTTCTCGAGCGCCTCGTACGCGGCCGCGACAGTAGCGAGAGCAGGCTGGTCGGCGAAGTAGCGGAGCTTGCGAGTTGGGCTGCCACCACTTTCGCCGGACCACCAGTCGACTACACCTCGCATGGCGCGCAGAGACTCGTCGCGGCTCTTCTTGCGGCAGAGGGCGGCGAGTTGGTCGAGGTAGGTAGTCGTGTGGAGAGGAGAGGACGAGACAAGCAGGAGAAGGGCGGAGATGCGGTCGGAGGAGGTACCGGACGAGAGGATTTGCTGGATGAAGACCTGGTCGGCCTTGGAGAGACCGGTCGGAGGGGGAGGAGCCGAGCTCTTCGCCGCCTTCGGGTCGAGAGAGGACGAGTACAGGTCGTTCTCCTTCTGCAGGAGGGCGCGACCTCGCTCGAGGAGGATCGTGACGAGTTCGGGTTTGGGTCGAGGAGCGGTGGCGGAGGGCGTGACGATGGGAACCGCGTACCATTGCGGCGTAGGGTCGACGATCTGTCAAACTGATCGTAAGCACAGTCAAGAGAGGCGAACGAAAGGAGCGTGCGCACCCAAGGACTCTTTCCACCCTGCAACTTGGCAGCCCGCTTCTCCTCCTTCGCCAGCTTGTCTTCCTCCTTCTTCAGCGCCTCTTCAGCCTTCGCCGCCTCCCTCTCCGCTCTTCTCCGCGCCTCGCGCTCGACCTTGGACTCCTTCTTCGGCGGAGCGGCGTCCACCTTCTCCTCCTGCTTCTTCTCCTCGACGACGGGCTGCTCGAGCGCCTCTTCTGCTGCCTCATCCTCATTCTCCTCGTCGCTCTCCTCGTCATCCTCGTCGTCCTGAGCAGCCTCGTCCTCCGAGTCCGAGGCAGGAGCAGCCGCGCCCGCCGCCTTGAAATCCAAACCCTTGACGAACGACTTCAAGTCCCTCAAGAGGCCGGCCTGCATCGCGAGAGTACGCGCAGAGTCAGCCAACCATCGTAGAGAGACCCAGAGCCCAACCAAGCGAGCGGACGCACCTCACCCTCCTCATCTCCCTCGACCTCGCTGCCGCTCTCGACGTCCTCGAGCATTCCGAGATCCGCCTCGTCCCCTCCAAGGGCCAGAATCTCGTCCCTCAGCACGCTGTCCACCGCCCTGCCTTTGCCCTTGCCGTCAGTCGACCCACCACCCCGCTTGTCCTTCTTGTCGCCGTTCTTGCGCTTCGGAGACGCAGCGGACTTGCTGCCGCCCGCTGAGGGCGCGAGCGCCTTGATGTAGGGATTCGGAGGAGCCATGCGCTCTACGGATGGTAGCACGGAGCGTGGAGCGAGGAAGGGTGGAGCCTCACCGCCTCACCAAGCTCAGGCAGACGAGGTTGACGGACTCCGCGGGGACAAGGTCGCCTTTTCTCTGCTGGTTCGCGTCTCCATGCGACAATGCTTTACTGGTCTTGCTTCGTACACTGTCTGGCTTTCGTTCGCTCCAGAGGAGGCGGAGGAAATTCGACTTTCGCGACCTGCGTCCTCCTCGACCTCAGCGCTTCCGTCCTTCCTCCTGCACATCACCAACGACACCTACGGAGCCTGCACTGACGGACAAAGACGAAGGGGAAAAGGGACGGCGGAACACGACGGACTCCGCAGCGCTGCGGGCAAACTCAACCTCTGCGAACGCTCCCCCATTGCTCCCCCCGCTCGCGCGCTCGCGGTGACGGACTGCTCGCTACAGCACCGAGCGGCGGACACGGTGCACGGCGCTTGGCTGTCGTGGTCGAGGCAGAGGAGCGGGAGGGAGACAGGTTCGCCATGGCTCGACCCGCACGTTCGTTGCCTTGTCTCCCGCCGGCCTGCGGGTGTGCACGACGACGAGGACCACCCCCTCTGCTGCTCGAGGGGAGCGAGCCTTAGCGATGCAGATCCCTTGCCCACACCGTCCCTCGACCTTCCCAAGTATGGATACCGAGTTGTCGGGACGCTGACCCGACCAGCCGTACCTCCGGACATGCCCAGCACGACGAATGCAGGATGATCCGCTCGCTCGCTGGCACGAACCTGGGTGGATGTGGTGGCGCAGGACGAGGAATCAACGAGGGTTCAGGCCTTTCGCGTCTTTCCTGTGTCCGTCTCGAGACGGCGGTCGTGCGTGCGGTCCTTGGACGGTGTGGAGGTGGCGCCAGTGCGGGCATAGAAGCGCGTTCTTGCTCGTACCAGTCGATCCGCTGTGGGTCCCCCCCTTCACTGCAAATCAAACGCCGTCCTCGTCCCCAACGAACCTCGCGAGGACCACGCACGAGCGAGCAGCGTTGCTCGTGCTCGTGCAATACGCGCGCATACCGCTCGGGAGCCAGCGAGTTCTCGACCTGCGACACTCTCCAGGAGCCCATCCCTTCTGCTTGCGTTCCTCGCTGCCGACACTCGACTCGCCGTTCTCGCCCTCGGGTGCGCTGCCGACCAGACCACTGCGCTCTGCACGGACAGCAGCACCGTCTGCAGGCGACGACACGGCACAGGCTGCCCGCGCGCGCGGAACCGAGCGACCAACCCTTCACCTCATCACGGCTGGTTCTGTCGGCTCGGTCGCAGCGGGTGCGCGCAGGGCAGTGCAGGCAGTGCAGAGCTAGGGCATCGAGGTGCGCATGCCTTCACACAGTCGCTGCGCGAGCAACGCTGACCGCCCGCACTTCCAATTCCGCGCTGCTCGGCGAACAGCAGTCGAAGCTCGCGCTCGCCGTGCGGACGATTCATCGGTTCCCTGCAGACTTCCACTCACGCACGACCATCGCAGCGACCTCTCGAATCCACCTCGTCGAGCGACACCCTCCAAGTCTCCCCGCTTCGTCTCCTCTTCCCCCGTCGGAACTCGCGGTCACACTCTTGCCCCTTGCTCGTCCGCACCGCACGAGCGCTAGGGTTCGAGGTCACCCATGGCCGACCCCGCCTTCCGAGGCTTCGTCGAGACGACCCTCGACGCGCTCCTCATCTTCGAAGGCTGCAAGCGCGGCCTCTTGCCCAAGATCTCGCGGCGCCTCCAGGACTTTGAGAAGCGCGAACTCGTCGTATCGGGCGCCGTGTTCGTCTTTGACGAGGAAGAGACGGGCATCAAGCGGTGGACGGACGGGTTGACCTGGAGTCCGTCACGAACGTTGGGCAACTTTCTCGTCTACCGCGAATTGGACAAGAAGGCGGCGTTGCAGAAGATCCCTGTGACGACAGGAGGCGACGGTGCGAATGGGGAGGATGACGAGGAGGGAGGGAGCGGCGGGAAGAGCAGGTTGTTGGGCGGGTTGACGAGCAAGGCGGATCCGGTAGACGACTCGTCCGACCCGAGCCGGCCAGGTAGCTCGTCTGCAGCACGGCGGTCGCTCGGCGATGGCGGCGGAGGCTCGCAGCAGCTCGACAGGGCGCGGGAACGCGCCCTCGTCGGCAGCTTGACGTCGAGCTACCGTTTCCGCTCCGACGGACTCGTCAAGAAGACCATCTCGCTCAACGGCCTCCACCTCATCGGCTACTACCGCATCGAAGACGTCACGTCAGGCCGCCTGCGCACCCCGTCTTCCCATCCCGAACTCGTCTCGATCGATGTCTCGTCCGCCTTCCTCGCTCCCGCGCTTTTTCGGATCCCGCCCATCGTCGAGATCGGACCTGACGGATCGCTGAGGTACAAGGGCGAGGCGGATGCGCCGCTCTCGCCGTTGACACGGTCAGGCTCGTCTCAGGGCTTTCCTACGCCCGGGCTGAGCCAGGTGCGTTCTCCCACTTCTCCCATGCTGGTCAGCCGTACTGACTGTCGCCTCGCCAGTCCCGACCCGCGTCCTCCGACTCGTCTTTCCTGCCGGGCATGCTGCCCAGTCCCGGCGGCGGCTGGGACTACACTCCGACTGTCCCAGCACCAGGCTCCCCTCGACGCGGCGCCATGTCTTCCTTTCGCGCCTCGAACCGCTTCGATCCCTACTCCAGCTCCCGCTTCTCTCCCACAACCGCCAACTTTCCCGCCAACGCAGCCTACCCCTTTCCCGCCGTCCCGCTGAATACGCCGCCTCCGCCTCGAAACGCCTTCTCACCCGTCGGCGAGAGCTCGCTTGCCTCTACGAACGACGGCTACTTCCAGTCCCGAACACCGCCTGTAGACGGCGGAGCAGGGATGAGCGTGTCGGCGCCAATGACGGAGGGTTGGCAAGGTCCGCAGGGAGCGGTGTATCAGCCTCTGCCGCCTCCTCCGAGTCGAGGCGGTGTCGATGCTATGCCGAACAGCCCGTCCTTCTACCAGCCTCGACGATCAATACCCTACGTCCCGACGACCGACACCCAATGCGCCAACACCATCTTCGCCTACAACCCTCCTCCACCTCCTCCCGCTCCGAATGCTCCGCTCACAGCGAGCCAGTACGCGCACTACCGCGCGCCGAGTACCGCGACGGGCTCGATCACGCCGCAGTTCAGCGCGTATCAGCCGGTGCAGGCGTATAACCAGCACCAACAGGCTGCGCTCGCTCAATCGCACAATCAGCAGCGCCAATACGTCTCGCCTCTCCCACATCCTCCTTCAACCGGTGGGGAAGCATCCCAGTCCCCGTTCGCCACGCCTCCCGCAACCAGCCACGCCGCTCGATCCGTCTACCCTCACCCGTCTCAACAGCCTACCCACTCGCGAACGACTTCATCACACAACTCGCCTGCGACGCACTGGGCTCCTCCGCCGCCTCGCTCAGGCGGGCCAATCCAGGAGCCGACGAGTTCGCTCGCGCAGCAGGCGACGTCGCTCATGAGCGAGGTCTCGCCGCATAGTCCGGCCGATGCGGGTGGAGACTCGAGGATGCAGAGGCAGCAGCAGGCGGCGATGCAGGCTGCTTATGCGTCTGCTGCGTCGTACGGACGAGCACAGCATGCGCAACAGCAGCAGCAGGGAGGGTGGCAGGCGGCGCAGCCGCAACCGCAAGGCGAGCAGGCGTACCCGTACATCCAGCGGCAGCACACGCCGAGCGGACTCGTCGCGGCGATAGCGAACGAGGAGGTTGTACCTGCTTCGGGCCACGGACTTGGCGTCAGCGCGTACGGCGAGATCGTTCCGGCTTCGACGCTCCCGCCGCGACAAAGGTCGTCGACGACTGCGTATCAGCAAACGAGCTTTCGGCAGTCGATGCCCGGGCAGCCGTCTGTCTCGCTCTCGTCGCAGCATGCGTATGCCGCGCCGCCACCGCCTAATCACTTCCAGCAGCAGCGATACGACGGTGGCGTCAGCCCGCTCAATCAGCATCTGTCCGGCATGCTCGAACGAGACAACGAGCGCGGCGGTGTCAACGGAGGGAACGCTGGATGGACGAGCATCAAGCGCGAGACGCCCGGTCCTGTCTCGCCGCCCGTCCAGCACCAGGAACCTCCGCCTCTGCCGCCGCAGTCTATGCCCTACGCCCCGCCGCAGTACCAGCACTACCCGCGCCCCGATCAGCTCCCGCCTCCTTCGAACCAGCCGCAGAACCCGCAGCAGCAGTGGTGGCCGAACGACCCGTCGTGGCAGCACAGCTTGCGACCTGACGGTCAATGACCCGCAACGACCGCCGCCGCCCACACACGAAGCGCGCGGCGCGCTCTTTCTCTCTCCCGCCATTGCATCTGTCACCGCCGTTCAGTCGTACCCTTCCGTACCGTTGTTCCTCCGTCGCATTTCCCTGCCGTTCTCGCACTTTGGGCTAATCGATCGCAGCCGTGCCCTCTCGCATACCCGTTGGCCCTTCCGCATGCCCTCTCTCCTCGCCCTGCATCTTCCCCGTTACCTCCCGTTAGAGCTGCGCAGTTTCTCCTCGCAACGCTTTTCCTTCTCCTGTGTATAGCCGCAGCCCTACCCACGTCTCTCCCTTGCATTGCCATTCATGATCGCTCATCACGCAGGCTAGAGTTACAACACGAACGACAGTGAGTGCACAGAACCCGCCGTCACTCTTCTTCGTACTCCTCGTCGTCAAACTTGATGCCCTTCGCCGCCGGCTTGTCCTCCTCGTCCGTCTCGCGCGCCTCTTCCTCGTCATCCTCGTCCTTCGGTACAGCTTTCTTGCCCTTCTTCTTCGCCGCTCCTCCCTCTCCAGCCGGCGCCTTCTTGCGCTTCTTCTTTCCGCCCTCCTCGTCCTCGCCCTCAAGCGGGTCGGGAATACCCTCGACGATGTCGGAGCAGAAGTCGAACATGGCGTTGTTGGTGACCGCGCGCTTGCTACCGAAGAGGAGGGAGGTTAGCACGAGTTTGTAGAAAGATGAGGGAAAGAGCACACAGCCCGTAAGGGGTCAGCTTCTTGCTCCCGCGCTCCTCTGCGTCCTTTACACACGACTCGACAAGGCTAGCGAGGAAAAGTTCGATCGCTTTGGCTGTGCAGGAGGACAGAAGAGAGGTGAGTTGACTTCGCATCGAGGTGGAAAGCCTTGAACGCACAGACAACGATCGGCGTGGCTTGCGCGACCTTTCCGACGTCCTCATCTGCCTGGATAATCTTCTTGATGCGCGCCTGGAGGCGTGAACAGGCCGGATCAGCTTGACACTGATGAGAATCGGAGGGAGGTGTCGAGGAAGAACGCACAAGCGGGAAGCGCGCCTGGTTCTGTTTCCGCGCCATCTTGACCCAAGGAGCACAGTCTGACGGCCCTCGAGCTCAGCAGACCAGGGCAGTGAAGGGGATGAGGCGAAGTGAAGAGGAAGGTTGACTTCGCCCATACACCGCTTTCTCCAGCTCGCTGGACTTGCTGCTTGCTCAAAATGGCGACTGCTCAGTCTATTCTCGCTCTGCGCAAACAGCTCATCGCGGCGACCGGCGAGTCGCAGAACACCGAGGTCAGTCTCCTCGCGACGCAATGCAGTCGAAGTGGGCGAAGACACGCGTCTGCGGTGTGGGATGCTTCAGACTGGGCTGAGAAGAGGCATGGGAAAATCGCAGAAGGCAGGCAGCCCGTGCTGTGATCTATGCGGAGAGCGAGGGCAGGCTGAGGGAACTTGACCGGTCGTCTGCTTGTGCGAGCGCGCACAGTATCGACGGACACGGTGCTCAGCATGTCGAACTCGCATACTCAAGAGCGCTCGCTGAACCTTGCGCAATCTGGCCTCTCCCTAGGACGCCGTCATTATCCTGAAGCGCTTGAAGGAGGAGGTTGTCGCGACCGACGAGCTGCTGAGGGTACGCCTCTTTCTCTCGAGCCCGTTGAGACGAGTCATCGTAACTGACGAGACGGTGCCTGCGCTTTCAGGAAACCAAGATCGGCGTCACCGTCAACAAGCTGCGAAACAACACGGCGAAGGAGGTTGCGGACCTCGCGAAGGAGCTCGTGCGCAAATGGAAGGCGGACGTGGGAAAGACGGGAACAAAGAAGAGTGAGCAGGATTGATGACCATGTCGTTTACTCGGAACTCACAATTCGATCGCTTCGCCAGCCTCAACTGCGGCCGCTTCCACGTCGAACTCAACCGGCGCCTCGCCTTCCCCTGGTCCCAGTCCCATTCCCGCTGCAAAGTCCCCCGAGCCTGGTCGCGGGCCTCTCCCCGCCATCACCACCGCTTCATCCGCCAAGCCCGCCGCCTCTCCCGCTCCTGAATCGCAGTCTCCCGCCCCCTCCAGTTCTTCCGCTCCGAACGGCCCTCTCCGTCGTCAGAGTTCGGGTGGTCCGCCCCGTACGCACAAGACGGACGGCGTCGAGTTCGGAAAGGGGAAGGATGCCACAGGAGACAAGACGAGGGAGAAGTGCTGCGAGTTGATCTACGACGCGTTGGCGCAGGACTCGGGCGCCCGTGCGTACTCTCACCTTCACCAGCGAGACCAGACGAAGCTGACCCTGCACTGTGCAGCTTCCGACCTCATCCTCTCTCGCGCTCGCGCACTCGAAAATCATGTCTGGGAGGAGAACCCGCCTCCAGCGGGATCCGCGACGTATAGGAACAAGATGCGCTCGTTCTATCTCAACTTGAAGGCAGCGAACAACCCTGGACTGCGCGAAGGCATCGTCAGCGGCGAGATCAGCATCGTGCAGCTCTACAATATGGACCCGAAGGTGCGTTACGCTGCCTGTCGCTCTCCATTAGGTCACTTCCGAGTTGACATGAGCGTTCGCAGGACATGGCATCGGAGGAGCGCAAGGCAGAAAACCGCAAGCTCGTCGCCGAGAATCTCTTCAAGGCGCAGGCGGCGGCACCTCAGCAGGCTGAGACGGACGCCTTCCAATGCGGCAAGTGCAAGCAGCGTCGATGCATGTACTACCAGGTGCGCCGCGTCTTGCTTGATTGCAGTGTCGACGTTACTCACCCTCCTTCTCCTCCTCCGAACGCCGATTCTTTCGCCCCCGCTCCCCTTGCCGCTGCGCCTGCTCTACCACAGATGCAAACACGCTCTGCAGACGAGCCGATGACGGTGCGTATGCTCTCCTGCCTGAGAATCGGGACAAATCGCTAACCTCTTGCGCTGGATCGCTTCCGGTCCGTTTTCGACAGACTTTCGTGACCTGCCTTTCCTGCAATAACCGCTGGAAGTTCTCGTAACTCCCCTGGCCGTTAAGGGGCGTTTCCGAAGCATCCGGAGCTGAAATCAGTCATTTCCAGCCGTCTGGGACCGAGGGGAGATTCCCTGCTAATATCGTGCGATGCGATGCGTACAACAAGATGTGGATGCTGTGCGATAGAAACATAGGATCAGAGCATCGTCTCGATAGCTCTGGCGGCGACCCGCACCCCCCACGGCACCTTCCTGTCCTTCCGCTCGAAGAGTCGCTCATCGACCAGGACGTCGGCGTACTTCCTGATGGTCCGCACCTCCTGCTCGAGGTCCCATCGCAGCTTGTTGTTCTGCGTTGTGACGAGGATACCGGCTTCGAGGTCGCGAGATGCGGAACGCGAGCCAAAGTTCGAGGAACCGATGAGGGTGAGGAAGGGCGGCGAGGGGTGCGAGTAGCGCATGGGGAGGTCGAGGGATGAGGGATCAAAGTTGAGAGAGGTGTAGTGCAAGTCGGAAGTGTTTGGCGCGGGAGGAGAGTAAGGGTTCGAGACAGAAGGGGCGAGCCAGATGCCTGCAAAGCGATGTCAGCGAGTGTCCCTTCCGCTTCTCATGTCATACTCACCCTTTGCATGATATGTCCAGCCTTCTCTCCGCCACTCGCGCATCTCGACGAGCGAGCCGTCGTCGCCCCGCCCTCGCTTCTGCTTCCGCGCCTGCTGCTTGAGCACCTCGTCGTGGAAGCGCTGGGCAAAGTAGGTGTAGGCTGGTGGGATGAAGCGCGAGACGCCGCGCGAGCCGAAGAAGCCGTTCGCCTGTGCGAAGGAACTCGTCAGCGGTGCCACGAAAGTCGTGAGAGAACGGAGCTACCTCTGGCGAAGCGCTGACAATGCGGACCTGCGCCTTGCAGTCCAGCGCTAGCCGCTTATAGTCCTCCCGCAGGCCAAAGTACCCGCTCGTCCAGTCGAGCATCGTTTGCGACCCTCCAGGCGCAGTCGCTAGCGCATTCGCTGTGCGGAAGATCGAGGGGACGACGATGGACGTCTCGTACGAGAGCGAGAACGGTCCCATTTGCAGGACGGGGCGAAGGAAGGTGTCGTATGGCGAAGGTGTTCGTGAGGCGGGAATGCGAGAGTTGCCGTTAGCTTGGGCGAGGGGAGAGGCGATGGTGGCAGGAAGTGGAGAGGCGAGTTGCGCGGGACCGCGACGGTACCACCGCTTGAGCATATCTTGAAGAGCGTCGTGCGCGTGCTCCCTCAACCGGGGTATCGACGATGCTGGGGTATTTTCAAAGGGATCAGAGGGTATGGCGTTGCTTTCCGGCCAAGAGATGTCGATGGCTGGAGTGGCGGATGACGTGTCGGATGCAGTTACTCGGAATGAGTATGAGGACGTGAGCGTCAAGAGGGAGTCGAAAAAGTCGGCTAAGGAAGGGTTCGATTCGAAGGAGATGTAGCGGTCGGTGCGGTTCGTGAAGTAGTCGTGGCTCAGGTTTGCGCTGCAGAACTTACGTCAGCCTGAGAGCGACGATTCGTCAGAGACGACTGCGTACCCGCTCATGATCACGTCGTCGTCAAATCCGTAGCACTTCATGTGCTGGAGACCCCATCCCTCGTTGAACCGCTTCGGCACCCATCGCTTCTGCCAGCCATGCAGTGCAGGCGTGTGGAATAATCGGATGTCGACCTGCGAGGGGAAGGCGGCGGAGAGGCTGGCGAGGAGAGAAGCGGAAGACGGTGAAGGGTGTTCTCGCGTCGAGCGGAGGTAGTCGACGAGGATAGAGACGCGGAGTTGGGGGTTCGCTCGCAGGGCAGAGTGCAGAGCAGCAACCTGCGCACCGAAAGCGTCAGCCTTGCGCAACTGGTGACCCTCGAGTTCTTCGACGCCGGTCAGCGAAGCACGGGAGGCGTCCGGAACGCACCAGCTCCTTCTCCTCCTTGCCAACATACAGGGACGCGATGAATATCCGCTTGCGAGCCTTTGCAACCTTGTCCTATTTCCCCCGCCGACCCCACCGCACGGTCAGCCGATGAAGTTTCGCTCGAGATGCAGGAGAGCGGGACGCACGAGGAGTGTCCGGTAGAACGCAGCAGGCTCGTACAGCACCCTCACGTTCTCCCCTCGTGTCGGAAAGCACGGGAGGCCGCCCTGGTCGAGCGTTTCTTCGAGTTCGAGGAACGAGGGATGCCTCGCGAACTCGGACGCAGGTCGTCCAGCGGTCGAGGCGGCTCGAGCAGAGCGTGCGAGATCCAGTCGTGCTGGCGAAGCAAGTCGGCGCAACAGCATCGTCGTCTCGCGCGACGGCGTGTCGTCAAGAGACGAACGGCGGACCGCTTGCTCCGGCCGCGGGTCCTTCCACTTCGCTTCGTGCGGGCTTTCGAGGTGCTCGCTGAGTCTGACGGTGAACTAGAAAGCATATCATGACTCACACAACGACTAAAACGAAGCGATGAAGCGCAAGAAGCGCCGGTTCAGCTCTTTCCTTCCGCCGTCGCGCTCGACGTGCGCGCATCCTCCGTGCCGTCGACACTCCCGTTGTGACCTGCGCGGGAAGTCATCGTCGTGAGCCGAGAGCAGAGGTGCGGAGACAGACTCAAAGCAAAAGCGGGAACGCACCGAAGACCTCCTTCCGCTTCTCCTCACTCCAGAATGGCGCAAACTGCTCATCGTCCTCAGCGTCGTAATCGAGCGAGTCGTCGTCGGAGGAGGTAAAGTCCTCAGTGGGCAGCTCCTCGAAGAGAGGGGGCGCCCATGGGTCGCGCTGAGTTGGCCAAGGCGCGTTCTCCGGCTCAACAGCCTCGCTGTACCACCTCCACTGTTCGTCCTCCTGCGCAGGCTGCTCTGTAAGCTGCGGTCGCCAGTGCGGTACGACTTCGGGCACGGAGAGATTGTGCGCCAGGACAATGCCGCGAGAATCGCAGATTGCGTCGATTTGGCGAAGTGCATCCGTTGCGGTGGTATAAGCTGCTGACCGGCTGGAGGGAGGGTAACTGACCTCGATCTCGAGCAACTCCAGCTCGGACGCCTGTTGCGCGCTTAAGAAGCCGGGCAGCTCAATGAGCCCAGCCCTGTTCATCGACATGTAGAGACTCCTCAACAACGGCGGAAGCTGAAGATGAGCGAAAGTCATCTGGTTGACAGAGAGCGCATCACGGGCGCAGATGATCCTGGCAACCAGGGCGGATGGGAAAGAGATGGAGAACGCGTCAAAGTTGTCGATCGCGACTGCTGGCGCATTCAACACTTCGAGGGCAGGGAAGACGACATCGAAGAGACTTTGGTCAAGATGCTGACAGCACATCATGCCAGTGATGGCTAAATAGCGAAGGCGTTTGCACGAAGGCTGGAGGAAAGCCGAGTGCAGGAGGCGTATGAGCGGGACAGTATCGCTAGGTGGCTCACATCGAGGTGTGATGATTTTGACACAGAGGGTCCTCAACGATGGCCATGGCTTGGCCATGGCGAGATGGACAGGTTGGTCTGGTCGCATCTGAGGTGGACGCGCAGTTCTTTGAGTGCTGGGAAACAGTCGCCATAGGGAAGAAAGGGTTCGAAGGTCATGAGACTGGGGTAGGCAAAGCCTTCGTTCCAGGCAGAGCGAATCTCGAGGCATGTGAGGTTTGGGAAGGATGGCCGCTCAAGGCTCGTCCAGGTTGTCAGAATCTGCCACAGGTACGCGGCTGTACGCGTACTCCTCAGCGGTGAAAGGCGAAGTACGGACAACGTCGGACGCAGCCGATGTAGCACCGTCCACCAGGCTGTCGCGCAGGTCTCATCCTTCGAGATCCATTCGCGAGGTACTGGCGCGGTGGCGCAGTCCCCCGGTTCCGTGCGCACCTCGAACACGATGACGAGTTCTTTGACTTGATGTGAAAGGTCGTAGCGCTGCGCCAGCTCGAGCAGCATTGCCGGCTTTTTCGTTCTGACCGACTTGATGAGGACAGGCAAGGCGAGCGAGTTCCACCGCGTCGAGACGAGCCTGCAAGGGCCGACAAACTCTGCTGCGGTCGTTCCAAGATCCAAGCGCACTTCGCCGTTGTCGTAGAACCGTAGCGAGTCCCACAACGCTTCGAAGATGAGGGACAGCAGTTCGTCGGGGAGATGAGGAGTGGACGGTACGGCAGGTGTCGCGGCGGGCTGGGGAGGCTTGTGCATCGTCTGCGGATCCGGTAGCACGGTCTCTGACCTCGTCTAGCGGTAGATCGAGGTGGGCGGGTGAGGGGGAGAAGGGAGAGGTTGGCGAGGGGACGAGGTCTTGCGGTCTTGCGAAGTCGACACCTCTCGAGACGACCTAACGTGTTTTCTCTTGGACTGTTGCACGACTGTATATATTGCAACGACCAGCCCTGCCACAAGGTGCCGTCTCCCCACCTTCGAAACTGTTCAAAGTGCGCCTTCCGTCCTGCCGCAGTCGCTCACGTCCTCCGCTGGTTTTTGTGCCGCGGTACCGTTCCAAGTGTTGTGCTCTGCGTGCGCTCGATTGTCAGCGGACGGACAAGCGACGGTTCGAGCGACCCGGAGGCGATAGAACGCACCAAACACCTCCTTACGCTTCTCCTCGCTCCAGAACGCCGCGAAAAGCTCGTCGTCCTCGGCGTCGTAGTCGAGGGAGTCATCCGTCTGCCAGTCGCTGTCGGAAGCCGACGGCGCCGCCGATTCGGGGGAGTCGGACTCTTCGTCGTCGCCAACCGAGTGCGTTTGCCTCGTCTCGTCACCGTCCTTGTCCTGGACGCTGGAGTGGCGCTCGCTGCGACGTGGGCAAGGGGTGTAGTCCGCATCGCTAGCCAAGTCGAGGTCGTGAGCGAAGAGGATGCCGAGAGACGAGCACGCGTTCTCGAAGTCAGAGATGGCCTGCTCGAGGCTGTTGGGCTCCGGGTCGTACGGCTGTCTCTCGACCTCAATTGCGAGCACCTTCAACCCCGCCGCGAGTCGCGGAATCAGCGTGCTGGCCAGGTGGACATGCCTGTCCGCTCGAACCCTGATGGCAAGCTGCCGCAGCCGCGGGGGCAGCTGGAAGGTTGGCAAGAAGGAGGACGTGGGGACACTCGTCATGTCGTATGTGGAGGAGTAGTAGGAAAAGGCGAGGGACTTCACAGACGGCAAGCCAGTCAAAAACCTGCCAATGTCGGAGACGGCAACGGTCGGTACGTCGACAACGGTGACGGCGGGACAGTCGAGCTGCAGAAGCTCATGCTCGAGGATAAACCGATGTTCGGTCGTGCCACAAATGGCAAGAGATTCCAAAGTCTTGCGGGATGGGATGAGGAAGACGGTCGACAAAAGGTTGGCGAATACTTTCGCGTCAAGAAATGTGGTCCGATGAGGGAGTTCCACTTGGATGACCAGGTCCTTGAGAGGCCTCCAGCGTGGCATGGTGAAGAACGGTTCGTCGTCCCATGCGAAGAAGACGCGCAAGTTCTCAACGGCTGGGAAGAGATGACTGAAGGGGAGGAACCGGTAGAACGAAGTGGGTCGTGCTGCACCAGGGAGGAGCTCCGGAAGCATATTCAGCGTGGTGAGGGCTGAGAACGGCGGCAAGTCGAGCAGCATCCGAGCATCGTCAAGCGCCAGCCGAAGACGTGTACTGGGAGAGTAGTACGAAGAAGTAGGGCGCGACAACGGCGAACGGCGAATGCTCAATGCGCGGAGAGTCGGTCCAAGAGCCCGCAGGACTTGAATCCACTCCTCCATCAAACGTCGGTCCGTCGCCACCTTGTCGTCCAGCTTGCCCTGCAATTCGCCGGGCAACACGAGGACAAGCTCCTTCACGGTGTCTTCGAGTGCGTGGCGATCAACCAAGTCCAGCAAGCCGCGCGGATTCGACGTCTGTATCGCAGTTGTGACGAGCGGGAGTGCGATCCTGTCCCAGCGCCGACAGACAAGCCTGCACGGGCCGAGGAAGACGGCGACAGTCCGCTCCAAGTCGATTCGTCCCTCGCCGTTATCATAGAACCGCAGCGAGTCGCGCAGTGCGGTAAAGATTGCGACGAGGAGCTCGTCGGGGAGCCGGTAGATGTGTGACATAGAAAGAGAGTGCGGTGGACTGGGCTGGCGCGTGCAGGGTTCAGAAGTCTTGTAGCCGGCCTGTGAGCTTTGTCTAGCGGCAGATCGAGGTGAGCGAGTGAGGAGGAGGAGGAGACCTGCGCGAGGGGAATCGTCCGAGTAGCAAGTCTCTGTAAGGCGAGCTGCGATTTCTGTTGCAAGCTCTCACGCTCACAAGAACGCATGCTATCGACCTCTCAGGGCCGCAAGCTGAACGGCTGTGTTGCATGCCGGTACATCCTCTTCTCCTCGCTCACTTCTTCCCCTTCTTCTTCTTCCCGCTCCCGCCACCCGTCTTCTGCCCCGCTCCAACCTGCACCTTCAGCCCCTCCTCCTCCCCCACAGCCCCCTGCGTCCCCTGACTCGCCAAATGCCTCTCCCTCTTCTTCCCACGCATCTTCTCCTTCTGCTGCATCAGCGCGTCGCGCATTGAAGGGCGCTGGCGGATTGGGATCCACCGGTCGGAGGGCGGAGGAGGGCGAGAGAGGAGAGTGGGTGAGAGGGAGAGCGAGCCGCGAGGAGGGCGCGGGCGGGTTGAGGGTGTTGGGCGGGTCGAAGGGGCGGCGTGTGTGCGAGAGGAGGAGGAGGGGAGAATGAGAGAAAGGGGACGGGACTCGAGGTCTTCGATTGAAAGGGACGAGGTGGAGGAGATGAGCGAGGGGACGGAGGAGAGGAAGTCGAGTTGGGAGGTCGAGGCGGACAGGTTCGACTGCAGGTCGGGGAGCTCGGGGGAGTCCTGCATGTTGAAGCGATCAGATCGTGGCGGGATACGACGAGAATCATGCACACACCTGCTCGGCGGTGGAAGCGAGGTCGTCGAAGAGGTCGCGAGCCTGCTCGAACTCCCCCAGGCGGTAGAGCTGTATGGGGAAGTTGCGCGTACAGCCATTCAGTCAGCACTCTCGTCCTTCTGAGGCAACGCATGAACTCGCACGCACCAGCTGAGCCCTCAAAACCTCCCTTGCGCGATCCTCCTCGTCGCTAGCGCCCTCGTCCTCCTCTTCCAGCGCATCAAGCTCGGTCCTCGCTTCGTCCACTCGCCCAAGCTTATACAAGCAGTACGCTCGCGCGAGTCGCGAAGTCCCCTGTGAGGCGGGTGAGCGGAGGGCGTCTGCGTACGAGTCGAGGGCGATGAGGAGCTGGGAGCGGGTCTGGAGTGCGAGCGGGTCGGATGGGTCGATGCGGAGGACTGCGAGCGCTTGCATTGTCAGTCCCAGATCTTCGTCGCTCCGCACGCAGCCGCCCACGCCATGGCGCGAGTGCATGCGAGTCGCGAGGATGGGGAGGAGGTGAACACACGCTTCGAGACGGTGCGCAGAGCCTGTGGGTAGTGCTGGAGTGCGATCTGATCGTGCAGCGTGTGGTACAGCTTGGCCTGGGACATCCTGAGCGTGCAGCTGGTGTCGTCGAGAGCCAACGTCTCCTCGTCGTCGCTGGTTGCTCTCCTTCCTCCTCCTCACCGACTCGCTCGCTCCTTTGCTTGGGACAGTACACGTGCTCGAACAGCTACCCCATCAAGTCAGATCGCACCACTCGAACCAGCACTTCCCGCCCTCTCCGCCCCTTTCCTCCCCACTCCTGTGGCCCCAGAGATGCCGCCCGTCTCCACCAACCCGCCAGACGTGCTCAGGCAGCCAAAGAAGCAGTCAGACTTTGCCGTCATCCGCGAAGACGAGTAGTGCGTCCCTCTCGCGGACTGCTGAGCCAGCACAGAGCTCACGCTCTCGCCTCGCTCTCCCCCACTCCGTCATAGCCTTGCACCGTTCGAGCCGGCCATCAAGGCCAGGTGCGCACCCGTCTACTCTCTCGCTACGTCGAATCAAGGCTGACCACGCTCGAATTCCCGCGCAGGACCGCCAAGTTCAACAGCTGGGTCGAGACGCTCAACGCCCACGAAGGCGGCCTCGAGCGCTTCTCCAAGGGCTACGAGTCGTACGGCCTCCATGCCCTCCCGAACGGCGATGTCAAGTACCGCGAGTGGGCGCCCAACGCCACGAGCGCCTGCCTCATCGGCGACTTCAGTTCGTTCCCGCTCGTTGCTTCTCGTTGGGACGGCGGGAAGCTGACTTTTTGCCTGCTCGATCGCAGATGGATGGGACCGCGCTGCGAACCCGATGACCAAGAACGACTTTGGCGTGTGGGATTGTGTCGTCAAGAGCAAGGGCGGCCAGGCTGCCATCCCGCACAACTCCAAGGTCAAGGTGCGTTCCCGCTCAGCTTGGCCTCCACTTGCGTCTCCCGCTCGCTTGCTCACCTCGTCTTCGACCCACTGCACAGATCTCAATGACCACTCCTTCAGGCGAGCGCATCGAGCGCCTCCCCGCCTGGGCGACGTCCGTCTCCCTCCCTCTCCTCCTCTTCCTTCCCGCACTGACCTTCTCAACCCTGCCTCCTTTCCTCGCGCAGCCGGGTCGTACAAGACCTCACCGTCTCGCCCATCTACGACGCAGTCTTCTGGAACCCGCCGAAGAACGAGCGGTACACGTTCAAGAACTCGAGGCCGAAACAGGCGCCGCGTGCTCCCAAGGTCTACGAGGCGCATGGTAAGCTCGCGCTTTCGATCTTAAGGGGACGACGAGGAATTTGGCGGGAGAAGGCGGCGGATCTAGAACGAGGCGCTCCGGCGCCCTTCCTCTTCGTCGATACCGAGCCGCTCCACGCTCGAAGGAACCCTCGCAGCGACAGAACACCTTCCTCGTACCCTCACTGACGCCTCCAATCGCACGCACAGTCGGCATCTCCACCCCGGAACCCAAGATCGGCTCGTACAAGGAGTTCACGCGCGACGTCCTGCCGCGCATCAAGGATCTCGGATACAACACGATCCAGCTTATGTGCGTCTTGAGCTTTTTCTCTTGCAGGGCTGTGCGGCTCGGAAGAGAACGACACCGTGCGGACGAGGAGCAGGCTCTTCGAGTCCTGCATTCCAAACCCTCGTCCAGCTTGTTGTAGTGTTCAACGACTTACACACTCACGCTTGCTTCCTCCACGTGTGCGCAGGGCCATCATGGAGCACGCGTACTACGCTTCGTTCGGCTACCAGATCACGAGCTTCTTCGCCATCAGCAGTCGCTACGGTCCGTTCCGCCTCTCCCCCTCCCTTCCCTCAGCACTGACTCACTCTTTGCTCCCTCAGGCACCCCCGAAGAGCTCAAAGAGCTGATCGACACCGCCCACGGACTCGGCCTTACCGTCCTCCTCGACGTCGTTCACTCGCACGCGTCGAACAACTCCGCCGACGGCTTGAACCACTTCGATGGAAGTGACCACCAATACTTCCATGGTGGAGGAAAGGGAAGGCACGAGCTGTGGGATTCGTGAGTCCTGCCGGAGCCGCTTCCTCCCGCGATTGCTCGAGGTCGAGATCCGCCCGGATGACTGACACCCCATGTCGCGCTCACACAGTCGCCTCTTCAACTACGGCCACCACGAAGTCCTTCGTTTCCTCCTCTCGAACCTGCGCTTCTACATGGAGGAATACCAGTTCGACGGCTTCCGCTTCGACGGCGTCACGAGCATGCTCTATGTTCACCACGGTATCGGCACCGGCTTCTCGGGCGGCTACCACGAGTACTTTGGGGACAAGGTCGACGAGGAGGCGGTCGTTTATCTTATGCTCGTGCGTCGAGACGTCCTTTCTTCAGCTTTTCTACCTTGGCGACAGTGCGACAGGAGCTGATCGAGAGCGGATGTTTCGAGCAGGCCAACACGATGCTCCACGACCTGTACCCGACCTGCCTCACGATTGCCGAAGACGTCTCCGGCATGCCCGCCCTCTGCCGCACTGTCGCCGAGGGCGGCATCGGGTTCGACTACCGCCTCGCGATGGCCGTGCCGGACATGTGGATCAAGTTGCTCAAGGAAGCGCCATCGGACGAGTCGTGGGACATGGGCAACATCGCGTTCACGCTGACGAACCGGAGGTGGAAGGAAAAGAGTATCGCCTACGCCGAGAGTCACGACCAGGCGCTTGTCGGTGACAAGACGCTTGCGTTCTGGTTGATGGACAAGGAGATGTACACCAATATGAGTGACTTGACCGAGCGGACGCCCGTCATTGACCGCGGTCTCGCACTGCACAAGATGATCCGGTGAGTTGCGCTTGCGACGCTTTCGTAAACTGACTGTGTCGCGCACGATGTACATTGCTGAGGCGCGACCTCTGCAGTCTCATTACGCACGCGCTGGGCGGCGAGGGCTACCTCAACTTTGAGGGCAAGTGCGTCGCGACTTCTCCCACTATCTCAACCGTACTTTCTGCTGACACTCCCGCCACGACCAGCGAATTCGGCCACCCCGAGTGGCTCGACTTCCCCCGCGAGGGTAACGGCGACTCGTACCAGTACGCGCGGCGCCAGTTCAACCTCATCGACGACCACCTCCTCCGGTACAAGTACCTCTACGCGTTCGACCGCGCATTCAACCGCCTCGAGGACCAGTACCAGTGGTTGAGCTCGCCGCCGGCTTACGTTTCGCTCAAGAACGAGGTGCGTGGCGGTCTTCGTTCCTTCCTCACCTCGCTTCTTTCAGGCTGCGTGACTGATCTCTGGCTTGTCCGAACGCAACGCAGTCTGACAAGGTCATCGTCTTTGAGCGCGGCAACCTGCTCTGGATCTTCAACTTCCACCCGACCAACTCGTTCACCGACTACCGCGTCGGCACCGACTGGGCGGGCGAGTACCAGGTCGTCCTCTCGAGCGACGACGCCGAGTTTGGCGGACACAACAGGGTCGACAAGAGCGTCAAGCACTTTACGACGCCGATGGAGTGGAACGGGCGCAAGAACTGGTTGCAGGTGCGGTCCTTCCGGCTGTTCTTTCGCCTCGCTTGCTTGAAAGCTAGCCTCACGCTCGTCCATCCGCTCGCGCAGGTCTACCTCCCGAACCGCACCGTCCAGGTCCTCGCCCACTAGAGGCCCGCACAAATTGTACAGACTCGTCCTCGCATCCTCCCCTCAAAAAAGCAGTCCTCTCGCCCTCGCAAACATTCCACCAACGTAGTCCCCCTTGCTGTGTCCATCCTGCTGTGCATGCATTCGTTGTCCACAAATGAATCAGCTCGCCACTCGAGACAGTCGCTCGCGCCGGAGCGCGTCCTCGTCGTCGGTGTGCGGCTTTCCCTTTCTCCCACGTTCACCTCGCCGCGTGACTTGCTGTGCTTGCTCGTGCTTTGTTCCACTCCAACTACAGTCCTTCCTTCGATACCTAGCACATCCTCGCCAGGCCAGCTCGCTTCACGATGCCCTCCTTCAACTTCCTCGCGCTCGGTGTGCTTGCCGGTCTCGCCGCCGCACAGGTTGTCCCGACTGCTCCTGGTCCTGGAGAGGTCTTCAAGGTGCGTACTCCTGCCGTCGCACAACCCACGGAAGCCAGCGCTGACGAGAACCGCTCACTCCTCGTTCGACTCGCTCGCACCTCTTTGTGTCTGTCGCACCGCCAACACTCACTCCTACCGACTCTGCCGCTATCTATCACCTCTCCCCGCGCATCTTCGACCGCCTCGACGCGCCATCACGCCCCACGACGCTCCCTTCGTCATGCTCCGGAACCTCCTCGCGAACCCTTCGTGTCCTTGGCTGTGCCTCCTTCGCCTTGCGATGGCACGCATAGGTTGGCAGCAAGTGCAACATCGAATGGAACCTGGACACGACGGGCAAGTGGACCAGCTTCGAGATCCAGGTGCGTCCGCTCTGCCGAGACTTTCGTGGCGGAAATCCAGAATGAACGGCCCAATTGACTCTCGGTCGATGTTGTCGTGCAGCTCATGACCGGCTCGAACCTGGCGATGGTCCCCGTGCAGACGGTCGCAACAGGACTGGACGGGACGAGCGGTAGCGGCACGGTCGACTTCACCTGCCCCGACGTTACGCCCAACAGCGCCATCTACTTCTACCAGTTCAGCCAAGCCGGACAGCCGACGTCCTGGACTACCCGCTTCACCATCGCCGGCGCAGACGGTTCGACCGTGAGTCCTTTCGTTCATCGCGAAGTGATCCAGCAACAATTGACGCCTTTTCCGCGCGCAGACTCCTCCTACGCAATCCACGAACGGCATCGCATGGGGCACCGGCTCGCTCGTCGGCGAATCGGGATCGGCAGGCTCGTCGGCGGCCGCGGGCGGCGCTGCGGATGCGAGCACCTCCCGCGCGACCGGCCGCTCGCGCAGTGTCGCCGCGACTGGCGCATCGGGCCTCGCATCGCTCGCCGCGTCTTCGTCGGCTCCCTCGGCCGTCACCGTGACGAGCGTGATCTCGCAGTCGTCCGCGATGTCCTCCAGCAGCGACGCACCCGTCTCGACCGTCACGATGACTTCCTCGCCCTCTTCGTCCGCCTCGTCCTCTTCGTCAGCATCGGCTGCGGGTCAGTCCGCCTCCTCCTCGACGAGCAACAACAACAGTGCCGGCTCGACCCTCGGCTCGTCCGTCGCGCTCGTCCTCGGCGCTGCCGCTCTCGCCCTGGCCGTCTAAAGCGAACGCATTGCAGGACAATGCGCACAACTTGCATGTCTCGGCGGTTTCCGGAGATGGACACTATGGCTCGATTCCCTCTTCCTCATCCTCTTGGTGCGTTTACACTCATGCTCCTCGATACCCGTCACCTTCGCGTAGCAACTCTTCCTCATCTGTTTGCAATAGCTATTTCTCGGTGGGACCCAACGAAGCGCGCGCGACACGGCGGATGAACAGCGCGGCATCCTCCCTACTGCGTTAGAAAGCGGTTTGGAAGCTAAACTCTCCCCCTCCTTGGCAGCGCACTGTGTGGAAGATAGGCTGGCTTAATACATTCCATATACAGTGCGCGAATCTCCCTACATCCAGCAGAACCTCACGACAAGACCGCCGCCCTCCCACGCACCAAGATCTGCCCTCCGACGTCCTCGCCCGTCTCGACCTGCAAGACAGCGTTCGCTCCCAGCGACTGCGCGTTGGCCGTGAGATTGGCGATAGCGAGACTGAGTTTGTCGTCTTCCGAGAGGTAGGCGTCCATGCCCGACAGGCCTTCAACGACGCCGAGGTCTCGCACTGCGAGAGGAGGGTGTGGAAGTCAGTCTAACATTGCTTGCCAGCCGCAGAGACGAGAGATGCGCCGAGAAGAAACGAAGGCTAGGAGGAAGAGCGTACCGATTGCTCTGCCTGGCTCGTGGTCGAGGTCCGTGACGACAAAGTCGTGGTGGTGGTGCGTAGTGATCTGGCCAGGCAACGCTCCGCCTCCGAACAGGCCGCCATCGTAGCCTCCGTCGCCAAGAACGACGGGATCGACGATGGGCGTCCTGCCACCGAGATGCAAGTCGTCGAGCGCTCCGAGTCCGCCCGCTCCGCCGTATCCTGCAGGGACGCCCTCGAGGCCCCGAAGGCGCGGAGAGACGTTGAAGGTGTTGTAGTTAACGACTCGCGGCGAGGGAGTCCTGGCTCCGATGCGAGGAGAGAGAACGAGTCGGCTGGGCGAAGGAGTACGAGAGCGCAGTCCACCGTAACCTCCGCCGTAGCCGCCGATGCGAGGCGAAGCGACGGGAACGGGAAGAGGGACAGGGACGACTCGAGGCGACTGCCCGCCAATGCGAGGCGAAAGACCGAGTCCACCGCTCCACGAGCTGGAACGGCGAAGTCCGCCTGCACCTGGAAGAGCGCCTGGGAGTAAGCCGCCGCCGATAGGCCCGAGACGAGGCGAAAGACGCGGGGACATGCGCGGCGAAGCGAGGATGCGCTCGTTGGCGACGGCTAGCGCAGCTCGCTCGTTCCGCATCGCGCTCGCCGTGCGTTGCTGCGATGTCAAGCTGTCAGTTAAGAAGGCAAGCGCTGCTAGATAGGCGACGCACCCTTCGAGCCGCCTCGACCTCCAACGCCTGCCTCTGCGCGCGCACCCTCGCCAACTCTGCCTCCCTGCGCCTCGTGTCCTCCAGCGCTCGCCGCTCCATCGCAAGCCTTTCGCGCTCCCTCGCTGCCGTTGCGCCGCCAAGACCGCCGATCGGCGCTCCAAGGGAGGGTACGCCGCTGAAAGACGATGCTCGCATGCGAGGAGAGCGGCCGGCGAGTCCTACGCCCATCCCAGTTCCGAGCAAAGGAGCGCCTCGAGCGCCCAGCTCCATGCCCACTGCGCGCTCGTTCACGCGAGCGGTCTGTCGAAACGCAACAGTCAGCCTGCGATTGGTGGAATTTGTGGAAGTCGAGACGAACCTCCCTCGCCAGCTCACGTTGCTGCCGAATGTGCTTCTCCTGATGCTTGATCTCCTGCTCGACATGGACCTGGTCAGCGTTATCGGGCACTACTCGATGGAGAGAAGGGGAGCGTACGTGTAGCTTCCGTCGCTCGTTCTCCCTCGCCAACCTGTCCTGCGCTTCGCGCAACCGCTCCTGCTCCGTTGGCGCGCGGTACGTCTTCGCCCCTAGCGACCACCGTCCGCCTGACGATGTCGAGCCGCCGTACATCGATACTTGGCGGCGTTTGTCGTTGAAGAGAGAGGCGCCGCAAGCAAGAGTAGGCTGGAAGAGGCGAGTCCGCCAGGCGCTCGAAGCCTAAAGCACAGTCGCGCGATGCTCAGTCGTCGAGAGGAGTAGAGGAAAGCGAGAGGCAGAGAACAAGGGGCGAGGAGGCGGTGAAGTCGAGATAGGAGGCGAGGCGGGCGTCCGCCGGACGTACGAGCGGTCCGTCCGCCGATTCGAAACAACAGTTGATCTTGCAGGCGTCGAGGAATACTGAAGAGCGTCCATATCGAGTCGCGGTCCCCATCAGTCCTTCTTGAGCCGAACTGCCCGGCCTGCGCCAGCCAAGCCGCCTCCCTCGCCGTCCCAGACCTTGGTAACGACACCGAGGACCGCATCGGCGCCTCGCCGCTCGCCCTCGAGGCGCAACAGCTCCTTCAAGGCGCCAAGGTCCGTCGTCGAGGGTGTGCGAACTTGGACAAGGCCGAGTTCTTGCGTGATGAGGTGGCCCGGAACGGAGAGGTGCGAAGTGACGAGAACTGGTTTGCGAGGGAAGGTTGCGAGGGTTGGCGTAGGGTCTGAACGAGGCGCGTGTACGAGAGACGGCGGGACGTGCAAGGAGAGTGGGCGGCGGACAGGAGAGTTGGCGGCGGACGATGCGGGGGAGAACTGCGGCACGCGCGAGAAGGAGGTGCTTGTCGGACGTCGATGAACCGACGCTCGAGGCGTCGGCGTCGGGGGCGATGCAGTCGAGTTGTGGGAAGGCGCCGGTGAAGGCGAGCGGGTGCGAGGAGGCGAAGGAGGAAAGACTGGGTCGGCAGAGTTGGGGGAAGGCAGAGGGCGCATCGCAGGAGCTGGAGGGCCTGTCGGGCGAAGTGGCATCAGACTCGTGCAGTCAAGAGCGGAGCGAACAGCGAGCACACCTCGAATGGATGGCGAAGTCAACGCCTCCTTCGCAATCTTCTCCTGAGCAATCGCCCGCTTCAGCTTCTCCTCCGCCTCAAGCAGCCGCAGACGTAATCCAAGGTCGTTCGGTTCGACTGCCACATCTCGTCGAAGTGCGGCAACCTGGCTCGCCAGCTGTTCTGACCGAGTCTTCGCCACCTGCACGGCGTGGATGCGGTCCTCCTTGTCAAGTGCGTAGGCGGCCATCTCGTCGGTGATGGCAAGGACCTGGTCCGCAAGGCGATGCGTCGAACGGACGGGTGCGGCCAGCGAGGAGGACATCGAGAGCGAACGTTGGCGATGAACGGGCGGGCGCCTGGGAGATGACGGCGTCGGGCGTGGCGAGGACATGGTTGAGCGGAGCCAAGAGAGAGTGGTGCGTGTCGAGTCCAAGCCAGGAGCAGGCGCGGGCGAACGAACGTGAAAAGACCGAGGGACGACAGGCGGACTCGCGGACTCGCTCACCCCGACGAACCCCGTTTTCCAAGATGCGAAGCGACGAGACAAGCCTGCTGATCGCGGGGCTCGTGGCCTCCTGTGCGCGCCGTCATCAACGGCTGCGGGAGTCCGTCATCCCGAGTTGACTGATGAGAAGAAGAGGAGGCTTGGAGGAGGCGAGCGGAGGAAGCGGGACGAGCGCGGGCACATGCGCGAGCGTGTACGGCGTCCGTACGCTGCCTGTACGCACGTCAGCAGCCTCAAGTGCTAGTACAGCGGAGAGTAGCGTACGGAGGGAAGCAGACTGATTCTTCCGCATGGCCAACACCGCTTCGCAGGCCGCTGCGCGACTCTGGCAGCACGCTGGTCTCCCGCAGTCGACGCTCGAGCACCTGCACTTGCCCGGAGACGACCCGCTTCCCTCGTCATTCCTCCTCGGCTCCGCTGCGCAGGCGACGATAGGCGTGGCCGCTCTCGCCGCTGCTCAGCTTCTGGCGCTAAGAGCGGGAGAAGGGGTCGTCGACGTGGCGGTTCCAGTGCAGGACGCTGTCGCAGAATTCCGCTCGGAGCACGTCGCAACTCTCGACGGCGAGGCGGTCTTCGAGTGGGATGAGTTGGCGGGACAATATCGGACGATGGACGGCTGGATCCGGCCTCACACGAACTGGCGACACCACAAGGAGGGGTTTCTCGACTTGCTAGGTCTGCCGCACAACGCGAAGAAGGCGGATCTTGCGGCCGCTCTGCTCGACCGCGAGGCGGACCAAGTAGCTGAGGCAGCTATGGAGCGCGGACTGGTCTGCACAGCTATGCGTTCCTTTGAGGAGTGGTGCGCTCCCTTCGCTCGAGTCGCCGACTGCAATCTTGACAGCCCACTCTCCCAGGGACGCCCATCCACAAGGCCAAGCTGCCCACTCTCGCGACGCCTCCGCTCCGTTCACCCTAACGAAGCTTGATTCGAGGCCACCAAAGCCTTTCCCGCCGCTCATATCCCGCAAGCCGCTGGAGGGAGTCAGGGTGCTCGACTTGACGCGGGTCATTGCTGGTCCTGTCGCGGGCAGAACGCTTGCAGGTGCGTGCGGCTCATTTGGCCGCAAAAGCTAGGAGCTGACGTGCCGTCCTCACAGCGTACGGAGCCGACGTCCTCTGGGGTCCGTCGCCTTCCTCGGACTCCAGTTCTTCTGCCTGACCCCCTGCGTTTGACAGTCACCTCTCCCAACCTCCCCTCTCTCCCCGGTCTCGACTTCGACACCTCACGCGGCAAGCGCTCCATCCACCTCGACCTGCGCTGCCCTACAGACCGCGCAACATTCACCTCCCTCCTCTCCACCGCGGACGTCCTCCTTCAATCTTACCGACCCGGTGGCCTCAACTCTCTCGGTTTCGGCATCGAAGAAGTCCGGAAGGTCAATCCCGATATCGTATACGCGTCCCTCACAGCTTGGGGAGCGGTCGACGGGCCAGCAGCGGAGAAGGGCGGACCATGGGCGAGGAGGAAAGGGTTCGACTCGCTCGTTCAGTTCGCTTGCGGGATGGGCGAGGCGGAGGGGAGAGCTTGGGGGGAGTTTGAGCGAGGAAGCGAGGCGAAGGAGAAGGAGACGGTACCGAAGGCTCTGCCTTGCCAAGCGCTCGACCACGGGTCAGGCTACATCCTGGCGTACGTCCCGACCTTCTCGTCTTCTGTACATGCTCATCTCGCGCTCCCACAGCTTTGGCATCATGGCGGCTCTCTATCACCGCGCAACGACAGGCGGCAGTTACCTGCTCACCAACACGCTCCTCTCGACCGCTCACTTCATCCGCTCCCTCGGCCGCCGTTCGCCCTTCGAAGCGTTCGGTCGTCCTGACATCAAAATCGAAACAGTAAACGAGTTGAGAGCACGAGGGCAGATGGCGACGTGTTCAGGCTTCGAGGGAAAGACAGTCGAGTATGTACGGCATGCGGCGAAATTTGAGGGAGACGTCAAGGTTGGATGGGAGCGGGCGCCAGCGGGACTCGGTGCGGACAAAGTAGAATGGCTTCCTAGACAACACGAGTGAAACAGTGCTAAGATACAGACGGGTGAAGCGACGGGAATACCAAGAAGGACGATCACCGCCTCGAGCGGGACATGAGAGCCGCGAAGACAATGCCGACTGCCGCGGCTGCTCCACCTGCAATCGCCATGCCGACGTAGCCCTCTGCATCGAGGGAGGACGTCAGCAAGCGAACTTCAAGCGGGAGCGAACGAACGTACCCTTCGCGACCGCCTGCTCAATAAGCTGCTGCAGACTTTGCGCCTGGATGTTGTTCGGCTCCTTCTCGAGCAGCAGGCCTGTTCACGTGAGCAAACGTCAGGGCACGATCGAGCAGACATGCGGCAGAGGAGCGCACTGTTGTACCGCTTCGCTTCGGGGTAGTTGCCAAGCTTGTAGTGGCCGACCGCGAGGAAGTAGAGGCACTCTCGCCGACGAGACGGCTCCGTGCGATAGATGTCTGCGCACCGGCGCATTCGCATCAGCTCGAAAGGGAGTTTGGGGACAAGCCGAACGACGACGCACCCATGAGCAACGCCACGCCCTCCCCCTTCTCGACCCTGTTATCGCTCTTGACGCTTCCCCATGCGTAGTTGAACTTGGTCTGCACCGAGACCCAGCCTTTCGCTTGCTCGTCGAGGTATTGCTGGCGGAGGACGTTCAGTTCGGAGGCGCTGAGGGGAGATTGGGCGTCGACGGCGGCTGCGGGACGCACTCATGGCTGGTCAGCCAGCGCAGCGGGTTACTGTGAATGTTTTGGACATCTGCACACCTGTAGAAACGATCCGCGAGGCGACACCGTGGAGTACGGCGACGGCGGAGTGATGAAAGCGGGGGGGAGGTGGAAAGGGTAAGCAGGAGACGGGAAGCGCTGTGAGTGAGCTCGTCCGGTCCAGAGACAGGGTAGAGGCTCCTGCGCACCTGGCAAGACGTCTGAAGGCATGTTGGCGAGTCGAGAGTGAACGGAAAGAGAGAGCGAGGCGGTGCTCCCCTCGAGGCGAAGAACATCAAGGCAAGTACTCGTCCTTTGAAGGCTCTTGTGCACGTATTTGACTGTCGTCGATGTATCATGAGTCTTGCGAATCCACCAGATCTACGCCAACCCCCACCTCCCGCTCTTGATCCGCTCGCCTTCCTTCTTGACAAGCAATCCGAACGCCACCGGTCCCATGATCGTGCAGACCGCGACTGCCCAGATGCCCACGAGGTACGCTTCTTCGCCCAGTACCTCTGTGCCGTTCTCGGACGAGGTGGAAGCGGCGTAGGCGACTTGGAGGACGAGGATCTGCGCAGCGCGAGTGTCAAATGATGTACTCACGTTTGCGGATGCGCAACGAGGCAACTCACGCCAATCTCGCCTCGAGCAACAAGTGCAAGTCCGACGAAGGCGGCGGCGGTAAGCGTCTGTCTGACGAAGCGAGACGACGTGTCGAGTCGGAACGAGCGCATTGACATCCGCTCAGCCTTGTGCGCCTTCTCCGCATCGGTGTTGCTCATCACGCCGGTTGTCGTCACTAAATCGGACGATGGACGTGCAAGAAAGGCGGAGTCCTGGTTGCCGCGGCGGAAGAGGTCGACGAGGAGGATGGGCAGCCCGGCAAGAAGCTTGCCGAGCGCCATGAGGAGTGCGTAGATGAGACCCCGCCAGATCCGCCGTCCTGTCCAGAGCGAGAGGAAGGGAATTGAGAAGCCGATCGAGGCGAAGAAGAGAGGTGCGAGGATCTGCGGATGTACGGTGCTCAGCGGGTTGGTCTCCGTTCAGCTGGCGGAAGGAGAGGCGCACGTATTCCTGGACGGGCATGAGGAGTTCCTCCCAGATAGCGACGAACGACAGACCCGACTCTGGCGAAGGCAACGCCGACAAGAACGTTCCAGCGAGGAAGGCGCCCAGTAGCATCGTCGTGCCCGCGTAGTAGGAGCTGTGCATGTCCCGGAGCGTCAGTCTCTGCCAACGCTCGTTTGCGTGAAAAGTACACTCACATGGCCAGGAAAGCTACGAGGATCGCGACGCCTAAGGAAAGTAAGGCGAGCTGTCCGCCTCGGTCAACCAGGTGCTCGACGCGTCGCCACCGGAACAGTGACCTGGCAAGCCACCATGTGACGACCGGCGAGACGACAGCCATCGCCACGCTCGCAACGATTGGGCGTCCGATGGTCCAGCCGAGACTGCCGCCTGAGTCGGTGCCGAGGGACTGGATGACGGAGAGGAGGACGAGTGCAATGACGTCGTCAATGAGCGCAGCGCCTTTGAGGATCTCGCCGACGGCTGTCGTGCCCAGCTCTGGTCCAGACGCGCGAAGCACGTAGAAAGTCGTGCCGAGAGATGTGGACGCCAGAGCGCTGCCAGCCGAAAAGGCTTGCAGCTGCGGGTAGCCGTAACCGCTGAAGAGGGCGAAAGTGAACGCGAGAGGGAGGAGGATTCCGATGAGGGCCGTGATGAGGGCGAGAGGGAGCTGCGGGAGGAAGGAGCGAGGCTGGAGCGCGAGACCGCCTTCGAAGCTGGGTGGGGAGCGCGCGTGTCAGTAGCTCGTTCTCCTCCGGACATGTGTGGACTCACACGATTAACACCAGGCCAATGTAGCCAACGACGATAAACGTCTCCTCCCACTCGATGTCGAGAATCTTGGCGACCGGTCCAAAGATGACGCCGACAGCAATCTCGCCGAGCAAGCCAGCGTAGAAGACCTTATTCGCGACGCCTCGCGCGACATTGGCGAGCAAGAGGAACGAGATCAGGACGGCGAGGGAGGCGAATGGCGGTTCGTGGTATGGGACGGTTCCTGCGGCGGTGAGTGACGACATCTAGACATAGCGGACTTCAGCACGAGGTAAGAGCGGTCGCGAGCGTGGTATGGGAAGCAGAGTGAGGCGTAGGAGGGAAAGAGAGGCTCGGCGAAAGGGCGCAGACCTTGGACTCGTCCACACGCCGCCAACTCGCATCTGAAGCCACTCTGAACACGCGAGACCATGGTACGGACACGCACAGCTCGTACACAAAAACGTACGCCCGCTCACGCTGCTCTCACTCGTCTCCACCCTCCTCTCGGCATCCCCATCACTGGCCGGTTCAAACAGGGCAAATCGCAGTCAAAGCTCTCGCCAGAAGACCTGGCAGACCTCCAGAAGAACACTTACTGTCAGTCGTCTCGCGTTCTTGCCCCAGGAGGGCTGGCAGGCGCCGTGAGCGCACGGAAACGTCAACTCGAGGTGATCGTGCCGCACCGCCTCGAAAGGGGACGGCGACTTGGCAGGCGAAGGACTCGTCGGGGTCGCGGACACGATGCTGCTCCAATGGGTGGTGGGAGTAGCGGAACTGGCTGTGCGGGAGGAACCTTCTTTCACTTGCTCAAACTACGACGGTGGGCGAGGCTGTCAAGGTCGCTCGTTGGGCTTGCTTGGATTTGCTGCAGAAGCGCAGATGCCAGATTTCGATCGAGTTTGGACCGCTGACCCCGCTTCTCCCGCCACAGTCGACAAGAAGGAGCTGCAGCAGTGGTCCGTCCTCCTTTCCTTCGCTCGCCTCCCTCGCATCTCGACTGACGGCTTCCTTTCTCACTTGACAGGTACAAGGGCTTTGTCAAGGACTGCCCTTCGGGCCAGCTCAACCAGGAGGAGTTTGCGCGGATCTACAAGCAGTTCTTCCCGTTCGGCAACCCTCAAGCGTTCGCGCAGCATGTCTTCAAGGTGTTTGGTGTGTCCCAACTTCGCACGCGCATGCTCATGTGTTTTCTCGCCAGCGGAGTCGCTCGGCAGAATAGTGCTTTTGCGCGGTGAATTGCTGACATCCGGATGCGTGGAATAGACAAGAACGGGAACGGCACGATCGACTTCCGCGAGTTCATCGCCGCGCTGTCCATCACGAGTCGAGGGAAGCTGGACGAGAAGCTGCAATGTGCGTGAAAGTCCTCTGCCCCTTCTTCCCTCTTCGCTAACCCCCAAATTCCGCGCGCACAGGGGCCTTCCAGCTGTACGACATCAACAATGACGGCCTCATCACGTACGACGAGATGCTCAAGATCGTCCAGTCGATCTACGACATGACGGGCGAGATGGTCAAGCTCCCGCCGGACGAGGACACAGCCGAGAAGCGCGTCAACAAGATCTTTGCGCTGATGGATCTGAACCACGATCACCAGCGTGCGTTGACCGACTCAAGCGAGGCGGAGGAAGTGCTGATGCGTTTGTTTATGCGTAGTGACGTTCGAGGAGTTCAAGGAGGGCTCGAAGAAGGACCCAACGATCGTTCAGGTGCGCAAGTTTGCGGCTATAAGCAAGCTCGAGCTAACTGTGCTGACGCTGTTTACGACTGCTTTGAACTTGCCTGCAGGCCCTCTCGCTGTACGACGGCCTCGTCTGACTCCTTTCGCGGCCCTCCTCTCCGCCAAATCGCTTCCCACCGCTCAAAAGCCGTTGTACCACTTTTCACGTACTCGCCAACCGCACGAAAATCGCCTGTTGTACCACCTTTGCCTCGCCCCTACCTTCGCTCTCGCTCTCGCGCACTTCCTTCCTCCCCTTCTCTGTCGGAACCCCTCATTCCGCGCTCGTTCTTCCACTCGATTCAAGCGACGGCTCTCTTGCGGTACACACACTCCTTGTGACCACTATTTGAAGTCGGATCTCTGTCCTTGTTTCTGAGGCTGCATGAGAGGGCAAGGGAGAGATGAGAGAGGGTCTGCGTTCCGAGAATGACTACAAGGGTGCGGTATCAACGAAGGAATGAAGGAACTCATATGACCCTACGGTCGAACGAAAGGACGAGCGTACAACGAAGGGGGGCGAACGGAAGGAAAGGCACAGGCGGGTCAAGGTGAGGAAGCACGAGTACTAGACCAGGAGGAAACGGTCAGGGTGCGCAGGGAAGGCAAGGTATATATACAACGGCGAATCCACACGAAAACAAGGAGAAGCACGGCGCCCTGGATTACAGCGCATCCCTCTGCAACCCATTCGGCAGGGGCGGGACTGGCGGTACGGCGCTCATGCCCGACGTGTTCCGCTCGGTGTTGGCCTCGACTCGCGCTTCTTCCGACTCGTCTTCGTCGTCGTCGTCTTCTTGGGCGAGGAGGGCGGCGGCTTGTTTCATCGCCATGCCTTCGTTGCTGCGAGCATGAGGGGACGGGAGGGCGGCGTCAGCGTGGAGGGATGGCTGACATGTGAGAGGAACGCACGAGTAGTGTCGACCTCGCTTCTGAGCAAAAGCACGGCGGTGTTCGATGGCTGCGGAAGTGTGATTGTGAGTGGACATCTTCGGTTGAGAGTTGAACAGGTCCAGCGCAACGCTAGCTTCCCATCACTCGGGAGGGGGCCAACTCACTCTCTTCGTCAGCCTCCTCGTCGTCACTCTCGTTGAACGCCTCCTCCCCGCCGCTGACATCGCTGTTGCTCCGCTCGACCCGGACCATCTTCTCGCTCGCTTCGCTTCCGCGCCTCGACGAGCCCGTTGCGTTCGCTGCGCCCGCACCGACGAAGGTGGAAGAGGTAGGCGAAGTCGGGTTCGAGGGTCCGCCGCCGCCGGACGACGAGGCGAAGGACGTCGAACCGAGCGAGAAGCCGGGGATTTCTGCGCGAGTCGGCCACTTGCGCCCGTCAGTGCGGTCCTCGGCAGCGTAGAGAGAGCTCGGTACGCACGGTCAAGGTCCATCACCTCGTCCGTCTCTGCGTTGTAGCGGACATACGGGGTCTTTGGCTCGGTGATCTTCATGGTCGAGTCTCGCTGGAGGTCGTTCAAGCTGAGGTTTGTCTCGTCCCACGCGAGCTGTCCCGGGTGATGCTGCCCATCCTGTCCAGCCTGTGTGCGAGCGGTGGGAGGGGAAGACGAGGTGGGGACGTTGCTGGACGACGAGCGCGAGTTCTTGAGGATGCCGCGCGGTCGGACGGACGACGAGTGCGACGGAGTGCGTGCTGGAGGTGAGTGGGGCTGGTCGACCTGCATCCTGGACAGCACGAACGGCGAGAGTGAGCGGTGGAAGGGCAAGAGATGACGACGGGGACGAGGAGAAGCAACTCGACGGCAACCGCTTCGTTCGATGCGAGAGTTGGCTTGTAGTACTGCTGAGCGAGTCTCCTGAATTACTGGCTGCACAGCGCAAGCCCTACGAATTTCGGGTTCAGCCTCACGCATCGGTGTTTGCGTCGCGTGCACTCACACTCTCTGCTCGCTCTCACGCTGCGCTCACGAAGAGCTCGCCAGGCGCACTGCTGCTAGGATTCGTGCACACCAGCGCCGACGCGATGCCCGCGGGCGACGACGAGCGACCACCATCCGACCCAGCTGCCTCGACGTCAACACCGCTCGATGCACCACGCACAGACGCGCAGGATGTCGCCATGACCGAGCAGAACGAGGACGCAGACGCGAAGAGGGCTGGTGTGCAGGGCGCGCAGGGTGCGGGAGAGGGAGAAAGGCGCTTCGAGAGATCGGGAACTCCGCCTCCGGCTGGTCTAGGCGGCGCTGAGGCGAGCGTGGAGCAGGGCGGGCGAGTTGAGGGCACAAGTGTGGAAGGCGAAGCTGCCGGGGGTACTGCGCAGCCGACTAGCACGTCCCCGTCGACTCCAACTCGCCCTTCGTCCGCTTCCTCTCCCTCGACGGCGGCAAGCGGCACGCCCACACGCGAAAGCCACGGCGAGTCGCTTCGACCCTCTCCTACATCCTCCCCAGCACACGGCGCGCCAGTCTCAGACGCGCCCGACAGCTCTCCCATCTCAGCCCGAAGCGCCGCCTCCTCCTCTCCCTCCGGCTCTCCCTCTTCCCAAGCCTCCCAGTCCCCTTCTTCGTCCGGCTCAGCACCGAGTCGACGCGTCAAAGTCTATCGACTCAAGGACGACGCGTGGGTCGATCTCGGCACCGGCACTTGCAGCGGAGTCTTCCTGCAGGCTACGCCTTCGGGCGACGAGTTTGAAGGTGGAGCGCGCATTAGCGAGGAGGATGAGGGAGCGTGGATCATCGTCAAGAAGGAGAAGTTTCGGAAGCGATCGCCGAGTCCGTCGGATGACGGCTCGCCTTCGAAGAAGAGACGGAGAGACGATGGAACGGATTCGCCTACGAAGGGGAAGGATCTTACGGACGAGCCGGGCGTCGAGATCGAGGACGAGGAGGACGAGGATGAGGTGATCCTGCGGACGAGAGTGCAGCCGTACCCCCAGGGTTACGCGCCGGAAGACTTGATGGACGAGGACGAGTTCACGTCCGTCGACGAGAACGGCAACACGACTGTCGATGCGGGAGGCTATCAGCGGCAGCAGGATACGCTGATCGTCTGGACGGAGCGATCGGGTCCAGACGGAGAGGAGGAACAGGAGATGGCGCTTAGCTTTGCGACGCCGTCTGGGTGCGGCGAGATGTGGGAGTTTATCAAGGCTGCGCGGAGATTCGCAGGTACGTACAGAGGACTCGCTCGCCATCGATCGTAGGCTTACCTTCGCTCGCTCGCAGCCGAGCAACAAGCCTTACGGTCGCCCTCGCCATCTCCATCCCTCTCTTCTCCTCGCGCTTTCGGCATGCACGGCCCGGCCACCGCCTCACTCGCCAACTCCCTCCCCGAACCTTCACTTGGCAACATCGCCAAAGTCGAAAACGCGATCCGCCAACTCTCGCGGACGGTCGTCGGGCGAGAGAGGGCAGCGAGCGTGATTGTCCGCACGGGATACATCGAGAAGTTGGTCAAAGTGCAGCAGGAGGCGGAGGACCTCGAGAGTATCGAGGAGTTGCATGCGCTGTGTCGCGTCATGCAGGCCATCTGTGCGTTCGTTCGTTTCGATCATGGATGTCGCGCCGCTGACGTTCACGATCTCCCAGTCCACCTGAACGACAATGCCATCTTCGAGCACGTCCTCAAAGACGAGGTCATTATCGGCGTGGTCGGCATCCTCGAATGTGCGTCTCGCTCATTTCTGGCGCAGACGCCTGCTCACTCGCTCGTCCCGCGCAGACGACCCCGACTTTCCGACCATGCGCGCCTCGTACCGCGAACACCTCTCCTCCCCGTCATCCTTCGTCTCCGTCATCCCGCTCCATCTCCTCCCCGCCACCCTCCTCACCAAGATCCACCAAACCCACCGACTGCACTACCTCAAAGACGTCGTCCTCGCGCGCGTCATTGAAGACTCGACCTCCTCGCTCCTGAACTCGGCGATCTACTTCAACGAGGTTGACATCGTGAATGAGATCACGCAGGAGCGCGAGTTGCTGAAGGAGGTTTTCAAGATCTTTGGGGAGGATGGGGTGGCGCCGAGTGAGGGGAAGGGGAAGGAGAAGGCTGTTGCGCTGGGGAGGAAGGACACCGCATTGTTCGGCAGTGCGGACCTCCTCAAGCCTTCCTCCACCGAGGGAACGCCTTCGACCGTCTCCGCCGCGACCGAACTTCCAACGTCCTCCCCGCACGACCGCAAACTCCACGCCACCCTCTTCCTCCAGCAACTCTCGCAGATGGTCAAGAACCTCCAAATTCCGGTCCGCACGACGTTCTACAAGACGATGTGCGAGCGAGGGTTGTTGCCTGCGCTCGAGGGGGCGCTGCGATTCGCGGACGAGGTTGCGCATGCGAATGCGCGAAAGGCGGAGGATGTGACGGAGGAGCGGGAGTTGGAGCGGCTGCAGGTCCTCGAGGATGCGGCAGCGATCCGGCAAGGCGCTTTGAGCATCTGGATCAGCGTTGTCGACCTTGACGCGGTCGACGTGCGAGGATACTGTCTGCGGCAGGGCAAGGAGCTCGAGAAGCGGGCGGAGGAAGAGTCGGCGAACTTAGATCTGGCGGCGGAACTTGAGGCGGAGATGGAGAAGGAGTCGAAGACTGCGGAAGAGCTTGAGCGGGAGAAGCGCGAGAAGGACGAGAAGGAGGCCAGGCGGACGCTGCTTGGGTTCCTTGTCGGGATGCTGAAGGAGGAGGAGGATCTGGGCGTCAAGGCGCAGCTGGCGGAAGCGTTGCGGGTGCTGGTGGATGCGACAAGCGAGGGAGGGCCGATGAGCGTGCGTTCGCTTCCCCTGACGTACTCCCGTCTCGTCTGGCTCATCATTGTCCTTTCCACAGGCTCCCGCACGTCTGCGGGTCGAAGATCCTGAGGCTGAGCGCTTCCTCCAGTACTTCTACGACCACTGCGTCCTCTCGCTCGTCCAGCCTCTCGTCGACCTTCCCGAACGTACCGACTCCGACCCTCCTCTCGTCCTCTCCGAATCTTCCGTCGCCCTTCTAACCCACATCTGCGACCTCCTCTGCTTCTTCGTCGCGCACCATACCTTCCGTTCTAAATACCTAATCCTCTCATACCCCGCCATCGCCAAGTCAATCGCTCGTCTCCTCCGACCCCGACCTCGCTTGACACGGCATACGCACCTCCGTCTCGCCGCTCTCCGCTTCCTCCGCGCCTGCGTTGCCCGGAACGACGATTTCTACAACCGCTTTCTCATCAAGTACGACCTCATCCGACCTGTACTCGATACGGCTGAGGAGGAGCGCGACAAGGACAATCTGCTCGGCAGCGCGTGCCTCGAGTTCTTCGAGTTCCTGCGAACGGTGCGCACATATCGCTCGCGCATGGGACAAGTTGACTGATCCCCACTCCCTCGCGCAGTCAAACGCCAAGGCCCTCCTCAATCACCTCATGGACCGCGCAGGTGACACCGTCCGCAACCTCGCCAAGACAAACGGCCTCTCGCCCCCTCTGCGGACATTCGAGTCGCTTATCGCGCGATGGGAGATGAACAACGAGCCTCCGCCTCTGCCGCTTGCGAGCGGATCGACTTCCGATGGCCCGGCTGCTGCGTCGTCTGGCGCGACTTCAAGGTACGCTCCTAATCTATCCGCCTCTCTTGGATTCCTGCTAATGGAGGGAACCCGTCCGCAGTTCGATGCAGCGCCAGCACAGCACTCCCGGCTGGTCTCCGCGCAAAGAAATGGAGGAAGAGTCGTACTTCAACACCTCGGATGACGAAGACGACGAGCCTCGCGTCGCACGGCCTCCCAAGCCCGACTTCTCCAGGTTTGGCGCATCGCTCGGCTCGTCTCGACGCAAGCGCGAACCGCCTCCTACGCGCTCGGACAAATCCGCGGACGAATTGCTGGATTTCCTTAAAGGCCTTAGGGAGGATGCCGAGTCACAGATGCGCAAGAGCCACGCTGAGGGGGAGGCCAAGCCGCCGAATCCCCTCGTCGACTATTCGGACGATGATGAGGAGGCGACGCCGGCTGGCGAGTCGAAGAAGGAGGGCGACACTTCGAAGGCCGACCCACTCGCCGGTGGCTTCATTCGAGAACGTCGCGGGGCTGTAGACGTCGGCCAAGCCGCGGCGATGGACGTCGATGAACCTGCGCCCGCCCCCGCCGCTTCGACGTCCGCCGAGCCCAGCACGACGCCGACATCTGCGTCTCCGCCCAAACCGCCAGTCGCAGTCCCAGACGACAACGGCGCGCCACCTTTCCTGCCGTCGCTGAGCGCCCTCAAGCGGAAGAAGGAGGAAGACGACGATGGCGAACTCGGCCTGCTCGCCAAGCGCCGCACACCCTCTGGCGGCTCGTCCAACTCGCCGTCAAGCACGGGCGCCTCGAAGGGCACGTCCGGGATGAACGGCAAGGTCTCGCTGCGGCCAGGTCTGGGGGGCCCGAGGCGGATACTCATCAACTCGGTGCTCGAGATCCCTACGTCGTTGGCAGGAAGGAAACAAGGAGAGTCGGGTGATGCAGGAGGAGCGGCGGAAGACTCGAAGGCAGCGGCGGAGACGGCTGTCAAGGCGGGCGAGGCGGAAGAGGGAAGTGCAAGTCCGGAGAAGGGATGAGCTCGTGGTTGCTTTGCATTGCGCAAGCCTTTGCATCTCGCATAGTCTATCACTACGCACGACTTGGCGAGCATACACTCGGTCCTGTGTTGAGCGAAAGCGTCGTCGTCGTTCTGTGCGAGCTCGAGGACGAGGTTGGTCTCCGCTTCCACCGCTCGCCTCGCTCGTTTGCTCAGAATGGCCAAGCGCAAGACCGCTCAAGTGTCCTCGCAGGCTGCTGCGCCCGCCGCCAACCCGCCCGTGAGGAAGAAGGCGCGCTTCTCCAACCCTCCTCCATCAGCACCGCCCGCACACAAACCAAAGGCGAAGGCGGCTGCAGCGCCCGTGCAGACGCCAGAACAGACGCCAGATGCACCGAAACGCTTCGTCGTGTCGGCCGGATCGTACGAGCGGCTGCTGTACGGCCTCGAGTGCGAGTTCGAACCGTCGACCTCCTCCTCGTCCGGCTACTCCCTCTCGGTCAACCCCATCTTCTCCTTCCCCGCCCATCTCTCCAGTCTCAAGACCGTCGCAGCGAGCCACCTCATCAGCCCTGGCACCGGGAGCGAGCGGAAAGTCGGTGGAAAGTACCTCGTCTCGGCGGGAACGGACGAGGTGATCAAGGTGTGGGACTTGCAGCGACGGAAAGAGGTCGGCATCCTCGAGGGAGACACAAAGGGTGCGTCCTCTGCCTTGCGCGAGGCTTGAGAGCGAATGAGCTGACCCTCAGTCTCGCAGGAACGATCACTTGCATGCGCTTCGTTCCGCAACGCAACATGCTCGTCGTCGCTTCCTCCGACTCGACCATTGTCCTCTACCGCGTGCGAGACTTTGTGCTCTTGCGGTCGCTTAAGGGACACAAGGGGCGGGTGAATGCGATTGATGCGCATCCGGACGGTCGCGTTGCGCTGTCGGTCGGGCAGGACAGGATGTTGCGGATGTGGGACTTGGTGGCCGGCAAGTCTGTGGCGACGATGAAGCTTGGAGCGGGTGCGTCGGACGTAATCTCGCCTGCTGGCCTCTTAAAGCTGACGATCGGCTCGCAGAGGGAGATGCCGTCCGATGGAACACGAACGGCACGAAATTCGTGGTCATCTGCAACAACCAGCTGACGGTCTATGGCCTGGTGCGCTGCAATCGCTTCCACCGCTTCTCGCCGCGCGCTGACATCGGTCTCTCCCACAGGACATGTCGATTCACCACCAACTCTCGGCCAAGTCCCGCTTCCACGACGCCCACTTCTGCTACTTCCCTCTCGACAAGACCGACTCTGCGCAGCGAGAATACCTGTTCGTGGCGTGCGAGGACGGCAAGGTCCGGGTTTTCGACGTCTCGAACCCGACGCCGGTTCACGTCGACGAGACGACCGACCTCTCGGACCTCGACTTGCCCAAGATTGAGCCTGTTGCGCTGTTGACGGGCCATGCGAATCGGTGCGGCATTCTCTGCACATGGCTCGAAAGTCTCGGTTCTGACTCTCTTTCCCGCGCAGCGTCAAAATGATGGACCTGCTCGAAGTCGCCCTTCCCACATCCGAATCCGCTTCTTCTCCCTCCTCAACCATCGTCCTCACCACCATCTCGTCCGACGGCAAGATCAACCTCTACGACCTCGCCCGCCTCCCATCTCCCGCCGCTGCCTCCAAAGGCAAAGGCAAGAAGGCTGCTGCGCCCGAACCGGCAGAAGCGAAGGAGATTGAGCCTGTGGCGAGCTATGACACGGACAAGACACGGTTGACGTGCGTTTGTGCGATTGGGTTAGTCGAGCGGAAGAAGGGGAAGGACGGGGAGGAGGTGGAGGAGTCGAGCGACGAAGAGGATGGTGAGGAGGACGAGGAGGAAGATGGGACGGAGGAGGAGGAGCAGAGTGAGGGTGAGGAGGAGGAGGAAGCGGAGTTTGAGGGGTTTGAGGACGAGGAAGAGGGCGAGGTGGAGTAGGGTCGCCTCGAGCGTCAATGCAGTCACTTTATGCATCCTCTGCGTTCGTTCTGCGCTCGAAAGATGGCTGCTTCGTGCAGCACGGCCGGAGATGACATTCTGTGCGGTGCACTCCTTCACTCTCGCCGTCCACTTTCGCTCGTAAACACCGCTCTGGACGCCTCGTGCTGTCGCGCCTGGCTCTGAAGCGGCCTTCGCTCACCCTTACTGTGCCCGCCGCCCTTCCCTCGCCTTTTTTGCGCCGCCCGACCTCTCCACCTCTTCATCGCCAAGTCAGTTGTCGCTCGCCTCGCGGGACTGCAGGGGCTAGTTGTGCGGAAGAATGGCGTCCTCGCGGCTCAAACGGAAGATCGAAACGGCGGACGAAGGGCAGTACGGCAACCTGAGCGAGAGTTTCGTCTCAGTGGGGACGGCGCTCCCTGCGTTGACGGAGAACAAGAAGGACAAGAACGAGTTCAAGCCGGTGTGGCAGCAGGAAGTCTACGATGATCAAGGCAGGTGCGCTTGCGGTCCTGCTTACTCGCTCGTAGACGTGACCTCATCCTGTTCCCTCTGCAGACGACGGTTTCATGGCGCTTTCACCGGAGGGTTCTCTGCCGGCTACTTCAACACCGTCGGATCCAAAGAAGGTGAGCAGATTCACGGAGCTTGTCCATCGGCGGAAGCTGACCTCACCCTGCAGGATGGACGCCCTCGACTTTCAAGTCGTCTCGCTCAAACAGGGCTTCGCAGAACCAGCGAAGCGTCTTGGATGCCGCGAAAGAGTTCATGGACGACGAGGTAGGCGGGACCTTCCTGTAAGCCGAACCATTCTGACCCCGCCGCCCGACAGGACCTCGCGGAACTCGCTTCCTCCCGAACGCTCGAAACCAGCTCGACCTACGCCTCTTCCGCCCGCGCTCCCGCTCCTCCTCCGCCTGCCTATGACCCCCTCCTCGGCAACTTCGCCGGCCTCGAAGGTACCGCCGCGCCTGCTCCCAATTTCGACGAAACCCTCGCCTCGCTCATCCAGCCCTCTTCGTCTCGCATCGGCCTCAAACTCATGCGCAAGATGGGTTGGCGAGACGGACAAGGAGTCGGGCCGCGCGTGACGTATCAGCAGCGGAAACGGCAGGCTGCAGACATCGGCGTCAAGCTGGACGATGAGGATGAAGCGGGCGGAGAGGCGGAGAAGCACCTGTATGCGCCGCTCGATCGACCGCTCACGCTTGTCAAGGGCACGAGCGCGTCGATGGACAAGGGATGGGGACTTGGTTATCAGCCGGGGATGAACTTGCAGCAGCAGTTGCGGAGCGAGGGGGGATACGCGGGGCAGGCTTCGGGGCGGCAGACGGTGTATGAGCTGGATGTCGACGATGTGTACGGCGGAGTCGGCACGAGCATGGATGCGCTCGGTGACAGGCAGAAGCGCGCGCTGGGCGTGTACGACGGCGAAGACGACGCGGACTTTGGGACGATTCAACCTTCGAGAGGCGCAAGAACGCGTGAGCAGGTGCGTGTGTCCTTCCGCGACTGGTAGATAAGCTGAACTGAGCTCGCCCTCCTACAGCCGAAGAAGCGAGGCGGGCCGCTGCAGGAGTTCCACGACGGGACCAAAGTCCTGCCCGGCTTCGTCCTTCAGACTGAGCCCCTCGTTGGACCTTCCCTGTGAGCGCAGTTCCCCTTCCTGTATGCTCTCAAGCTCACGGTTCTCATCGCAGATCCCAGCTACCGCCGCAGCCGCCTCCTGGCTGGCAGCCGAATCCTTCTCGCCTGTGGAAGGAGAATCAGCCGCCGGCGACCGATGCGAAGGGAAAGGGGAGACAGCTCGACGCGGACGAGGTGCGTCTCGCGTTCGTGCAGCCTTGTACGCTCCTGACTGTCGGTTATTGCAGCGAGGATCGCTCCTTGGCGAGCAACTGCCGCCGCCCGTTCCGAAGTCCGTCTTCGACTATCTCTCCGCCAAGAGCCGCGAACGACTCGCCGCCGTGACAGGCGCGGCACCGAGTACATCCGCCTCTGCTACACCCGATGCTCCCCCTCCTCCGCCTGAACCCGATGCGCAGCTCTTCGTGCCGCCTATCGACCGCCCTACCGCCTCGGCCGCTCTGCGAGGTTTCCAGCCGTACTCGGCTGCTTCGACTTCCCCCGATCCGATCAAGCAGGCGCGGTATACCCTTTACCTCCAGTACCAATCCTCCGGTGAGGCGTCGACGACCTCATCACCCTTCGGGCCTCGACAGCTGCCGAATGGCAAGATGCAGAGCGTCGCCGAGCTCAACCGCGAGCTCTCCGAGTACGCTCAGGCGGCCACGGTCTTCAAGCCTGTCTCGGGCATGCTCGGAAACCGTTTCCAGTCGAGCAAGACTGCCGCGCTCGATGTTCCGAAGGTCGAGCCAGGCCTCTACCAACCTCCACCGAAGTCAACTGCCGCTCCGTCAACTTCCGACCTCGCTGCGACGTACGGCGACGCATCCGCCTCTCCACCAAAGCCGCCTGAACTCGCACCTACTCCCGCGCAGCAAGCCGCTCGAGCGGGCAACTTTGGCCCTCTCACACGCACCTCTACGCCTTTCCGTCCCGCTCGCCTCCTCTGCAAGCGCTTTGGCGTTCGCGACCCTTACGAGAACGCCGAAGTCGAAGAGAATGGCGTCGGAGGGAAGTGGGGCGAGGCGACGAGCAGTGGCTGGGGCACGGGCAACGCACAGACGAGTCAGCCGATCGGCCGGTCGGCCCTGGACGAGATGATGCAGAGCGCGGGCTTTAAGCGGTTTCAGGAGGCGTCGAAGGAGGTTGAGGCGGACGCGCCGGAGGTTGTTAAGGGCGTCTTCGAGACTCCAGCTGAAGGATCGACCGTCTCTGCGCCGAAAACCAAGCCGAAGGTGCGGCCGACACTTGAGACGGTCGGCTACGGCGACGACGAATCGCAGGGTCAGGAGATCGTCGACGAGCAGAAGGCGCCGCCCGATATCTTTGCCGCTATTTTCGCTGACTCTGACGACGAGGACGAGTCTGATGACGAGGCGGAGCCAGCGGTGAGCGCGACATCTGCTCCTGCGCCGGCCACGACCGTTCTGTCGGTCGACAAGGTCGAAACGCCTGCTGCTGCTCCGACCGCCGCACCTGCTCCCGCCCCTCCCTCCGAACAGTCCCCTACGACTCTCTCGCTCGACACCATCGCCACCTACAAGCCAACCTTTGCGCCATCCACGTCCCGCACCACCTCATCCTCGAAGCCCGAAAAGAAGAAGAAGGCGAAGCGAAAATCGGGCGCGCTGAGCTTTGCGATGGACGAAAACGGCGATGACGGCGATACTTCGCTGTCATCCAGCAAGAAGTCGAAGCGGGACAAGGACGAGCGGGATCGGAAGCGACGACGGGATGGGGGCGAACGCGAGGAGAGTCGACGAAGCAGCGACAAGCGACGGCAGGACGAGTCAGGGACCAAGGTGGCTGCGGAAGAGGAGGACGAGTGGGCCGAGGCGCCGTCGCAGGTCCACCCGGATGTCCTGGCTGCGATGCAGAAGACGTCGCCGGCGGCTGTCTCCCGCCCACTCGCGGAAGAAAGCAAGGTGCCGAAGACTCGGCCAAGAGCAGCCGACCTGTACTGAGCGTGTCCCCGCCTCTCCCTTGCAAAGCACCATTCTGACGCAATGACCGTCGCGAAAGAGAGTCGCTTCGTTACGAGTAGAGACAGTGTCCGAAAAGAGCTGCACATCGAGGGTCGGCCAGCGCCTCGTTACCCTGGCACAGGGACCTTCAGTCCGTCTCCTCCGCGGCGGGCTGAGGCGTCTTCGTCCTGGTCCAGCTGTCCCGCTTGCTGCCTCCACCTTCCCCGCCCTCGAAAGCCGCCACCTTAGCCATGACTTGGCTCGGCGGCCTCGGTGCCCTTGCGCCCCTCAGCCGCGAGGGTCCACTCGAGCGCTTGAGGGAGGACGACGGCGCGAGCGGCCTCTCCTCCGAGTCGCCAACGACCTCCTCGTCGCGACCGGCGTCGCTTGTCGGAAGCGCAGGTTCGGGCACATCGCCAGGCGAGACAGGCGGCACGAATGCGTCCTCGGACGGCTCGCCGCGAGCTGCACGATCGTCCTTCTCCGCCTCCTCCTTGACGACCTCCGGGTTCGGGTCGAGCTCCTCCGGCGGCGCAGTCGAGTCCTCCGACTCCAGCTTCTCAGTGGTCGTCGGAGGCGCCTCCTCGGTTGCCGTGTCCTCCTTAGCTGGTACAGGCGGCTTCGGGAACTCCTCCTGCGTCGCGCTAAGCGGACTCGCCGCAAATTGTCCCTCACCCGCTCCAACTCCTGCCGCGAGCGCCGTGTCCACGCCAAGCAAGCTCTCTCGCTTAGTCTGCCTCAGGACCTCCTCGGCCTTCTCCTTGTCGACAGAACCGCGCTCGCCAAGACCGAGGTTCGAGCGCCGCGGGCGCTGGTCAATCGGCTTAGTGCGCTGACGACGCGGGCGATAGCGTTCTTCGCGCTCTTTGTGCGCGATGTCGTGCGCGAGGGAGAAGATGGTCGACGAGGAGGTGACGAGGTCGGTGATGACGGAGGCGGGGAAGCGGTCGTCAAGGTTGAGCGCGGTAGTCGTCTTTGGGCGCAAGAGAGGACGAGAGAGGGAGAGGGAGAGGGAGAGCTTGTGCAGGTAAGTTGGGAGCGGCTCGGAAGTCGTGGTCGACTCGACGAGTTGCGAGAGGTGCGAAACGACGGCCCTGAGGACCTGCGATGAAGAGTGGCGATAAGCAAGTACTCACACTCAGCAGCGAGCCGAGACTGGAAAGGCCTCCGCCAGCTTACCTCGAAGTGAACCTTCGGCAACTTGCCAACGACCTTCGCCAGCTCGTTCCGCCTCTTCTCGTCCTCCTCCTTCTCCTGCTCTCCGTCCTGGCAATCCGCAATGACGTGCCTCGCGCCATACAAGCTTCTCAGCTCCTCGTACGCACTCCACGTCAAAGGCGGCTGTTCGAGCTCGAGAAGCCAGAGCTTGACGACGGAGCATATGAGCGGGAGGTCGAATGGTTCGAGGAGGGCGGCGAGATCGGATGGAGGAAGAGCGACGTTTGAGGGGTTGTTGAGGAGGGAGCGGAGGGCGTGCTGTGCAGAGAGAGGCGTCTCGTACAGCCACGACTTGCGGCGTTCTGCGGGCCAGCACGAAGGCAGTCAGCGGCAGGCTCCTGACAGAGCGACACGGACTTCTGCACAAAGCCGCACGCACCGGCATCGTCGACGTTCTCGCCCTTCTTGTTCACCCACTCGAGCAACACCTCGAGGACAGGCGGAACAGGCTGCTCGTCCCTTTTCGGGTTCGTCTCGTCAAACTTGCGCAGGTCGATGCCGAACGTCGTAGGCGACGGGTCAGAGTAGTGCGACTGGAAGATGACAGGCTGGGGCTGGAATGGGCCGGTCCTGCGAGACGAGTGTATTCAGCGGCCGTGCACGACTTCGTCAAGCAGTCCTCGCTCGTCCCGGACGAGCGCTTCGACCGCTCGAAGCCGCAGAGACGGACGCCGACTCACCTCCTCCGCTCGATGATCGCCCTAAGGTCCTTCTCGGGCCTGACCAGCTCGAGCGACTGTCCGACACGCTGCAAGCTGCCGTCGACGAGTTTCGGAAGCGCCGAGATTGCTTGGTGAAATGACTTGAGGACCGAGGTAGCGGCGCGGAGGCGGTCGGATTCGAGGCGCTGAAGGTAGGGGAGGTGGGAGGAGATGGTCGCTTCGAGTGTGAGCCTGCAGAAAGTCTCGAGTCAGTCAAAGCTCACCGTGCTGCCATAACCACGATGCGAAGCCGGTCTATCGCTTTCTCGTAAACGCAAAACGAGCTCACCTCAACGCGTCAAGCTCCTCGACGGCCTTTTTGTACCTTTCCTCCGCGACGTCGGCGTCCCTGCGCGCCTTCTCGTAGCGTTCGTAGCCAGACTGGGGGCCGACGACAGTCGAAAGGAGCGAAGAGAACCTGCGGATAGCGAGGCAAGTCAGGTCGTCAGCTTGCCCCTTGCTCAAAGCCTCGGAAACTCAGCAGGACACATGGGTCGCGAGACATAGGCAGGGAGCGAAGCGACTCACTTGTTCTTGCTCCAGTCGAGTCCGGCCTTGACCTCCCTCGTCTCCAGGACCTTCCCAATCCTCTCCTTCGCCTCTTCCAGCACGGGACTGACGACCGCTGCGCCCTCATCGTCCTCGTCCTTCTTCTGTTCTTGCGCAGGCGCACGAGCCGAGCGACCCGCGCCCGTTCGGCGGACCGTAAGAGCGCGTCCGAGAGCACCGAGGACGCTCCCGCCTGTCGCGCCGCTCCTGCCGACCAATCCCTCCTCGTCATCGCCCTTCTCGTCGTCCTCGCCTTCCTCGGCGTTCCTCCTCACGCGCCTCGAGGCTGCGGGAGCCTCATCGACCTCATCCGGCCTCGGCGCCCACTTTCCTCCCAGCTCCTCCTTCCCTCTCACAAAGTTCCACTCGTCCTCGACTTCGTCTGCCGTGCGGCACGCGTCGGTGTAAGAGGTCTTGAGCCGCTGGACATGCGAGAGGGCGGTTTCGTAGGCGGTCAAGTGGGAGAAGAGGGTTTGGCGCGAGGCGGAGAGGCGCGAGGTGTGCGAGGCGGACCAAGAGGAGAAGGGGGCGATGATGGTGCGCTAGGGTGTAATGGTGTGTCAGCGGACAACAAACCTGCCCCCTACGCGGTGGAGAGCAGCAACGCTCCCGTCCACGGATAATAAGCGGCCGTCGAGACGCACCTGCAAGTCGTCCGCCAACGCCTTCCTCGCCCTCGCCTCGCCTACTGCGGCCGTCAACAGCGCCTCAAAGCCCATCCTGACAGACGCTCCCTCGTCTGCTCAGACACACCGAAAGTTGAGCGCGTCGTCGGTAAAGCCGATGAGGATGGGAGGCGGTGCAAGCGGGGAGCGTTCGGGGAGAGTCAGCGAGTGAGCACGGCGAGCGCTGGCAGTAGCAACACAGGAGAGTAACGCGGACGTGCCGATGGCAAAACCGTCCCTCCTGAGCGCAGGTGGAACCATGCGCCTCGCCAAGTCCTCCTCGAGTTCGGCCCGCGCCAGAACATGCTCAACGAGCTCGCTGCTCTGCACGCATGCCGCCTCGAGTGCCGTGAAGAGCGACTCGAGTCCCTGCTTGTACGGGACGGACCAGAACTGCGTGTGCGAGTGGGTGAGGGCGTGAGCGCGGGGAAGAGGAGATGAGGTGTGGGAGCGGGCGCACGCTGTTGGAGAACGAGGGCGGGAGCACTGGGCGCTGCACTGGCGCTGTCTGCTCAGCTTTGTCGGGTTCTGCCATCGTATCGAGCGAGTTGAGTGACAGCGAGCGAGCAGAGGTGCGCGACGAGGTGGGGAGCGAAGGCCTGTCCTCTTCCACTCTCGCCGTCAGCTCTACTGGGCTTGCTGACAGGCTCGTTGCATTTTTCGACGCTCCTTGCTCCCGTACGCTTGCGCTCGAAGCGCTCCGAGCCGTCCTCTCCGACTTCTATTCCTCGCTCAATTCTCATCAATGCTCGCGGACGAAGGAGGATTGAGGCGACTGAAGCCTGCTGGATCAGGTCCAGGTGGCTGAGACGGACTCCATGGGCTGTCCGGCCGCCGCTCAGGGCGAACGCATGCCTTCTGCGGCGCATTGGCGGCGGAGACGGCGAACAAGTCCGGTCGGCCTGTCCCTCTTCGGCTGGCAGGCTTAGTCTCCGTGGGCGGTACTCGCTGGATGGAATGTAAGGGTATGGCGATGCCATCTAGCGGGCAACTCTCTCGCGCCTTGCCCGCTTCCCTTCTCTCCGCAGCCTGGCACCTTTGCTGCTTTCCATCCTGTCGCTTTCAGAGCTACTCTGCCCCTCTGGCAGACCTTGCCAAGTCATAGACAACACTTAGCAGTTACAAAACCACCAATCACTTCCACTGGTAAGCCACGGTCAACGAACCGGCTGTGGGATCGCTTCGTCAGTCAGAGCGCTGGAAGAGACGAGCAAAGAGAGGTGGACTCACAAGATGTCTTTTGCATTCTGGCGCAGCTTGTGCAGGGCATCAGAAACTTGAAGAAAGTCTGCAGATGAAAGATCCCTGCACATCTCGATAAACGGCAGGTCGAACTCGTCGCGGCTGCCTTCCTTGGCACCAAAGGTCTCGATGATGCGTGAGATGCAGATTTTGCTGGACTGGTGGTAGTAAGCGGATAGCAGTACGCCTTGCTTGGGGTTCGAGCGCAGATTGGATACGGAGAAGCCAGCGGTTTGGTATGCCAAAGCTTCGAAGCTGCCTGCTTCGACGAGCGCTTTGCGCTCCAATTCAGGTGACGAGCCTTCGTACTTGAAGCTGGTCAATGTGTCGATACACTCAAGGACCTCGTTCACCGGCGACCGTGCAGAACAGCCGAACAGCTTGAGTTTTGCATCGATGGAATCCCTCTGCAAGCGTCGCGTCAGCGTACTGCAAGAGCCGAGACCTTTCCCGAAGACTCACCCTCCCTTCCAAGCGACCTTCAGCCCTGCCCACCTCCTTTGCCCTCCAACCCGTTTCAAGGACGGTTCGCGCAAGCTGATCCCGGAAGGACTCGGGCAAGGCGAGTACTAGAGCGCGTGGTTCTTCGTACAGCGCTTCGAGCACTTGGTCGTAGCTCATTGCCGCAAGGCGCTGCTGGAAAGAGGAAGAATTCGCCATATTGGCGCGAGAGAGTGGAAGTGGGAGCTACGGGAGCTGGAGCAGCGTGCGAGGAGGAGATTCGGGTCGGACGAGTCTAGAGCAGGCAAAGAAGCGAGCAAGTCAACCGGCAAAAGCGTAAGGAAGACAGGAAGCGAGAGCGGGGGAGGAAAGAGAGAAGAGTCGCGAGTCGCCCGTTCCGCGACGCAGGTCGATTACCTCTCGAATACAACTCGGTTGTAATCCTCGTTTGTACTGTACTGTAGTGGGCGATCCTTTCATTTGCGACTTGCTCGCTTTCCCGAGACTCAAGGTTGTCGTCCGCAATCGACGGACTCTGTTCTCTTCGCACTCCTTCGTCGCTAACTTGCTCGTGTGGATGCACGCTAGCCTCGCCCGCATCGCCCGCCCAGCCGCACTCGCTCTCGCACGCCCCGCCAACCCAGCCCGTCCCTTCCCCGTCCTCTCCCTGCCCCAACTCTCCTTCGCCCGACACTCTTCCAACATGTCGTCCTCGACCCAGCTCCTGACCGTCCGTACACTCTCGAAAACTTTCTCTCGAGCCTGCAAGCTGACCCACACACGCCCACAGTCGATCCTCGACGCCAACGAGACCTACGCCGAAGCGTTCGCTCGATCGGACCCTGCGCTCCTCCAGAAGCTCGCAAAGGGACAGAGCCCGCGCATCTTCTGGCTCGGCTGCTCCGACTCGCGCGTCAGTGCAGAGCTGTGAGTCGCCGCGGTCGCTCGTCGTCAGTTGGAGGGAGGGTCGGTCGGATGGGGAGAGGACGGAATCCCGCTCGTTGAGAACAGGCGGCGGAGAGGGGGCGGCTCTTCAGGCTGCAGAAGGACGATTCGGGAGGACTCACGCGCGCGATAAGCCAGATCCTCGGTCGCTGACGAGAAATCGCTTTTCCCCCCTCGCTCTCCCCATCACCTCTCCTATCGCCTTCGCTCTTGCTCTCGCTCTTCTTCCCGTTGTGCAGCGCCACCGGCGTCGCTCCCGGTTCAATCTTTGTCCACGTACGCCCCGCTTACGCCCGCTTTGACTCGAGGGAGCCGAACTGACAATTCCCCTCGGATCTTCCCTCACAGCGCAACATCGCCCAATGCTTCCACCCAGGCGACCTCTCGGCCTCCGCAGCCCTCGCCTACGCCGTACACGTCCTCAAAGTCGAGGCCATCATCGTCTGCGGTTCGCCCTCCGTGCTCCCTCATTTCTTGCTCGCGAAGCTGATCCGACGAGTTGGGCAGGTCACACGGGATGCGGAGGCGTCAGGGCTGGTATGCAGGCTGCGGTTGAGAGCAAGCAGCGTGAGGACAAGGGCGAGAAGGTTGAGCCGCCCAAGCCGGGAAGTGTCGAGGATACGATCGCCAAATGGATTGCGCCGGTGAGTTTCGCCGGACTCGCTTTTCTTCAGCCTATTCCCCATGTCGTCAGAGGGCAAGGACTGATAATAGCCCACGACGGGCGGACCGCAGATCAAGTCCCTCGCCTCCACTCAACTCCCCTCCTGCTCCTCCGACCCGCTCGAAGCCCTCGAACTCGCGCACCTCACCGACTCCCACGTCCGCGACACCGTCAAAGCCGTCGCAGACTCTGACCTCGTCCGTGCCGCGTGGGATGAGGGGAGGGACTTGAGCGTTCATGGGTGGGTGTATCACGTCGGGACGGCCAAGTTGAGGGATCTGGACTGCGGGTGGAAGGGAGGTGCGTGCGCGTTTCCCTCGAGCGCTGGGCCGATACACAGACGGTCGAGCTTCTCGCTGACTGTTTCACGGTTCGCACAGTTGGCGTCCGCGCAGACTCGCTCTCCCGCCCCTCGACCTACGCCGAGTCTGAGCCACGCGAGTAGAACCGCCCCACTCGCTCATATCGATACCAATATCCAACAACAAGAAGAAGCGGAGGAGGGAGACAGCTAGAGGCGGAGGCGGCCAACGAAACGGGTGTAGATAGAACTTGTCCCTCCAGAAGCGCGAATTGTCCGGTTTCTCTCTCGTGCATGCATTGCAGTACCCTTCCCAACCAGCACACTACACTTCTAACTTAGCGAGTTTGCGAGATGTCAACCTGGACGCGCCGACGACGCGCTCTCTCTCCCCTCGTCCGCTCGCCCGCACACGCTGTGCAGGGCCAATGGCTGGTCCACCGCCTGCAGAGGGCACCGACACCCCCGCCACTGCGCCAGCGAGCGGCGGCAAGCGGTTATTCTCCATCTTTGCTCCCCCATCGGGTCCTTCATCATCGACTTCGTCTCCCGCACCAAATGCAGCTGCTGGGCAGGCGAAAGGTGGACAAGGGAAGGGGAAGGGAAAGGAGCTAAGTAGGACGGACGGGAAGGAGAAGGAGGGATCGGTCGTGTCGTTGCTTTCGGACGAGGAGGACAAGGTTGTCGCGCCGAAGCGGGGCAGGGCGGGCAAAGGAAAGGGCAAGGCGGTCGTCAAGCCTAAGGCAAAGGGCAAGAAGGGAAAGGGAAAGGCTGCGAGGCCGGTCTCGACAACGGACGAGGACTCTTCCGCTCCCGATTCTACCGAAGACGACGCCGACTTCGAAGTCCTCTCAGACTCGACTGCTCCCTCTCGTACTTCGTCGGCTACTCGAGTCAGCCGTGCGACGAAGTCGACGCGCACCAAATCGAAGCTCTCAGCAACCGCCTCGACTTCCAGCGCCGTCCTCGACCTTACGTTGTCGCCTCCTCGTCCACCCCGTCCCGCTTCGCATTCCTCGTTTGCGCCGCTCTCGGAGGTGTACAGGTCACAGCGGGAGAAGCGAAGGAAGGATACGGAGGGAATCGAGCCTCGGTGGCCGACGGCCGAGGAACACGCTGCGGGACGGAGCGAAAGCGTCGGGAGGGCGGAGAAGGGCGTTTGGGGTGCCTGGGAGGGCAAGTTCAGGCGTGCGACGGCGGACAAAGGGAAGCAGCGCGCTCATGAGGCGGCGAACGGCCATGCTGAAGAAGGAGACTTTCTCGAACGCCTCGAGCACGAGCTCGACTTTGCTTCTCTCGCGTCCGCCGAATCATCCGCAGCTCCTTCGACCTCCCACAGCCGGTACAAGGCGGTTCCCTACCCACTATCGTCCCTTTCTTCTCTCCTCCCTTCCCCGCTCCCCTCTCATCCGCTTCTCACACGCCTCGCCGCACCCTTCCTCTCCTCCGACCCTTCCACTCTGCCCTTCACGACCCACTCGACAGCCGAATCAGAGTTGTGGACCGTCAAGTACGCGCCGCAGAACGCGGATGAGGTGTTGGGCGAGGAGAGCGGGTCGAGCGCTGTATTGCTGAGGGAGTGGCTGACGGAACTCAAGGTCGAGGGAGCCAGTGCGCCGATTCGTCTTCTGCGCTCCCTAGCGCAACGCTGACCCGGTTCTGCGCTTTTTCGCAGAAGCAGACGCGAAAGTCGGCAAGAAACGTCGTCGCCCTGTCGCACGCGGACTGGACGATGGCGTCGCCGCCAAGCGCAAGCGGAAGAAGCGTGCGAAAGCGCGCGAGGACGACTGGATCGTCCGCTCTTCCGATGAGGAAGACGAAGACGACGGGATGGGCGCCTTTCCCTCGTCTTCGTTCGATTCGCGCGCCGCGACGGACGACAGCGACGATGACCTCGACGGCTTGGGGCGCGCCACGTCCAGCTCGGCCTTCCACTCCCTCACGAACCTGATCCTCCTGCACGGCCCACACGGGTCCGGCAAGTCATCGACCGTGCATGCCGTCGCCCGCGAACTCGGCTACGAGGTATTCGAAGTCTTCCCTGGCATGGGACGCCGGAGTGCGAAGGACGTCGAGCGTTACGTCGGCGATGCGGCGAAGAATCACCTTGTCGTCCAAGGAGGCGGACCGGGCAGTCCAAAGAAGGGCGGTGGAGGGTTGTTCGCGATGTTCGCAAAGCAGAAGGCCAAAGGTAGCGGGACTACGGGAGAAGCAGGCGGATCGTCGAGTAAGGGGAAGGAGCGTGCAAAGGCCGGCGAGGAGACGACGGCGGGGGGCGAGGAAAAGGTAGACAAGGGTCCGACCCAGTCCTTGATCCTGATGGACGAGGTGGACGTTCTCTTCAAGCATGAGGAGGACTTCTGGGCCGGTACGTCCTCCTCTTTGCCGTTGGCGCAGGCAGATCGAGCTGACCTTCCCAATCTTCCGCTGCGTCTTCACCGCAGGTCTCGTGCATCTCGCCAAGCAGTCGAGGCGTCCTATCGTCATGACTTGCACAGGTGAGCAGTTTTGTCAGACGCTCGAACGCTCGAAACGGACTGACGCGCCTTCCTTCCGCGTCAGACATCTCCCTCGTTCCGTTCGACGACCTCAACGTCCAGCAAATCCATCTCTCGCCGCACGCACCTCCCGCCACCTTCCTCTCCTTCGCACCGCCTGCGCCTGCGCTCGCCGTCCCTTTCCTCCACCTTCTCTCCCTTCACGCCGGTCACGTCCCCTTCACCGGAGCTCTCGAAAAGCTATACGACTCGACCGCTCCGCGCCCCTATCCGGCATGGTTACTCCAGCAGCAGATGGGCACAGCTCGTCGCGGCGGAGGCGGCGGTTTCGGCGGCAGGCCTTTGCCAAGCTGGACGAGCAGTCAACCCATTCTGGCGAAGGACTTGCGGAAGGCGATCATGCTCCTCGAGTTTGAGAGCTCGGACAGACCGCCGACCGGGCAGGCGACCGAGGTCGTCCTCTTACAGCAGGTACAGGCAGGACACAGCCAGGACAGCAGGTTTTTCGAGACCGGCGCTCGGGTCGACCCATCGACTCGCGCGAACGGCTTGTCTGCCGCCTTCGCTGCCGCCGACGCGCTCTCCTGGGCCGACGCGCACGTTGCGAAGCGTGTGGAGGTTCGAATCGAGGTGCGTCCGCAAGTACCGCTCATACTCGCCCACACACTGACGCTTTCGCCCGCAGGACGAAGAGACCGGCCGCGCGCCTTCGATCAACGACACCGAGTTCGGCTTCGCAATTCTGGATTACCTCCCTGACCCGAACGCTACGCGCCTTCCCTTCACCGGCGCGGAAGATGCGATGGAAGCGGCTCTTAAGACGCTCGCGTACCGACACTGGGCGGATGCACTGCGCTTCGACGACCTGCAAGATGAAGCGCTCGAGGAGAAGAGGTAGGTTGCATCCTACCGCTCTAGCGGAACACCGCTCATTTACTCTCGACTTGCAGAGCCGACTACACCTTCCACCTCGGCGGCCTCGTCCACTCGAACGGCGAACGAGCGCTCATCCAGCCTCCTTCCGCCGTCCTCCCCTCGCCCATCCCCATCACCGACTACGCTCCCTTCCTCCGCCTTATCACGCTCGCCGACGACGCCAACTACGCCGCAGCAGTGCAGATGCAAGACGCAGCCGCCGAAGCTGGTGGACAGGACGAGATCAATTCGCTGTCCGTCGCGGCGGCGCTTGGTGCGGCGGCGGGTCCGTCAGCGGCTGGCAAGATCAGGAGATCGAAGCGGCAGAAGGCGAAGCAGGGCGTGCCGTTGTACGAGAGGACGCTGCCATGGGCTTCGGAGGGCGATGCGGATTGGCTGAGGAAGAGCGGGTTTGTCATCGAGGAGGCGTAGGGCGCTCGCTTGCAACCTGCATTTACTCTCGCTTCTACCTCTCTCTCGGAAGCAGCGGACTGCTTGCGTGAGAGAAAGATCGAGAGCGAATGCAAGGCTGAAGAAACGTCTTCTTGTGACAACATGGCAGATGTGCGTGAAGGCGGGAGGGAACTGCAAACTCTGGTTGACGGCTAGCGGGCCAGGGCGCGAAGGAGGTCCTCCTGCACATACGAGGGCTCGTCGGCTCGCGAAGTTCATCGCAACAAGACCAGCAAGAATGGACGCACCACTTGCTGCCGTCTCCGATGACCAACCCCACTGCCTTGCGGCGAATTGTAGAACGTGAGAAGCTTGACGAGGACAGTCTGCAGCGCTCGCGGCTGGACGCGGTGGAACCTCGTTGACCGAGCCTGCGGGTCGAGGTAGTCGGTAATGTTGGGCGTAGCGGTCAGAAGGGTGACGAGCTGGTTGAGCTCGGTGAAGACGTCTGCGAGGCGATCGTTGCCGAGGGTCTTGACGTGGTTGACGAGCCATCGCACGTCGCGGGCGAGGTGAAGTAAGCCGGCGTCGCTGATCTGTCGCGGCTCCTTGTCGGTCAAGTAGGACTGCGATATGTGTCGAGGGTCAGCGACATGCTCATGAGCGCGCGAAAGAGGCGTCGAGCGAACCTGCAGCACGGTCGCGCACCGCGCCAGCGCTCCCCGGTAGACGTAATCCTTCGCGAACTCGGGCAGCTGAATCAGGACGCTCATCATGACCGTCGAGACGTAGTCGATCAGGTCCTGCAGGTAGCCGCTTGCATCGTTGGCGGTATGAGGCGGCGGAGGCTGGGTTGCCGTCCAGGGGTATTGCGCCTCCTCGAAGAAGGTGTCGACCTTTTGCGAGATCTGAGCGACCATGCGATCTTGCGTTTGTGTGAGGGTCTGCTGGAAGGACGCAAGCGAGTCGAGGTGGATCGTGCCGCCTCGTTGCGTCGCCCTGCACGGCTTCAACGTCAGTACGGGCGATCTCAGCATGCCAGTCTTGGTGACGCACCGAAGCGTGACGAGGAGCGTCTCGAGGTCGGAGCAGGCAGTCTGGAAGAAAAGGACGTTGACGACGATCTGGGCGAGCTGTGACAGGTTGCTGATCATGTTGAGCCGCCGCTGGATGTTCTCGCTAACTTGCTTGATGAGGAGGTTGTCGAGCGCCTGCGCGAAGCAGTGTCAGCTGAGAAGACGAAGGTTGCGGAGAGTCCGCCTCACCTTCCGCAGGACATCGTCAATGTCGCGGTGGTGCTCGGCGAAGCCTTCGGCGAACTGGTAATACTGCTCCGTGAATGACCGAATGTCGACGCAGCAAAGTGGATATGTTTGCGAGAAGGGCAGTGCGAGCGGGAAACCGGACCTGCGGTGAAGAGGTGTAAGCCGGATACGCGAGGCGAGAAGGAAGGAGATGTTCACGCACGACTTGAGCTGCTCGGCCGACCATTCTCCGCTTGACGGTAGCCATGTAACGCTGACGACCTTGCCAAACTCTTCCTCGTCGTTAATAACCATCGGCTGATGGTCGTCGTCGACAACGATCTGCGGGCAGACAAGCGTGTCAGCGTACACATAAGCGAGGGGACACGGTCAAGCGCACCTTCTCGAAATCGGCGCTGAACGTCCGCTGTAGCAGCTGGGAGTACCGCTCGAAGAGGGTGAGGAGAAGGCTGTTGAGATGCGAGACCGAGTAGCCGTATCCCTGCGGAGCGGGCCAGTCAGTCGCGTCCACCTTCGCAAGCGCGTCGTCCCGCACCTCGAGCGTCTGCACGAACGTCAAGACCTTGAACTTGGTACCGAGGAAAACTTCGGCCTCTTCGCATCCCGCTAATCCCTCGTCGACAATCTTGACGACCCTCTCGCACATTCCGTTCCACAGGTCTTCGACATCTTGCTCAGACCGGAACGAGTTTGTCGTGCGGAGAACGTGCGATTCGATAAGGAAGAAGCCGACGATTTCTTCGAGAAGGGTAGAGAGGGCGGGAAGTGAGAAGGGGTTCAGCGAGGAAGTCGACGAAAGCAGAAGGCCAGCTTGTGCCTATGTGCAGGGTGTGTGAGCATCAAGGAAGGAATGAGGTCGACAGTCCTACGCACTCGTCGGTCGGCCTGGTAGCTCAGCTGCAACTCTTCTCGCGCGTCGAGGGTGTCGTAGATGTGGATGCAGGTGTAGAGCGGCTTGAAGTCAATCTTGACGGCGTCGTTGTCGAGAACGTTGTCTGCGGCGTAGCGCGTCAGTACGTAATGTCAGAAGGCGGGGGCGAGGTGAACTCACACTCGTGCCGCTCGCTCAAGCCCAGCTCAATCGGCCCATTGATCTTCGCCAGTCCCAGGCTCGCATCCTTCCGTTTCCGCGCAGCCCATCGCCTTCCTCGCTGCTCCATCGCATCCAGCGCACCCTTTCCAACCGACCTCGAAGTCTCGCGCGCCTCGTACATCCAGGCTTTCAAACTGCGCGTGACGGCGTCCCGAATCGAGTTCCGCAGGTCGGGGACGGAGGAGATCATGAGCGTCGCGAAAGGGTAGTGTAGGACGGGCTTGAGGTGTGTCGCTTGCAGGTCTTCAAGTTGCTGCCAGGCGTGGAAAGGGATCGTCAGCCTGGACCGGCTACCGAGCTGTGCTAGGACACTCACTCGCAGCGCAGAGAAGTACTTTGCGTTCTGTATCAGGTTCTGCACCTTGCTCGCCATATCGAGAACGCGAAGGCATGCTTGGAGGGTGTCGATAGTCTCGTCGATGTTCTGGCCGACTCGTCGCGCGTCGAGGAGAGCCTTTTTCTGTAAGAAGAGGGTCGTCACCCTTCTGTTCCCTGGCATTTCCCGCTAGGAAGCGCACCTTGTCAGCCAAGCCAGCTCCGCTCTTCTGGACGTCGTCGTTCAGCTCGACAACGCGATGCTTGAGCGAAACCGTCCCTTGTCGCACTCGCAGCAGCGCCGACACCGATCCAACAAAGTCCTGCAACGATCACGGGATCAGTACGACCCTTTCACGAGCGAGACGGACCGTACCTGGTAGTTCCTGCCGCAAACCGCCTCGATCTCCTTCTCCTTCTCGGCCACGAAAGCCTTGAGAGCCCGCAGATACGCATCCTGTTGTCTCGAGCGATGGATGTTGACCCTGTGTGCGCCCAACGTCTGTGAGAACAGCCCTCGAATCGCAAGGTGGGGCGACGAGGAGAGCTTCGAGCGCACAGGATGGGGCTCAGAGCCTCGATGTCGCCGGTCGCGCTGCTCGAGAGGCTCGAGAAGAGGAAGAGCTGCTGCAGCTGTGATTGGATCTCCTGCTGGCTGAACTTGACGCGACGTGCCCGAGGTTGGCTCATGTTCGGGAGATGAGGGTGAAGGTGAGGGTGAGGCGGGAGGACGTCGCGCGAGTGTATGACGGCGGTGGCGTACGTTCAGTGTAGCCAGCAATACGCTCAGCCAGGCAGCCGGGCGCCAGATGGCGAGAGACGAAGTGGATCGCTTTCGACCTGCGTTTCGGCTCGAGGACGAGGGTGTTCGGGACACGGGTGTGGAACGGTCGTATGCACAAGAATGCACAAGCAACATGTATGGCACTTCTACAAAGGCGAGACGCGAACGAGTGAGGCTATGCCGCGTTTTCCGGCGGATCGTTGACGGCAAGGCTGAGTTGCGCTAGCGCTTCGTAGAGCTCGAGGCATCGCTTGTGACCGGGACAGACGTGATTGCGGTAGCTCGACTCCCAGTCGATGAGGCGGAATTTGCGCTCCGAGTCGACGAGGACGTTGCGCGCCGCAAAGTCGCCGTGGTAAAATCCGCGGTCGTGCAGGTCCCAGAGCATCTCTCCGAGGTGCAGTCTGTTTGCGAAGCCGTCAGCACGAACGAACATTCAGGAGGCACCAACTCGCTCACCGTTCATCCTCCGAAAGCTCAAAGTCCTTGAGCGGCTCGCCCCAGCGTTCCGTCACGAGCGCAAGCTTCGGGTTCCCATCGACAACCTTGTAGAGGCCGACATACGGCGCGCAGACGCTCCCGAGGCCCGCAGCCTCGAGCGCCTCGTACGTCGCCGCTTCGTTTCGTGGCGTGTTCATCGGATCGTCGTCGATATAGCGAAGGTACTCCTCCTTGATGATGAGCTCGACCCTAGGGTCGGTTGTCAACGCGGCGACGGCAACTCGGTATTCCGGCGACGAGGTCAGCTCTCTGACGACGACGAGGTTCGTCCAGGAGATTTCGGGTTCGGTCGACGGAACTTGAAGTTGAGGCTTGTCGAAGCGGATCCATCTGGTCGATTTCGCAGGCGCGGGGCGATGCACTTCTGGGAGCCAGTCAAACGTGACTGGTAGAGGATTTACCGCGAGGTAGTCGAGCTGGACGCGTAGAGAACGGTTAGCCGGATCGGCGCAAGACGAACAGAAACTGCGTACATCTTGAGCTGCGGTGCGCCGCCGAACGGGTTGCACAAAAGGGGGTAAGGGCGGCGGAGCAGGTGAAGAGTGCGGCGAAGGTGACTTTGACATGCGAAGAGGAGTGCTCGCGGGTAAGCCGTCCTCCTCGAGATCGACGGAAGTGTCGGGAGCGTCTGTAAGCTGGCCATCTGCGGCCGCTCCGCTTCTTCCACTCGAGTGGTCCCCTCCGCCGCCAGCATGAGGCATAGTCTTTTCCATCGCTCCGCTCGGTCCGGCCTCGACGCCTGCGTTGCGAGTCATCGCCAATTCGCCGGCTCCATCTGCGGAGACCATCGATGCGCCGAAGCCGCCGAGGACTGGAGGCGGCAGCATCAACGTTCCCTGCAAGTCGTTCTGGATGTGCCGCTCGAGGTCGACGTGACGAGCCAGTTGTACGAGCTCCTTTGCCACGCGAGCTTGAAGTCGACGATGGGGCGCGACGAAAGACAGGAGCGCGCGGAGGAGGTCGGGATTGTCGTTCCGCACGAGAGGCGAAAGGACGAGGAGGAAACCGATGGCCTGATCTTCCCTAATGAACTGGCGCTCGAGCAAAGCTTCATCGCCGTGTCGCTGCTTGCGCTTCTTTGTGGGCGGAGGAGCGTCGTCGGGCGGTCGTGGGTAGATCGAAAGCGCGAACGCGGTGAACGAGAAGTCGGCGTCGCAGCAGTTCCCGAGGCGGAGGGTAGGAGGTCTGGAGAGGAAAGCGACGCAGATCTAGCGAGGGTCGTGTCAGCGATGTACAGCTCGACATGTCAACGGAGTACACGCACCTCGTCGAGCACAGCACATTGTCGCGAAGACTTGCCATCGCTGGCGTCCGAGTCCTGCAGCGTCGTCCAAGATCGCTCGCCGCGCCTCGCTAGTTCCTCGATGCGTCGCGGAAGGGACAGGTTGGGATTGGCTGCGCGCAGAGTCGATGGAGAGGGAGTAGCAGGTGCCACGCCGCCAGATGAGCTTGAGGTGTTGACTCGGACCGGCGTCGAGGTGGTAAACGGCATCGTCGTCATTGCCGGTGACGCTGACGCTGACGGAGCTGCCTGTTGCGCAGGCGAGGCGCGAGCCGGATCGTTGGAAACCTCGGGCTTCTGGTCTCGTCCTGCACCATTTAGCTGCAACCTCGGCGTCGCCGTTTCCTCGCTGACCAATGCCGGATCGTCGCCCGGGAAGAGCTCGTCAAGCCAGACGAGACAGTCCGGGCGAAAGACGTCGGACTTGTGCGAAGTTCCAAAGACGAAGCGGGGCGTTCCGGCTCGCGAGAAGGCGTTGACGAGGCGGATGAAGGAGGCAAAGATGGCGCGGAGTCGAAAGATGTGCCACTTCGTCTCAGTCTCGGGGCTCTGTGCGATGGGAAAGCAGTCTCGATCGCTGCGTAGTCCAGGCAAGTCCGTGAGCCACTGAAGGTGGAGGCGAGGCGAGGCGAATGCTCACTCTTCGGGTTGGAGGAGCGACAGAAACGCGTGGACAACCTCCCGCTTCTCGAGAGGCAAGTTGGTCAAGGGAAATTGACATAAGTCTGGGTCGAGAATCTCATGTAGGTAGTCAAGGAGTTCAGCGCCAAGCACTTCGTTCAGCCCCGGCAGGACAATCACAGCTTCTGGAACGTAGGGAGTGCCGCCAAGGGGGCGCGTCTGTTCGTGCCCGGAGGAGGAAGAGCTGAAAGATTCCGTCGACGTAAGGCTAGGAGGCACTGTTCTACCGAGAAGACGGCAGACGGCGAGGACCTTGACGAGGGAATCGGTAGACGTGCAGCCCAGATCCGCCAGCAGCTTGTCTTCCTTGGTCGCCTGCAAGTAAAGGAGACTTAGTCGAGAACGCGAATGAAAGAGCTGGTGAACTCACTTGCTCCTCCCTCGCCTGGAGCCTCCCGCCCACCTCCTGCGCCTGCTCTTTCGCCAAACGCAACACGGCCTTGACCTCGCCGCTGAACTCCCGGCCTTGGCCCTCCAGCAGGCCGTCAATCTGCGCAGCGATTTCGCAGACGTCTGCCGGCATGGGCGCGGCGCCGCGCGGGCAGTAGCTCGTGAGTAGCGTGTTCGAGCACACCGAGCAGTCCCGAGCAGCAATCAGCGAGGACAAGTGAGCGGTTCGTGGACAAGAAGAGCGGGGAGAGGCTGGCGAGGACTCACTGCCTCGGCCTCGCTCGTTCGCTTGCTACTCGAGCCTGTGAAGCTGTGAGATGGACGGCTCCTTCCACGACGAAGATTTCTCGTCCTCTGTTGCGTGGGAGACGGGCGCTCCCACCTCGTCGACCGCGACTTCATCAGCCAACGCGACATCGTCTCCTCAAGCGCACACGGGCACCGGTGGATACTCTGCGTACTCGCACGATGCCTCCCCTGGGCTGGCTGGGCCGAGGACGGGCACAGAAGGGCGCTCGGGCTTTGACGGGACGGGCGACGGTGGGGCTGCGGGAGCGAGGGCGAACGGGCTGGCGGTGACCGACGTGCAGGTCAGGGACGGCAAGGTCGAGCTCGAAGGGACGAGCGATACGTTCGTGTCGTACCTGGTGACCGCCCAGGTGCGTCGCCTTCCTCCTCGCCCCTGCTCATTCCTGCACAATGGCTAACCCTGCGCTGCGCAGAGCGAGCTGCCATCCTATTCGAGCAAGACGCCTTCTGCGCGACGACGCTTTCACGACTTTGTCTTCCTCCGCGACGGCCTCGTCAAGGACTTTCCCGCCTGCGTCGTGCCGCCCCTGCCAGAAAAGCACAGAATGGGTGCGCCGTGCCCTAGGTTCTCCCTTCCATGACACCTCTCGCTGACCACGACACGCGTGCAGAGTATGTGATCGGAGACCGCTTTAGTGCCGAGTTCATCGAGCGGCGAAGACAAGAGTGCGCTCGAAGCTTCCGACTGCCAGAACTCGCGAATGGTGCTGACCTCCGCCTTCACCGCGCCTCGCTACACAGTCTCGAGCGATTCCTGCAACGGCTAGCGCGGCATCCGAAGCTGTCGCGAACAGAGATCTTCCAGAACTTCCTCGAGTCGACAGAATGGGTGCGCTCTCTTCAGCTGATCTGCCCAGCAGGATAGCGCTGACAACTCGAGCCCTCCGTTTGCAGAACGTCTACAAGCACAAGCACCATGCTCGCGCCTCCTCGATCGACGACGGCCACTCAGGCGTCCTCGACACCCTCTCCGATACGCTGCTCAACGCCTTCACCAAGCTCAAAAAACCCGACGAGCGCTTCGTCATCATGCGACAGCACCTCGACTCGTTCGAAGAAGGCCTGACTTCCCTCGAGCGGCTCGCCGGGCGGTCAAAGACGCGCATGTCGGACTTGAGCGGCGACTACGAGGACTTGGCGGTGTCGGTCCAGGGGTTGGGTTACCTCGAGAGCGGAATCACCGAGCCTCTGATGCGGTTTGAGCGCGCGTTGGTCGACTTTGGCGCCAATGTCAAGGACCACTCGGCCTCCGCCTCGGAAGGTTTCCTCGAACACGTCCACTCGCTCCTCGCCTACTCGCAGTCGTTCAAGTCGGTCCTCAAGCTGCGAGACCAGAAGCAGCTCGACTTTGAGGAACTCAGCTCGTACCTCTCGAACGTTGTGAGGGAGCGGGATCGACTGGCCGGAGGGTACGGGTACGGGATGGGCATCGGGAGCTACCTCAAGGAACGGATGGAGACTTTGAGGGGTGGCGAAACGGACATGAGTCGGGCGGCGCGGCTGCAGCGGTTGGATGCGAAGATCAAGGAGGTGCGCCTGGCGTCTCCGTGACCGCCATTCCTTGGCGTCTCACTGCCGTAATGTGCGGGCACTTATCTCAAAACTCAACACACAGCTCCAAGAAGCGGTCCTGCACGCGCAAGAGACATCGACGGCCTTCAATGAGCAGGTCCTCGCCGACCACGAGATCTTCCGCGGTACGAAGCGTCATGAGATGAAGAAGCTTCTGGGGGCGTTCGCCGATGGACAAATCAAGATGCACAAGGCGAGCATGCAGGCGTGGGATCGGTGAGTCGGGTATGCCAGGACTGGGACTCCTGGAAGAACGCCTCAGATTCCGGGATGGTCTGCTCACGCATGTGCATGGCTTGCAGGACTATTCCGCCTCTTCAGCGCATCTATGTCGAGCCTTGAGCGGATGTGCGCGGCCGCTCGACGCTCGACTCGCAGTCCTCGCCTCCTTTCACTTCGCGCCGCCAGGCCCGAACTCCGTCTCGCCTTCCTGCCTTCGCGATTACTCTTCGGACGTACTTCCGTGCCGTGTACACACTGTTCTGTAACAACTCTTGCCGCTCGGAAGGGCATTCTGGGCGTCCGCTTGCCGTGACGATTTGACGGTCCCGCTTCGTTCCCAGATCGCTTGCCGCTGCTTCTGCTCTAAGTCAAAGCTTGCTGGAGCGCCTGCGAGCTCGAACGACGGCCTGGGAGCGGTTGTTGATTTCATCCCCTTACAGGCGGTGCCCCTCCTGCTCTCTTGCCCTCTCCCACTCCCACTGCTCCCTCGCTAGGCCTCCTGCTGTGCTTGAACGGCTCTACAGACTATGCAGCACGACGTGCCAGTCAGCGCCATTGGCGCAACCGGCTTCCGTCCCCGCCAGTCCTCCTACCTTCGGATCAGTGCGACTGCCGTCCTACAGATGATCCTGTACCTCGAGCCTGCGCATGTCGACTGGATGAACGTGTGTTGCGCCCCCTTTCATCTCGCTGGCGAGCCACTGACCGATCTGGCGAGGCGGACGCAGAACTCGGTCCTCGAACGGATGCTCTTCGCTCTCAAGGACCGGATACCGCTCAAGTTGCAGCAGGAGGGACAGGGAAAGAGTAAAGGGAAGGAGAAGACACACGTTGATGTCTTTCGAGGAGGTGCGTCCGCGAGGAAGCGATGTTGACATCACTTTGAGGAGGAGGGAGGGAGGTTGACATTCCTCTCGAGTTGATCTTCCACAGCGGACTACCAGATGGCGTTCTTCTTTCGACGATCTGGAGACAAGCACGTTGTCTTGCTGAAGGTGCGCCATCCTGTTCGAACCGCTCCCGCTTCCTCCTCATGCCTTTGCTCGCCCAGGACAAGCACGTTACCTACACGACCCGTTCTCCCACTTCCACCGCCGCTACTCCCGCTCCGCGCGACTCGTCCGTCACCCCTGCGCCCGCCGCACGCTCAAAGCGCGCTCGTACAGCCTCGCTGGACATCCGCGACTCTCCTCCCCTTCCCGCCGGAGACGAGCCAGCTTCGAAGCGACGAGCGCTGTTCAGGGATGGAGAAGGCGAGGGTGCAGCAGACGATGACGTGATTATCGTCAAGGATGAGCCGGTGGATGAGGGAGAGGGGTTGCCGCCTGATTGGGCTGAGGGCGCGACAGGAGAGGCGGAGGTTAAGCCTGACATTGATCAGGATGTCAAACCGACGCTCAAGGTTCACTGTGCGCCTCATACTATTCCCTCACCCACCCGCGGCGCGACGCTGACTTCGCCTCGCAGATCGAGGCTTCAACATCTTTGGTCGCACACTCGTCGTCATGTGCGTCCTCGTCAACTGCCGAGACGCTTGATGAAGCTGACAAGTCCGGTTCTCGCAGCGTCGAGCCGTACCCGCCCCTCGACCCAAAAGACCTCGCCCGCCCCCGCCTGCTCAATACCGAAATTCGCCAACTCTCCGCCTCTGTCGCACCCGAATCCTACCGTCAGTCTCTCTCCGCCCGGCCACTCGCCCGCTCACGAGGCTCAATCTCGGTCACGCCCGCACCTCGGGGAGGAGGGTTGTTCAGGAGCGAGTCGGAGAGCGTGAGAGGGTCGGTCGCGCCCTCCGACATGGGTGAGGGCGAGGGCGAGGAAGACGAGCAGATGAGGCATTTGAGGGAGGTGTCGACTGTCCTTGCGAACGAGTGGGACGAGATGGAAGACGAGGAGGGACTGCCGTCGCTTGACGAGGTCATTGCCCGATCGACGGGGAAGGGGAATGCGAAGGGTGCGGCGCTTGAGGTTGATGGAGACGAGCCGGACGGATCTCTGTGATGAAGGGACGACCAGGGCGCCGACATGCACGGAACGATCCTCAACGTCAACTCCCTCCCGCGACTTCTCCCGCCTCTTTCCGACCTTCGATACTGTCGACTCGCCTTTGAACGCAACTTACGATAGCAACGTTGACCCACTCGCTCGTCAGTCGAGGCTCTTCGCCGTCGACCCCGCAATTTTCAGCTGCTCGGACAAGGGCGAGGCGAGGGAAGCGCGGGAAGGGAGGCTGGCGGGATGGGACTGGCGGGCGCGCCGCTCGTTCGAAGTGGTAAAGTACAGCGCTGTCGCCGCATTGCAACCGTCAGGACTTCCTTCGAACGATGAGCGAGCTCGGGAGCGAGTGTCCGGTGTCGAGCGCTGAGCTTTCGGAGAGAAGTTGACCTCTTCCACATCGCTTCGCCGTCTCTTTCGCGTGCAGCTGGTCGCTCGTGTGCGCAGTGCAGTTGTCCGTGCTTCAGTACCCCTAACGACCTGTACCCCGTAATCCCACGACCCGCCGTCGCCGTCGTTTCTCCTCATCGCCACTCCCGTCTCGACCGGTCGCATCCTCCTCGACAACCGCCTGGGGCTGGCTGGATCGCACGCTAGACCCTCGTAATCGATCCCTACGCTACATCCCGCGCCTACACGCACTAGCAAACCCGCCAACTCGCCGCCGCACCGATGAGCGCATTGGACCTGGATCTCTCGCGGCTCTCGCTCGCCTCGCCGTACCCGCCCCAGGGCCACGAGCGCCACCAGGCGCACCACGGCGTCCCCAGCAATGCACACAGGAGTCAGTCGTCGTCGCTCGACAGGCAGGTCGACTCGCTCTCGCCGCCGCCGTCCCAGTCCAACCCGTCGCAGGGCACCGCCAACTCGTCCCTCCAGCCTCACCAGATCATGCAGCCGCCCGTCCACTCGGGTCCTCCGCCTCACATTCAGCTCAAGGAACCCCAGAGGAGGCGCGGCGTCGTCAAGTTTTTCAGTGAGTTTCGACGGATCCTCTCCCCTGCCCACCTTATCCTTCCCGTGTCGCTCAGTCTCGACCGCCCGCGGGGCTTGGCGCGCGCCCTATCACGTACAGCGTGCTGATCGGGACCGTACCTGCGCGTAGACAGCTTGAAGGGCTTCGGCTTTGTCGTCGACAACGACCCGGCGGCGCTTGGCGGTCAGGAAGGTACGTCGCACTCGCTCCCGATCTTGTTGCGCTATCTTTGACTGACTCGTCTGCTCGTCGTCGCAGTCTTCTGCCACTTCAGCGCGATTGCGGGAAAGAGCGGGTTCAGGTCGCTCGCAGAGGTGTGTCCCGCTTGCGAACCTTCTTCCGGGCGGACATTGACATCTTTCCTCTGGCACAGGGCGAGGAAGTCGAGTATGAGCTCGTGCAGGGGCCGAAGGGATTCCAGGCGGCCAACTTGACAGGACCGGGCGGACGCAGCGTTGTCGGTGACCCCAAGGCTCGCATGCAGAAGCCTCCCGCCTACCTCTCGCTCGCTCCTTTCGCCATGCCCCTCGGCGCTCCCTACCTCGCCGACCCGTACCACGCCCAGCACGCAGGCGTCTACGCCGGCTCACCCTACACTCAGCACGTCCTCTACGTCCCGGCGACCGCTTCCCTCCCTCCGACGCAATACACCTACGCTCCCGTCCCTATCGCCGCTGGTCCGCCCACGCACCGTCACCAGCCGTCTGGCTCGATGACGGGCGCGCCCTCAAGCGCCTCGACAAGCCCCTTTGCCGCGCCGCAATACCAGAGCTACGCATCGCCTAGCCCGCTCGGAAGTGGCTCGGCCCCTCAGGCGGCTAGCAATGGTACCGCAGGTGCCGGTGGAGCAGAGCGCTACTCTGGCATGGCTCGCATCGGCGGCGGAGGAGCTGGCGGGTTTGGCGCGCCTCAGCAGCCTGGAGCGGGAGACCTCCCGCGCGGTCTCGGCGGCGCGGCGGGTCCGACGTTCGGTACTGTCCCTCCGCATGCCGGTCCCGCCAGTTTCTCGCCTCCCGGCGGCTTCGTCGGCCTGCCCGGCTCGCCCGGCGGACCTGCAGCAGGCGGAGCAGGAGGAGGAGGCGGCCCTTCGTTCGGCGGCTTCGCGCCCTTTTCGCCTCCCTCGTTCAACCACGCCCCGCTCTTCCCTCCCCCTCCCGGGGACGCGCAAGCCGGTTTCGCCTCGTTCGGCTCGTTCGCGCCGCAGCACCAGCAGCACCCCTTCGCCGCTGGCGCAGGAGGACCCCCTTCGCGCGGTCCGTCCGCCTCGACGCCCTCGACTTCCGCTCTCTTTGGCACTTCGACAGCGTCGGCTTCAGGGACGCCTCTCCCTGCCCCCATCGGTAGTCGCTCGGGAACGCCTGCCGCTGGCGGTCGCTCGACGCCTGCGCTCGGTAACGGGTCGCTCGGCAATGACGCATGGAAGACGACTGCCCCGGGCTCGAGCGGCGGGTTGTACGTCAACGGCGAGTAGGCGGTTCGCCTTCGCTTCACCTCCCGCCTCGTTCACTTCAACTAGACTTTCCACCTTCTAATCGCTTCACACTCGCTGTTTGTTCTTCGGTCACCCTCTGTTCACCTGTTTCTGTCACACCTTTGTCCACCCATCGTCGTTTTTGCCTCAGTTTCTCCTTTCCCATCGCATCACACCCTGTCTATCACTGTCGTTCATCCCCTCCCCTCCCCTTCCTTCCTCCTCCGTCCTTTGGTCATCCGTCTTTCGTTCAAGGGATCCGTTCGAGTCGTCGAGTCCTATCTATCCCTCTCCCTCTCCCCTCTCCCATAGGATTCTTCGTTCTCCGTGCTGGTGCATGTGCGCGCGTGTCCTCCCTCTGTCGCTTTATCTCCCACTCTGTCTCTGTCTCTCCGTGTGTGTCATGTCGCCACCCCCGTCCTGTTCGCTTTTTGCAGTCTCAGGAAATCGTTTTGCCACTCCTCTTCGCTCTTCTCGCTGCCAGTGAGCGCGAGAGCGGCAGCAGAGAACTGCAGAGTGAAGCGAACACGAGGAAGGCTGGTCCAGCCATAACCGACTTGCAATGCAGGGAAGCGAGGCGAGCGATAGAACGGAAGATGTGGAGCTAGGGTCTGTATGAGCGAGAGAGGGCGACCTCGAAAGATTAGAGAAGCTTCTTGAGGAAGCCCTTCTTCTTGACCTTGCTGCCGGTGCTGCTCGTGCTCCCATTGAGCGACGTAGGCGCCGACGACGCACTGCTCGCCGGTCCGAGAGGCGACATCATCGACTGAGACGAGACCTTGCCCGTCAAGCTCGACGCGATGGACGACGGTCGCCGCGAACTGCTGTCGGCGGGCGGAGGACGCGCTTGAGGTTGTGGAGGAGGAGGCGCCTGGATCTTCTGGTGGTACCGCTGGTCGATCGCTTGTTGCGGGATTCCTGGCGCTCGACGCGGGAGAGGCTTCTTGGCTGGCTGGAAGCCCTTGTTGAGGTGCGACGAGCCACCGCGAGCGAGACCGGACAGGTCCCGAGCGAACTGCTGCGGCGTAAGGAGATGTGTCGTGCCGAGGTAGACGTCCTTGTTCGACGCTTCAGAGACCTTGTAGGCGGTTCGCACTTCCGAGTAAGTCGCTCCGCCGGCCATGAAGACGATCACTCGCTGCTTCGGCGCATCCACGACCCGCTTCGTGCGATTGGCGGTCCATTGCGGTCGAGCGCTCCGGAGCGAGCCTCCTGTAGGCGTTGCGGCGGCGGCAGACGAGCGAGAAGACGAGGATGAGACGGGAGCGTCGCGGACGTAGGGGAAGGTAGAGGTATCGAGGGTGCCAGCGAATTGTTCCTGCGGGACGGAGGCTGTTAGCAGCGCTTCGGCTTCCAATGCTCAGAGCTGAAACGCACCTCCAGCATGAACCGCATCGAAGGCTGGTACCGCGAGATGTCGTAGCAGTCTTCCTCCGGCTTCTGCTTAAAGAGCGGCTTCCGCTTCCGACCCGAGTCCTGCGCGGCAGTGGCGTAAGTCAGGCTGTCACGAAAAACCTGCCGTGCGGCGCACCTTGTCGACATTCAAACCGAGATAGCCGAGGTTGTCGACAGCATCCATCTCGTGCAGCGCCAATCGCGCATGCTGGTACAGCCGCTTCTTGTCGCCTTCCGGCACACCATCGCGATACATGATGTACAGGGCGATGATGCGAAGCTTGTCGACAGAGCTGCGAAAGAGACTTAGCGATGTCGCGGAAGAAGGGCAAAGGGAAGAGGCGTACCTGACTGATCGGTCGTCCAGCAACGGCACCATCTCCTCGACGAGCGTCTTGGGCGACTTGCCCTCCGGCGTCACGCCAGTCGCGCAGCACTGCAAAGGCGGCCATCAGCGCCGCGCTAAGGCAACCATTAAAGAGCAAGCATACCTGCTCGACGCTCGCAACATCCGGCAGCTTCTTCCGATCGAACAAGCCCATACACTTCTCCGCCATCGTCAAGTGAAGCGAAAGCTGCAGAAGCTGCGAGTCAGCGATGGAGCAAAGGAGGAAAGGCGTACGAACGCACCTTCTCCTTCACTTCCCGCATCTGCGGCAGACTCGCGAGCATGTCCTTCATGTCGTTGATGCTCGTGCCACTGGGGCAGCGATCGCCTTCTATCAGCGCGAGGTCCTGTGTCGAACCAAGTGACGCAGAGAAGCGGATCCCGCACTCACCCCGCCCCGAAAGTCCCGCCGTGCTCGCCCGCATACGACTTGAAGTCGGCAATCAACTTGTCCAGCGCGTCCTTCATGTGCATGTGTCGCACTTCGCACCACACCTTGTCCTCCTCTGACAGGATCGCAACCTTTTCCTCCTCGACGCCTTGCTCGTTCGTGAAGGTGTACCTGTGCGTAGGTTCTCAAAATGAGCGTTCCTCTCCCCTGACGGATTGAACAGGATACGGTAAGGACGCTACGCACCTGTATCTCCGACCGTCCTCGATGTCCAGCAAGTCGTTCGCCATCGCCTGGTAGTAGAACTCGTGGAGGAACGGCGCATGCAAGTCCATCGACCGGTCCGTGATGATGAGAACACCTCGTGGTCGCGGCGGATCGGAGACGGGCTGTTAGGTGACGTTCAGCGAGACTACGTGCCAAGGGAAAGAAGCAGACGAACCGGAAAGTTGCTGTTATCCCGCGCATACGCATCGATCTCCGCCTGCACCCGCTCTGCTAGCCGCTTGCCGACAGGTTCGCCCGCTGCGAGGCCAGGACCGAGAATGGGGTGGAACGAGGACGGCGGGTGGTAGTAGCGGATGAGAGGGTACTCTCCCAGTGCGGCGAGGACGTTGACGATCTGCGCAAAGGTGGTCAGCTCGAAGACACGACGCATTGAGTCGACGCACTCACCGAGCGAGCCATCCAGCCAATATCGTCCTCCCATCGTGCCAAAGCGCGCTCAGGCTCCTGATCAGGCGGGCCGTACAGCGAGAAGAAGGTATGGGGCGTGCGGAGGGAGAAGAGTCGAGGTTCGAGGGCTGCGAAGAGCATGTGAGCGTAGTTCGCGTTGCGAGGAAGAGGGAGTAGCAGACCGTGGAAGTTGATGTAGAGTTCCTTCAAGCCTTGCAGGTAGCTGTCGGGAAGGCCGTCCGTCAACTGGCCGACAAGCGCGTCGCTCACGCCTGCATGAGCCTCGTCAGTTCTCGCTTGTCCTGTAGGAAGAGCACCGAATGGAACGCACCTTCCATGAAGTTGACATAGGCAGCGGCGTATTTCGGCGGTTCCTGCACGGCCTGCTGGGGTTGCTTCTTCGAGCTCTTGCCCTGTGCCGGTGGAGGGTTCGGAGTATAGTCTCGCAGGACAAGCTCGACGTTCTGCGTCGTCGGCATGAGGAGGTAGACGGCAGCGAGTCGAGGTTGAGGTTGGCGAGGGTGGGTGATCAAGTCGACCTCTGCGGGCAGGACATCGGGTCAGTCACTCTAACGCATCGACAGAGCACATCCTCGAGGCCGAATCGCCCGCAAAGAAGGCGCAAGGAGCTGCAGACGAGTGACGACACGCACGCTGGACCCCCTCCTCCAACACGTCGTACGTCGACAGGACCGAGTGGAGCATGCCCTGCGTGTACTGGTCGACGATGAGGACTTTCCATCGCGACGGCACCGAGCGCAGCGCGTCGAGGTAGCCTGTGTTTTCGCGAGCCGAAGTGAGGAGGTGGTGCGGAGCGGGGGAAGCGGGTCAGCTCGTCGTGCGCGTCCAGCGAGGCTGGATGAAAGTTGCGCACGCTGTCGTATCAGGTCGAGCAGTCCGCTCATCGCGCAAAGCGTGCCAGCGGAGCGAGTTGGTCGAGGTCAACCCAGGTCGTTCGTCTCCTCGCCGAACAGGGGAGCTTCAATCGGGCGGCGAACGAGCAAGCGTGCGACCAGATAGGCTCTCTCAGAGGGCGTGGAAAGCAGAGAAAGAGGCAGACTCGCAGAGGCGGCATAGGCTAGTAGAACTGCAGGGGGTGGACCACGGTGGGCGATGCGAAGGGACAACGAACGAACGTGAAGGAAGCGAAGGACTACAGATCCGTCGGGGCGTTGAAGACGAGCGAAAAGGCCCGGTCCCCGTCCGCGACGATGATGCCGCTCCGCGCAGTCGGCGGCGCGAGTCTGACGGGCGGCGAGTGTCCGTAAGGTGAGCCGTAGCGTGCGGCGATGTTGTTCGGCTGCTGCTGCTGCTGCCGGTAGTAGGACGCGGCCGAGGCGGAGGGAGGAGAGTCGGCGAAGAGGCAGCGGATGTTGTTGCCCGGGATGATCTGCATGAGGGCGCCCGACTCGACGTGTCGAACCTCGATGAAGGTGGGCTCGAAGGCGAGGACGTAGGGATAGTGCAGGGCTGCGCGAGGGCGAGTGAGTCACCGTTAACAAGACCAAGACCAGGTCGAGGCAGACTCACCGAAGCCGGACGGGAATCCCTCCCACTGGATGATCCAGTTCTGCTTCGCCCGCCAGCCGTTCTTGTTGACGTAGAACGCAAACTCTGCGCGATCATCCAGACGTCAGCGGTCGACACGCGACAAGTGGAACACGCGGCAACGCACCGTCGTAGCAGAGGAGGAATTCTCCGTCGATGCGGTAGATCGCGATCGGCTTGGCATTCTCGCGCTTCTGGACAAAGTCGAGGCTCGAGTCGGCCGGGTCGAGCAGGCCTTGCGTGTCGAGCGTCTCGAGGTCGACGATCTCGAAGCCCTTGGTGCAGCCGACGCAGAGTTTCGACTTGAGGAAGTGAACGGACGACGACTCGGTCGGGATGTAGAACTCCTGCGGGCGGTACGGCAAGTCAGCTCGAGTGAGAGTCGAATGGATGGACGCGGCGAACGCACCTTGAAGACCCTGAGACTCTCGTTGCTGCCCTGCAAGAACTTGCGAATCGTCGGCTGCTTCTTCCCGCGCACCTGGTCGACCGGTTCGAGCGTCTTGATCGTGCTCGAAACGTTGCCCGACTTGACGACGCAGACGAGCGTCCGGCCGAGGCACTGGCCGGCCTTGAAGAAGGTCGCGTTCGCCGAGATCTTGCGGGAACGCTTGGCTGCGCCGATCGCGTCGCCGGGGTCGAGGTGGTCGACGAAGAAGGTCTGGACGGCTTTGTCTGCGAGTAGAGGAGACAAGTCAGCTACATTCGGCAGGAGGATGGCCAGAGGGAGCGCACCCGCAAGGACGATGAGGATGCCCTGCTCCTCGAGGACGTCGAGCTGCGTGACGTTGGGCACCGAGATGACCTTGACGGGGACCTTGCTCTTCTCGCGCAAGTCGGCGAGGTAGACGCCGTTGTCGGTGCCGTAGACCATCCGGTTGCCGTTGTCTGCGCGAGATCCATCTCGTCAATCGCGAATCGCTGCGAGTCAGAACGAGTGGACGAGAACGCACCGAAGGGCGCAGCGCAGGTGAGCCGGTTGGTCCCGACAAAGTACCCAGCCGTGAGCGGGATCGTCTCGAAGACGAGGCTCCTCTCGCGCAGCTCGTTCTGCCGCTCCTCAATCTTGTCAAGCCACTTCTTGCGCGCAGTCCACGTGCTCGCCCAAAGCGTGATCTGGTACCCTCTCCGGCCGAGGTGGATGAAGGTGAGCGGGAAACCTTGCTTGTTCTTGTCGGCGCCGGGAGGAGGCTGGTTCGCCGTTGCTGGGAGGGTCTTGGCGCCGCTGCGAGCCATGAGCGACCGTGGTCGGACGGCGCCGCCTCGTGCAGTCGCGGCATCGTCGACGGCGGCGACGACCAGGAGCTCGAGAGGTATGGGCTGCGGGGCGAGTACCTGGTCAGCGTGCGCGAATCGGGAGAAAACCTCGCCAACGCACCTTGCGGTAGACCTTGTACTGCTCGTTCTTGCTCTTCTGCTTGACCATGAGGATCGCATGATCGAAGAGAAAGACCTGCAACTCTGCCGACTCGCTCTGCGTTCCCCCGCGCTTCTTCAACGGGCCCTTGAAGATCAACTCGCGTTCCTCGTCGCGCAATCGCAAGTCGACCGCCTCGCTGTTCTTGAAGACGAGTTGCTGGTCCAGCTGGGCGAGGTTGAACCGGTTCTCGCTCTTGCCCGTCTCGATGTTGACCTTGGCGAGGAACTCGCGGACCATCTTGATCACCTTGGGAATCGCCACCTTGTCGGGGTTGTCCTCCGCCGTGTGCTTGAGACAGGCTTCGAGGAGGAGAGGGTACCGCGCGAGTCGGGTCGTCGGCTTGGTCAGGTAGCCGTTCAGCTCGAGTTTGCGCGATTCGGGCAGTCGCTCCGTTTCCTGCCACATGCACGACGAGTCAGCTCGCCGGCCGAAGACGAAGGAAGAGAGGACCGGTACGCACGTCGACAAACTTTGCGAAAGCGGGATTGCTCCCCTTCTCCTTCTCAAACTCGTACTTGCCATAAAGCTGATGCGCGCCATACTTGACAAACGGCGCAAAGTGCGGCACCATGTCGAGGAAGATGTCTCCGATGTGATCGACGACGTGCGCCTGTTTCTGGCGCTTGTTGAGCAGGTCGGCGAGGCGGACGTTGACGGCGTAGATCTCGAGTACGTTCCAGAAGACTTGGGTCACAAAGTCTTCCCGCCGCGCTTCGGGGATGATGTTCGACGACCGGAGCGGCTTGATCCAGAACTGCGGGCGCGCGAAAAATCCTCGATCAGCATCGCTCACTCACTCGCGGTCGAGAAGCGCAGACGCACATCTCGCAAGTACTCGAGGTCGCGAACAAAGTCGCGTTCGGTATAGAAGACCTCGTTGATCGCCTCCTGTCGCTTCTTCTCCTGGTCCGAGGTCGAGTCGATAACGTCCTGCGGGACCGAGTGGATCCACAACGATCCGGGTTCCTGTGCGCCGATGGGTCAATCCTCGGCCGGAAGAAGGAAGGAAGCCCGAAAGAACGCACCCTCAAGTTTCCCAAACTCTCGACCGAATCGCTCCTCTTCAAGCCCGCGACATTCTCCAACCCGGCGCTCAATCCCTCCCTCTTGAGGTTCAGCCTCGCCTGCTGCTCGAGCCTCCTCGGACAGGCGATCGAGTAACAAAGCCGGTCGCGCGTGCAGGTCGGGGAGTAGCAGTCCGTGAGGAGGGTGAAGACCCCGATGGGGAGGGGAGAGTCGTCGTCTGTTGCTACTGATGCGGCGCGGGGTGGAGGAGCGGAGGGGAACGGCGTGGAGGAAGGGTGCGCATAGGAAGGAGGAGACTGAGACGTCGATCGCGCGTGGAGCGCTTGACCCACCGCCTGAGCCTGCGCGGCCGCCGAATTGGGCTTGTGCGGATGCTGCGCAACCTGTTGCTGGTCCCCCGGCACGAGATCCTCCGAGCTAAGGAACGGACTGGCAAGGCGTTCGCGAAACTGGTAAATCTCGTTCGGCGAGTCGCGCAACCGATGATCGTACGTGACGTCGTGGAAGAACTTTTGTGCGTCCAGGGCCCGGCCGAGCAAGAGCGCGAGGTTGCGGTCTGAAGTGCGGATGATGTACGAGATGATGTCGACTGCTTCGCGGCCGTCGAACGCGTCTTGGTAGACTAGTCCGTCTTTGATTCGTTCGGCGACGGGCAGGCGCTCTTTGAATGCTGCGGCGACGCGAGAGAGGAGGGCGGGGTAGACGACCGGCGAACGGCGGGGGACAAGGGCGCCCGCTCCTCCTGCGCCGGCGTTGGTAGAATGCTGACCGTGTCCCGACGTCGAGTGGTACGACGGCGGCCTCACCATCGCCAGCGACGGCTGCGAAGCCGAGAACGCCGAAGCAGGCGAGTCGTATCCACGGAACAAGTCCGGCCTGTCCCCCGCCGAGAACGACATGGCCCTCGAATCCTGATACGCTCCCGGTCCCGCTCCGCCCGTCACCTTCCCCTGCGCCGGCCCAACGCGCATCGACTCGCTCGAAGTCCGTCCCTGCAGTGCGGGAGTCGAGCTCGCGAAGGGCGTGTTGGAGGTGTAGGGATAGCCGAGCGAGGTGGTGGAATGGTTGAGGTTCGAGGGGAGGACGGCGGATTGAGGTTGGTAGAGCGAGCGGCCGTCGCTGTCGGCTGAACTTCGGCGGGAGCGATCGAACGTGCTGAGGTAGGGATCTGTTCTCCTCGCCGTCAGTCTCACTGGTCTAGCTTGTTAACCAGGAAAGAGGAGCAGGGACGCACCGTATGCAGCCACCCCATTCCCACCATTCACTTCATACAAACCCCCCTCGACCTCGTCAGCTCTCACGCCCGGACTCGCCCTCTTCCCACCCTGCCCCTGCCCCGACCCAGGCGTAGGCGTCACACCCCCCGCCGACGTCCTCCTCGAGTTCTGCCACCCCGCTCGCGTCGAGTGGTCAGGCGAGACGGGGTCGAAAGAGGTGAAGAAGTCCCCCGCTCCTGCCGTGTCTTGGGGGAAGAGTTCGGGCAGTCGAGGGAATTGGGGGAGGGTGGGAGTGGGCGTTGAGGAGTGGTGTTTAGGAGCGGGTGAGAGAGACGGGTTCGGGGATAACGAGGGGGGAGTGGTGTGCGTCTGAGAGGAGGAAGAGGCGTCGGGGTAAGTGTAGGGGAGGGAAGAGACGGATGAAGTTGATGCGCGGGAGAAGAGAGACGTCGAAGTTGATGCCGTCGCAGGACCGGACGACAGGCTCGGCGCGTAACCCGAGCGAGGAGAGGAGTAAGGTCGGACGGAGGCTACTGACCCGCCGCTCGCACGATGCGAGACGGACGATGCGGATGAGGACGGGACGGGCGGGGAGTCGGATGCGATAGGGAGACGGCCGTAGTCGGATGGAGAGGGGTCGGGGTAGTACGACTGGGTGTACGCTCCGGAGGACGAGGAGAGGGGAGCCTGCGGTTGTTGAGCCGTCCATCCGCCCGCGCCCGCGCCCGCTCCGGCACTCTGGTACGCCTGCGCACTGCTGTATGCCCGTTGAGGAGCGTACGACGCAGCAGGTGCGTACCCACCCGCGCCCGAGGAGGGATACTGCTGCTGTTGGAGCGAGGCGGACGAGTCGGGGTAGTAACTCGACGCGCGGTGCGACCCGCTGTCCGTGCTAGTCCTGTAGCTCGAGCCGTTCGACAACCTCGGCGTGTGGGATCCGTACGAGCCGGAGGGTGTGCCCGCTCCCCCTCCTCCTGGTCCAGTCGCGGGATTCGCCAACCCAAACTGCGCGTACTGCCCCTGCGCAGTCTGTGGATGATAGGACTGGTACTGAGAGTAGTACTGCTGCTGCTGGTGCTGCTGTCTGTACTGGGCGGGTTGGGGTTGCGCCGCGGGTTGTTGTGAGGGTGGGCGGGGAGCGGGTGAGGGCTGAGGCTGCGGGCGGCGGAAGAGCTCGTCGTAGGCCTGCTGCTGTCGCGAGCCGGGTGGGCGGTGGCTGGCCATGCCCGTCTGTTCCCCCCCTCGACGTAGCCTTTGGCTGAGAGGGCGAGGTCAGCGTCACTCGAGCGAGCGAGGTGCACTCAACTCGCCAAGTCGGGATTGACCAGTGCCCAACGAGTCCTAGTGTTAAGTACTACTAGTAGTACATTGCAACACTACAGTCAGGCTATTCTGCAAGTTGTATTCGGTTCGTTGTTGAAAAGGCGAGACCTTGTCCGGCGACTCTTCGTCTCCGAGCGAACTCTCGCTCGCTTGCCCTCGTCGCGCGCTCTCTCACAACCGCATCGCACAGCTCACACGCACGTGCAACAGAGTGAGCACTCCAACACTCACACTCACAGGCGAGCACAGCGCACCACTCTCGACGCACACTCGCCTCGTCGCACTTTCAGCTGACATCCCTCACACTGCGCGAACTCAGCCATCGGCGCACCCGTCCTCCCTCTTGCTCCCTCACACCAGTGCGCACCCACTCTCTCATCCTCGTGCTCTCCCCCACTGACCCACTCTCACTCGCAGCGCACCACTCAACTCAGCCATGCTCTCCCGCCTCGCCCTCCGCACCTCCCGCACCGCACCCCTCCTCCGCGCCCGCTCCACCCGCTCATACGCATCCGAAGCCTCCGAGTACACCGGCGGACCGACGTTCGAGTTGAGCGAGGAGCAGGTCGGGATTAGGGATCTCGCGAGGAGCTTTACGGTGCGTGCGGGCGCTCATTCGAATCTCGGCGAGAGAGTGGATGGCTGATTGAGAAGGGACGTGCGAGCGCAGGCTAATGAGATCATCCCCGTCGCGGCCGAGTACGACCGAACGATGAAGGTTCGTCTCCGGATCCATTTCGCTTTCAGCTTTCCCAAGCTTCCTCTCGGTGGCTTGCGCTGATGCGCGTGGTTGCGTGGCGAACAGTACCCGTGGGAGGTGATCAAGAAGGCTCACGCCGAAGGTCTGCTCAACGTCCACGTTCCCGAGGAGGTTCGTCCGCCTATCCTCTTTCCTCTTGTGCTCGCTAACGGTGCGGCGTGCGACGGGTAGTACGGCGGCGCAGGTCTCTCAGTCATGTCTTCCTCGATCGTCTCGGAAGAGTTGGCCTACGGATGCACGGGAATCCAAACCGGTTCGTCTCCCTTCCCTCCCCAAAGCCCCTCCCGCTGACATCCCTCAGCGCACAGCAATCGAAGCGAACGGACTCGCCTCGGCCCCTCTAATCGTCGCCGGCTCCGACGCCCAAAAGCGTTCGTACCTCGGTCGTTTGACGGAGGAGCCGCTGATGTGTGCGTATGGAGTGAGTGAGCCTGGGGCGGGGAGCGATGTTGCGAGTATCAAGACGAAGGCGGTTAGGGAGGGGGACAAGTTTGGTGAGTGAAGCGTTTTTGGCTTGCGAAAGGAGGATGCGAAGCTGATGCTTGTTTGGGCTCGCGCGCGCAGTTCTCAATGGACAGAAGTGCTGGATCACGAACGGAGGGTGCGTAACGCTTTCCTTCAGAGCCCCTTTTTAACGAGCTAACCATCCCCTTCCCACAGAGTCGCCAACGTCCGTTCCTCCCTCCCTCCCCTTTCCCCATCTCCTTCGCTAACCCCCTCTTCCCGCACGCAGTGGTACTTCGTCCTCGCCAAGACCGACCCGTCCGCAAAACCCCACAAAGCCCTCTCAGGCTTCATCGTCGACGCCTCGACTCCCGGCATCACCGTCGAGAACAAGTTGATCAACATGGGTCAACGCTGCTCCGATACGAGGATCATCAACTTTGAGAACGTGGTTGTGCCGAGGGAGAATTTGCTTGGGAAGGAGGGGGATGGGTTCAAGGTGCGTCTCCGTGGACTCTCCTCGCTCCGTTTCGATGAGGGGCGCTGATGAAGAGGGGAAGTAGATCGCCATGGGCGCATTCGACATCACCCGCCCGCTCGTCGCATCAGGCGCCGTCGGACTCGCCCAGCGCGCATTGGCCGAAGCAGCAAAATACGCTCACGACCGTACGTTCCCCCCTCCTCCTTCCCCTCACTCTTCCCTGATTGACGACGAGGACGGTGGTGACAGGCAAGACGTTTGGAGTCCCGATCATTCAGCATCAGGCGATTGGGACGTTGTTGGCTGAGATGGCTATCGGCGTCGAGACTGCGCGGTCCGTCCCCCCTCCCTCTCTTCCCCCTCCTCTTCTCTCCCTTGAGCGCTGATGTGAGGGGATAGGAACGCGGTCTGGCGCGCGGCATGCGCGAAGGACAACAACGACCCTCGCACGACGTACCTCGCTTCCGTTGCAAAGGCGTACGCCTCCCGAGTCGCCGTCACCAACGCCGACAAATGCGTCCAAATTCACGGCGGTGCTGTGCGTCCCATCTTTGCGTCAGACCGGACGAACGATGGCTGACGAGTCCGAGTTGAGCAGGGCTACAACACGGAGTATCCGGCTGAGAAGCTCTTCCGCGGTGCGTTCGCTACCGTCTGATGACTCTCATCAGCGTATTACGCGGCAGTTAGAAGCGTACCGAGTGGCAGAGGGCGGAGTCGAGCGACCGGAAGCTGACGAACCCCTCCCCCTTCCTGCCCTCCTCACTCCGCTACCTCCTCTGGACGCTACCGACACGCCTGGGACGCCTCGTACCGACCCGCAGACTCTAAGATCTTCGAATTGTATGAAGGTAAGCCCCGGAACGGTCGTAGCAGTCGCCAGCAACTTGGCGGATCAGGAGGAGGCGAACGGCTGCGTCCGAACCGAACTGACGCTCGCGCTTGCGCCTACGCAGGTACTACCCAGATTCAGAACCTCATCATCTCGCGCGTCGTCGCCAACGACTACGCCTAGACGAGGAGAGAGAGGGAGGAGGAGCGCATCGAGGTCGGGAGAGAGAGGCGGAGGAGACACGACGCGCTCATCCGCCCTCACGGCAGGTTGTTCTCTGAGACTGTTGCAATCGCAGTTGACGTACAGCGTACTGTCCAGAGCGCAGCAGGAGGAGAGGCGCAGGCGGCAACTGAGATAACCGAGAAGAGACCAGCCCTTTCGTCTGTTTCTCGCGCTCGCTCTCTCGACTGGCTGGTTTCCGACACGAAGCCTTCCCGAGCGGCGTGTGATGCAGATGCGAGGTAGAAATACACCAGATACCCTCCAACTCCCTGCCCTCCGTCCTCTCCCGCGTCCAACCCCCCGACTTCCCAACCGATCCCTACTTCCCCTCTCCACCCGTCCGGGACGTTTGGGTTCGTTACTTCATCTTCGCTTCGGTGAAGAGGACGTGGCGGCCGGCTGTTTGATCCGAGCAGAAGAACGAGGTCAGCCGGGGAGGTCCTAGTGCGAGAGGAGAAGACGGGGAAAGGGAAGGAGTTTACCTCGGGGGTCGTACTGCACCACGGCTCACAACGACGGTCAGCTACACCGCTCCGGCGCGCCGCTTTGTCCGTCTACACCCTGAGAGGAGCGGGGGAGAAGAAGCGCAACAAACGCACCTTCATGAACGCAAGCTTCCTCTCCGCCACCCTCGGCCTCCGCGCAACATACGAATATCCCGTCCCGACCCTGCGCAGACGACCACAACCCCTCGATGAGTGAGAAGCGGCGGGAGAAAGAGGAAAGGGTGCTCACGTCGAGAGAAGGCGGACGAGGATCGTTCTGCGTCGCGCGAGGGGTTAGTGAGGCTCTGGGAGGGATAGGAGGGAGAAAGGTACCGTGACTTTGCTTTCGCCATGAGGTGAAGGTTGTGGACGGGTGGAAAGGAGCGCGAGATGAGGACGGGGAGGTTGAGGGTCTACCACACGCTGGCTCGCTCAGGATGGCTTGCTTTGATGCTCAGATCGTTTTTGCGGCCAGTCACATGCCCTGCTAGCCGTCTCCTCGCCGCTCGAGCGTTTGCGCGCCTCCCTCGCCCTCCTCGTCGATTCTCATCAGTTACTGCTTTCCCGCTCTCGCATCGCCTCCAGGACCATCGCAGTGCCTTTCTTAGCCTCCGAAGCCGCCTCAGCAACCAAGCTACAGTCGCCGTCGGTCAGCCTCAAGCCGCTGTTGCCGTCCTCAACGCCCCTCTCCGCCCTTTGACGCTTCTACGTGCCCATACAGCACTTCCGAGGCCAGTCGTGCGGCGAAGGGACAGCAGATGGAGCAGATAGACGGTTTAGGCAGCGCGAGAAGGGCAGGACGAGCTGGAGACGACGTACACCTCCTCGTTTCCTTCAGCTTTTGCCGTCTCCCGACACTGTGCTCCTCAACACTGCCTCTTCATCCAGCACCGCTACCGACGCACCTCTGCTCAGGCTATCATGGAGGCGCGCTCTCGCGCCCCATCTCGCTTCAGAAGAGATGTCTTGCCCTCCTGCTCGCCGCGACGCCTCCCGCCGCAATCTCTTTCCTGCTCGTCCGGCAACGCGACCGTCCCGTCCCGTCACCAGAGGCACGCTCGCCGGCGACGTCTTTCAGGACGATTTCGTTCTCGGCGGAGGCTCGGACGATCCTCTCGCTTCGTCTGCTCCAAGCTCTCGTTCGTCTCGCCGGCGTTCCTCCGCCCGCGCGTGCGGCGACTGCTGGCTCAAATGCGGTCGTCGTGCCTCTCGAGCGAGGTCGGTGTGACCCAAAGCCGCGCCGGAGAACGAGGCGGAGGCGCCCCTCGAAACGAACCGTTCTGTCCTGGAACGCGTCACTTCGATCGACGTCTTCGATGCGATGCCGTCGACGTTCCGAACGGAGGACTCGCCCTCGCTTCGTCTGAGCTTTCCGTGAGGCTGAACGAACGTTCTTGCGCGATAGGGATGTCCGCGGACCCTCCGGAGCGAAGGGCGTCTCCCTCGACAGGCGCACATCTTTGCGGAAGAGGATGGCGAGATGGGCGAGTTGCTGGAACTCCGGCTGGCTGGCTGGAAGAAGCGATCTATCGAGGAAGAGACAGAAACGAGAGCTCAATCGGCGCCGTGGCAGCTGGTTACGAAAGATGGCGAGTGCGACACCTTGAGGGCTGCGGGCCGGGCAACACGGAAGGTCCGCCGTGTCGCTTGGCGGATGCCCTCTTTTGGCTCCCTTGCCTTCACTCGCCTTCACGCTTTCACCACCCAGCCATGGCTGCGACAGACCTCGAGAAGGCGCCGCCTTCGTACGACACCACCAGCACCGGCGACCATCCGCATCCGCACCACACGCACAACCACGCCCCGCTCGCCCCAGCCAGATCCCGCTCTCTGCGGCATGAGAAGCACGACAAGGTCGAGGTGGACGAGATCATCCAGTCTGAGCAGGTCTCCATCACCGGCATCAACGAGCGCAAGGTGAGCAAACGCGGCGAGGGGACACAGCCACCCCCGAATCCTTTCCCTCTTCCCTCCACCGAGGCGCTGACTTTTGCCTCGCCTGGACACAGCTCACCTGTCAGTCTGCGTCGCTTGAGGATGTAGTGGGAGTGAACGGGGAACTGACGGGCCTTGACCGCGACTCGCAGGGGTGCAAGCCGCCGCACTTCTCCTCACCGAATAGTGCGTTCAGCGCGATGCCACGTTTCTCCCGCTCCGATAGCTGACGTATGCCGCCTGCAGCGTCGTTCTCGCCATCCTCGCCTTCCCTTACTCGTTCCAGCTCCTCGGATACGCCGGCGCGACCATCACCTCGGTTCTCGTTGCCGCCTCGACATGGTACACCTCGCTCATCTTGTGGCGATTCTGCATGCGGCATCCTGAAGTCCGCGACATCGCGGACGCTGCCCAAGTCGTGTGCGGAGGACGGAGGATCGGTTGGTGGTTGGCGTGCGTTCCGACCTCTCTCTCGCCTTCTCAATCCAGCGGCTCGCCTAACTCTCGCGCGCAAACAGCTTCATCGGCCTCGCTTTGAACAACTGGTGCATTATGGGACTGCATACCGTCGCCGGCGCAACCGCGATCCAGACCATCCGCGGCGGCAAGGAAGTCACGCTCGTATGGGCGGTCGGCTTGACGCTCATCATGTGGTTCTTCTCGAACCTGCGCGACTTCAGCTCGATGAGCAAGGTTGGACTCCTCGCTTCGTCGACCATGTTCGTCTGCGTCTTGATCGTCCTCTGCGGACACGGCGTCCAGCCTCACCCGACGGGCTGGACTCCCGGACTCGTCATCACGCACTCGGTTTGGGCGCCCAAGGGAACGACCTTCGTACAAGGCATGAACGCACTGCTCAACATTGTCTACACCTATATCGGACACGCCTTGATCCCCTCGTTTGTCGGCGACATGGAGCGGCCCCAGGACTTCCCCAAGGCCCTCGCCATCTCGATGGTCGCAGAGGTCCTCCTCTTCACCGTCACCGGCGCCGTCGTCTGTGAGTTGCGCGACCAGGCCACCTCTCTGCCGTGATACTTACGCCGTTCCGCCCGAAAGACCACTACACCGGCTTTGAGCTCACGACCGCTCCCGCCTACGGCAGCCTGATCGCCAAGTACGGCAAGGTTGCGGCTGGATTCACCTTGCCGACCATCTGCATTGTTGGCGTGAGTCCCGAGACTCGGCCTTCCCACTCTCCCTCCCGCCTCGTCTTCTCGCGATGCTCGCAGCTACCGCATCCACCGCCAAGGATCCGAAGTAGACATACTGACTTTCCCGTTCCCGCAGATCCTCTACTCGCTCGTCACCTCGCGCGCTATCTACTTCCAGATCTTCAAGGAGGGTTCGCCTCACCGCAGCTCGCACACCGTCATCGGCTGGTTGTCCTGGATCGCCATCGTCTTTGGCGGATGGGTCATCTCGTTCATCATCGGCGAAGCCGTCCCGTTCTTCTCGGACTTGTTGTCCCTCATCTCGTCGTTGTTCGACTCGTGCGTTTGCGCCCTTCGCTTGCTTTCGCGTATCAGAGCTGATAAGGTTGGTCTGCAGGTGGTTCGGCTACATCCTCTGGGCGATCGCCTACTTCCAGATGACCAAAGGACGCCGCACAGCCGGCGCCATCGCGACGGCCGAGACGGTCCTCAACGTCCTCATCCTCATCACCGGACTGTTCTTCTTCACTGCCGGCACTTACGCCAGTGTGCAGTCTATCATCGACTCTTGTGAGTCGCGTGCCGTTCAAGCTGGAGGGGTGGGCGGAACTGACCGCTTTTTTCGCTCGTTCGCAGACAACAAGGGAGCTGTCAAGACGCCTTGTGAGTATACCTCCTGAGCTTGACGTCCCTCCACTCTTGCTGACGACGTTTCCCGCACAGTCACTCGCGCCAACACCGGCTTCGTCCTCGACACTTTCTAAAAGATTCCCCTCGGCGACTCCTCGAGATACCCCTCCTCCAGAACGCCCCTTCTCCTCCGCCCTCTCTCTGTACATACAGGTCTGCGCGTCGCAGCTCAACTCTGTGTCCGTTGGTTAGCTCTTATGCATCGTCTCCTGGGTTTCTATTCGTGCCATTCCTCGTCGCGCTTCGCTCGCTCGAGGCTTGAGAAGGTCGTCTCGCTTCGCCCGCTCCTTCGCCGTCTCCTTTCAAGTCGTTACCACACGCTGGGCTCTGTGCCGTCGACGCTCTCCTCCTCGCCGTCGCGCGTCACGTGCAGCGAATTCCCCCGGTCTGCCGGCGGACCTCCTCCCCACCTCGCAAAAAGCGGGTTTGCTCCTCTCGCTCTCCCTCTTCACGCTCACAGCCATGCTCGTCCGCCAGACAGCTCTCACACTCGCGCGCAGAGGCACCCGAACCCTCGCAACAACCGCCATCCGCTCTCACACACCGCTCACCGAAACCTGCTCGTCTCCCCACTTCTTCGACGCCGTCCACAAGGGCACGATCCCGTCTTTTCGACTGCTCGGACCGGATGGAGTCTTGGTCAAAGATGCGGAGGAGGAGTGGGTCCAGCGCGCGAAGGGGGAGGATGGGGAGAAGTTGAAGAGGATGCTTGAGGTCATGACTATGCTGCCCATCCTCGTGCGTCGTCGCTTTCGCTCCAAACGCTTCCTTCAAGCTTGTCGTCGCTACTGGTGAGCTGACGGAGACTCCCCGCACGCACAGGACCAAATCCTCTACTCCTCGCAACGACAAGGCCGCATCTCCTTCTACATGACCGGTTACGGCGAAGAAGGGACGGTCGTGGGTTCCGCCGCAGCGTGGGAGAACGACGACGAGGTCTTTGCCCAGTACCGCGAAGTCGGAGTCCTCATCTGGCGAGACTACCCGTCAGTCGTTTCGAACTCTCTCGGCCTGCCGTCCCATTCGCTGACTTGTAAGTTTCGCAGATTGTCGAGCTTGATGGCGCAAGTGTTCTCGACTGCTTCCGATATCGCGACCAAGGGTACGCTTCATGCCCATCTACTTGGAGCGTCGCCGCTGACCCGCTTACCTTCGCAGGTCGCCAAATGCCCGTCCACTACGGCTCGCGCGAGCACCATTTCCACACAATCTCCTCGCCTCTCGGTACACAACTACCACAAGCTGCGGGGGCCGCCTACGCGCTCAAGCGAACGCCTGGACGCGAGAACTCGTGCGTGGTTTGCTATGCGGGCGAGGGCGCGACGAGCGAGGGTGACTTTCATGCGGGCCTGAACAGTGCGTCTCCCGAGAGGTTCGCAGCGAACGAGGCTGACGGAGATGTGGATGCAGTGGCGAGCGTCCTCGGCGGTCCGCTTGTCTACGTTGTCCGAGTGCGTTTTCCCTTCTTTCCGCTCCGCTGAACTCTCGCTGATCCTTTTGTACCCGCAGAACAACGGGTAGTCAGAAGAAACTGGACCGCTCGTGCGGAAGCTAACAAGTCTAGCCGCGCAGCTTCGCCATCTCGACCCCCGTCTCGCAGCAGTACGCCGGCGACAGCATCGCTGCTCGCGGACCCGGCTACGGCATCGAGACCGTCCGTGTAGACGGCAATGACCCGCTCGCTGTCTACTTGGCGTGCAAGGAGGCGCGACGGAAGGCCGTTGAGGGACAGAAGCCGGTCTTGGTCGAGGTGAATCCGCTTTGCGACCTTTTCGACGTTGCGAAGGTGCTCACGTGAGTCGGTGCGCAGGCCATGACCTACCGCGTCGGACACCACTCCACATCGGACGACTCCTCCGCCTACCGCTCGCTCTCCGCCGTCGAGTCGGTCAAGAAGCTCGATTCGCCCATCCACCGTCTGCGCCGCTACCTCGAGTCGCTCTCGCCCGCTCTCTGGTCCGCCGAGCACGACGCCAAGATCAAAGACGAGAGCAAGCGCGCGATTTTGCGCGAGTTCAGCAAGGCCGAGAAGGAGAAGAAGCCGCAGCTCGCGGAGATGTTTGGCGATGTCTTCGCGCCGGTGCAGGGGGAGGAGGGACAGCGGTATGGAGGTCTTGAGCGACCGCAGTATGAGCAGAAGGCGGAGTTGAAGCGGTTGATTGAGAAGTGGGGCGAGACGCAGACTTGGAAGAAGGAGCTCGAGAAGTTCGCGGGGGGTAAAGAAGCGGTCGCGAAGTGGTAGACTTCCTCCGATATTGCACTGACACCTATCTTGCTTCTCGTTGATGGTCTACACCTCGTATGCCTCTGCGAGAGCCGGCTCGAACGTCAGCACAGTCGAGCGGTTCACACAGCAAGAACGCTGCTCACGCAATGCCTCCCACGCTTCCTCCTTCTCCCTCGCGAGCAATTTGCGCTTCTCCTCTCCGCCTCGCAGCGTAGCCTTGACCGGGAAAGGTTCGGCCTTGCTGTTGAACCCGTCGGTGAAAGCGAAGATGTCGGGCTTGGGTGCTCCTGCCGGCGTCTCGAGCGTGAAGTGGTGCACGATGTGCACGATGGCGATCCAGAGACCTCGTTCGGCGACGTGCATGCCTGCGCAGAAGGAAGATGAGCTAGGAAACGAGGGCCTTCTCGGAGCGGCCAACTCACCAGGACAGATCCGCCTCCCCCAGCCAAACGCCGAGTGGCCCGCTTTCTGCGGATACGGCATGGCGCCCGACTCGCGCGGATCCTCGATGTACCGCTCGGGGCGGAAAAGGTCCGGCTCAGGGAAGTAAGCCGGGTCGCGGTGGATTGCCCAGGTGTTGCAGAGAATCGTGGAGCCTTTTGGGATGCGGTAACCGTCGTAGATGTCGTCTTCGGTGCTGGCGTGAGGTGTGCCTCCGAGGACGGCGACGGGTCGCCAGCGCAGAACCTCCTTGAGAAGAGCGCGGCAATACGGGAGCTGCGCGAACCAGAGAGCAAGAGGCTCGTCAGTTCCCGTCCACAACGGCGGAGCGCTCGGTAGAAACGGGCGCGCACGTTCGCTTCGTCGTCCCATGTCGGACTGCGAGACGAGCCGACAACCTGATCGAGCTCTTGTTGCGCCTTGCGCTGCGCCTCCGGGTGCGTCACCATGGCAAGGACGAACGCGATCAGGCTGCCGGAAGACGTCTCGACGCCTGTAGAAAGCAGTTGTCCGTCAGCTGGCACGGAACCATACGGAGATCACACCAGGACGCACCGGCGCCAAAGATCCCGCCTGTCAACAAGCCGAACTCTTCCTCCGAGATGCCGAGCGAGTCGAAGCGCTCATAGAGATCCTTCGTAAAGCTCTGAGCGGCGGTCCCATTGCCCATGCGCTCCTTCACCGTCTCGGCGAGCGACATCCAGAACGAGTGGCTCTCGTCGCGTGAAGCGCGCCATGTCTTCTTGTACGGCGTAAGGAACTCGGGAAAGTCTTGGAGGATTGGGTAGGTGTCGAGGACTTGCTTGCCGGGTAGGCTGTTGTGCACGAGGTCAGCGTCGAGTTGCGTTTAGAGATTGGCGGCGCTCACTTGGCTCGTCCAATGTCTTCCATGCGCTTGATGACACTCTGCACGAAGCCCACCTTGACGTCGTCGACGCGTCGACCGTCTGCAAACCGAGTTGAGCATGAACCGGGATGGGATGGGCAAGCGGTACGCACAGGCGATTGCGACGACTGTACTCGCCGCGTACCGCTCAAGACACTTCTCCCAGCCGAGACCTTCTTGATGGTGGAGGAACTGCAACTCCTGCTGTCAGTAGGTGCCTTCGAGGTCAAGCGGAAGGCAGCGACCCACATCCCAGCACAACCTCTTCGCCTCCCACTCCTGTATTGGCCTATAGTCATCCGCGCGCTTCTCCATCAAAGCCGAGTGGTAGATCTTGCGCTGGTTGCGCCACTTGGCGTTATAAGGGAGGAAGAGGAGGGCGTTGTTGCCTGTCGCGAGTTCGCCCATTACGACGAAGCGAGGTCGCGAGCTGTACTTGTTCGAGCGCTTGTCGAGGAGGTCGGCGGCGACTTTGGGCGAAGAGACGACTAACAGCCGGAGAAGAGTGAGGGGTCAGTCAATCCGGTATTCTACCGCGGGGGAGGCCGAGACGAACCGATGGTCGGCTTCGGTCCCGTCCAGATGGTGTAGTATCCCCTCGACCGATACTCCTCCCTCTCACCGATCTCCGCCAGCTTCAGCCATGGCTTCGCCCTCGGAATCAAGCTGCGATGGTCGCCCCATCCGAAGAACGAAGCGCGGGGACCGGGCGGGAGGTTGCGAGGATAGGTGAGCAGCGTGTAGAGGGCGTAGAGCGCGGGCGGTGCGAGGAGCGCTATCAAGAGAGCGAGAAGAGACGGGGACAAGTTGAGGTGGGGAAGCAAGTCGACGGCCATCCTCGCTCGTCGGAACCCGTTGCTGCTGGTCGTAGGAAGCTTGCCGGCGTTTCAAGAGCAGGAATGAGCGAGTGTTGAGGGAGAACGAGGCGTGTGAATACATGTGGGGCTCAGCGGAGGAAAAAGCGAGGTGCCGGCAGGCGGCGGCAGCGAGAGGGAGGGGATGCTGAGCAGTGCAGAGGCTCCGCCGAGACGGGTGGTCGCACGGAGGGAACGTTGAGCGAGTGCCGAGGGCCGTGTGGAGGCGAAAGCAGGAGGCGGCAAGGGAATCTGCGAGGACAGCCGTCAGCGAAGTTGGCATGAGAGAAAAGGCCAGCTTACTGCATGTACAGTCAGACAACAGAAGCTTTGTACGGTAGATAGACTGAGGGAACTCAGTACACGCCTGGGAAGACAATCCACTTTGCGCCCTTCTCCTCCCACTCCTTCCCGAACGTCTTGCGGTACCACGCATGCCCGCTCCTCGCGCGCGGCAGCATTGCGCCTATCTCTTGCCACAGGAAGAGCGCCGGCGGCTGTAGGTACCATCCCTTGAGCGGCTTGAGCGGGCCGGGAAGCGCCTTAAGCGAGAGGGAGGGGATGAGGGAGGAGACTGGCGTTGGCGGGAAAGGCGCTGGTGCAAGTGCGAAGGTGGCGAAGAGGAAGCCGAGCCATTCGAACCACTCCGACGAGTACGACGGGTGCGAGACGAAGCGGTACAGGCCGCCTTGCGGAATCGAGTACCGGTCCTTGGGCGAAGCCGACTCCTTGCCCTTGCCCTTCTTCTCCTTCGCCTGCTTCTTGCGCTTGATATTGTAGAGAACCTCGTCGTGGTAGATGTTGGAGCACAGGCCTGCCGCCCACATCGCCGCGCCGAGGAGGAAGACCGGCTTCGCCCATCCCGCATCGCGCAGTCCCGAGTTTGCGACCGCCTTGCCTGTCTGCGGAATTCCGCCTGCGAGCCAGACGCCGATGGTGCCGCCGTTGGCAAGGTTGAAGAGGGCGGAGAGGAGCGGGATGATGATGTTCATTCGTGCACGGCCGGGATTGCGAATCGAAGAGATGACGGAGCGGTTGGCGTAGTGAACAAGGTAGCATCCCGCGAGGACTTGTCGCGCAAGGGGAAGAGCGCGGAAGGCGGAGACGATGCGATTGGGGGAGAAGGAGAGGAAGGAGGACGAGCTGGAATTGAGCGGGAGTGAAAGGCCGTAGAGGAAGGTGATGGGCGAGACGATCTCCATGAGCATCCATCCGATGTCTCCATGGACGGCGAGTCGCTTCCAGGTGCCGAATTTGCCGAACGGCGCATCTGCGAGAGGGGCGAGAGATGTCAAGGTGCGGTTCCAGGGGATCGAGGGCGAAGACGCACCGATAACGCAGCTGCCGGGTCCGCCCACGAATCCAAATCCAACAAATAGCCTCTGCACGGCCGCGTAGAGTCCCACCGTCCCGTACTGCCCCTTCAGACCGTCAACGAGATGCGTGAGGTAAGAGGTCGCGGATGAAGCCATCGCGTCGCCGTGAGGTGTTCTGGTCAGAGCAGTCAAATCTGTGGTGCACTAAAGCTTGAACTAAGCGTCTTCGAGCCGTCAGCGTGACTTGGTCGAATGTCAACCTCGAAACTGATGAAGCTCGCAGGTTGAGCCACACCACACACCTCGCAGCGATGCCGAACAACCGGGTGAAGACGCTCAAGGCCGTCCAGGGCAAGAAGACCAAGGTTGCGTCGGGCCAGGTGCACCCCAACTCGCGGAGGGCGAAGCAGCTTCAGCGGGTCGAGCTGCGGGCGAAGAAGCTCGAGCACGACGCCAAGGTCAGGAGGGTCGCAGAGGTGCACGAGAGTGAGTCCAGACGCCTTTCTAGGGCTGCTTGAGCTAGCCATCAGCCACTTACGGAAGGTCGGCGAGCTGACACCGCCCACTTTCGCCTCCTCAGTGGACCGACACCTCTACTTCGTCCACGCCCTCCCCTCAGATGCGACTTCCGTCTCCCTCCCCGACTTGCACCAGATCTTGAACGACTACTTGAACCGGAATGAGGCGGAACTTGTCGAGTTGAAGCACGAGAGGGAGGGGCGGAGTTGGCGGAAAGGCGAGGGCAAGGGGAAGCGCGAGACGGAGCTGGAGAAGCTGCGCGAGGAAGAGGAGAGCGAGTACAAGACCGGTTTCGGTGCGTCAGGTGTCGAGATGTGCGTCAGGCGAAACGGGCCGGTCGCTGACTTCGTTCTTCCCGTCCTTCTATCGCAGTCCTCCCTGACTTGACATTGGCGGAGAACGTCGTCATCTGCCGACAGTGGATCAAGCCTGCGCCGGCGAAGGAGGGCAAGAACACGAAGGGAGGCGACCCTTCGTACCTCGGGCGGTACGTTCGCGCTTTCCCACACCTTTCCTTTCTCCGCTCATGTCTTTTCGTAAATGCAGCATCCGACTGATTCGGCTCTTCAAGGACGAGCCGAACGTTGTCGTCGTTGCGCAGAAGGGCGCACGAGAGACGTGGCAGGAGGGCGAGGGTGAGGTCGAGATGGGCGACGTCGAGGAGGCGGCATAGTCGACGACCTCCATTGCGCATCCCTTTCACTTGGTCTCTGCTCAGGTTTTCCTCGCATCTCTCCTTGTTGTGTTGCTATTCCATCCTGCATTGCGGCTCTTCTGAACGATGGAAAAAGACTGGGATAAAGACGCTCTATTGCGCTGGCTGCTCGCTCATGCAGTGCCTGCGCTACTTGTACAGCCCATCTGGTGTGATGAGGACATCCGGCAGGCGGTCCCATTCATTCGTTGGAATCTCCTCGCCGTCCTGCACCAGCTGAGCCTTCAGAGCGAGCGCAACTGTCCGGCCGAGGTCTCGTCAGTCCCCCAGATTCTCGCCCCTGTACAACAACCCGAGGGAAGGGAGATGCACCTGTCGGAGGCGCCTTCTTGCTGAACCTCTGCGGATAATCCAGACACTGGGTGATGTAGCGATCGTAATATCCGCGGCCGTGCCCTAGCCGTCGTCGGTACGGGTCAAAGGCGAGACCGGGGACGACAATCAAGTCGAGTCCGGGTGAAGGAGGGTGTGCGGCTGTGTGCAAGGTGGAAGAGAAGGTCAGAACTGCGGTTTCGGGTGAAAGAATCGAAAGAACAGAGAGCGAACCGTCTTCTAGGCCATCGACCTGCGAGATTGCGTCAATCTCCAGCTCCAGAACGGACAAACGCTGGACAGGAAGCCGCTTCCGACGCACCTCGCTCGGATCCAGCTCGCGAATTCCCCAGCGGTTCTCCTTCAGCCCCTCGAAGTGGCTCTTGTCCCGCAACCGCAGCATGAGCATCTTGGTCTTGTCGTTTATGGGGCAGTAAGGGATGTAGATGCGCTTGCCCTCGTCGAGCGCGCGGAGGATGAGCGAGTCTGTCTGGACTTCGCCAGACGGTGTCGAGACATAGCACGAGATGGATTGGGCGGCGGTGTAGTATGGCGATGCGAAGAGTCTGTCGAGCACTGCCTGGGCTGCGCGCATGCAACAAGCGCGATGTCAATGCTGTTCTCGCCGCGAGAAGAGGGGACGCACATTCTGCGAGGACGGTCGCGGGTGGCAGCTGCTTGAGCCGTTGCTGGACGTGCTTCCTGAGCTGCTTCTTGGCCTGCTGCACAGCTGTCCCGCTCGTCAACGTCGCCATCGTGTCGTGGCACGCACAAAGAGCAGAACTCCCCACTCTTCGGCAAGGACGCCTTGCTTGGATTGCTTTAAACGGCGCTTGCTGCCTTGCTGGACACGGCAGTACTCTCAAGGGAGGCCTACACGGACACCGTCGGCAACTGCGCTTCTTCCGACGTCGCCGCCGCCTCACGACACGGCCGGCCCCTCTCCAGGAGCACAACCCCTTTACGGCGGACGGGCAGGCGCGGACAGCGGCAGGTGGAATGGCGTACCCAGCGTTCTCAGACTCGCAGGCCTGGCGAACCGGAAGAGCGAGAATGGCGAGCGGAGACTCGGGTTCGTTGCGCTCTTTCTCCCACTCCGGTTGTTGGGCGGGCTGCTTCGAGGCGAGAGGAATAGTCGCATCTCAAGCTTCTTAGCTCGAGGCTCAGAGCTCCCGCAGAACGCCCGAAGCGATCGCTGACCTCCAGCTGGTGTTGCAGCCTCATCGTCCGTACCGCCTTCTCCTCCGCCCGGAACTGTCCCTACAGCCTCATCCTCCGTCTCAACCCTCTACATCCGCCGCTCTTCTGCGCAAAGTATCTCTGATCGATCCTCCGACGTCGGATTCCGCTCGCGCGCTGGATCTGTCACCGCGCTGCGCGGAACGGATGAGGCGGAAGAGCTGGCAGGGGAAGAGGCGAGAGGGTTCTCGGCAGCAGCAGCGAGGCGGGGAAGCGCAGAAGCGGGAACGGGGCTGTATGCTCGGAGGCGAAGCTCGGATGCGGCCCGGCAGCTTGAGCGGCCGCAGACTCCGCCAGGACTCGCGGCTACCGACGCGAACGGCAAGACGCCTCGCATAGGCACTACGCCACGACAGCGAACTGTGTCTACGTCGACGTCCATGTCGAGCACGACATCTGGCTCGAACCACACGCCTCGCACAGCGACATTCCCTTCGTCTACCCTCTCTTCCTCGACATCGTCCGCCTCGCCCTCGTCGAAACCGCTTCATACGCCTCCTACTCTCCTCCCACGCGGCTCTTCGACCCTCCACACCTACTCGTCCTCGTCCTCCTTTCATGCCCAATCCGCGCCTCGCACGCCCACGGCTTCCTCCTCATCCTTCCTCCAGCCAGCCTATTCCGACTCCGGCCACTCGAGCGGAGCCGACGACTCGTCATCCGTCTCATCCGATGACAACACCTGGGCGACATCCTGGACTAACCAGCCCGAATTGTCGACTTCGAATCCGGACTCGTCCGGCCTCATGTTCGCCAGATTCGTCTCGCCTCCCCTCGCTCCGAATGCATCAACTCCAGTCGTGCAGTCGGCACCCGACGAGCCCGGCGTCCGCGAGTCTCGCCCACTGAGCGAATTCGACTGGGCAGCCGCGTACGGCGGGTCGAGTCGCAGTCCAAGTCTGATGCAGAGCCAAGCTACGGCTCCTCCAGATCTGTGGATGACCGAAGCGGCGTCCGTCTCGCCGGCGAGCCGGCCGCTGCCGCCTTTACCGGGTGCTGGTGGAGAAAATTCGGCGGCGGAGACGAGCGCAGCGCAAGGCGCGGAAGGGGTGGCAAAAGCGAAGCATGGGAACGACGGCGACGAGGACAATCCTCCGCCTGTGCCGTTGGAGAAGAAGCCGAGCTTGCTGCAACTCGAGATTGTCGCAGGACCGAATGGAACGGCTGGTGAGTCGCCCCTTCTTCTGTCCCACCTTTAAAGCACCGCTGACAGGCTCTTCGTCCACCCCAGCACGGGCTCGCGCTGCCGCCATTCCCGCCGTCGCGCTCGATACCGCCCTCCCCGCTTCTCCTGCGACATCCGTCTTCTCAGCCTCACCCACTTCCGCTGTCCCTCCTGCACCTTCGACCTCCCTCCTTGCTCCAGCAGCTCCACCTTCGAATCGTCCCTCGTCCCGCGCATCTTCGCGAAGTCTCGGACCGCAACCGCCTCGACCTCCAAGACGACAGCCGAGTAACCTCAGCATGGCCAGCGCTCGATCTGACGTCAGTGCCGAGCCACCTATCGCGACGTCTCAAAGCGTTTCGAAGCCTACGGCGGCAGAGGCGGGTACGACGGAGCAGGAGACTTCGGCCAGTTCAGTAGCAGCCGAAGCCTCGTCGACCACCGACTCCGCAACATCCCTCGACGTAGCAAAGTCGCGCACATCGTCCACGTCTCCGACCGGGGATTCCGATGTCAGTCCGCCAGCGATCACTCCGTCCGCGACAGCCAGCCCCGGTCCCGTGCGACGCGTTCCTTCAGGCCCTGCGCCTTCGATTCCCGAGAAGTCTGCGCGACGAGCTAGTACACTCGTGACGCGACGCTTCTCTCTCGTCAATGGCGGGCACAAGCGCGGCGAGAGCGTTGACTCGGTGCGGTCGAAAGAGCAGGAGGGCAAGGGAAAGGTTACTCCGTCGACGAGCAAGAATGGCTCGCCTCTCGTCGGCAGCGGAGGAACGCCAGACGAATGGTCCAAGCGGTGCGCTCCTCCTTGCCGTGTCATGCCGGACGTCCGCTCACACTATTCGACCAGGTTCTCTGTCCCCTACTCGGTCTCAGACTTTGCCGACGCTTACGCTCGCGAAAGCTTCTACGCCTCTTATCCGTCGACTGGGACTGATCACGCCTCGCCGGCCGGTCCGCCCCGTGCCTCGCCAAACCTGCGAGAAGGCGCCTCGCCCAAGGTGGCGCAAGGCTCGTCGACGAGCGATGTCACGTCAAGCGATGCAGCGAGCCCTCCGTCCGCCAGTCAGAAGCCTTCTCTCCGCCCGCTCGACCTCGTCGCCGCCGTGACCGCCGTCCCGATTTCTGCACATGCAGCGTCGCCTGCGACTTCCGCCTCTCCCAGCAGAGCCAGCCCCAGCACGCCGCGCGGTGATGCCAAGGCCCGCGCGGCCGCGTTCATCGCCGATCTGAAGAGGGCGAAAGCAGCAGCGGCTGCAAGTGCGAGCGGCTCGGCGGGCGAAGGAAGCGCGGGAGAGGAGGCGGAACCGACAGCGGCGAAGGACTCTGTCGCTGTGCCGGCTCAGACTGCTACCGGCGACTCGCCTGCGCTGCCGGCCCTTCCTTTCGAGGCTCGCCCAGCAAGCCCGCTACTTCCGCTGGTCCAGCCAGACTTCGCCCGAACCGCCGAAACACCCATTTCTCCCGAACGATCTCCGCCTGTACCTCCGCCGTCCTACACGAAGCGACCCTCTGACACCTCCGTTCTGCGACAACGTTCCACGTTGTACTCCCCGCCATCTCGCTACGAGCCTTCCTTCCCGCCACTCCACCGGCGCCGACCTTTGCCGCCTGCCGTCCAGATCGCTGGCGAGCTTCGTCGAGCTCGCACAGCAGGTGAACGAGCGAGGATCTACGCCGAGAAGATCAACGAGTTGGCGAAGGAGAAGAGTCGGCTGGATGACTGGATCGCCTCGACGAGGGATGTGCGAACTGCGATCGGCCGATGTGTGTCTACTTGCTTTCACTTCAACCGCACCTAAACTGACGCTTCGCACGACAGCCCCGCTCGTGGCCGGCTCGCCTGCTCGGAACAGGCGCACAGCCCGTCAAGATGCTTCGAACGCAACCTTCGCACCTCGTGGAGACGGCTACCGCGCCCGGGAGATCTCGCCCAACCACTTCAACCCGAAGGAGATGGTTCCATCGTCGACGCCGTATCCCGGCGTGCTCAATCTCATGTCGCCGAAGAGTGCGAGTTACAGCAGTCTCGGCACGACGACGAGTAGCGCAGGAAAGTCGTTTTTCTCGGGCTTTGGCCGGGGTTCTCTCGGTCGGCGAGCGTCGAAGCGCGAACACGGCACTTCGCATGGCCAATCGTCCACGAGCTCGTCATCTTTCAGGTCCACCATCTCGGGCCCCGTCCAACTCCTCTCCTCGACAAACACAGCTCTCACGTCCGGCAACGGCGTCAACCTGCGATCCGTGCTGTCCGGCCCACGGATGCCCAGTCAGACGTCTCGAGCGTCGCTCGACTCGCGGATGTCGTCGCCGACCTCATCCCCAAAGCCCAACTCGGCGAACGCTTCCCGAAACTCCTTTAGCTTCGGTGGCGCTGCCATGACACCGGCGCTCTCAGCGTCTACATCCGTACCGACGCTGCTCGGTGCAAGAGCGGGAGCTCCCGAGCTGGCAACTCTCGCTCCGGACGAGGTCGACGAGGAGAAGCTCGAAAGGCTGCAGGACATCCTCCCGCAGGCGGCCAGGGCGGATCTCGTCAAGGCGCTCGCCAAAGCCTCGGGCGACGATGTTTTAGCCATCAGCGTCTTTCTACACGACGAGGCGTCGAGGCGTTAGGCGGACGAAGCGAAGGTACCCCTCGCTTGCATCTTGAACAGACACTACCTCCGAACCCGCATCCTATTCCCGCGCTTCGCGCGCCTGTACTTCCTGCATCGTCGCTTTCGTTCGACTGTCTCGCGTACTGCTCGGCTTGAGAAAGAACCGTATACCGTACTCTAGCCTCTTCGTCGACACTTCTCACTTGCTTCTCACCCTTCCATCTCTCGCCTCCGTCCTCCTCGTTTGCGCATTCCGAGCTCGAGCAGGAGCTCCATTGCCCTAGCTTTCGCCCACTCGTCTAGCTCGCCCAACTTCGCTCCCCTCTGTCCTGATCGCCATGAGCGCTCCGCCCGGTACTGTCTCGCTGCAGGACTTGACGCTAGAGCAGATTGGTCAGGTCCGATCACAGCTTGAACAGGCGCGTCTGAACAATCCGCAACCCTCATCGTGGCCTTCACGCTGACACAGCATCTTCATCACTCAGGAGCTGAAGCATCTTACGGCGGCGTTTGGCGACCTGAAGGCGGCGCAGAGCAAGTTCATGGCATGTATGGATTCGCTCGACAGCATCAAGCCGGACAACAAGGGCGAGTCTGAGCCACGACCTCTTCCTCGACCTCCGCTGACCGCGCCTTCGCCTTGCTGTCTCGCAGACAAGAAGGTGCTGATTCCTCTGACGGGCTCGCTCTACGTCCCTGGGCGGATAGCGGATCCCGAGAACGTGCTGGTGGACATCGGGACAGGCTATTTCGTCGAGAAGGTGGGTCTGCGCACTCTCCTCACCTTCCCCCCTTCCGACCGATCTGAGCTGACGCCGTCCGCTTTGCAGGAAACGAAGCAGGCCAAGGCACTCTACAACGCTAAGGTCCTGGCGCTCAAGTCGAACCTTGCGACCCTCCAGCAGCAGATCGAGAAGAAGCAGGACAACTTTACGGCGTGCGGCGAGATGATGCGAGTGAAGATGGCGCAGCAGCAACAGGCGCAAGCGGCAGGCGGAACGAAGGACGACTGAGCAGAAGAGGCAAAGGTGCGGAGGACAACCTTGCATCGCAACAATGATACCCAATCCTTCGTTTGCGAGCCGCACTAGCGGCGCTGTGAGAGCTACAGACGTACAGAACCATACTTCCACCAGCCCAACAACAAGAGAGATGATGCACAGGAATGTTGCGGGAGAAAGGAAGACGCAGGGGAGGCGAGTCGTGGAACTCGCTTTAGTACCGACTCGCCTTGATGCACGACGTCTCAAGCGCTTGCGCGAACTTGACGGTAAAGGCGAGGTCGCGCTGAGTGAACTCGCGCTCGCCGTTCCGGCTGTAGGCGCAGAGGACGAAGCCGACCCTTCGCACCTCTAGGACGGGGAGCATGATGCCGGATGCATAGCTGGCGGCCGCAGATGGCGAGTAGCGCGGGTTCTTGTAGATCAAGCCGCCTTCGGGCGCACGGAGGGCCTTCAGGTGCAGCGCCGGATCGAAGGAGGGTGGAGGGTGAGGAAGGCCGTGTGAGGAGAGGATGCGTAGAGGCGATGCCGAAGGGTCCGTCGACGAAGCCAGCGCGATGTCGAGCGCGGCGAGGTAGACGAGCTCGAGCTCGAGCGACTTGGCGAGCATCTTGGTCGCGGTGTCGAATGTCTTCTGCACTTCGCGCGGCAAGGCGGAGATGGGGTCCTCGGTCGTCACGGCGAGCGAAAGGGCGGAAGGTCGCCTAGGAGCGACAATCTCGCTGGCTGGTACCGACGACGTCGTCGAGTCGATATCGGAGTCCTTCCTGCCGTGCCCGCGCACTTCTCCTTGGCGGATCGAGGCGGGAGGAGTCGCCGGCAGAGATGCGGCTGGGGGGTGCACGGACGGCTTGGGTTGACGCAGAGAAGTCGATGACCTTGTGGAGAAGCCGCTAGCGGAGGACGGTCGGGGACTCTGGCTCAGCGCGGCCAGTCCGGGCGGAGGAAGGATGGCAGGCTTCGTCACTCGCGCTGTAGAGCCCGCGACGAAGGCGCCTTGCAGACGCTCCATCTTGGCCGCGAGGCGCTCGTTCCACCACGCCTCGATAGCGTTCGACGCCTGCTTGGCGAGGTCGCGGAGGACTCGTCGCTGAGCCTCGGAGAACTCGTCGCGCGGCTTTGTGTCGAGGATGCAGAGCGAGCCGATCGGGACGGTCGGCTGAGTCGGGTCGTCGGTCGGAACGGTGACAGGGACGCCCTGGCAGGGAAAGGCGTCATTAGCGGAGAAAGGAGGAAAGGAACGCTGCACAAGCGACTCACGGCGTAGAAGCGAGCGCCGAGGTGCGTTGTGATCATGTTGTTCGCGAACCTGCGACCGCTGTTCAGCACGACGGAAAAGAGGGGAGACGGGAGACAACGCACCTCCAGTCGTCGACCGCGTTCAACACAACCATGCCGCGGTCCTCGTTTAGGATCGTGTGACCGCAGAAGCTCGCGCTCCTCGGTAAAGAGTCGCCGACACCGTCAGGCAAACCGCCGGACGCGAGGAAGAGTTGCGAGCCTTCGTCGAGAATGGTCAAGAGGCCGACTTCGGCATTGAGCACCTCGCGGCAACGGGCGATGATGGAGCGGAAGATGGGGTGGTTTTCGAGCGACTCGACGACATCGGTTGCAGGATCGGCGGGAGTGCCGGGAGTTGGAGGGGCAGACGTCGCGGAAGTGGCAGTCGACATCGTGGAAAATGCCCCAGTCGAGTTGCGGCGTGAGGAGGGCGCTTCGCTCGTCGTGAGGTAGCTGTTGCGCGAAACGGCGCTCGTTGCGCTCGCGGACGGTGCCATCGGTGCGGACTCTGCGCGAGTCGCAATGTCGAGCGTCGTCTGACTGGCGTTCGCCGCCTTCGCCTTCGTGCCGAAGAGATCGAGGCGGTTAATGACGTTCTGGCGCAGAGCTTCGTATGCAGGCATAGGAGCCGGGAAGAAGCGCTGCTGGTAGACCGTCGGCTCGGCGCCTTGGGGAGCTTCGCGCTCAGGCGGCACAGGCGGGTCTTCGATGTCGATCGCGTTCTGTCTCTCCAAGATCAGCAAGCGTAGCGGCTGGAGAACACCTGAGACGACGCACGGTGGCGTAGAGATGCTCGTACTCCTTCCATGTCTTTGGCAGCTCCTCAGCCGGAGTCTTGGAGTTGAGTTTCCGCCTGATGTATGCGACCGCCCTGCGCCCGCCTTCGCGAGCCATGTCCAGCGCCTTCATTCGCCGAGTGAGCGGGTCGACAGTCGGGGCCTTGGCCGTTTCGACTGAGCGACTCGTTTGCGACGTCTGGAACGAACTGGTCGAAGCTGCTATGGCCGAACGGTGTTCAGCGGCCTTGATATGCGCAGCGACGTCGTCCCTGGAACCGTAGAGCGGACCTGATGCGATGCCAAAGAATCCTCCCAGTGCCTTCTTCAGCGGCCCATCCTTCTTCACCCTCGCCGAGTCTGCCGTCTTGGGTCGTCGAGTTGCCATGGGAGTCGTCTGGAAGAGGAAGTGAGGGGTTCCGACGGGTGGTGCAGTCTGCTTGGGTCGTCCGGAAAGCGAGGCGCTGGTCGAGGACGCTAGGCTGACTGTGCTAGCCGACGGGGCGAACTGGACGGCAGGCGTTGTCGGCGGAGTAGTCTGTAGAAGCGCGAGCGCTGGGTCTGGGACGGGCGGGGTGTAGCCGACGCGAGGATCCCTGAAAAGGGCGGAGGTGCTCGCTTGGGCTGAAGAGATGGGTAGAGACGCGCTAGCGGCGGATGGGGACGAAGGAAGAGGGACGACGCTGGGCGGCGAAGCAAGCATGAGGCAGAGGGCCGCGTCTGGGTGCAAGCGACGAGACCGAGAGATGTGCAGAGGAAAAGGTTGCGAGAAGGGTGTCCGGCGGCGTGGGATTGCGGGAAGACGGTCGACCAGGCCTGCGAAAGGCCGGGGAAGACCGCCCGTTCAAGGGCGCCGATTGGCCCACGAGCGCATCCCTTGAGCAATCGCAGGGTGGCTCAGAGTACAAGCGGCTTCGGTAATGAGGCCACGCGGGCTCAACGACTCCCAGGGGGCGCGAGAAGATGTGATGAGGCGCGTCGAAGCGCCTTGGACGGCCGCGGACGCGTCGAGCGAGGTTGCCAGGGGTTGGCGAGGTTGCGGCGCCTGGACTGCACCTCCTTGATAGCCCGAGGTCCCCGCAAGGAGCAGAGCTGTAGCGGCCGCGTCGCGCTCGACTCGACCTGTACCAAGGCGAGGGGGATTGCCTAGCTCGACATCCGTTTCCAGTCCGCCCGCTACAGTGAAGGCCGGACGGTAGGGAACGGTCGACGCAGCATTCGATGGAGTGAGCAGGTGGAAGAGAAGGAAGAGGAGAAGAAGCGTTCGCTGGAAGCCGTCCGGGCGTGGTGAAGTGAGGTGAGACGTCGCCGCCGCTAGTCTGGCAGATCTCTCTGCGGCGGCAATTCGCCGGTACCGTATCGGGCAGCGTATTTGAGGTGTCTCGAGAGCTGAAGAGGCGGAGGAAGGAACAAGCGGCGAGATGCGTCATAGGAGGATGGGCGAGGAGGAGGGCGACCTGGCTCGCCACGCTCGCGTTCTGCGCTGACGGACCTCAGCCAGTAGCGTTCTGTCGCTTTTTCGAGCCGTTCCGCCCTGTCATGCGGGCCTACGAAGGCTGCTGCGAGGCGAACAACAGTTGTTTGATGAAGTTGTGGAGGGTCGAGTGCAACTCGTCAAGCGGACTGGCGGGCGCAGCAGAGCTGTACGCCCTTTAGCAGCGAGCGAAGACGCCATCATCCAGTTCAGCGCAGACCGGCTGAGCGAGGCGGACGGGAAGAGCCAACCTCCAACTCTCCCTCTCGCATTCACCATGCCGGCGTTCTCGGGCCTTCAGATGCTGTTGTACGGCGCGGGATGCATCTACTCAGGTGCGTCATCCCGTCACGACCCGCTGCTACCCGCTCACGCCGTGCTCTCGCAGGATATTCCCTCTGCACCTCCCCATCCGCCTTCATCGCCCAACTCTCGCCGGCGACTCGCTTGATCGAGGAGCAGACAAGCTTGAAGGCGCACAAAGGCGGGGATGATGCGCTTGCGCTAGCGGGACTGCTGTTGCTCGGTATGGGCTATCTCTACTTCTGGGCGGTCTACACGAAAGACGAGAAGATGAAGCGCAACTCCAGTGAGTCCAGCTTCCCTGTCGATGCAGATCGCCCTGCTGATTCACTCATGCCTCCTAGCGTCGGGCCGACTCGCCCTCGCGCTCCTTTCATTCTGGGTGTGCAAGAACACCCCTCACGGCACTTCGCTCGTCGCCCTCTTCGGTGGCGTCAACCTCGTCGCCGGCGTCCTGATGGGTCTGAGCGTGGGCTTTGGAGACGGGAACGCAGTGGACCTCGAGCTGCAGGCGCGGGCGGCGGCGCGGAGACGAGCGGACGAAGAAGCGAGGAAGGCGCGGTAGATCGTCTCGCACGCAAGAAGACTCGACGACACGGCTGGACATGAATGCGAGTATGCTATTGCCGAGGACTAGAGGAAGAACTCCTCGACAGCATACGCGCCAACCTCCGCGTGCTTCTCCTGCGCCTTGATCCTCCGTTCCATCGTCTCGCCAAACTTCCTCACGCCGTCCTTCCGCTTCTCCGCAGCCGCCGCCGACGCCTCCTCGAGCGCTGCACGACGCTGGTCGTCCTTCTTGCGCGAATAGATCGAGAGGGCGCCGAGTAGAGACGAGAGATCGTTCACAAGGGCGGTGTGAAGCGAGATGTGCTGCGCGAGGCGGCGGAGGAGACGGTGCGCTTGGCGCTGGAGGAGGAGGGTGACGAAGTGCGCGTCGAGAATCGCTTGGACGAAAGGTACGATCTGCACGAACGCGAAGTTAGCCTCCTTGCCGACGAGAGGGGGTGAGCAGCAGGGACGCACCTCCTCGAGCGAGGGCAACTGCTCCTCCTCGCCAGGCACAATAAGCTTGAACAAGTCGACCTGAACCGCCTTGCTTCCCTTGCCCTTGCGCTTCTTGAGCGTCTCCTCGTCCTCGTCCGCCGCTTGCGCGGACTTGAGCCACACCGCGAGCCACTTGTCGCACTGCTCGAGGATGGGAACGGCTTCGACCGCCGAGAGCTGCTTTTGCAGGGCGGAGCGGAGGACCGAGGGCGTGTAGGGCGACTTCAGGAAGGAGCGGAGGAATGTCGCAAGGGAAGGGACGGGTGCGGGGAGGGTGGATGATGCGTCTTCGACGTCCATCGAGTCGGCTGACGACGCCTGAGCGTTGCGAACGACCGTGACGAGCAGCGAGACGGTCGTCGACTCGGGGATATCGGGAATCGTCTCGAGCGCAATGAGGATGTTCGGCTGCCCAGCAAAAAGCGTCAGTACGTCTTCACGATCTGACGAGGGACGTCCGCAACGCACCCAGTCTCCAGCACGCGCAAGGAACCGCGTCACGCCGCCCTCGATCTGGTTCTCGCCGACCAACTCGCGCTTGAGGAGATAGCCGACGATCTTGGTCGGGTGACGCCAGGCCTTTGCAGTAGCGGCCGGTGCACCGGTGGCGATGACGAGGTCGGTTGAGGGCGCGTCGAGCGGGACGGGGAATGAGAGGCGGAGGAGGGCGGTGATGAACGACGAGGGGAGCGAGGGCTGCGTGCGCGTTGACTCGTCAATCTCGAACTCGCAGACAGTCTCGCAAAGTGCAGACGCACCTCATACCGCTCGACCTTGTTGACGGCCTCGTCCCAATCAAACTCCTTGACCGTCTTGCCCATCTCCTCCTCCATCTTGTTCCGCTCGCGGTGGTACATGTACCTGTACCTGTCATTGACGCCCTTGATCCTAGCCGCCGTGACGTCCTTCCAACTCTTCTTGCCCTCCGCTTCCGCTCCAGCTCCGGGGCGAACAGCCGCACCAGCGTCGACCAACGCGCGCTCAATCCGCTTCTTGGCCTTCTTGTACCGCGTGACTTCCTCGTCCCCTTGCTCGCCTTCGACAATCGCCTTGACCCGCCGCTCCTTCTCCTTCTCCATCGCGACTCGCACCTTGTCCTTGTTGTACTCCCACAACCGGTCCTTCTCGTCTTCCAACCACCGCTCCCACACCTCTTCTGCCTCGCGCACAGCCTTCTCCTGCTCCACCGCGCTCGCCTGCTCCTTCACTGGCGCGAGAACACGCTCCAAGCGCTCCAGAACCGCTTCGCGCGCCTTCCGTCCCGCCTCAACCAAGACGAGCTTCTTCTCCCCCGTCTTGGCCAAACTCCTCATCGGCTCCGCCCTCTCAGCTCTTGCGAGTACCGACTCCGAGCTAGGAGGGCTTGCGAGGAAGCGCGAAGTGAGTGAATGTTTGCCGACTACTGCTGCGAGGACCGACTGGGCGGGCAAGGGCGTGAGGGGGAGTGCGAAGAGTGCTGTGCGGCTGCCTGAGCCCGAAGCGGAGGAGGAGGAGGGCGAGAGAGTGACGATTGCGGTGTGTTTGTTAGGTAGGGAGAGGGAGACCGAGAGCGAAGAGAGCGAGGTCGAGACGGCTGAGGGGACTGAGAGGTCCGTCGTTGCTATGACCGAGCCGAACCGGGCGTCCCAGAAGGTGATGGAGACGATTGGGGCGGAAGAATCGGATGAGGAAGGGCGGGGAGCGGCGAGGGCGATGAAAGATGCGTGAAGGGCGAGGAGGGAGGCGCGCGAGGGGATCAGCGCGGAGGAGGAGAGGGTGAGGGATTTGATGGGTGAGAGGGTGGGAGTGGGGAAGGAGGGAGGCTCGGGAGGGAAGAAGAGCGAGGAGTAGGTATCGATGACGAAAGAGGGCGGGATCGAGAGGCGGAAGGAGGAGAGAACGCCGTCCGAACCTGCGCACGTCGAGTCGTCAGCTCCCTGTGGCGAAAGGAGATAACACACGCGGACTCACTCAAAGCTGTGACAAACCCATCGTCGCTCACAACGACCTGCCTGCCCTTGACCTCGACCTTCCCCAGACTCACCAATCCCAACCTGGGCTCAAACTCATCCGGCACGCTAACCTGCGCATCAATCAACACGATCTCGACCTCACTCACCTCCGACACGGGCGCAGTCGACGTCGCATCCGCCGCGTCAATGACAGCAGAAGAAGAAGGTCGAGGAGTCTTTTTGAACTTCTTCTTGCCGATCTCGACAAGCGAGGAGGAGGGAGACTTTTCTGCGGCGGACGCGCGGGCACGAACGATGAGGGCGAGGTGGGATTTAGTGCCGGCTGGGAGGGAGGCGACAAGTGCGGGAGGGAGGAAGTCGGGGGCTGAGGTGGGCGAAACGGGGATCAGACGGAGCGTCTGACGAGTGAGGGGAGTGGGGGAAGAGGGCGCGGGAAGGGAGGCGAGGGAGGTCAGGTCGTCTGCGGGAGCGAGGGCGAGTGCGCCGGAAGCCGAGAGGAAAACGATGTGCGAGGTGAGCGTTCGGGGCGCTGAGAGGGCGGCGAGGGCTTCCGAGATCTGCGCGTAATCGGGGTGAGCACGCCTAAAGCAGTCAAGAAGCTTAATGAGCGTGTGCGCACCGGCCAAACCGCCTTTCCCGCATCGCCCTCCGTACTGCCCTCCTTCCGCTCCTCTTCATGCCAACACCAGATCTCGCCCTTGCCCTCTGGCGTCTCTATTCCAACCCAGGTTCTCCGTGCGCTCTTGACGCGGATGGACTGCGACGAGGTTGAGGGCGTCGAGCGGGCGATGGCGGCGGTTGTGGGTGCGAACGAGGGGCCGACGGTGATTGATGAGAGGGGAGTTTGGTCGGCGAGCTGTGTGATGAAACTGTCGTCAGCTTCTAGCTCTCAACCAGTTCGACGAGCGATCCGCGGCCTGAAGCAGCGAACCGGATCCCTCGAGACCAGGCGCACGAGAAGCGGGACTCACGTCGTAGACCGATACGCCTACGCCCGGTGTCGCCACTGCCAGTCGCGAGTCCTGCCTGGGGTGCTTTGTGTACTGCACGGCGGTGACATCGAGTGCGGCGGGGTGGAGTGGTTGCGATGAGGAGGCGGTGGTGGGGAGCGGGAAGGACGCGACGAGGTAGTCGTCGATGGCCGAGTTGGCGTTGCTCATGGCGGGTACTGGTGACCCCTGAATGAGCGTGGTGCAGCGTGTGCGAGGTGGTGAGCTGCGTCGAGCTGATGAGGCTGCTCGTCCAAGCGCGACTTCGCACTCCGCTTCCTCTCGCTCTCACTCTTCGCTGTGCTGGACAATCTCCCTGCTTGCACACTGGCTGGACACGCTCTACACTCGACCAGCTCAACACACACTCTCTCTCTCACTCGAGCTCGCCTGCACGCTCGCACGCCTGCACCGCCCCGCTCGCTCACCTCGGACTCCGGCGCTCGCTCGCTCGTCAGCTCGTCGGCAGCCTCCACCCTCGCTCATCTCTCCCTCTTGATCCTGATCCTGCTTCCTACTTCATACTACCTGCTCCCGATCTCACTGCACCCGCATCTCACGCGGCCTCGATCCGCGATGCTCGCCCCCCGACCCGTCCACCTCGTCACCGTCCTCCACGGCCTCTGGGGCTCACCAACCCACATCGCCTACGTAGTCGACTCTATCACACGGCACGCTGCTCGTCCATCCGCTCCAAAGTCTCGCGCGAGGGATTCCTCGCCCACTCGAGCGGCAGAGAAGAAAGTCGAGGTGGTTGTCCTTGCGCCACGGACGAACGCAGAGTCCTTTGCGCATACGTATGACGGGATCGACGTGTGTGCGGACAGGGTGGTCGAGGAAATCGATGCCGAGGTACAGCGGATCGAGGAGGACGGCGGCAAAGTCGAGCGCTTCTCTATCGTCGGGTGCGTCGCGCTGCCTCCTCTTCCCTAGACTCTCCCACTCACATTCTGCGCACAGCTACTCGCTCGGCGGCCTCGTAGCCCGCTACGTCCTCGGCCTTCTCGACTCGCGCACCCCCTCATTCTTCTCCACCGTCCGCCCCGTAAACTTCACAACCTTCGCCAGTCCCGCCCTCGGAATCCCTCAATACAAGTCCTTCTGGTCCCGCACCTTCCGATTCCTCGGCTCGCGATTGCTCTCGCGCACGGGGAACCAGTTGTACGAGAGGGACAGGTTCCTCCCTGCGCGGTTCAACTCGGGCAAAGACGATGGAGTCAAGGACCGCAAGGGGTTGAGCAAGTACTTGCCTGTCGTGAAAGGGAGGGAAGAGGCGGAACCGCTGCTCAAGGTCCTCGCGGACCCGAGGTACAATTTCTACAAGGCGCTCGCAAAGTTTGAGAAGATTGACGTGTTTGCGAATACGTGCGTCGCCCTTGGATGTGGTTGGCTGCTTGTTGTTCCGCCGAGCCTGACGGGCTGACGAGCTGTGTGACCCGGATCTTGACGCACAGTGTGAACGACCGTACCGTCCCCTTCCCGACAGGCGGTATCGAAGCGCACGATCCGGTGCGTCCACTTCCTTCCCTCTACTCGCCCTTCTCTCAGCTGACTGACTGACTCGCCCTTTCGCGGACGGCAGTTCGGACTGGCACGCGCCAAGGCGAAGAAGCTTGCGGATGCAAGAGGAGACGACCCGGATACGCAGCCTGATATTCGGGAAGGAGGTTTGGAGATGTACGTCCCCACTCTTCGACTCGAAGCCACCGAGGGGACTCGGACTGACGAAGAGGCTGAACAAACGCAGCACCCTCGAACCCGACGCGCCCATCATCTCCTCATACCGCACCATTCCCGTTCCTGCTGCCTCCTCTGATACTCCAACGCCGTCAAAGCGCCGCTTCCGCCTGCGCCTCCCCTTCCTCCTCCGCCCCACCTCCTATCCCTTCTCCCGCCCCGTCTCGCTCGCCATCATCGCCTTCCTCCCTCTCGCTCTCCCCCTCTCAGTATTGTACCTAATCTCCCGTTTCGCTCTCCAAGGCCGCGAATCGAGGAGGAGGATCAGGGATGCGAGGAAGAAGTTGGGAGAGGGGAGGGAGGGGATGTTGAGGAGGGTTGGGGTCGGGATGGTGGAGGTTGTGGAGCAGGTCGGGGTGGATAATCCGGAGTATGTCGAGGGGTTGCAGCAGGTGGAGGAGGAGAGGGGAGAGGGACCCCAAAGGGGGTTTGGGAGGGTAGGAGGTGAGGAGACGCCTGTCCTTGCCAGACCGGTGTCGCCGCCTTCGCTCGCGTCGACTCCAGCGCGATCACCGTCGCCTACATCGTCTGCCTCTCCCGCCGGATCCGACACGCCCCTCGTCCGTCCCTTACCCGCCGACGCAGCGCACTACTCGACCGACCCAATCCTCTCCTCTTCACAGCTCTTCCAGCTAAACAACCTCAACGCCCTCCCCGGCCTGAACAAACACCTCGTCTACCTCCCGCACGCGCGCAACGCGCATGGTGCGATTGTAAGGAGGGACCCGAACTTGGCTATGCATCGCGAGGGGCGCAAGGTGGTGGATTGGTGGGCGAGGCAGTTCCTTGTGTAGGCAGCACTAGAGGTGTCATTAGAAGGCTTTGTGAGTAGTTGTAAGGGTGAATAAAAGGTGAGACTCGGCGTCTGTTGGTGAGCCGGCCGACGCTCCACCTCTCGCCCTCCGCCTCTTCCTCGCTCTCCTCCTCGCTCACTCACGCTCACGATGGCTGCTGCTGCTACGAACCCCTTCCCAGTCGAACTGCCACTGGACCACGACGTGAAGCGGCCCCAGGCTGTCGTGCGTCCTCGCTCGTTCTTCTCCTCGTGCCCCACCTCACCCCGGGCCCGCCTCGCGCCGCATCGCACGCTGACCGTTGCCTGACGTGCCCACGTATAGCCTCTTCCCAACAGCCAGAAGCAGGGAAGCACAGCCGTCTACGTCAACGCCCAGTTCCCCGAGTGGGTCAACCGCACCTTCCCCAAGGACGTCTACCAGAGCTTCAACCTCGGCCTCTCGATCCGCGCCCAGAATGACTGCCTCGGCAAGCGCGAGTGGGACCCGTCCATCAACGACTGGGCCCGACAGCTCACGTACGAGTCGTACGAGAGCGTCGACGGACACCGGACCCGCGTCGGATCTGGCCTCCAGGTCCTCCGCCGCGAGCTCTTCCCCGATGAGAACGACGTCCAGTGGAAGGTCGGCATCTGGTCCTTGAACCGCCCCGAGTGGCAGTACGTCAACCAAGCGTGCGCCGCCTACTCGCTCACGATCGTCTCGCTGTACGACATCTTTGGTCCCGAGGCCGTCGAGTACATCGTAAACCACGCCGAGACTCGCGTCGTCTTTGCCAACCCGTACCACATCCCCGACTTGCTCAAGCTCGGGAAGCGCATCCCCTCCGTCAAGGCCATCGTCAGCCTCGACAGCTGGGCGTCCATCGCGGCCAAGGGCACTCGCCCGGGCATCCAGCCTGCCCAGGCCATGAAGACCTGGGGCGAGTCGCTCGGTATCCGCGTCCTCGACCTCGACGAGCTCGAGCAGCTCGGACAGGCCAACCTCGCGCCGCACCGCCCGCCCACTCCCGACATGATCGCCAACATCTGCTACACGAGCGGCACGACCGGGAACCCCAAGGGCGCCATCCTCCTCCAGAGCAACATCGCTGCCGTCACCGCCTCGTCCGAACACGGGCATGCGATCCGCGAAAACTCGGTCGTCATGTCGTACCTCCCGCTCTCGCACGTGTACGAGTACTTTGTCGAGAACATTGCGCTCGCTACCGGTGCCGCTATCGCCTACTCGTGCGGCGACAACCTCCGCCTCCTCGAGGACTTCCAGATCGCCAAGCCCACTGTGCGTGCGCCCGGCCTCCTTTTTCCGCTCTAGCTAACGCTTCTCGCCCGCACAGTTCGTCTGCTCCGTCCCTCGCGTCCTCAACCGCGTCTACCAAGGCATCAAGACACAGACGGTCGATGCGCCCGGTCTCAAGGGCGCTCTGGCTCGCAAGGCCTTTGCCGACAAGATCCACAACCTCCGCACGACGGGCCAGGCGACCCACGCCATCTGGGACCGCATCCTCTTCAACAAGGTCAAGCAGCTCATGGGCGGACGCGTCGAGAACTTGAGCACGGGGTCTGCGCCGATCAACCCCGACGTGCTCGACTTCCTTCGCGTCTCGTTCTGCTGCGAGGTCACCGAGGGTTACGGTCAGACCGGTGCGTGGCGCGCGTTCTTCATCATGCTCTCGAGGCGGTACTGACGCACTCGATGCCCGCAGAGACGTCGGGCTGCACGAACCGTTGCTACAACTCGGACATCTGGTCGGCGGGTGCTGTCGGCCCTCCCCTCGCCGGTGTGCAGATGAAGCTCGTCGACGTACCCGAGATGGGCTACCTCTCGACCGACCAGCCCTACCCGCGCGGCGAGATCTGCATGAAGGGCGCCAACATCATTCCCGGCTACTACAAGGACCCGGAGAAGACGCGCGAGTTGATTGATGAGGACGGCTGGTTGCACTCGGGCGATGTTGGGTCGATCGACCAGCTTGGACGGCTGAGGATCATCGACCGGGTCAAGAACCTCGTCAAGCTCAGTCAGGGAGAATACGTCGCCGTTGAGAAGGTCCGTCGCCGCTCTCTTCCTTACCTCACGCGCCAGCTTGCTGATGCACATCCTCGCAGATCGAGAACGTCTACCTCTTGTGCCCGCTCGTCGCCCAAATGTACGTCCACGGCGACGGTCTCCGCGACCACCTCGTCGCGATCGTCAACGTCGACCCCGTCCAGTTCGCTCGTGCGTCTGCCATCTGCTCTCCCCCTTATACGCTCTTTGATAATGGTATATGTCCCACAGCCATCGCTTCGAAGGCGCTCGGCAAGCACCTCGAGCCGGCAGACCTCGCCGGTCTTGCGGAGGCGGCAAAGGACGACAAGGTCGTCTTGGCTGTCGCGCAGACGCTCGCCAAGTACGCCCGGGATGCGCGATTGCTCGGGTGCGTCTCCCTTTCCTGACATCGTCGAGGTCGAAGCCACTGACGGCGTGCTTCCACAGCTTCGAGCGCATCGAAGACTCGCTTCACCTCCGAGTCGAGCCCTTCCCCGCCGACTGCCTCACCCCGACCTTCAAGTCGAAGCGCAACGTGATCGCCAAGACGTACGCAACCGAGCTCGCCGAGTTGTACACCAAGGCCGAGGGCAAGGCGAGGGCCAAGCTCTGAAGAGGGGGTCTCTTGTGTTGTTATTGGTGAAGGGCAAGCGCCGTATCCTGCATTCATTGCCTTGTCCCTTTTCAGGTTTCACGCTCGTTGTCTGTATTGAAACGAAGGTTCTCCCCAGTCTCAGCTTCAGTGTCCCGACGAGACGGCGCAAGAGAGAGAGAGCTAGGCCGGCTTCCTCATCCGGCTTCCTCATGGTCACACGCGCTCTCCGACACGGCCACAAGATCATCGTCACGCTGGCAGTGGTTGCAGACGCGTAAGAGGGTATAGCGGGAGGGCGAGAGAAGAGTCCGCCTCGCCATGCAGAAATACGAAGATTGTCTATCCGAGGCTTGTCTGGCCGCTCGCTCAGATAGTCGGGACCGCGGACCGGCGCCTGCGCTCGAGGTGCTCGCGGACGATCTCGCGCTTGCGAAGAGTAGGGACGGTCGTCGTCGGGTCGATCTTGAGACCCTGGCGGATGGCGCGGACGAGCCTGCCGTCGCTCGTGTCGCCCGAGGTGTCGAAGATGTTGGTGCCGGCGAGACGGCGCTGGAAGAACTGGCGGGCCTTGTAGTAGTAGGTGCCGGGAGAGTCGGTCCTGCGAAGCGAGAGGGCGAAGATCAGTTCCGCCGCTTACTGCGTGAAGCGAAGCGACGCACGGGATGAAGGAGAGCGTCACAGGGTTCCAGAGGATCCAGGTTTGCGACGACTGGTCGAGGACGCGCCGGTAGCCCGACTGCGACGTGAAGTAGCCGCTGTTGTAGATGTCCCTGTACAGGAACTGCGGGCCGTTGCCAATGTAGGTGCCGCAGGTCGAGCCTACAGTAGCCTGTTGTAAGAAGGAGATCAGTCGTGAGTCGCACGAAGTCGAGAAGTGGGACGCACGTATTGATACAAGGAGGACTTGGTGCCGTCAGGGCAGGTCCGCTGCGTCAACGGTCCCTGGACGTAGTAGCTGTATGAGTAGGCGGGCATGCCGACGAGGATGTGGTTGGCGGCGAAGCCGGCGCCCTGGAGGTAGCTGATCCCAGTTGCAATGCTGAGAGGGTTGCTTGGCGGCGCGCAAGCTGCAGAGAGGGGCGAGTTCATGCCGGTGAAGCCGCTCCAGGTGCCGGTGATGTCGTAGGACATGGTCGTAACGTCTGGGATGTAGAAAGATCAGCGAAAAGACGGGCGAGATTCAAGAGCGATCAATTCACAGTCAAGGACGGCCGCGAAACCGCTCAAGTCGGTGAGCGTGTTGCCATCCGCGCCGACCATGCCGGCAACGTTGATCGAGATCGAGAGACGAGCATTGACACCCGCAACGCTGCGGAGGGTCTGGAGGAAGAGCAGGAAGTTGGCCGAGTCGTTCGGGCTGACGACGTTGTCGCCCTCGCCTTGCTGGCCAGGGTACTCCCAGTCAATGTCGATGCTGCGATAACGACGATCTGTCAGCAGTCGCGAAGCCATTACAGAGGCGGGCAAAGGCGACGCACCCGTCAAAGTTGTACTGCTGCATGACCGATACCAAAGTTCGGGCAAACGTTGCGCGGCTCGTAGCTGTCGAGACGTGCGTCGAAAAGTACCTGTGAGCGAGGAACGGTCAATCCTTGAAAGGCTAAATGCCCTCGTTCTTCGTGCGGCTCGACAGACGCACTGTGAGCCGGTCCATCCGCCGACGACGTAGCTGGTCGTGATGCCGGCGGCGTGAGCACGTGTGACAAAGTCGGTGATGACGGAGTCGCTGATCCCGGCTTGCGAGATGGAGGAAGGACTCGAGGTCGTGGTGAAGACGAAGTAGTCGAGGTGGGTGTAGAGGTTGTAAGGCACGTCGGCGGGGCTCTGCTGGTACGACGGAAAGTAGCCGGAGACGACCTTTTGGCCAGTGAAGCCTGTGCCGTACGCCGAGACGGCCGGAAGGAGGAGGGTCGCGAGTGAGGCGAGCGAGGCGAAGGAGAGCATCGTGGCGATACGCGGGGTGCGATGTGTATGCACTTGGATGAGTAGGTGAGGCTTCGGCTGTCCGCGTGGCTGGCGAAGCTGTGTACGGCGCGTAGACGGCTTGTTTGGCGAGAGCGACGAGGTGTGCCGGACACGAGAAGTCGGAAACGAGGGACTGGGGTGGGAGTGTCGGGCGCAGCCGGCTGTGGGCGAGAGCGCACTCGCTTGACGGAGGGCACGAACAACGGCGAAGGAGACGGACGAGGAGAAGGAGAGAGTCGAGTTGAGCGAGCGCAAGCAGGTCGCGTCGAGAACGCGCCCTTCGCATTCCGGAACCCGGCCCGCAATAATGCCATTGGTTTTGCGTCGATCGAGTGCAGCGCGAACTGTTCTGCGCGTTCTGCGACTCCTCTCCCTCATTGCTTCGTCCCCAGCTCGTCTCGCCGCTTCGTTCAAGTCCTCTCACTTGTATCGGAGTATAGCACTGATACGACATCTTTGGAATGCACAGAAGGAGCAGGATACGCAAGGGCTGCAGGCAGAGGTACAGAGTAGGGCAGACAGGCGTACTCAAGCCGACTGGAGGGCCTCAACCGCCATCTCCATCATCCGGATGACCGCCTCGTCCTCGCCCTTCCTGCCGATGAGCTGAAGAGCGACGGGTGCGTCTCGGTACACCTCGGCGTCGTCTGCAGGTGTACGAGTTAGCACGAGATTCTGCGGGCGCTCGTACGGAAGCAACGCACAGCGCTCGTAGTTGACCTTGTCAAAGTCGCTCGCAAAGTCGTACGGCTCCGCCTTGACGTCGACAGCCGGGTCGACCTTGGTGACGGGGAAGACGGCGGCGGGATAGTCGCAAAGGTTGCAGATGCCCTGCTCAACGCAAGCGAGGTCAGCGAGGAAGCGTCTGAGATTCGTGGTCTGACGCACGGTGTAGAAGATGTCCTGCAAGTCGCCGTGACGGAAGCTCGGGTAAGGTGCGGGCGGAGAGATGAGCGCATCGACGGGGCGACCAGTGCCGGTGAGCTCCTTCGTGCGTTCCCAAGCGGCGAGCTGTTCGGCGATGTAGTCGCGCCTGTCGCGGCAGAGCTGCCAGAAAGCGTAGGTCGAGATTGCGGGAGGCTTGACGACGCCTTTGAAGGCGCCCTCCATCAAAGGCTCGCCGGAGGTGGCGCACTGCGTCGCGATGTCCTCACCGCCGTCGGCGAGGAAGAGTCTCGTCAAGATTGACGAGCCCTTGGCGGCGTCGACAGGCGTGTAGTCGATGACTTTGTGGCCTTTCGCGAGAAGCGCCTTCTTCATTGTTTCGAGCGCACGCAGGTAAGGCGGGTCTGGCTTGGCGATGCCGTTGTGCGAGATGAAGCCGAAGCAGAGCGGACTCTGGCCGCCGCCATGCTCGGCAAGCTGGTACGCCGAGTCGCTCCACGGCATGTGCAGGGCGAGCGGGTCGAGGCGCCATGGCTCGGCGTCGAGGACGGCCTTGAAGAACAGCTTGACGCCGTCGAGCGACGACGACATCGGGCCGAGCACTGAAGGGATGACGGTGAAGCCCTCCATCGAGTTGGTCGAGCCTCCGTACGGCATCCTTTCGAAGCTCGGCCTGAGACCGTACAGGCTGTTGAAGGCGCACGGGATCCTGCGGGTTCGGCGAGCGTCAGCACTGCTTTGATACGGACTAGACGACTGCGACGCACCTCACGCTTCCGCCAATATCGCTGCCGACGCCGATGGGCGAACCGTGAAGGGCGACGAGAGCGCCTTCTCCTCCCGACGATCCTCCGGCAGCGAGCGCCCGGTTGTGCGGGTTTGTTGTGCGGCCGTGGAGATTGCAGACAGTCTCGCCAGACATGAGCGCCTGCGGCATGTTGGTGAAGCAGTAGAGGACCGCCCCGGACCGGAGAAGGCACTCCGCCATGGCAGAGTTCTTCTTCGCGATACGGCCGACCCAGCCGACGTAGCACAAGTTCATTTCTTCTCCCTCGACATCGATCTGGTTCTTGAGCGAGACGGGGAGGCCGTGAAGAGGTCCCGAAGGCTTGCCCGTGCGTGCGAATTCGGCGTCGAGGGATTTGGCGCGCTCGATGGCGCGGTCGAAGAAGATGTCGGTCAAGCAGTTGGTCTGCGTGCATAGTGCGTTTGTCAGCTACATCAAATCCAAGTTGAAGCATCCAGCTGATGAGGAGGAGAGGAGAAGGAGTGGAACGCACAAGCGAGTGTGCAATAACGGCGCGGTGGCAGAAGGCGCGCTAGAGTGCAGTTCGAGCATAGCAAAGCGTCAGTCCAGCGATAAGTGGAGATTGGTGGGAGCGAGACCCACCGTGACCTGCTCCGAGGAAAGGTCGCCTTTCGCCAACTTGGCGACAAGCTCGCCGACGCTCGATTCGGTTATGGCGATCTCTTCACTGCTGAGGACATCTTCGAGCGCGACGCTCGTCACGTTCAGCTGCTTGGGGGACACGGCAGGGACTGCAAAGCCCGTCGCCTCGACCTTGGCTTTGAAGGCTGCTCGGGCATGCGCGGCAGTCTGCTGCCAGTCGGGGATGACAGAGGGCATTGTGATGAGGGTGTACAGGGGTGCAGGAACCGAACAGGTGTGGTGTAGAGGCGGGAGAAGGGTCCTCGTTCCCCACTCGTCTTTCCTCGACGCGGCAGCCGGCGGCTGGGGGGCCAGCGCTATCTTGCCGAAGCTCCAGGTGTCTCTGCCGGCGGGAATCACTCGGAGCTGGAGTTCCAAGGGGCGGAATACGGACGGCTTGCGGTTGCAGGTCCTCCTCGACGTCGTCCATGGGTTCTGGCGGCATCGCAAGACGGTTCCGTTGTGATCAAGGACTCGGGCGCTCCTCAAGGTCACCAGGGCTCTGCGCAACTGCTGTCGAGGCGCTCCGCGACTTGCACGACTTTGCCGTCGGCACCGATAAGCTCGCCCGAGAGTATCTCTTGCTAGGCAGGCACACCCCTTCTTCCTCAGAAGCGCGCATCTCGTTCGCGCAATTGCAGGCAAACGGCCCGGAAGAACTGCAGTTTTCTCGGCGCTGGCACGCCCGATAGGAGCGGAGACGGCTTATCAGGGCCCCTGGCCTGCGGAACGGCGACCTCCTGCCTTCCATCGCTCTTTCTCTATCGCTGTTCGCCCTTCTGCCCTCGGACGGCCTTCATCCTCCTTCAGCAACGACTGTCTGACGGCGCACCAACTTCCGGCTTACCTCGCAGCCCTTTGACATCCTTCCCTTCCTCCGCCTCTCCTCGCCCATCTCATGTCGGGCTATCCCGAAGGCTCTCGCGAGTTCACTCGCCTCCTGCCGCCAGGCTCAGGCTATGGCGTCGTCGTTGGCGTGCGTACAAGCTACCTCGTCGGCCTGCCGCTCATGCTCACCTACTGCTCCTCCAGGTCGGCGCCTTCTTCGCCCTCGCCATGAGTACGTTCACTTTCTCTCTCGCCTGTCAGTCTGTGAGTGAGCTGACCTTTGCGGCTCGCAGTCTTCCTCACGCGCCTGCAAGGCCGCTTCACTCGCTTGGACCCGAATAGCGCGACCGAGTTTGCCACAGCTTCGCGCGCCGTCAAACCAGGCCTCATCTGCTGCGGGTGCGTCGCTCACACAGTCTGCCAGCTGCGCATAGCTGACGCCCCTTCCGGCAGAATCGTCTCGGCATGGACTTGGTCGGCCACCCTGCTTCAATCATCGGCGGCTACGTACTCGAGTGGCTTGAGCAGTGCATGGTGGTACGGAGTAGGAGGAACCATCGTGCGCACAGACTGCGTTACCGTCATGACCGTCAACGGGGACTGACCTTCCCTCCCTCCCTCCTCCAGCAAATCTGCTTCTTCGCAGCGTGCGCCGCCAAGATCAAGCAGAACGCGAACGGCGCCGTCACCTTCCCCGAGATCGCTCGCGCGCGCTATGGCTGGCCATGCCACCTCCTCTTCACCTCGTTCTTCCTCATTTGCGCCCACATCGTTACTGGCTCTCTCGTCCTTGGCGCCTCCGCGACGATCAATGCTTTGACCGGTGCGAACATCATCGCCACCAACTTCCTTCTCCCCCTCGGAAGTACGTACTCATCACGAACGCCACATCAGAAGCGCGCTGACCTGGACTCTACGTGCAGTCGCAATCTACGTTGTCGCCGGAGGACTCCGCGCTACGTTCATCGTGGACTTCCTCCACACTGTCATCCTCTTCGTCATTCTCTACATCTTCCTCTTCAGCATCTACGGCACCTCGAATGTCGTCGGCTCCCCGGGAGCTATGTACGACCTCCTCAAGAAGGCGGCAGACCTCGCACCTGTCGCGGGCAATGCGGCTGGGTCGTACATGACGATGAAGTCGAACGGCGGCATCCTCTTCGGAGGCTGCACAATCGGTGCGCTTTCACCTCTTTTCGACTACCTGTTCCGCACTGACACCTCGGCACACTTGCAGCTTCTGGGTTCGCCGGCGTCGCGCTCGATCAGGGATACTGGCAACGAGCTATCGTGCGTCTCTACTCGTGTGCGAGTCTTCTGGCCGCGCGGGACAAGCTGACACCTCTCAACAACCTTCCGCAGGCCTCGCGCCCGGAAAGCACGACGCGCGCCTACATGCTCGGCGGATTCAGTTGGTTCAGCATTCCTTGGGGTACGAAGACCCTCGCTGTATCGCCGGCCAGCCGTGACTGAAGATATCGTTCTCACGCAGCCTTCGGCACGGTCATGGGCCTTGGCGCCCGCGCAATGATTACGAACCCGGCCTTCCCGACGTACCCGTATGCCCTCAGCGCCCAGCAAGTCTCCGCCGGCCTCGTCGCTCCCGCCGCTGCCGCCACGATCATGGGCAAGGGCGGCGCAATCGCGATTCTCCTCATCGTCTTCATGGCGGCGACCTCGGCCTGCTCTGCTGAGCTAATTGCGGTCTCGTCGCTTGTCACCCGCGACATCATCGGAGCGTACCGCCCGTTGTCGGGCCACAAGGTCAGTTCTCGCCGACCTTCCCAAAGTCACGAAACGCTCACCATCGTGTCTGCTACCCGCAGATGGTCCTTTACTCGCACATCGTCATCGTCCTCTACTCGATTTGGGCTGGAGCGTGGTCGACCATTCTCCACTACGCCAGCATCGACCTCGGCTGGTGAGTCTTTCGAGGTTGGCCGATGCATCATTGCTGACGAACCTGCGGCAGGCTCTTCTACGTCCAAGGCGTCCTACTCACGCCCGCCGTCATCCCCGTCGCACTCACCGTCATGAGCAAGAGGCAGAGCAAGCACGCGGCCTTCTTCGGAACTCTCTTCGGCACGACCTGCGGTCTCATCGGCTGGATGCTTGGCTGCAAGAAGGTCTACGGCGAGATCAACATCACCAACCTCGCGTTGCCGTATGCCGCCATCTCTGGCGCTGCGCCCGGCTTGGTGATGTCGGGTTTGGCGTCCTTCATCATCACCGCCATCAGTCCGTCTCGCCGCTCGATCTCCTGCTTCAATGACGCTGACTCGCTACTCCACAGAGCCCGACAACTACGACTGGAACTCGACCCGCGCCATCTCGCTCAGCGACTCGGACGTTCCGTCTGAAGGCAAGATCGAGCGTTCGAGCGCCTCCACTTCTGAACTTGACGACGAGAAGAAGGACGAGCCGACTGCTACGGTGGCAAGCGCTGTACTGGACGCGCAAGACCCGGGAGTCGTTGCGCCTGCGCTTGAGGAGGCGGCGAAGGACCCGGCGCTCGACCGTGCGGTCCTTCAGAAAGTCTTCGTCCGCTCTCTCTGGATCTCCGGCATCTTCGCTCTCGTCATCGCCATCATCATTCCCATCCCGATGTTTGCTTCGCGCTACGTCTTCTCGAGGCGGTTCTTCGAGGTCTGGGTTGCGTGCGTCTGCTTTCCGCTTGGTCTCCTCATCTCCTTCCTCTCCGACTATGCTGACACCTATTTCGTCGACAGCTTCTCGATCGTCTGGGTCTTGCTCGCCGGCGGTTTCTGCATGTGCGTCGCGGTCTCTTCGCGTTGAACCCGTTCAGAGGACTGACCCCTCGCATACACAGCATTCTACCGATCTTCGAATCTCGCAAAGAGATCTTCATCCTCGCCAAATCGGCGTTGCGGGTGATGACGGGCAGGACGGTGAAGGAGGACGTCGTTGCGTGAAGTCGAACAGTTGTCGAAGAGGAAGACCAAGGTCGTTTAAAATGTGTCGTTTCCTGTCTGTCCTCCACCATGTCGTGTCTTGTAGAGGTTTGTCGTCTTCTGTCGTGCATCGCGCTTCTGTCGTACCCTGCGGCCTTGTGTAAGCTGACGGTAACACTGTGGCCGGCCTTCTCGCTTTCGACTTGCTCATCTTGCCAGTCTCGACGCTTCCGCTGCGCATGCCGCCCACAAGACGGGTACTTTGCGACGTTTGACGTCGAACGCCACGCACTTTACAGCCTTCCGCCATCTCTATCTCTGCGAGAACGACGGTCCAAGGACGGTCCTTGAGTCGACATCTCATCCTCGACTGTGCGCTCAAGTCGAGATTGCCTCGAACGGATCTTTCGAGGGAGCTGGCGAAGTACGGTGCTCAGCAAAGCACCGAGGACGTCGAAGCGCGGAAGGCAAGAAGCTGACAAGCAAGCTGACAGGGGGCCGCCCCTCTCCCTCCGGTTGCAAGTCTCCGATCTGCCGCACTCTGCTCCCCACCGCCGCCGAACATGCTGGCGCACCAACAGCAGCACGCCATTTCGCCGGCAGACCTCTCTGTCCTCTCCCTGCTCACGCAGGACCAGGCGCCGTCGCCCGCACAGGTCGCTTCCTCATCATCCGCCCGCGGCCAGCCTCACGCCTCGACACACCGGTCGAGGACGAAGAAGGGCGATGGTCGAGCAGATGTCGACCCGCTGCTCATCGCTGCTGCCGCTGCCTCTGGGCCAGAGTGAGTCGTCGGCATTTCCTTCTCCCGGCCTCGTCGCACGATCACGGCGGTACTCGGTGGCAGCGGAGGAGGACGGGTCGGGGCGAGACTGCAGCCTAGGAGCTGTACGAGTGTCGTAGGCAGGCAGTCTGAGCCCAAGCTGACCACCCGGCTGCCATCGCAGCGTCACCCGCAACCACTACTTCCACTCCTTCTTCCCCCATCCTCTCGCCTACTCTGCCTGCGACGACGAGCGAGCGGCGCTCAATGCCTCGCCGCCCGGTCCGTCTACGAGCCCTCCCGCCCAGCGGCCAAAGATGGAGTCCCGACAAGCGCCCCGAAGCATTCGTCTTCAGGTCGAAGAGGAGGAGAAGCGGCGGCTGGAACGGCTGGAGCGGCTGAGACGAGAACAGGCGCAGAAGGAGGAAGAGCAGAAGGGAGTGTTGCAGGACAAGCCGCAGGCAGTGGCTCTCCCGACCCGCGACGGCGGCTTCGAGTTCAAGGAGGACGGCAAGGTGCAAGCGAAGGCGAGTCAACGCGATACGGACCGCATCAAGGCGCCGAAGCCTGGGCAGGTCCGCCACCTGCAGGACGAGTCGCTCGTCGACCTTCTGCGGCAGCCTTCCACTCCTCCGCCTCTCGAACACCCTCTCGCCGAACCTCCCTTCCCAACAGTTGGCGCTCATTCAGCCGTCAAGCCCGAATCTCCTCTCTCTGCGCCGGAAACGACTACTGCCGCATCCCCCGAGGCGAAGACGCCCCTCCCCCCTCTCGAAGTCCAGTGTCGCGTCCGGACCCGCATCCCGACTCCTCACGGCCACATCTTCCTCCACCTCTATACGAACAACCATGACACCAAAGAGCACCTCGCTTTCGTCGCCGACCACGCGCAAATGGCTTCGACTTCCGTCACCACGAACGCGGTCGAGGGCACGCCTATCCTCGCGGAGACGGGCGAGCGACGGCTGCTCCCGTTCATCCGGTCACACAGCCTTGACTGCAAGTGGCACGACGGCGAGACGGATCAGGAGCGCATCGTTCGCGGGGCCTATGTTGGTCGCCTCACCGAAACGACTCATATCGCCTCTCACCCCAACCCTCACTCCCTCGACCCGACAGCGACTCCCCCTCACGTCCACCGATCGCACCGGACAACGCACAACACTTCGTCTCGGGCGCCGACGGACCCGCCTCTCGTCCGCATCCACTCCGAATGCTTCACCGGCGAGACGATCGGCTCTCAGCGGTGCGACTGCGGCGAACAACTCGACGAGGCTTTCCGCCTCATCACGCTTGCCGGGCGAGGCGTCGTCGTCTACCTGCGCCAGGAAGGTCGCGGAATTGGCCTACTCGAAAAGATGCGCGCCTACAACCTACAAGATCTCGGCCACGACACGGTGACGGCGAACCTGATGCTCGGTCACGGTGCCGATATGCGGACGTACGGGATCGCCGGCGCCATCTTGCGCGACCTCGGCGTCGCCCACAATGGAGTTCGGCTCTTGACGAACAACCCGGACAAGATCAAGCAGATCGAAGGCGAGGGCGTGAAGGTCGTCGAGCGCGTCGCGATGGTGCCACGAAGCTGGGTCTTGGCGGAGGAGGAGGCAGCGGCAGCAGCGAGACGGGCAGCGCGAAAGGCCAAGGGCAAGGCCGGTGGCGCCGACAAGCGCAAGAGCCTCGATGTGTCTATCTCGTCGCTCCAGTCGCTCGACGCTTCCTCCCGCCGCCCGTCGTACTCGCGATCGACCTCGCTCGCTTCGTCGGCCGGACCGTCCGGCTACTCGACCCGCGCTCCCTCCGATATCGACGGCGAGCTGTCTGACGGCGACTCTGACTCCTCCGACTGGGACGCCAAGACGGACTCGTCCCGCGCGTATCACCTTCGTCGCGCCGGCGTCGGCATGATTGGCGCCTCGGTGACCAGCAGTCCCGAACTCGACAAGTATCTGCGGACCAAGATCGATAGGATGGGTCACCTCTTGAATCATCCGGCCCAGCAGGGAACTCTCGAGCGGGTCATGAGTCACGGGGGCGCGAATACTCCGGGCGCGACGCACCAGCACCCCCTCAGCGAGAGCATCACGAGTCTCGAGGGGTCTTCGAGCGAGGCGGCGAGTCGGTAGAGGTCTTTCTTATCTGTGTGTACAGTAGACACCACAATCAACCGCAGTTTCAGCACGAGGAAGCGAGTATCGTGTTCCAATACAAACGCGCCTAATCGAAAGCTTACTCTCTCATCTTGCCGCTTTCTCCTCGTCCATGCTGTTGTCGCGCCTCGTGCAGCCTATCGCTCGTGTTTTCAGTACTTCTAGACACTCTACGCGCCGCTACGCTGTCCCGCCTGTCGCCATGCCTCGTCCCTCTGCCGAGAACCTCCTCTGGATCGGTTCGCTCGCTTCTGCCTCCTCTCGCGACAGTGAAAGGAACTGACACGGCCGATGTGACGATACAGACTGCGAGATGACGGGTCTGAATCCCTATCTCCCGCGGGAGGGGATCAAGGAGGGCGAAGAGTTCTTTCCTGACCGCATCCTCGAGGTTGGCCCCTCTTTCTCCCTCGTTCTGGCTGCTTTCGACGATTCTGATAACAGAATTCGCTCCGAAGATCGCCTGCATTGCGACGGACAAGCACCTGAACCAGCTCGACGAGGGCATCGAGTACATCGTCAAGACGGAGAAGGAGGTACTCGACAGAATGAACGAGTGGTCCGTTCAAATCCGCTTCTCTTGCGTCGCTAGGATTGCTCCTGAACGCATCTCTTGCCCTCTCGCAGGTGCATCAACCAGCATGGCAAGGTTCGCCTCCTTGTTCGCTAAGTCTTCTCGCGAGCCAACTAAACAAGTTGGACCCTCGCAGACCGGCTTGACGCAGGCATGCCTCGACAGCAGATATACAATGCAAGAAGTCGACAAGCTCGTATCCGACTACGTCGCTAAGCACTTTCCTCCAGACGGTACGTTCGAATACCTCCAAACTTGCGAGGACATGGCGAATGACTGGTCGTATTGCTCATGTCCCTCCCACAGCACCCGCGCTTCTTGCCGGCAACTCAGTCCACGCCGACAAGGCGTTCATCAACAAGGACTTGCCGCTCCTCGCCAGCAAACTGCACTACCGGATCCTGGATGTGAGCTCGCTGAAAGAGATCGGACGACGCTGGTACCCCAGCCTCGACTGGACGAGCAAAAAGGACGAGGCAGAGCACCGGTGAGTTCCGAGCGCACCGCGGCACAGCAACGTTTGACGACTGAATCCCCCATCACAAAAACAGAGCGTTGTCGGACATCAAGGCCTCCATTGCCGGTATGTCCCCCCAGAATCTTCCACGCAGCGAGAGAGCTTCTGACTTGGCGTCGTCGAGCCTGCAGAACTGAAGCGGTACCGCGAAAACCTCTTCAAGCCGGTCGAGGAAGAGAACACGGCGGAGAACACGGCGGCTAGGTAGACTCGGTTGCCTGTACGCCCGCCCACCATCCAACACATCGTGTTTGCGCATCTGTTTCGTCTGGTCCAGTGAGAGCCCGTCAAATGCCATTCATGCCGAGGACAAAGGGTCGCGGCGAGTCGAGGAGAGCGTCGAGAGCAGCAGCAGCCACGAAGGGCACTGTGCGCGCGGTCTGTCGGGCCAGTGAGCGTGAGTGCAGTCCTTACTAGCGCGAGTCAGCCCAAGCGAGCGAGTGGAGGAAGGGTGCGGACGTCAGCTCACTCCCCTTGGCTCTCTCCTCAGCGAGCAGCTGGAAGTCAGCTCTCCCTCCAACAGAAGCAGTCTCGCACCTGCACAGGGTCGAGCACACCCCTTCTCTTTCTTCCCCTACACCCCAACAACCCGCCAGCGCCGCCTCACCCGCCGCGCCGTGCACGAAAAAGAAGGTCCGTCGCATCGCCCTCATCCGCGCCTGGGACCGCTGCGGGGACTGGGTTGGATGTACAGGCGCACAGCTGACACGGTTGAACGACAGGCCAGACCGCCTGCATCCCCCTCTCACCCGCGCCAGGACCGCATCGCTTCACCCAGCGAGCTCCGATCCGCTCCCCCCTCATCGCCACCAGTCGACTCGACGTCCAGTCCGTCGACCGAGCTATCCAGAGCCGCCTACTCAGCGACTGGATCACAGCAGCAAGTCCAGCTCTCGTCCAGCGACAGCTCCTTTGCCGCCCGCTTCCCCCGTGTGCTTTCCAGCGCGACTGCATCTTCGCCTTACAGTCTCGCTCGAACCGCCGCCGCACCAAGCGACACCTTCCCCCACCTGATGAGCAACCCCTCTTCGACGGCTCAGAAAGCCTCCGCCTCACCCGCGTCCGCCGCCGCCCAAGCCGGGTCCAGTGCGCCCGCCCCGTTCAACTACGCCGCAGCCGCGAAAAAGAGCAAGCCCTCGCCGGCAGCTGTTTCGGGCCAGGATGCGACGGGTTACGTGAACGGATCGAACGCGACGAGCAGCCCGACCGTGCCGGCCGCGACAGCTATCGCGGCCGTCGCCGGCTCGCAGCCCTCGAGTCCGACGCAGGCCAAGAAGTCGAGCGTGCAGGTTGACGGCGTCAGGGTACCACCGTCGCGGGTCGACGAGATCCGTGGAGCTGCCGCATCTGATGGTGCGTCGGACTTGGCTTCGTTATGCGCCGACGTGGTCCTGACTTTGTGGTTTGCTTCCACAGTCGCTTTCGGCACGGCCAACGACAAGAACGCGACGCTCTCGTCTTCTCCCGCTGCGCCTCCTGCGTTCAGCAACGGCGCACCAAAGGCCTTCGGCTCGCTTCCGGCCGAAGCGACGAAGCCGCCTCTGAACTTGCACGCCCTGTTCCAGCAGGGCGGCTCGTCCACGCCTACGCCTCCGTCAACCTCGCCTGCGCCCGGCGCCTCGAGCTCCGCCTCTCCTGTGCCAATCGAACGTCGCTCGGTTGCGACCTTCGACCCGTCGTCGTCTCGCTCGCCTCCTCCCAGCACTTCGCCTCTTCCCCATGTCGGTGCGCACCTCGGCAACCCCGGCACCGCTTCCTCTTTCGTTCCCCGTCACGTGCCTCCTCCCTTCGTTCCGAACCAGCAGGCCGCCCAGGCTTTCTCGCCTCCTCCCGCCGGCTTCCACATGCCGCCGCAGGGTGGGCCGTATTCGCAGGCGCCTCCCTTCATCTCGAAGGGTCCGTCGCCGCAGAACATCCCGAACGGTGGCGGCGCGCCGCCTTCCAACTATGGGCCGTCGAGCATTGGTTCGCGCACCGGTTCGTTCGTCGGAAGTCCCGTTCTCGGCCACGGCATGCCTGCTCGTCCGCCGCCTCAGCAGGGCGGACCTAGGCAGTCGTTCGGTGGACCGACGAGCCCGAGGATGCAGAACGTCCAGCTGCCGCCCAATCAACCGATGATGTACCCCGGCTACATGCCGCAGCCTGTAGGTACCGCACCTCTCCTCTCGCTCGTTTAAGTGTTCTGACCCTGCTCTCAAACAGGCTTACGGCACGTACTACCCCGGTTACGGACCCTACCCTCCGTACATGTCGCAGGGCGGTCCTGCGGCGATGAACGCGTCGGGCAACTCGACTCCCTCGCCCGGCATGCATACACCGAAGCCCGCACCTCCGACCATGCCTACGTCGCCCGTTCACTCCCTCGCTCCAAACACCCCGGCCACTCCTTCTTTCGCATCGTTCTCGCCTCAGCCGCAGAGCGCGACTCTTCCCGGCTCTGCTCCTCGCATGCCCAATCCCGCCGCATCTTCCTTTACACCCGGGGGATCTTCCGCCGCGTCTCCTTCGCCCAATACCCCTTCAACTCCCCTTCGCGCCCTCAACCCCGCTCTTGCTGGCGTTGCCGAGTTCAAGCCGAGCTTTGACGCTGCGGCGTTCTCGCCGACGCCCAGGAAGAGTGCGGCGATCAAGATCGTGAACCCGAAGGAGAAGGCGGAGCGTGAGGCAAAGGAGAAGGCAGAGCGCGAGGCCAAGGAGAAGGCTGAACGCGAGGCGAAGGGCGAGACAGTCGCCGAGGCGGAGAAGGCCGCGCCCGCACCGGCCTCTGCGCCTGCTGAGCCGACGAAGCCGGCAGAGGACGCTGAGGCGGAGGCGAAGGCGAAGGCGGAGAAGGCGAAGGAGGAGGAGGAGGCGGAGCGCAAGCAAAAGGAGGAGCAGGCTCGACTTGATGCCGAGGCTGCCGAGGCGAAGCGCAAGGCGGACGCGGAGGAGCGCGAAAAGCGCGAGAAGGAGGCTGCCGAGGCGAAGGCGAAGACCGAGGCGGAGGCCGCTGCCGCCAAGCCCGCCGCTGTCGACGAGCTCAAACGCGAGGAAACCGCCACGCCTGACACGTCCGCGCCGTCGACTCCGCGTGAGGAGGTTGAGGGTCTCGTCGTCAAGAAGTCGCAGGCCGATGCCGTTCGCGCCGAGGAGGCGGCTCTCCTCGCCGACGAGAAGGTTGCGACCGAGCAGAAGGACCCGGCGCAGGCTCTGGCTGAGGCACGCGAGTCGCTTCACGCGACCGCCCCGATCCCGACTGCTTCGACTCCTACTACCCCCAGCACCCCGTCTGCGAACCTTCCTTCTTTCCTGCCCGCCAAGCCTGTCGCCGAAGCGCCTTCCCCTGCTGCCGACGCGACCTCGTCGAAGGCTCCGATCGCCTCGACCTCGACCGCCCCCGCTCCTCCTTCGGATGCGCAGCTGCGTGCTGCCCGTCCCATCTCCGACCTCTCGAATGTTTCCTACCCGGACAACGCCAAGGCGCCGCATGCGGATCTCAACTTGAACGCCGAGCCGGGCAAGTACCGCTATGACCGCGACTTCCTGCTGCAGTTCATGCAGGTCTGCACGGCGCGCCCGGATGACCTCCCCAACCTCGCCGAGATCGGCATGGTTGACGATGGCGTCGCTCCTCGCGGCGGTGCGTTTGGCGGAAGCCGTCGCGGAGCGATGGGCCCTCCGGGCGTTCCCTCGCGCTCGAACTCGGCGGTCGGCAGCTTCGGCCGCTCGGCATCGGTTGGCGGTGTCGGAGGCGGCTTCGGCGGCATGGGCAACTTCGGTCAGGGCGGCATGGGCGGTGGCTCGACGAGCGAGCAGCGCTTCGCTGCCTCGCTCGCGCGCAGCACCTCTGGCGCGTTCGGCGGTGCGCGCGGCAGCATGTCGCGCACGACGAGCCAGACCGGTATCGGCGGCGCGTTCAACACCGGCGGCCGCATCCGCAGCGAGGGCGGACGCAAGCGCAAGGAGAAGGGACCGCCTGGCGAGCGCGACGAGTCGCGCAAGCCGGGCCAGCACGTCGCTGGCGAAGGCTTCGAAGGAGCAACGCTTGGCCCGCGTTCGGAGACCGGCTGGGTTCCCTCCGTCATCGGCGGCGGCATTCAAGCAGACGCCAACTCGCCCGAGATGGTTCAGCGCAAGGTCAAGGCGTTGCTCAACAAGCTCACGCTCGAGCGCTTCGACTCGATCTCGAACCAGATCCTCGAGTGGGCCAATAAGTCTGTCGACGAGACCGACGGCCGCATCCTCCGCCAGGTCATCGCCCTCATCTTCGAGAAGGCGACCGACGAGGCGACCTGGTCCGAGATGTACGCGCGCTTGTGCCGCAAGCTCATGGAGCAGGTCTCAAACGAGATCCGCGACGAGACGGTGAAGACGGCCGACGGCACGCCTGTCGCCGGCGGTGCTTTGTTCCGCAAATACCTCTTGAACCGTTGCCAGGAGGACTACGAGCAGGGGTGGAAGAACAAGGAGGCCGCCGCAGCCGCCGCCAAGAGCAAGGAGGCGGACGACAAGGCGAAGCAGGAGGCCAACGACGCCGCGAAGAAGGAGGCGGAGGCGTCCGGCAAGGAGCCTGCGAAGGAAGCCGAGCTTCTGTCCGACGAGTACTATGCTGCTCAGAAGGCGAAGCGACGCGGCCTCGGCTTGGTGCGCTTCATCGGCGAGCTTTACCGCTTGCAGATGTTGACGGAGCGCATCATGCACGAGTGCATCAAAAAGCTCCTCGCCAACACCGAGAACCCCGAGGAGGAGGACATCGAGTCGCTGTGCCGCCTACTCACGACCGTCGGCAAGGGCCTTGACAACCCGAAGGCGAAGCAACACATGGACGTTTACTTCTCGCGGATGAACACGATCGCCAACAACCCGAAGGTTTCGTCCCGCATGCGCTTCATGATCCTCGTGCGTGCGCGTTTCGCAGATTCGCCTACGCCGTTTGCTAATTCCTCGATCTCCCGCAGGACGTCGTCGACCTCCGATCCGCCAAATGGGCCTCGAAGCAGGCCGCTCAGGGCCCGAAGACGATCTCGGAGATCCACGCCGACGCACAAAAAGCCGCAGAGGAGTCGGCTCGACGGGTCGCCAGTTCTGGCGGCAAGTTGCCTCGACTCGGCGACCAGCTCTCGCGACCGAACTCGCGACGAGGACAGGCTCGCGACTTTGGCGTCGCACAGCCGGGCGCCGACGGATGGACGACACAGCCGCAGCGACCCGCCAAGGCCGGCGACCTCAGCGCCTTCGGCCGCATCCGCGAGACTGGCCCTGCGAGCGTCGGCTTCGGGCCCACGGGCGCCTTCGCCAACAAGGGCAAGAAGAAGCAGGAGGAAAGTCGGCCGTCGACGCCGTCCAACCCCTTCGCACTCTTGTCTGGTGGCGGCGACATGGCGGAGGAGCCAGCGCCTGCGAGTCAGCGACCAAAGCTCAACCTGCAGCCGCGGACGAAGCCTCTCGAGGGCGACGGCGAGGGAGAGGGTGAGGACGAGAAGAAGGAGGACGAGGAGGAGGACGACGGCGCGATCGACCCGAATGCCTCGTCTATGTCGCGAGCAGAGGCTGAGCGACGGGCCAAGAACTCGGTCGACGAGGTACGTCCTGACTTGTATCCTTCTCCGATTCCTGCAGCCGCTGACGCCCTGCTCCCGCAGTTCTTCGCTGTCAAGAACTTGTCCGAGGGAGTCGCTTCCGTCGAGGCGCTGCCGAAGGAGTACCGCCCGCTCGTCATCACCGCCATCTCCGAGGCTGCGTTGACGAAGAAGGCCGACGCCGTCAACCTCACGAAGGACCTGCTCACGCAGGTGGCGTCGAAGGACATTCTCTCGCACGACGCGCTCATCGGCGCGTTTGAGAGCGTGTTCAAGACGCTCGCCGATGTCGCCATCGACGCTCCCGGCGCATGGGGCTTCGCCGCAACGCTTCTTCTTGGCCTCGAGGCGACGGAGGAGGACCTCGAGCGCCTCAAGGGCAAGATGGAGAGCGATGAAGGAGAGGAGGAGGTTGAGTTTGCTAAGGAGAGCTTTGACCGGGCGTGGCAGAAGGCGACTACGGCTGCCTAGAGATTCAACCTAGTTTTTCTTGTTCCCACTCGCAATTTAGCATGCCTCACTGGTCTCTCCGTTATCATCCCGCGAGAGTGAGCGATGGGCGAGTGCCGCCATGGCCACGCGAGAAGACGAGAAGAGAAGGAGCTGTTAACCGCAGTTTCTCTCTTGCGAGAACGCTCCTCTGCGGCAGATGCGGACAGTCTCGGGTATACTGCAGATGGCAAACGGGTGGTATAAAGGAAGGGGAGGGGCGTCGGGTGATCAGTTCATGTCTACGCGGAGAGATCCGCCGCCGGCTTCAGCTTGACGCCCTTTGCTTCTCCGAGTGTGCGTACTTCCGCCTTCAGCCCTTTCTCCTCTTCCTCGTCAAGTCTGCGGAAACGGATTGGGCTTGGTTGCGCGTCTTCGAGGCGGGAAGGCGGAGAAGCGTAGAGCGTGGACGAAGAGGTGGAAAGGTTGGCGGTCTGCGACGCAAGGTGCGCAAAGAGTGCCGTCTGCTCGCGGTAGCTGCGCAAGTTGAGCGCTGTCAGGTGCCGAACGCGGTTGGGAGAACCCGCCTGACACACGTATGATATGCCTCGACATTCGCACACATCGCTTCCCGCAGCTGATCCAGCGCCTTCCGCTTGAAAGCGGCCTTCATCGCATGCAGAACGTTCCAGATGCAGTCTTCGCGCGGCCGCCAGGTCGGGAAGCGCCAGTCCAGCCGCATGTTGCCGGAGACGGGATCAATGAGCGGGTGGAAGACTGGAGATTCGAAGGTGACGGAGGGCGCCTTGGACGGGTAGGAGGAGGGAATGGCGAGGGTAAGATGGAGAACGGCGCCGCGGTAATAGCCCTGGTGGATGAAGAGGACTCCCGACCATCCTGCGAAGGGAGCGAGAGGACGGAGGTCAGCACGCATGCAGGCGCCTCGTGCATGTCCCACGTGCTTCCTCTCGACTCCTACGCCGCATGGACGCCCTTAGTACCCTCTTAGAATCCGATGGTGGCGCTGGCGGTGTGTGCGGGCAAGTCGTCCAACATCCGGCAGCCTTCCCAGTCGCTGTGCAACTTTCTGAGCCATGAGAGCGCGTAGGCCCCCCGTACAGCAGCACTCCACCCGAGATGCACTTGCGCTGCGCTCGTCCTCGCGCCCGCGCCCCTCCTGTTCTTCGTCAATTAACGTACGGAAGGTCTCCGTAGGCCAGACGTAGCAGCCTAGGGGCAGATGGTCGGCCTGTCCGAGCGCAGCAAACTCAATCAATGCTTCGTGGCGAGCCGTCGATAGCGCAGCGAGCGACATGGTCGTGGTGAAGCGTGAGGTGCGGAAGAGAGAGTGGGAGGCTTCCTCGACTCCCGCTGGTGGAATCTCGCCCGAATGCAGAGTCAGAGAAAATCTGTCCATTGCTGTTCTACCCGCTCTAGGATGAGACGCTCGCCAGCGAGATATTCCAGCGCAAGCTGAACCTTCGCATCCTCGGTGTCCTGCGTGCGAGGATCAAAGTGTCAGCATGCGAGTGAGGGAGAGCAGCTGGGCTGTTGGAGTGCGAGCGCAGACTAGAACGCTCGGGAGGCAGATCTGGAGACCCGCGAGACCCGCCCTCGTCTGCCACCGCGGTCGAAGCTCTCCTCAGCGTAATCAACCTCTCCCTGCCCTTCTCGTCCGCCGACTTGCCCGCCAGGCACTCGTAGTCCTCCTCCGTTGCCTCGACGCTAGAGAGGAAGCGTCGCGGCAGAGCCCACTGCGCCGAGAGTCGCGAAACAACCCCAAGTCCGCCGGCCGACCAGCGCTGCCAGCCGCCGAGTCCCGACAGGAGGTGAAGCACTCGCGCAATGCACTTGAGCGAAGCAAGAGGAGACGAAAGGAAGGACGGCGCACCTCTGCAAGATCCAGCAAATCTGCCCCGCCTAGGTCCGCCTTGTGCTGCCTCGACCTGTACGACCGACACAGTTGCAGAACCATTTGGCTGACGAGTGAAATCGTCGCGACGTCTTCCGCCGCCGGAATGAAGCGAGTTGCCGCTCCCGCTCCATCCTCAACCTCAACCTCTTGCTCACTCGCCATCAGCCCGACTGCTTCCGCTAGCCTCGCCACAACTTCCTGGTGGGTCTCCGCGCCTGCCATGTCATTGGCAGCGGCTAGCGCTAAGAGCCACAAGCCTGTCGATAGGCGACCGTCGGCGTCGATGGAGATTCTGGCGGGGTCGGACGGATGGAGGAGCGGGTGGTCGTCGTTGATAGAGGAGACATGATCGAAGGTTTTGAAGGTTTCGAAACGCTGGATGAAAACCTCACGACGAGTGGCGTACGGCAAGTACAAGTTGACCGCCTCGTCGAGGTCGAACTCGATTATGTCATGCTCGTTCGCCTCGAGCAAGAAGCCGTACGACGCGAGAAGCTTGGCGTTTGAGAGCTGGCCGTACGTGTTGAACACTTCCTCGCCCGCTTCGATAGCCCGCTCAACGACCATGTCGCAGGTATCGTCCTCCGTCACGACCGTAGCCTTCGCTTGATAGGTGACATCGCCCTCCTCGTCATGCTCGCATCTTTCGAGTTTGCCGCACTCCGGGCAGACCCATGTTTCGCTCGCGAAGTGGACGTGCGGCGGGTCGGAGTGGTTGAAGATGTCGGCGAGAGGGACGAGGGCGAGCGAGTGATACGCGTCGACCTGGAACGCACGAGACGAGACGAGAGAGTATGCTCGGGCGAAGGTCTCAAACGAGGGAGTGGCCGAGTTGGCGAGCTGAGTGAAGAGAGGGAGCGCTGTCGATGTGTAGAAATCGCGAAGACGGCTCTGTCAACGTTCTCGTTAGCAACCGCTCCCCAACTGGCACGGAGTTCACACACCCTGTTCATGCCTAACCTGCGCGCCTCGCACTCGACTTGCGTTCCCTCAAGCCAGGTCGACGCTTCGCCGTCGTCCCACAGCAGTGCGACCGGCACCTCTTCGGTGGGGCAGCTTGCGAGGTAGACATGCCAGCGAGAATGTGGGCCGAGTCGAAGCTCGTGAGCGACGTGTACGGCGAGGCGGAGAGCGGGAGGGAGCGAGTCGAGGGTCGAGTGAGCAGAGTCGTCGAGCAGGAGCGACGAGGTGCGATGCGAGAGGACCAGCGACTTGGGGATGCGACCGACTGCGCTGTAGAGGGACCCGTCAGCCGCACGACGCGCAGGAGGAGAGGGAGAGGCTGAGCGGACCTGTTGTTGTGATCGGGATGGAGGCGAGGGCGACGACGCGAGCGTGGCCGTGCGAGTCGCGCTCGAGTGCGAGTCTGTCGTCGCAGAAAGCAGCGTTCCGAGTGAGCCACGCCCGCAGCGGCTGCATCCACACGCGCAGAGCAGGAGCAAGAGCGAGCGAGCCTCGACCTCGAGCGGGACAGCCTCCCGCAGCTGCCAGCCATCAGCCTGTCGCCCGCCTGCTCTCGACTTTAGCTCTGCCCGTGTGTGCTGCGTCTGCCAGACATCACCGTCACGCCACGCAGACCAGAGACGACACAGGAACAGGCGCCGACCACGCACTCGCGACTCTCCCGTCAGTCATTCCTCGTCGACGCAACTCGACGCGAGCCATGGCCGCAAACGACGGCAAGGGCGACTACAAGGTCGTCATCGACCAGGAGCAGGAGCCCGCACTCGCATCCTCCCGCCAGCCCAGCTTCGCCGTGCAGGGCGGTCTCGCCGGTCCCGGGAGGCTCTCCCAGCAGTCGCAGTATGACCGCCTGCTCAACCACCCGGCCCTGCCAGTCATGTGCTACTGCGCCTCGAGCATCCTCATGACTGTATGTCCCGTTCCCAGCAAGCCGATCACGTCCAGGCGGCAGCCCTGACAATGTTCGCTTCCTCCGCAGGTCGTCAACAGCGAGTCGTCTACGCGCAGCCTGACCATCCTCCGCGAAGCTGACCGGTCACTCCAACAGAGTTCGTCGTCTCGGGCAAGGGCTTCAACATGAACTTCCTCCTCCTGACGATTCAGTCGGTCGTGTGCGTCGGGTGTGTGATTACGGCGAAGCGGCTCGGCGTGCGTTCCGATCCTCCTTTCCCGCTCAGTCGTACGCTGACCAGCTCGTACTCGCAGGTCATCACCTTCCGCGATTGGGACCGGGAAGACGCGCGGAAGTGGTTCCCCATCTCCTTCCTCCTCGTTTCCGTCATCTACACCGGCTCAAAGTCACTGGTGCGTACGCCCATGCTCCTCGTCGAGCGGTACTGACTCTCGCACTCCTCAGCAATACCTCTCTGTCCCCGTCTACACCATCTTCAAGAACTTGACCATCATCCTAATCGCCTATGGCGAGGTTCTCTGGTTCGGCGGATCTGTCACGCCGCTCACCCTCGTTTCTTTCTTCCTCATGGTACGTGACATGAGACGGTCGCGGAGGAGGCGTACTGACTTGCAGTGGCTGCTCGCAGGTCCTGTCGTCAATGATGGCAGCCAGTCCCGACATCCTCAACTGGCTCAACGGTGTTCAGGCGGCGCCCAAGCCCGGAGGACAGTCGAGCGCGGGATATGCATGGATGATGGTGCGTGTTGTGGCGCGAAGTGCTGTCGGGCGGCGGCGCCTGGACGAGCTCACATTCCGGTCCTTGTCCAGGTCAATTGCTTCGTCTCGGCCGGCTACGTCCTCGCCATGCGTAAGCGCATCAAGGTCACCAACTTCAAGGACTGGGACTCGATGTTCTACAACAACCTTTTGTCGATTCCGGTTCTCGTCTTCTTCTCCCTCATCTTCGAGAACTGGACCGGTGCCAACCTCGCCAAGAACTTGTACGTTCGCGCGAGTGCTACGTCTTTTGCTGCTTCGCCCGCTGACTGCAGCCTCGCAGCCCTGAAGAGACTCGGTCATCCCTGCTCTCGCTCATGGCGTTCTCAGGCGCCGCAGCAGTCTTCATCTCGTACTGCACGGCGTGGACAGTCCGCACAACCTCGTCGACCACTTTCGTAAGTCAGTTTCATGGCTCAAAAAGGCGCGAGGCTCACGCACCTGTTCCGGCAGAGTATGGTCGGCGCGCTCAACAAGCTTCCCGTCGCGGCGTCCGGCATCCTCTTCTTCGGCGATCCCGCCACATTCGCCAACGTCTCGTCTATTCTCGTCGGCTTCTTCGCTGGGCTCGTCGTGCGTTCTGGTTGTTGCCCTACTGTCCACGCCTGGACTGCCCCTCACACGCATCTCTTCACCTCGCAGTATTCGGCAGCCAAGACGGCGCAGTCCTCAGCCGCAAAACGTACGTCGGACTATGAACCATTGCTCGCGAGCGTAGCTGACGCTCGCGAACCTTGTATCGCAGCCAACGTACCGGTCGAGCTCGGCAAGACTCGTGGCTAGATTCCCTTCCTCACGCTCGTGACGACCCATGTGTCCCGCTCGCACTCCCGTCACGCCACCAAAGTCAGATACCCTTCATCCCCCAGGCTTTTTTGGCGCTGCCAGCTCCTCCCCTAGACAATCTTCCTCCTTCCTCGCCTTGCAATTGCGGACTTCTCACGGACGTTGACCGAGACGAGAGCAAATGTACTTGCCTATTCTACAACACATCGCGCCATCGGATCTATGCTACCCGCTCCCGCCCGTTGCAGCTCTTGCGTCGCTCGCCTACTTCTTCTGCGCCTGTTCCCACACCTTGTCGTTCAGGCCTCTCCGGTTGCGGGCGATCTCGATGGCGTAGAATTGGAGACGATAGCCTGTTGAGACACCTCAGGTGAGTCTCCAAGCGTTAAGTAGCAAGTGAGAGAGATTGGAACACACCGAAAATCGAGTTCTCCTGGGTGTAGTCGTCCTCGCAGTTCGCGCGGATCAAGGTACCGAAGTTGTAATCGATCGCCTCGCGCATCGACTCGGGAAAGACCTTGTCCGTCATGAACTCGCGCCAGCGCTTCTTGCCCTCGGCGCTCTTGAGCTCGTCTTCCTTCAGCAGGCGGAGGCGCTCATCCGACTGGTAGTCTGGGAAGTGCTGCTCGAATGCTTTCATGATCTCGTCGTCATACCTGAAGGAGTGGGAGAGCTGGTCAGCTCGAATCGTCCCCTTGTCCAGACGAGAAGAGGTCGACGCACTTCGTCAAGCGCTTCAGCTCAGATGGCTTGACCTTCGTGATGAGGTTGAAGTACGCCTCGGCTTGCTCCATACATGCGACGGCGAACTGCATCTCGATCTGTATCGAGGGAGGCGAGAGGGTCAGCAAGACTGGCGCAGCAAGGCAGCCACGGCCGTTCAAGCCAGTTGAGGTGGCTGACGGGCCACTGCACAGCGACTGCTGTTCGCACGCACCTGCTCATCGTTCTGCGCGTTCTCCGGGTCGAAAGTCGATGGGATCCCTCCTCCGCCTCCCGAAACCCCCAAGCCAGACCCGCCAGAGATGATGTCGTCAATGTGGCTCATTAGGGAAACAGAACAAGCTCTTGGGCGCAAGCGCTGGCCGATGAAGCGGGCACAAAGTTGCGGTGAAAGGAAGCGAAGCAGGGAGGAGCAGGGGCGGTGCTATCAGCCGAGGACGTTCAGAGCCGCTGCAAGGGGGCAGATATAGGAATTCCCTCGCAGAGCAACGACGAACGCACGGTCGACGCAAAGCCGAGAGATAGCCAGCGGAACCCGCCTCGATTCCCTCACCCGCTGGAAGCGGACACACATCGAAACGATTGCAGGAACGGGGAACAGCACTACGACCTCACGGTCCGAATCGTCCCTCTGCCCCTCCTGCAGGCTTGCCATGTTCCGAGTGTTCGTGAATCTGCTCGTAGCGGATGCCGCTGCGAACCCAGACGAGGGACGTTTAGCTGCTGACGTCCGCAAGCGAATGCACGTTCAACGCACCAGTACGAGCAGCTGTGTACTCCTGGCTTGTCGAGGTTGATGAAGATGCGAGGATGACCGAGGGCGCCTCCTCCTGTGGTCGGCAAAGGGAGATCGAGACATTTCAGTACAGCCCTCAGGCCTTCGGCTCTTGAATCTGTCAATGCGCAACTTACCGCCGTCGCAAACAGCACGGCGCGCGTGCACCATGCGGATTGGCTCCTCCTGGATGAGCTCAATGGCGGCGAGTGGTCGCGGTTGATACGCTTCGGCGGTCTGCTCGAAGCGCGGACCGACCATCGTCTCCGTGCTGCATTACACCCGATTGTGTCAGCGACGAAGCCTTGGCTGGAGGAGATGGAGCGAGTCAGCGCACCGGGTAGCCTGCGACTTCGACCATGTCGCTTCGCGGTTCGGTGCCTGCGCTGTGCCGACCTGCGGCGGAGTATGCGGCTTCCTGCGATTTTGCGACAGGGTGTGTCAGCGCGACAAGTTCACCTCGCAGTCTACTCCTGTCCTGCCGACTGCACTGCCCAATCCCGAGGAGGGAGTCCGACGCCAGCGTCGCACGCATGCTGCTCCTGTTCGACACGTGTAGTCTGTCCACGCAGAGGTCGTGCACCAAGCGAAAGCGCCTCGCCGTCGAGCGGACGGGAAGCGCGAGCCTGTCACCGCGACAAGGGGCTGATGAGGGGAGAGAGGGGCCCGTGACGCACGCGGGAACACGCGCAACTTGATTGTGCGCCTGGCGTACGAGGACAAGCTGGCGCGCTGGCTGGCGCACGGCAGAACGGAGCATGGCGGTGATGGATGAGGTCGAACTGATGAAGAGAGCTCCTCTCGAAAGCCCACACACCCGCTCACGGCTGGGTACGGCCTGACTGGCTGAGCAGCTAGCACAGCCTGGCTTGATGGCTCAGGGGTACTCCTACTTCGCCGGCGAGCAGCCGCAGCGCCAAAGGCCTCTTCCCCCACCGCCGCCCTCTGCTCGAACGCCGACGTCGACGAATCACGAGGGGCAGGGCACGCTGTACGAAAAGGGTGAGTTTCCGAGGCTCTACAAGCAGCGACAAGTCAATCACGCGGCGGCTGGACTTGGCGTGCAGCGCTGACAGGCCTGCTCTTCCTCCAGGCCCTCAGTCCGGATATTCCTACGCCAGCTATCCTCCCCAGCCCAGCTCGTCGGCACGCTCCCGAAATGTCGCAAACGCACCAAACTCCCGGCCGTACCCGTCATATACTCCAGCCAGCCATGCGCCAGTCCCGCCCTACCCCCCTCCTCCTGGCGCCGCATATGCCGCTCCTTCGCCGCCCCCGGGTGCGCAACCACCTGTGTTCACTCGGCCAGCGACATACGCCACTTATCAGTCGTCGTCGAGGGCTGATCCGGAATGGCGAGAGTCCAGCTTTATCTCGAGCTACGGCGGTTTCAGCAGCCCGCCCGAACCCGCTGGCCCATCGAACGGGTCCTACTTTGATGCATCGTCGGTCCCGACCGGTGCGCAACCTCCATACTTGGCCTACACCAGCTCGCCTCGCCCTCACACGTCGGATCCGCCCGAATTGCCGCCTCTGAACCTTCGAGATCGCCCTGTGCGTCTCTCCGACGATTCAGCGCAGTATTCACTGTATTCGTTGCCTTCCGATCGATCGCCAACGACGTCCCGACCATTGGCCGACAAGTCGCCGCGTCCGGACGAGCTGCCAGCGGCGGCCCACGCTCAAGTAACTCCGCCACCTCGGTCGTCGTCGTCCGCTGGATCATACACGCGATCAGCACGTCGCGATCACAGCTTCGCCTACCAGCACTGGACGGCGGAGGGTGACGGCCTGCCTTCCCGGCTTGCTGTTGATGACCTCGCGCTTCAGAGCGCGGCGATGACGAGTGCCGACTCCACGACCACTCAGTACTCTCCCCCGCCTCGTCCGCCGCGCCCTCCCGCTCCCCGGCAGCCGACGATTCTGATGTCCCCGCCGCTCGAGACTTCCGCCGTTCCTGTGCACCGCAGTCACTCCACCAACTCGACATGGTCGCGTACGATCTCGTCCCCTTCCATACCTTCCTTCACGGCTTCGCCGTCGCCCGACATCTCGCATCGCCCGTCGTACGCGACACTTTCGCCCAATACCTCGCTTTATGCCTCTTCGTCCTTCCCACGAGCAGACAGCTACGAAGGATCCGGGCATGGAAGCCCGGCACTCGATACCGACGGTGCAGGAGCTTTCGGTGGCGGGCGGCCACAATACCTCAATCCCGCGCTGCTGAGCGACCTCGCCGTCTACGTCAAGGATCACGTCGCTCACGGCTCTCGGCAGAAGGGTTCGATCGAGCACTACGGCTTCACCGGCGAAGACGTTGTCTCCGCGATCCGTCAGGCCTTGCCTCCGCCGGCGCATTCCGATCGCCGGCTCGCACTTGCCATCGCGCGTTCGATGCAGCAGGCGCTGTGGTTTCATGAGGTCGACTGGTCCGACTCGCCTCTACGAGACGCGCCGGGTGGCCACGTCTACGCTTTCCTGGAGGACGAGATTCGCGACGGCAGAGGCGCTTCTCCCGACGACCTCGCTGGAGGCCGACACGACGATCCTGCGGCCGAGCTTCCGACCGGTGTCTTTGTCGACTTGGCGAGGTGTTACAGTCCTTACTGCGGCCAGTTCTCAACGAGCGGGTATCACGGAGCTTGCTATTCCTACACGTGTCCAAATCGCCGCAATGTACGCGCCATCTCCGAGCAGTCGCGCGTAGCTCGCTGACCTCCTGGAACCTTGCAGACTGGGCTGTCGCGCGTCGGCAGTACGCTGTCGGCTATCTCCGCCGTCGAGATCGTCGAGGAAGCCGACAACTGGGCGACTTCCGTTCCCAAGTCCTTGCTCGACTCGCTGTCCAAGAGCGAGATCGCCTATCAAAATCAGGTGTTTGAGCTCATCCAGGGCGAGCAGAAATACTTTGAGGACCTGCAGTTCATCGAAACTGTGCGGGCGCTTCCCTCGTGTCGACCAGAGTACCGACAGCGAGCTGACGTCCACCCCCTTCTCCTCTTAGGGATTCGTCGAGCCTCTGCGGTCCGCCAAGCCTCCCATCATTCCGCCAGAACGACTCGAGTCCTTCCTTTCCTCCGTCCTTCTGAACGTTTCCGAAATACGCGAGCACAGCCAAGCGTTCCTCCTCCAGCTGCGAAAGAAACAGCAAGAAGGCCACGTCGTTCGCGGAATCGGCCAGATCGTCCTCGCAGCAGCCGTCGAATGGGGACCTGCCTACCTCCACTTCACGACCAACTTTCCCATGGCCGACTTCCTCTTCAAAGAGGAGAAGGCTGCAAACCCTCGCTTCGAGGAACTGCTCATGGTGCGTCGGCTACCGCTGCCTATGCATGCAACTCTGGCTGACCCTGCAGCCGGCCCCATAGGATTTTCACAAGCGACCCGAGGCGTCGAAGCGCGGTTTCGACACTTTCCACAACCGCGCTACGTTTCGCGGCTTGCGCTACATCCTGCTCCTCGAGCAGATTCTCAAGAACACGCCAGAAGGCGATCCAGATCGCGAATACCTGTCTCAAGCCGTCCAGGTCATCCGTCAGCAGGGCGCCGACGCAAACGCCGGGATTGACGCGACGAAGAGCAGGGTGGCATTGAAGGAGTTCGGTCGCGATCTCGTCGCCAAATCCGGCACGACCCTTGTAAGTGAGCTCGTCGTCAAGGCTCCTGCCGACTCGGCTGATATACCTCCGCCGCAGGATCTTGAGCTCTCGGACACGTCGCGCCGGTTCTTCATGGCCGGTCGTATCTACCGCCGTCCGGAGGGAAGTACCTTCGCCGACCAGTTCCAAGACGGTCACCTCATCCTTTTCGACAATTACCTGGTCTTCACGAAGACGCCGCGCCCCGATCGCAGCGGCCACCAGAAGTACCAGATCACTCGTCGGCCGGTGCCGCTCGATCTCGTGCAGCTCAAGACGACGAGCTTCGCCGAACCGCCCATCCCCCGCTCATCCGGCTTCCACCTGCGAAGCACCCGCAGCACCGGCGTCGCCCAGGCAACACCGCAGCCGGCCGCAGACGGCACGCAACTCCTCTACCCCGTCTCGTACTTTCAGCTCGGCCGCTTCGACGGCCTCGTGTACTTCTACGTCGACTCGGCGGGTGTGAGGGACGAGTGGGAGGAGATGCTGAAGGAGGCCGTCACGCAACGCCTTCAGCATCAAGAGCTGCGCCGCGTCGTCCGCCTCGATCCGCTGGCGGACCAGACCTTTGGTACGACGTCGACGATCGGTTCGCTCAGCGGCGCGTCCGTCGCACCCAACCAGTTCGGCAGGCCTACTTGTTCGACGCCGCTGATGACAGTCGACGGGCTATGGCTCATCATCGCCGGCTGCGCTGAGGGGATCTTCGTCGGATGGCGAGGGCGGCCGAAGACGATGCAGCAAGTCGTCCACCTCGCCGGCATCACGCAATGTGCCGTTCTCCCCGAGTTCTCGTTCCTGCTTGTCATCGCAAACAAGGTTCTCGTCGCATGTGCGTCGGATGGTTCTCGCGCCTCCTGCAGTGGCCATACTGACGCCGTGCGTGACGCAGACGCGCTCGAAGCTCTCATCCCGAGCAGTACCGGCACGAAGCTAGATCAGGCATCGAAGGGTGCGTCATCTCCCACTCCACTCGGTCTCTCAGCTGCTGACGAGTGTGGAGTTGCAGCACCTCAGCGCTTGAGCGGACAGAAGGACGTCTCATTCTTCAAGGTCGGCAAGATCGGCGGCAAGGTGGACTCGCGCACCCTCGTTATCTGTGCGGCCATCTGTCCCTTTGAATGTGTCACAGTGCTAATCCTAACAGTGCAGATGCCAAGAAGAGCGGTGTCAAGGAGTCCGTCTTCAAGGCGCTCGAGCCCGTTGGTCAAGACGAGCGCAAGCGTACGGGAGGAGGTGGTCGCTTCCTCGGTCTCGGCAGCGGGCGCCCCGAATGGTTCAGAACATACAAGGAGTTCTTCATGTGCGTTACGACCGGGCTCGCTTGTTCCGCTTCGTGACTGACCCTGCTCCGCGCGACAGGCCTTCCCTCGTCACCGGGCTCTACTTCCAGCGCAGCAAGCTCGCTCTCATTGGCTCCCGCGGAATCGAGATCATGGACCTCGACTCGATGCGGTCCGTCCTCTCGCGTGAGAATGTCGGGCTGCTGCGGCGCTAACACTCCGCCCCTGCCAGGACGATGACCGTTCCCGACTTTCCAGCCTCCCGTCAAGATCGTGCCGCGATCCTGCTCGCCAAGCGCTGCGAGGACGCCTCGACGCTCGGCATGTTTCGCATCGCCGAGAGCAAGTTCTTGCTCGCTTACACCGGTGAGCAGCTTCTTCGGTATCGTCACGGATTAGCTCGCTTGCTGACGCTTTGACGCAAACTAGAGTTCGCCTTCCATGTTGGGCGCCATGGCGAGCCTGTCGAAGGACCGTTCATGGAGTGGGAGTCGAAACCGGAGCAGGTGGCTTACTGCGCCCCTTACATCTGTCCGTTCTACCCTCACTGGCTGGAGCATGCTTGCGCTGACAGCTCTGAGTATGCAGTCGCCATCTCGCCAACCATTGTTGAGATCCGGCATGCTTTCACAGGCCGCTTGGTACGTCTGCGGACATCCTCCTCGTCAGTCCCTGTCTTATCTGTCTACGCTTGCAGGTCCAGTTCGTCACAGGTGCCCACATCTCCCTGACCTATGACGGTACCGCCATTGCGTCTGCTCCTCCACGAAGCCACTTCTCGCCTAGTCTTGGCTCGGGATCTCCTTCTTCCGACCTTGTCCTCCCTCCAGACCGTCGCCTTCATCTTTCCATGCGCCAAGGCACTTTCCACGTTCTCTATGAAGTAGTCATTGTTGCCTGAATATCAAGGACACTCTCTCTCTCTTTTGTTACTGTCTGATGAAGACAAGCGAGCCGGAGGAGGACGTTTGTTAGGGTGGAGTGCCGAGGAAGGGGGCATTGCTGGCTCCATTATACAATCTTGCAAAGTCACATCGCTTTTGCTACTCCTGAGACCCCGCAGAAACACCGGGTGTTTCTGTCACTAGTCCACTTCCTTGCTCCGCTACCTCGCTTTGCTCAACAGCAGCGGCACCCAGAGCATGTCACGCCAGCAGGCGGGCATGTGGCCCCAGCAGGCGGAGGAAGACAAGTTTGATAGATGTTACGGTGGTAAGCTTGGTGGTTAACGGAAGCTTGGCTGCGCAACAGTACGTGAGCCGGTGTTGTATTAAGCACTGTCAATGGGAAGACCTAGACTGAAGTTGGCTCAACCATTGCACAAAGAGGAAGGGAGAAGGAGACCAAGCCAACAAGGTGAGTGAGTGTTCTGATACAGCCAGAGCAGGCTTTGGGCTGCACTGCTACGCTCGCTCGCCTCAACAACTCTTTCAGACGCCTCGACTTTGCCTTTCTCGCTCCTCTCGTCTTCAACTCGATTCGCTCGAATGATCTCGAACGAACACAGATTGACAGGTTGCGGTGGAAACAATGAGCACAGACGTCGAGTGATTGATCCAGCTGTAGACCCCTCGCTCCTCTCGGGTCTCTCTCTCTCTCTTCTTAGCGCTCCCTCCTCTCTCTCTCTCGCTTCTGGAACAGTGCCCATATCGGTATCTTTTGGCCTCGCTGCATTCGCCCGACTTCAACTCGCGCCAGACGCCTGTCCTCACATCGTGCTGAGGACGGTGCGTCTTGCATGCACAGAGGGTTTCGGACATCTGAAACAGTTCTTGAGGGTCGGCAATGGGCAGTATTGGCCTGTGAAGCGAAGCGAGTGATCAAGTAAGGCGAGTAGAGAGAGAGCCAAGGAGTAAGGCAAAAGACCTTTGCAATGTTGCAGTCTTCCGCAGAATGCACTCCAGTGACAACGGCATACATCGTGTCACTCGCAGAGAATGTCATTAGGCTAGATCTGCTCAGTGAGTTGACGGGATTGCATTGTCAGCACAGTCACTGCTGGGTGAGGGGACTCATTTAGCGAGAAGCAGACAAATGTTGCGCCAGATTCTGGAAGCTTTCTCACAACCCATGAGGAGACATTGCAAGCTGTAGCATCCTCAGCGTGATGCTAGGACCTTGGTCTACTGCAATCCCAGCCCAACATATACAAGCCAGCATCAGGAGGTCAAGACTCAAGAGAAGGTGAAGCCGAGATAAGTACATACAGCATGACCGGCAATCCAAAGGAGACTGGGAATACTGACCAAGAGAGCAGAGCGGGATGTTGTTTAGTTGGAACGGGCACTCACTGTCACTGTCAGAGAGATTGGCTGCTACAGCACAAACCAATGAGAGTGGGTATACTACCAATGCTGGAAGACTAATAGAGTGGCTAAAAAGGGTGTTGGAGAGTGGTGAAGAGGTAAGAAAGCAGAGAAAGCAGTCAGGTATTGTGATTGAGCGTTGGGGAGTGAGGGGGAGGTGAGGCGGGCTCTGCAAGACGCACAGTCTTCGAGCGAAGTTGCGAGACCGGCGTCGAGCGATGGGAGGGTCGGATAGCTGCTGATCGTCAATCTCCCGGCCACGGAAGAGATAACAGTGACTTGAGCTTTGGATCCCGAGCGAGGGGAGATGTAGCCTAAGGATAAGAGAGAGGACGAGGCAAAGTCGAGTGATCGATCTACTGATGAGAATAGAACAGGGGTGACAATGAAGTGCGAGAGAGAATGAAAGAGGGTGGGGAACAGAAAGACGAGTGTCGAAAGGATGGAGGCGCGAGGGTGAAGGTGAAGAGGAGACAAAGACCGGCGCCACAAACGGAGCAGGCTAGCTAAGCCCGTGGAGAGGTGGATGTCGAGTCCGGGGAACTTGAAACGAGACGGAAGAGAGCCCAACGTGAGAGACAAATGGTGATCACTGATCTTGATCTGGAAGAGCCGCGACGGAAGAGCGGCCGCGATGAGTCCCGGCGCAGTGAAGGCAGGTTGAGTTGAGGTTCTGGAGTCGCTTGTTGTGCTGGGTTGGCAGTGCAGGGCATGAGAGCGTGATCGGAGGACTTTTGGCGGAGGAAGGGAGGGAAAGGGAAATGCGGAGGGAAAGGTTGATCCTAGCGAGGAATCGTCGGCGCGTTCCTCTGCTTCTTCCGGGTACCATTTCTACTTCTCCTTCTTCTCCACCTTGGCTTGCGTGCTCAGCTGTGGAAAGCAGCCGGTGCTGTCGAGGAAGTCAAAGAGGGTCCGCGGACCGCGGTAGAGACAGTAGGTTTTGTTTGCAGGTGGATGTGCTAGAGGAGCAAGTGGCGGGCATAGTAAGTAGCCAGCTGGGCAACTGGAGAGAGACAAATGTAATACCAGCTTACAGCTAGATCAATGCTGGTGTAGCAGGATGCATGGTCAAGCAAGCTCCAGCCCAGGCTGAGTGGACCTGTGAAGGATGCTGACAGTCTGTGAATAGAGGACAATCTGCAGGCAGGAGACGGTCAGCATCTGGTGAAATTTGGAAAGGTCCAGGAGAACTCACAAGGGCCTGACAACAGGCGGTACGCTTCGATGATGTCGCGGGTGACAAGTGACGAGACCGCGATAAGCTCAGCAGAGCAGGCGAAGGTTGCCGCCATGAAGACGACGAGGAGAATTGCGATCACGCCGCCGTCGCCTACGATCGTTACGGCTGCGGGCGGCACTGCACGCGGAGTCCAGGTCAGCGCGCTTCTGACAGGCGTCCAGGATGGTTACATACTTCCGAGGGGAAGAAGGAAGTTGGTGGCGATGATGTTTGCACCGGTCAGAGCATTGATCGTCGCGGAAGCACCCAGGACGAGGGAGCCAGTGACGATGTGGGCGCAAATGAGGAAGAACGAGGTGAAGAGGAGGTGGCAAGGCCAGCCGTAGCCTGCGCGAGCGATCTCGGGGAAGGTGACGGTGCCGTTTGCATTCTGCTTGATCTTGGCGGCGCACGCTGCGAAGAAGCAGATTTGCTGGAGGAGGGGAGGAATCGATCAGTCTACGACTCTGCGTGGACTCGTCTTCCTCGCACGGTGAGCCTCGCTTACAATTGTGCCTCCTACACCGTACCACCATGCACTGCTCAAGCCGCTCGAGTACGTCGCCGCCGAAGACTGAAGTAGGGTGGCCAACCAAGTCCATGTTGAGACAATTCTGCCGCAAACAACGTCAGCTACGCGCAGCTGGCAGACTGTGTGAGCGACGCACCCGCAGCAGATGAGGCCTGGCTTGACAGTGCGCAAAGCTGTGGCAAACTCAGTCGCGCTGTTTGGGTCCAAGCGAGTGAAGCGGCCTTGTAGGCGCGTGAGGAAGACTGCGAGCCGCAAACGTCAGCTTACCTGCAGGCTAACAGGCGAGAGAGCGGGCGAAAGTACTCATGGCGAGGGCGAAGAAGGCGCCGACCTGAAGGAGCGAAATGTGAGCTCAAGACGGCAGACCGGAGACAAGGTAGCTTGTAGGCACGCCAACGACAACGCCATAGCCTCTGAGAGAGAGAGAGAGAAGTTCCTTTTTTCAAGTCATATCGGGGCTAAGCCCATGTAGATTGGCAGGGACAGGCTGCCACAGCGCATAACGTGTTGAGTGGGGTATCTACTGATGTGGAGAGGCGATAGGAAGTGAAGAAATAGATGAGTAAGTACATTGGAGCGGACAAGTAACAGAGAGCACGAGAAGGTGCGAGAGAATGGGGAGAAGTGAAGATGAAAGAGTGCGGCATGGTGAACAGATAGAAGAGGGTGTGTAGGGTAGGAGGAATGAAACACGAAGCCAAACCGTTGAGAAACCATCGAAATAATGCCATTTTTGATCTTGACCTTCTTGGACCGCGACGACAACGACGACAAAGGCGAGGATGGGATGTGGGCGGGTTGTGTGGTGGAGAGTGATGACCGGTACTTGCCGAGCCCGGAGCGGGGCGGATCGACGACGGCTTGGGCGAGAGAGAGTCGAAAAGGAGGTTGAGTGGGTGCGGGTCGACGTACTTGAGGTCCTTGGACAGTCCTCCTACGTCCCGCTGTTGCCGAATCCCTCCCTCGTATCCTTTTCTCGCGCCTCGTCCTTCGCTGGCTCCATCAGGCGAGCGAATCGGCCGGTGGACGCGATGAAGTCGAGGAGGGGGGCGCGGACGTTGACGTTGCCGAGCAGGAGGGCAACTGTGGGGTTCTGGCGGAGTCGGATGTGCTTGTAGAAGGAGTGTTGAGCCTGCTTGTACAGCGGGCAGAGCAGCAGGAAATGTTCCCGCGTTTCTGCCTCGCCGCACTTGCAGAGGTCAGTTCGCGTCGAGTCGAATCGCGCGCGGTGGGCATTGAGGGCGGACGCGTCTGTGCGGAGTTGGCAGAGGAGAGTTGCTTGTCGTCTTGAGAGACCGGCGTGGTACTTATGAGCCGCTGAGGCGGACTTGGCAACGAGGGCGAAGGAGCGGGCGAGAGGAGATGACGCCCATTCCGCGGTCCGTCGCTCCGCGACGGCGCGCTTGTGCCGACGGTCCAGAGAGCTGAGATCGTAGCGGGGAATCCAGCATCGTCGCCCAGCGAGCCGGGGGCGACGCGAGCGAGATGACCGAGGTGGCTGGACTTGGCAAGATGGCGCGCCCGCTCCTTCGCCTCCTCCCAATCACTCGTCTCGCTCTCTGACCCGCTCGACAGCTCCGCCATGGCCGGGACAAACGCCAGGCGACCCTTCAGGTGCGCCTTCTGCTCCCTGCGCTCATCCCGTGCCCTTGCTGACGCTTCCTCCTCCTGCACCGCCTCCTTCGCCTCATAGCCTGAGCCTGGCGGCAGGAGGCGAGTGAACTCGCGAGAGCCTTCGGGATAGCCCGACATGAGATGCGCAAGGAGAGGACGAGGAAGGGAAGAGGACTGCGAGGTAAGCCGGAAGCCGGTGCGCCGACCGACAGTCGTTGCTGAAGGAGGATAAAGGCTGTGCGAGGGCGAGAAGGGCAAACAGCGATAGAGAAAGAGCAACGGAAGGCAGGAAGTCGCCGTTCCGCAGGCCGAGGCCCTGATGAGCCGCCGCTCCGGATTATCGGGCGTACCAGCGCCGAGAAGTCAGCGATCCTTGCGGGCCGTTTGCCTGCAACTGCGCGAACGAGATGCGCGTCTCTGAGGAAGAAGGGGTGTGTCTGCCTAGCAAGAGATACTCTCGGGCGAGCTTATCGGTGCTGACGGCAAAGCCCACAAGTCGCGGAGCGCCTCCTCCTTGGTACCAACGGACGCGTCTTGTGATGCCGCCAGAACCCATGGACAACGTCAAGGAGGACCTGCATCCACAATCCGTCCGTATCCCACCCCTTGGAACTCCAGCTCCGAGTGATTCCCGCCGGCAGAGACACCTGGAGCTTCGGCAAGATAGCGCTGGCCCCTCAGCCGCCGGCTGCCGCTTGGAGGGAACACGAGTGGGGAACGAGGACCCTTCTCCCGCCTCTCCACCGCACCTGTTCGGTTCCTGCACCCCTAGACACCCTCGTCACAATGCCTTCCGTTATCCCCGACTGGCAGCAGACTGCCGCGCATGCCCAAGCGGCCTTCAAAGCCAAGGTCGAGGCGACGGGCTTTGCAGTCCCTACCGTCTCCCCCAAGCAGCTGAACGTGACGAGCGTCGCGCTCAAAGATGTCCTCAGCAGTGAGGAGATCGCCATCACCGGATCGAGCATTGGCGAGCTCGTCGCCAAGTTGGCGAAGGGCGACCTTTCCTCGGAGCAGGTCCACGGTGGGTCTCGCTCCCACCGCTTTCGACTCATTGCTCGACTGACGCTTTGCTGTGCTCGAACTGCTCTCTAGCGCACCTTCTGCCACCGCGCCGTCATTGCGCAGCACGCGCTTGTGCGTTCCACTACTCCTCCTCTCCACCTCATCAGCTGGATGCTTCAACTTGGCTTCGACGTAGCTGACAAACGCGCCCTGCATGCAGACCAACTGCTTGACCGACATCTTCTTTGACCACGCCATCGAGCGCGCCAAACACCTCGACGCCGAATTCGCACGCACAGGCAAGCCTTCGGGACCTCTTCATGGCCTCCCCGTTTCGCTCAAGAACCAGATCGATGTCGAGGGAGAAGAGATGAACCTGTGCTACGTCGGCTGGGTCGGCCGTATCGCCAAGAAGAACTCTGCCATGGCGGAGTGCCTTCTCCGGTCCGGGGCAGTCCTCTACTGCTTCACGAACATGCCGCAGGCGCTCATGTCTGGCGAGACCGTCTGCAATCTCCACGGCCGCACGACAAACCCGCACAACCGCGCGCTCGCTGCCGGAGGATCGTCGGGCGGAGAAGGCGCTCTCGTCGCCCTTCACGGTTCGCCTATCGGTATAGGCAGCGATATTGGCGGAAGCGTGAGGTGCGTCGCAGTCGTCTAAACCGTATCGACCAGTGCTGACGCTCGCCGAACCCGCAGGATACCGTGCGCCTTCAACGGCCTGTACGGTCTCAGGCCAAGCTTCGAACGGATGCCGTATGGAGGCTCGACCAACTCGACGGAAGGCTTCACGGTCATCCCTTTGGTGCTCAGCGCAATGTCGTCGTCGCTCGACAGCGTCAAGCTGTTCTTCAAGGCCGCCCTTGACGCCGAACCTTGGTGCCTCGACCCGCTCGCCCTGCACATGCCGTGGAGTTACTCGGCCTACCACCTTGCCGAGCATGGCGGCGGCCAGGAGTCCGCTCTGCTTCGGCTTCATCTCGCACAACGGCATTGCCAAGCCAGACCCGCCTTACCTGCGCGCGCTCGAGACAATGAAGAAGGCGCTTCTCGCGAAGGGCCACAAGGTTATCGACTACACGCCTGTCGACGCCGCCAAGGGCTCGTCGATCCTGACAAAGCCCTTCCTCGCCGACGGCGGCGAGGCCATCGCGACGCAGTGCGCCACTTCCGGCGAGCCGTTGATGGAGGGTGCCTTCAAGGGTGTTGTCAAGCCCCCTGCCGTCTCGACCTACGCTTTCTGGCAGCTCTGCCGCGACAGGCGGGACTACATCGCCGAACAGCTCGCCGCCTGGGAACGCACGAAGGAGCTCACGGGCACCGGTTGCCCCGTCGTCGCGCTCATCTCCCCGCCGGCACCTTACCCGAGCTTCCGTCACGGCGACTTGCAAGACATCTTCTACACCGTGCGTCGAACCACCAGTCTCAAGCGTTTCCTCACTGACCTCGCCTGCGTTGAGCAGGGCATCTGCAACCTCTGCGATTATCCCGCCGCCGTCTTCCCCGTCACCAAGGTTGACCCGGCTGTTGACATCAAGGCAGAGCCATACGACTTTGCGAGCGACTTTGACAAGATCAACTACGAGCGCTGTGCGTTGCTGCCGTCTGAGCGCCTTCAGGACCTCTGCTAACTAGTACACCTGCAGACGACGCCGAGGTGTACCGTGACGCGCCCGTCGCTCTTCAGCTCATTGGCAGGAAGGGCGAGGATGAGGCGGTCATCAAGATGATGGAGTTGGCGGTTGAGGCCCTCCAGTCGGCCTGAGTACGCTTGTCTGCCCTACTCTGTACCTCTGCCTGCAGCCCTTGCGTATCCTGCTCCTTCTGTGCAACATGAAGTTGTCGTATCAGTGCTATCCGCCAGCGTGAGTGAGAGGACTCGACTGAAGCGGCGAGCAAGCGGCGAGGGCGACGGGGGAGAGGAGTTGCAGAACGCGCAGATAGAGAGAGAGAGAGATTCTTGTTTCAAGTCAGATCGGGTCTAAGCCCATGGCCACCGGCAGAGGCTGGCTGCCACAGCGTAAAACGGTAGAGGAGGGTATGCTACTGATGGGTGGGAGTCATTGGAGTGGACAGATAGGGCGAAAAACGAGTCAGAATTGAGCGAGACGAAGAGAAGGCCAGGAAGAGAGATAGAGCGACGACGAGTGGAAATGGGGCAACGCGAGGTGGTTAGGCAGGTAAACGGGTGTGTGTGGGGTCAGGGGAAGAAGAAACGAGGCAAATCGGTCACGAAATGAGAGAGAGATGAGGTATCTTGATCTTGGTCTGGAAGAGCGGCGACGACGGGTTCCGCCGCGGTCGGGGCGGGTTGAGCTGGTGTAGAGTAGTCGCAGAGGATGTTAGGGCGATGTGTAAGTTGGAGGCGATTTGCTGGGGTTTTGTGGCAAGGACGGCGGAAAAGGGGGGAGGATGAGGGGAACGGGCGAGGTCGGGGAGTCATCTGGCCACTCCTTTTGCTTCGCCTCCCGCCCACTATTCCTTTGTCTGCTTCTCCGCGTCCTGCATCCTCAGTAGTCGCGGAAAGCGCCCTGTGGAGTCAAGGAAATCAAGGAGAGGGTCGCGGTAGGAGGGGTTGCCGAGGAGGAGGCCGGTGGTGGGGAGTTTGCGGAGTCGAAGGTGTTGAAGGAGCAAGTGGCGGGCATCGTTGTAGAGCGGGCACGTAAGAAGGAGGTGTTCCCGGTCTTCTTCCTCGCCGCACTCGCAGAGAGGTTCGCGCGACGGGTCGAACTTGGCGCGATAGGCGTTGAGGGAGGAAGCGCCGGTACGTAGTCGGCATAGTAGGGTGGCTCGGCGTCTCGTGAGTCCGTCGTAGTAGCGGGCGGAGCTAGAGGCGATCGGAGAAGCGGCGAAGAACAGTTCGCGCTGCACTCGATCGACGCCAAACCAATGGCGTTACTGCGGGCCGGGTTCCGGAACTCGAAGGGCGCGTTTTCGACGCAACCTGCCTGCGCTCGCTCAACTCGACTCTCTCTTCTACTCGTCTGTCTCTTCCGCTGTTGCTGTTGTGCCCTCCGTCAAGCGAGTGCGCTCTCTCCCACAGCCGGCTGCGCCCGACACTCCCACCCTAGTCCCTCGTTTTCGCTTTCTCGTGTCCGGCACACCTCGCCCTCGCCAAACAAGGCATTCACGCCCCGTACACAGCTTCGCCAGCCACGCAGACAGCCGAAGCCTCACCTACTCATCCAAGTGCATACACATCGCACCCCGCGTATCGCCACGATGCTCTCCTTCGCCTCGCTCGCCTCACTCGCGACCCTCCTCCTTCCGGCCGTCTCGGCGTACGGCACAGGCTTCACTGGCCAAAAGGTCGTCTCCGGCTACTTTCCGTCGTACCAGCAGAGCCCCGCCGACGTGCCTTACAACCTCTACACCCACCTCGACTACTTCGTCTTCACCACGACCTCGAGTCCTTCCTCCATCTCGCAAGCCGGGATCAGCGACTCCGTCATCACCGACTTTGTCACACGTGCTCACGCCGCCGGCATCACGACCAGCTACGTCGTCGGCGGATGGACCGGCTCACAGTGCGTCTGTCGAGCCGCACGAAGAACGAGGGCATTTAGCCTTTCAAGGATTGACCGTTCCTCGCTCACAGGTACTTTTCGACGCACGTCTCGACAGCTACGAGCCGCGCAACGTTTGCCCGAACTTTGGTATCGGTCATGCAGCAGTACAACTTTGACGGGTGCGTCGCCTTTGCCCGCCTCTGTAATGGCTTCGCGACTGCTGACAGATCGTCGTTATCGCAGCATCGACATTGACTGGGAGTACCCTGGCCAGCAAGGCGAGGGCGACAACGTCGTCAGCCCGAACGACTCGGCCAACCTCCTGCTCTTCCTCCAGACCCTCCGCAGCGTTGCGGGTGTCAATGCTCGTCTCTTGATCTCGATCAACGTTGCCGGCATGGTCGGCGCGGATGGCAACACGCTCACCGACTTGAGCGGTTTCGCGGCCGTCCTTGACTGTGAATTGATCGCTCTTGAATCTCGCCCGTCTTTTCGCTGATCTTTCTACATCCCAGACGTTACGACCATGTCCTACGACATCACCGGCACCTGGAGCGGCTTCACCGGCATGAACTCGCCCCTCTCTGCAGCTTGCGCGCCGCCAAGCAACCCTCTCAGCATTGCAACTGGGATCAGCTACCTCCAGGGCGCCGGCTTCGCCGCCAACCACATCCTCGTCGGCATGCCTGCCTACTCATACAGCTACTACGTCCAGGGACCGTTGACGCAGCGGACCTGCCCTGACGGCACCAAGCCCTCCTTGTATCAATATGTGCGTCCCGCTCCTCTACATCGTGCCAGACTCACGACTGACCTCCTTCTTGCAACAGGCTACTGTAGGCTCGACCTGCGGCACCTACATTGGCAACGGCCCGCAGTTCCTGTACAAGGACATCTACAACAGCGGCTACTTCGCGTCGCAGTCCGGCTACCGGCGCGTCCTCGACCAGTCATCGCAAACCTGGATCCTCTGGAACCCTGTGACGCTCTCCTTCATCCTGTGCGTCACCTCGCTTCACTCGGAAGACACGGCAAAGCTGACCTTTGCCCTCTCGCTTCGCAGGACCGACTCTCCCGGCACCTACTACTACAAGGCCCGCCAGTTCTTCCAGCGCCGCCTCGCCGGCACCAACATCTTCGACACCTCGGGCGACACGAGCGACGGCAGGCTCGTCCGCGCCATCCACCAGGGTCTCAAGATCGACCCGACAACGACCGTCCCGACCCTTCACAAGCGCGAGATCGTCCGCGTCTCCGCGAGCACCTCGAGCGCAGGCGCCGGTCCGCGGTCCCGACTATCTGAGTGGGCGGTCAGACAAGGCTTGGATAGATGTTTGTATTCCTGCATGGTTAGGTGTATCCTTCTCTCGCCCTCCCGCTATACCCTCTTACGTGCATGCAACGACTGCCAGCGTCACGAAGTTCTATGGCCAGGCTGGAGAGCGCTTGAAACCACGAGGAAGCCGGTTTAGCTCTCTCTGTCTCGCGCAGTCTCGTCCGGACACTAGCTGAGACTGGGGACCTTCGTTTCAAGACAGACAACGAGTGTGGAACCTGAGAAGAGACATGGAAGATGGAATGCAGGATACGGTGCTTGCCCTTCACCAATAACCACACGAGAGATCCCTCTTCAAAGCTTGGCCCTCGCCTTGCCCTTGGCCTTGGTGTACAAGTCGGCGAGCTCGGTTGCGTATGTCTTGGCAATCACGTTGCGCTTCGACTTGAAGGTCGGGGTGAGGCAGTCGGCGGGGAAGGGCTCGACTCGGAGGTGAAGTGAGTCTTCGATGCGCTCAAAGCTGTGGAAGCGCACGGTCAATGGCTTCAACCTCGACAATGTCAGGAAGGGGAGACGCACCTGAGCAACTGCGCATCCCGGGCGTACTTGGCGAGCGTCTGCGCGACAGCCAAGACGACCTTGTCGTCCTTTGCCACCTCCGCAAGACCGGTGAGGTCTGTCGGCTCAAGGTGCTTGCCGAGCGCCTTTGAAGTGATGGCTGTGCGACGCAATGTCAGCGGATGGCACCGAGGAAGAGGAGGAGCGGGTATGCACGAGCGAAGTTGACGGGGTTGACATTGACGATCGCGACGAGGTGGTCGCGGAGACCGTCGCCATGGACGTACATCTGGGCGACGAGCGGGCACAGAAGGTAGACGTTCTCGATCTGCGAGTATGAGCATCAGTAAGCTAGCGCATGATGTAAGGAAGAGAGCGACGGAGCGACGGACCTTCTCAACGGCGACGTACTCTCCCTGGCTGAGCTTGACGAGGTTCTTGACGCGGTCAATGATCGTCGGCCGTCCAAGCTGGTCGATTGACCCGACATTGCCCGAGTGCAACCAGCCATCCTCATCAATCAACTCGTGTGTCTTCTCCGGGTCCTTGTAGTAGCCGGGAATGATGTTGGCGCCCTTCATGCAGATCTCGCCATGTGAGTAGGGCTGGTCGCTTGAAAGGCAGCCTATCTCGGGAACGTCGACAGCAGGGCCTCAAAAAGTGTAAAGGAAGCCGCGGGATGCAACAGTGTCAAGCAAGTCAGAAGGCGAGGAGAGTGAGTGGGATGGGTCAGGGTGAGGAGCACACAATCTCGACAAGTCCAGCCACCTCAGCCACCGCCCTCCCCTCGCCTCTCGCAAGGCGGGAGTTGATGCTGGTTTTCCCACTTAGTTAGAGTCAGAGCTCTCTAGACCGCTCATGAGCGCACCGTTGTTGAGCGGCGGAACGCGGAGTGGGCAACCTTGTTGCCTCCTCGCCCGCGTGCCAATGTCATCTTGCCATCGTTGCCAAAGTTGCTGCATGAGTTCACATGTACTAAGATGGCCTCTCAAGATGCAAGGCACCGTTTTCTGTTGCCTACGGACTGACGCCTCTGCCTTGAACAAGCACCGTGCCGGCTTTCTCCCGCTCCCATCCTTGTGAGTGCGGCGAGGTGGAGAGTACGGAACACTTCCTGGTACTCTGCCTGCTAAACGAGCAGTCTTGACACTTGTTCTACCAGCACATCTGACTTAGCCGGACCCTGACAGTCAGCCTCCTCCTCGGCAAGCCCAGCTGCCACTCCCCTCTCCTCAGCATTGCCGCTACCCACCATTCTGTAAGCGTGATAGGTATTGCAAAGGGTGAGCAGTGATAGGAGGATAAGCAGGAGAGGGAAGAGTGATACAGATCAAAGGAAAAACGGTGCCACAACCACCCCCGCTCCAATCACCCCTTCTCCTTTTCCGCTCTCCCTCGCCCAAATCACCTACAATTTGGCTCACTTTGAGTTTGACAAGTACCCTACACCACTATCTACCATGCGACCCGCTCATCCCCAGCTCCCATTGCCATTGCTGTCGCCATTGCTGCTCAAGAAGGTCAAAATCAAGAATGTCATTTTCTCAATGGTATCTTGGCAGATCGGGTTTGTTCTTCCTTCTCCTAGCACTACATGCCCTCTCCTACGAGGGTACTGCACCGCACCCCCCTAGCGCCACTCCTCCTTTCGTTGCGCAATTTCACTCCCCCCTCTGCTTCTCCGCTCTACCCTTGCTCAACCTTCCTTTCTGCACTGCCCATTGCCTCTCTGCTTCAGTAGATACTCCATCCAACCTGATTTGTGCTGCAGCAGCCAGCCTCTGCCGGTCACCATGGGCTTAGACCTGAGTCAAGTTGTAACAAGAACCTCTCTCTCTCAAAGCACAGTGCTGTAGGCTCCCCTGCTTCCTTGTCCTCTCTATCTCTCCAGCGGTCCTTGCCATCCTCATTCATGTGTCTTTCAGCCTGCTCAACTGTCTTCAGCTCTTTGCATTGCACAGACCCATGTTGTCATCTTGAGGGCCTGAAGGATCAACTAGTATGCGGAGAAGTTCAGGGATTCCATGGGAGAGGCCACTTGTATTCATGCTTATTGCAGCCATTGCAAGGCTTTCTTGTGCGTTACCTGGCACTCGGTGGGCACCTCAATGAGCGAGCGTCTCCCACACAGTGTTTCTGCTGGACAGCCGCAGACTGTGGGCAAAAGCAAGTTTCGTACAAGTATCACCTCTGTCCTTGACGGCTTGACTGCACCTCACTTAGCCTTGCCTGTCCTGGCACCAGGACAGTGAAGCAAAAAAGCCAAAAGACAGACTGGCCAGGCACAGGGTCCAAGAGCCAGGAGAAGAAAAGAAAGGCTTTTCTCCTGGCGGGGATCGAACCCGCGACCATCACGTTTCCCAGTAGCAAAGCGCTTCGCGCTTTTACTGCCTGAAAAGTTATAAGCATGAAGCTATTGCCAACTAAGCCACAGGAGATTATTCGCGGGGTGAGTGCCGATATGCGTTGTTCTCACTAATCGCTTGACAGACCTCGAGGCACGGAGGGAGAGGGAACCGCAGGCGGAGAAGCACCTATTCCAGCTCTCCACAAGTCTCTCAGAGGTCACGGACACAAGATGTACACACAATCATGTTTATCATACACAGCAGAGACAATGGCAGAGCAGGGTCACATTGAACGGCGCATCACAGCTTGGGAAGGCCGGCTGCAGGCTTCCTGCCATCGGGGAGCGGTCCTTTCCACTCCTTGCCAAGCCAGAAAGCCATATGCTCAAAGCGGTCTGTGGAAGTGAAGGAGCAGTGAGCAGAGTGCGGGGTGAGGAATGGGAAGAAAGCCACGGACCCGAGCCAAAGAAGGGGCGGGTTTGGCCATCGGAGCGCTTGGCGACCATCCAGGGCTGAAGCAGTCAGAAGAGTCAGCATGGTAGTGCTTTAACGAGCCGTAGACTTGGGGGGAATAGCCCAAGCAAGGGGCAGAGATGGCTCGACTCACGAAACCGAAAGCACCCTCTTCCACCAACTGTCCCGATTCCGTCTTGAGCTTGTTCTTGATGTCATCGCTAGTTGAAAGCTCCATGATGTTCTCAATCTCGTCACCGGAGAAGAGGCCGTTGGTGCCGAGGAGCTTGGGGAAGGCCGACGGCTTGATGGCTTCTTCAGCCCGGGTGCCGGCCGGGGGGTTCCAGATGGCGCCCTACAATGCAAGAGGGTAAGCGCGGCGCAGCATGCGAGCAAGCGCAGAACGCGGGGTCGAGCCAGGGCGAGCCAAGAACACACTCACGAAGAACAAGTCGGTCGCCTTCTCGAGCTTGTCGGGCGCTACGTCCGCAATTGCCCTGAGCGTGCGCATGCAATGGATGGTGTTGAGCGGGAAGGTCTCGGGGAACTTGTAGGGCGTCTGAGTGAAAGCCGCTTGGAGGGGGAGGTCCTGTTCCGTGTGCGCCGTTAAGCCAACAGCGGGTCCAGTACGAGATGTATCCACGCACGTGCTGGTTCATCCAGATTCCCTTGTTCTTGACGGTGATGGGCCTGTTCGACGAAAGGCATCTCGGTGAGCCCAAAATGCCGTCTCGGAGGGCAAGAAGAACTGGCACGTACGGCTTGTTGCCCGACGCCTGCATGACGCCGCCGAGGAACATGGGCTTGAGAACAAGCTGGAAGTCCCAGGGCTGGCGGTATCGCTTCAGAACTGGCAAGCAAGCGTGAGTTGATAATCCGAAAAAGCGGAGAGGGGCGCCCGCACGTACCCTGGTACGCAAAGAGGGTCCACGGTGAGACGACATCGTAGTAGAGCGTGATGCTGGTCATCGCGAGCTGCCGGGGACGGCGGGTCGAAGCGAAGAGCGCGAAACGCGAATCGGTCGAGTGTGGGGGTGAGCGACGACGCGACCGTGAGCAAGCTGGCCCTCGGAAGAATGACAGGTCAAGCGCACAGGTAGAGCAGGGATCGTGTCTGTCGAGACGAGACGCGAGCGAGACGAAGGAAGGAGCGAGAGAACAGAATCGCTTTGCGGGGTTTCCGGCAAGGTGTCGAACCCGGAGAACAGGCGACGTTGCGCCAGCAAGCGGTCGCAGCGAGGGACGTTGGCTGCTGCCGAGGCTCGGATCACTCGCTGCGTACGACCGAAGGCACTTTGCGACGACTTGTTGCAGATGAACGACACCCTGTTCTTCGCTCCTCCTCCTTACAGCTCCTCGTGGACAGGCGCATTGGGAACGTCCGTGTCAAGGTCCGGCACTGCCGCCTTGACGGTGTCCTTGATACCCTCGCCGATCTTCTCCTTGACCGAGCTCCAGTCGACCCACTTGTGCTCCGACGCCTTCTCGAAAGCCTCCTCGGCCTCTTCCTGTTCGTGACGGAGAGCCTCGTCCTTTGCGAGGAAGTCCTCGTCGAACGAAGGCGGAGGCGGTGGCTCGGAAGGGGGAGGACCGGTCTCGACGGGCGGCGCAGGCTTCACGTCGACCTCGGCCTGAGCCGTCTGCGAGACGCCCAATGACTTGCGCAGCATCGATTCGACCAGCGAGAAATACGAGTTGGGGTCGGGGACCTGGTAGGACGACTTGAGAAGCGCAGTTTGCCTGGGAAGAAGAAGAAGTCAGCCGAGTCGCTCGTGGGGACTCTGAGCAGCCGACCGACCAGAGCACCGACACGCTTTCCTTCAGCTCGGCGAGCGCGTCCTCGTCATCGCCAGCCTCGTCGACCTTTTCCAGCAGGCGCTCAATGAGCGGATGCTTCGGGTTGAGCTCAAAGTTCTGGATGTACATCCGTCAGCCCGACTGTTGACCTGAAGAGGTGAGCAAACGAGGCATACCTTCTTCTGCATCCTCGCAAAGTTGAGCATGAAGTTGTCGCTGCCCTGGTTCTGCGCCGCGAGCAGGCGTTCCATGTTGCCCGAGTAGCCGTACGTGCCGGCAGTGACGAGGCACGGCGAGGTGGTCAAGCGGGTAGAGATTGTGACTGTTCCGAGCACACATCAGTGGTAGTTCTGTTAGCAGAACACACAGACGCACCCTTGTCAACAAACTCGGCGAGCTCCTTCTTGAGATAGCCAACGAGCGGCGCGAACGTCGATTTGAGGTCCTCCTCCTCCTTCTTCTCGTCGTCGTCTTCGTCGCCGAACTTGACGCCGTCCTTGGCGACGTCCTGGAAGCGGAGACCGCCATACGTCGGCACCGAGTTGATGACCTGCTCGACTGCTGTCAGCAGTGTTTGCGAGTTGGCGAGAAGGGAATGAGCGCCGCGCACCATCTCGTCGATAGGGTCGGTAAAGTACAGGACCTCGTAGCCGCGCGCCAGGATGCGCTCGACGAACGGACTCTTCTCAAGGGAATCCTTCTTCTGGCCCGCACCGGCGATGTAGTAGATCTGCGTCTGGCCCTGCTTCCGCCTCGCGACGACCTCGTCGAGACTGGTCGAGTTCTCCTGAGCCGAAGTCGTGAAGCGAAGCAGCTTGACGATGCGGTCGCGGTTCTTGGCGTCTTCGACGGCCCCGACCTTGAGAGCGACCCCGGCCTTCTCGTACAGCTCGGCGTACTTGCTCGGGTCTTGCGAGGCAATCTGAGCAAAGAGGTCGTACACGCGCTTCTGGAGGTTCTTCTTGATCTGCGCCAACGCCTTGGTCTTCTGGAGGCTGTCGCGTCCGACATTGAGGGGGAGGTCATCGACGTCGATAAAGACCTTGATCCAGTTCATGTGGCGCTCGAGGTAGTTGGGGCCGAGATCGGAAGTGATGAAGACGCGCTTGACGAAGAGCTTGAGCGAGTTGAGCGAGATGTAGTCCTTCGAGTAAAAGTCGTTCGGCAGGGCGGAAGGAATGTAGACCAAGGCACGGAACGACGTCGTTCCAGCGTCGCCCTTGAAGTGCGCCCAGGCGAGGGGAGCGTCGGGCGAGTCGAACGTCTTCATGTAGAAGTTCTGCAATGCCAAGTCGTCCGAATCAGCCGGACCGCAGCGCGGCAGAGCTGGAACCGTTGCGCACCTCGTACTCTTCTTCCGTGACATCCTTCGAGTCGCGCATCCACAGAGGCGGACGGTCGTTGACGAGATCCCACTGGGGTTGCTCAACAGCCGTGGCCTCGTCCTCAACCTTGATCTCGTCATCCTCTGCCTCAACGACCGGGACAGCGTTCACCGAAGGATCGAGTGAAGCGCTGGACCAAAGGTAGATAGGCGCAGCGTTGTACTCGGCGTGCTTTTGGATGAGGTAGCGAAGCTTGGGCAAGTCGAGATACTCGTCGGCCGCGTCCGGCTTGAGGTAGCTGAGGGGTGATAGTGCGCCCTGATCAGTTGACGTGCTCGCAGTGCAGACAACCAAGAGGGAACGCACAGCGTGATTTCGGTTCCCCTGCCAAGCGTCGGCCCGCGCGGGTCCTTGACGATCTTGAACCCGTCCGCATTCGCTTCGCTCTCGAACACCCACTGCTCCGTGTCATCTGCCGTCTTACTGGCGACCGTCACGCGGTCCGCGACGAGGAACGAGGAGTAGAAGCCGAGACCGAACTGGGTCGCACGCACACTTAGCTCGCGCTCAACTCGCAAAGGGCAGGCGCCGCTCACCTGTCCAATGAGGTTGCCGCCGTCGCCCTTCTCGAGGTTCTCAAGGAACTCGGATGTGCCGGAGCGAGCGATGGTGCCGAGGTTGGCTGCGAGCTGTTCCTTCGACATGCCAACGCCAGAGTCTGCGACGCGCGGCTCGATAAGCAGCTGAACGGGTCGATGGTACCGAGAGAGTACGCACCGCGGATCACGATGCGCCCGCTGTCTTTGTCCGCGAGAACTGTCACGTTGAGCTGTTCTGCCGGTTCGAGGATAGAGGGGTCGGTGAGGGCGATCAGGCGGACCTTCTCGAGGGCGTCGTTGGCATTCGAGACTGCCAGGTGCAAGGGTGAGCATCGCAACATGGTCAGACCTTCGAGGTGGTAACGAACGGAGCTCGCGAACGAAGACGTCGCGGTCATGGTACAAGTGCGAGACCACAACTCGCATCTACAACAGTTTTGTTGTCAGCTTTTGACTATGAGCCATCCCCCCAGACGAGTGGAGCAACCGCCAGCGGGACTCACCAAACGAGCGATGTCGCTCTGCGCCAAATCAGCGGCCAAGCGGGTCAGCACCCCCGGCAGCGAGTACGCTCACAGTCAAAGAGGAAGCGCACCTGGTACGTGTAGCTCTCGCCGCCTGCCGTTGCGAGCTGTTCGGGCGAGAGGAAGGTCGCCTGTGGAGCAGCGTCCCCAGCGCCGGCGGCAGCAGCCGCGGTGGCCGCAAGGACTGACGCGAGTGCTGGTACGAGCCGTGTGAGCCGCATACTGTGCTAGCCTGAGCCTGCCAATGCGAGCGAGCGGGTGTTCGAGGGAGAGGAGCGGAGTGACGATGTGGCCGGACACGTCTCAATCTTGCGAAGGTCAGCGAAACGCCAAACGACGCCGGGTGCTGCGCTTTTCCTCTCGCTCTTTCGATGGGCGGAAGCCGCTGCATCGACTGCCGACCTTCACTGCACGAAAGGAAGCACCTAGCGCTCGCCCGACTCCCTCATAGCCTCGTCCAGCGCCTCCTGAAGCTCGTGCGCACTCACGCCCAACTCCTCCAGGTCCGCATACAGCTCTGCCAGGGTGCGCTGCTTGTCAGAGCCACCCTGCGCAGCGTCCGCACCTCCAGAGTTGACCGCCTCGCCTGCCCTCGAGGCATCGCCGTCGCTCTGCTTCGCAACATGCGGCGGCAACTTCCACGCATCCTCAAGCGCGTGCCGCACCGCTTCGTCGAGGACGTCGTGCGCCTTGGCGTTCCCATTGCCGGCGCGCACGAGCGGTTCGGGGACGACTTTGGCGGTGGGCGGCGAGGGCGGTTTCACGGCAGTGTGGCGGGAGGGAGGGCGGCGAGGTGTGGGAAAGGTAGAGTAGTCGCTGGAATGCGAAGATATCCGGATGGCAGAGCTGCAGTCCAAGCGAGAGTCAGTTCTCCATCACGATCCCGAAGGACGAGGTGGGGAATGTGAGCGACACGAGCTCGCGGACGCACTAGAGAAGTCCCAAGAAGCACGCTACGCCCAACAAGACTGCAGGCAAGAACCAGACTTGCTCGCGCAGGTCCCGCAATCGTTCCTTGAGCCGTCGAGGCGGTTGAGGGGCGCTGTTCCTCCGGGGCTTGCCTCGCTTGCCCTGCGGCGACCGTTGGCGGAGCTGGTGTTTTGGACTGGAGCCCGGAATAGCTGTAGACTGGCCCGGAACCTGGAGCGAGGCGGTTGAGCTGGGCATGGCTTGCGGTCGAGAGGAGAGGGGCGAAGCTGTGCGAATCCTTCGACTCGTACAATTCGTTCGGTCGCGAAGCACGCTTTCAGAGGCTACGGGGCGACCGGTCAAAGCGGGTCAACGGGACGAGGCTAACGAGGGCGCGGACGACATATCCACAATACCCTCCGCTCTGCGGTCGGCGCGGCATGGAGCTGAGGGCGAGCCAGAACAAGCCCAACGCGCCATGCAATGCTGGTAGCTCCTCTCCACCTACGTGTAACCGCCCTTGTAACGCGGCTGCGGCTTGGACGGACGTCCGCCCCCTCCTCCTCCCATCCTGTCCAGCAAGCTCGGCGGCGCGCCCCTCTGCTCCCCTCCGCCATTGTTGCCCTTACCTCCTCCAGGGCCTCTCCGGCCGTCGCCGCGAGCGCCTCCGTTTCCGCCACCTGCAGACCCGTACATGCTTCGCCATTCATCCCTCGGCGATTCGTATGCCGACCCATAATCGCGATCGCGATCACGGTAACTGCTCGACGGCGTTCCCGAATCGTGGAACCTGCTTCTGCTGTCGTCGGAGAAATGGATGTGCGAGCCTCTGGCACTGCCGCCGCCGCTTCGTCCGCGGTCGCGGAAAGAGTTTGGCGGAGGCGGTGGCGGCGGCGGTTGATTCTGACTTGCCCGTCCGCCGCCGTTGCCGCTGCCGCCACCGCCACTTCGTCCGCCTCCGCCTCTCGCCCGACTCGCGAACCAGTCGTCGTCGGCCGCATCGTCGTCGTCGTATTGCCGAGGCTGTGGTCTTCGTTCGAGCTTGCCGGTGGCACCGCCTCGTCGTCGAGACGAGGACGACGAAGACGCGGAAGGGCCGGGTACGGAAGAGGCGGCCGAACCGAGAGCGGCGCGATTGAAAGCTGAGGGGTCGGCGTATCGGAGAGGGTGGCCACGAGGAAGGAGACTAGCAAGCGAGAGAGCATCAGTCTCGAGTGACAAAGACTTTGGGACGGACAGGAAGCGAGCTCACCAATCGTCGACGAAATGATCCTTGTTCGAGCCACAGTTGGCGCAGGCCAGCAGCAGCTTGCGCTTCGGGGGCTTCGGACCAGACGTGTCGTAGATACGCCAATGGGATGGGCAGTTCTGCGGATGCAACAGTCAGTTCGCAAGGGCGATTCGTCGAGCGGGAGCAGGGAAACGCACCGTCGCGGTGTGATTCGAGCTTGAGCACATGCTGCATCGCTGGCCATATCCGCCGCGGGAGTGAGGAGCAATTGTACAGTCCTGCAGGGTTACTTGCATGTCAGGCGAGTCGATGCGAGAAGGGGACAACCGGAACGCACCCTCGCGAAATGACCTCGCGAACCACAAGCGGAGCAAACGAGGGCGACAGGGCAGTTGCGAGCCTCGTGATCAGTATCGATCGCGCCGCAAATGAAGCACTGCGAATGTGTGCAATCGCGCGAGGAGTGACCGGATTCTGCAGAAAGACTGTCAGCACGGGATTGGCAGGAGCGCATGCAGCCGGTACGCGCACCTCCGCATAGCACACATGTCTTGGTGAGGTCGGCTTCTTTGTAGTAGCGGCCCGTCACCTGTTTCGAAGCGTGAGCAAGGCAGGCGGCGGCATGGATGGGGAACGAGGGGAACAAACAGGAGCCGAGCTGTCGTCCACGATGCGACCCTGGATCGCCTTCTCGAGCTCCTCCTCGTTGTCGTACAACATCAAGCCTTCTCCAGCGACGGACTCGTCGTCATCGCCAGACGTCTCCTCCTCGTCTTCATCCTCCGACATGGCGACCTCTTTCGCGAATATGCGCATAGCCTCGTCGCTCTCCATTCCGTCGTCCACGAATGCGCGTGTCGGGTCCGAAGCCTCCGACCCTGCGCCAGATGTCACCTTCGCCTCCGAGGGCAGCAGGACATTCGGTTCCTCGAGTTCCTCGCTGCCGTCGTTGTTCCCACGGAGGGGCGTAGGTGCGCCGACGAAGCGGTCCTTCTCCTTGACGGCGGCCGGCGTGGTGTCGACCATGAAAAGGTCGTCAAAGTTGCCCTCGACGACCTCGCCCTCTTCAAGGTCACCATCGTCCCCAGCGTTCGCAGCGCCGCTCTCCTTCTTCGCTCTTTGCGCAAACTTGCCACCGACGTACTCGCCCGAGCGGCGCGCCCTCCGCTTCTTGCTTTTCGAGAGTGCGGCCGGGGTGGAAGGACCGGCCGCATCGTCGAGCGAGCGCTTCTGGGCGGGCATGTCGGAGACCGGAGTCTGGGAGCGCGAGATAGGGAGGGATGCAGTCGTTGGCGCGGAGGCCGAGGGTTTGACGAATGTGAGAGTTGAAGGTTGAGGAGATGAAGCGGCGAGAGGGGTCAGGCGGCTGGAGAGCGAGCGGCTAGCAGGCGAAGGCTTCTTTGGCGAGGCGTTGCGGCCCATTCAAGCCACGAACCAGCAGTCCCCGCGGTTCGCGGTGAGATGTTCAGGCGAGAACCTCGACCTCGCTTGCATGTCGACATGCTATGAGTAGCTCTCGAATTCTGCCACTCCGCTGAATGCAGATCTTGGGTATACAAACGGATTGCGGTGATTGCGAGAGAACAGCGACACCCTGGAACGTCTATACTACGCCCGCACTCGCTCTTCTGCTGGTGCTTTGGTCGTCGTCGGAGCCGGTCCACCGAGGAGCTGGCTCCGAATGAGGTAGTTGAAGCGGGTGCCCTCTCTTGCGAGCTCGTCGTACGAACCCTGCTCGGCGACAACGCCGTCCTCCATGTAGACGACCTTGTCAGCCGTCTTGAGCGTCGACAAGCTGCGAGCCAACCTTCACTCTGTCAGCAAAGCGCACAAGTCGCAGACACGTGATCAAACGCACCGGTGAGCGATCAGAATGGTCGTAAGCTGGTGGCTTTGGCTAATGTTGGAGATGGCCTCATTGACGAGGCTCTCGCTCGCAGCATCGAGTGCTGAGGTTGCCCTAGAACCCGACGCAACGGTCAGCGCAAGTGTGCAGAAGGGCGCAGAGCGCTCACGGCATACTCATCGGCGACGAGAATCTTCGGCTTCTGCAGGAGCGCTCGAGCGATGGCCAATCTCTGGCGCTGTCCGCCCGAGAGCTGAGCGCCGCGTGCGCCGACTTGCGTGTCGAAGCCGCGAGGAAGCGTGTCGATGAAGCCGCAGTTGGCGAGACGAGCGGCTTCTTCGATCTCGGCGCGACTCGCGTCGGGACGGCCGTATGCAACTGTGGGCAGGTCACATCATCAGCGGTCGAGGCGGGGCGACGCACTTCTCACGACGGATGGTCTGCTCGGAAGCGACAAGATCAATGCGGGAAGACGCACTATTCTCAGCGATTGTGGCGGAGAAGAGCGCCGGGTCCTGCGGGACGATCGCAATACGCTGTCGCCACGATTCGGGCGTAAAGTCGCGAATGTTGTCGTCGCCGTACAAGATGCGTCCGGACGAGGGGTCGTAAAAGCGCTCGAGGAGGTTGGCGATGGTCGACTTGCCCGACCCGCTGCCGCCAGCGATGCTGGTGATGGTGCCGGGCTCGATCGTAAGGTTGACGCCACGCAAGATCTCGCTGTGAGGGCGAGAAGGGTAGGCGAAGTGAACGTTGTCAAAGACGAGGCGGCGGGGCGGCGTGGTGACGGGCAGTGGACGGCCAACTCCAAGTTTGACCGACAGTGGACGTGCATCGAGGAGCTCGAAGATGCGGGACGATGCGCCGAGGCCCTTCATGATCGTGCCGAAGAAGGAGGTCAAACCGACAAGACTACTGCCGACGTAGACGGTGTAGGTCAGAAGGCTGATGAGCTGGCCGACTGTCAGCTCGCCGTGGGCGACAAGCGAGCCTCCGTAGGTGAGCAGGGCGATCAAGGTGCAGTTCCCGGCGAAGCCTGTCCCTCCGAAGAACAAGCCCGATGCCCACGCTTCGGTCTTTGCGAGCTCGAAGACCTTGTTGACCTTCTCGCTGAACCGGCGAGTCTCGGCGGGCTCGACAGCGTTGAAGGCCTGGACGGTCCTGATCGCGCCGAGCCGTTCCTCGGAGACGGCAACCATCTCGCCAACAGCCTTCTGCGTCCGCCGCGAGAGCTTCTTGAGGAAGCGGCCGTAGAAGACGGCTGCGACCGAGATGGGTGGGACGATGAGGAGCATGACGCCAGTCACCTTGCTGGAGATGTAGAGCATAGCGCCAATGCCGACGGTGGCCGTGACAACGGCGCGCAGTCCCTCGCTCAACTCGCGCGTCAAGCTCTCGCCGACGATGCCTGCGTCGGAACCGAGTCGGGAGATGATGTCGCCGGTCGAGCGGACGCCGGTGTCTTTGACGTTGGCGATGGCAGTCGAAGAAGGAGGAGTAGGCTCCTTGGACTCGTGTTCGTGGGACGCTCCAGAGATCTCGGTGGTCGTCGACTTGGTCGCGGCGCCCTGCAAGTCGTGCCAGCCGATGTCCTGCCTCAACACGTTCGAGTAGGCGGCCTCTCGCAGTCGCGCAACGATGCGTTGACCGCTGATCCGCATCAGGATTGTACGGCCCATGTTGGCTGCCGCTCCTGCCGCGAAGAAGACGGCAAGGAGGCCAGCGGCGGTGGGGATCGACACGGGGAGATTCGAGGCTTGGCCGGAGAAGATGTCGATGATGCGACCGATGCCGAGAGGGATGGAAAGCGAGACGCCGGAAGAGATGCAGAGCTGAGCGGGAGAGAAAGGTTAGTTTTGAGTCGTTACCGATGGAAAGGTCGACTGTGCGGCTCACCAGACCGATGGCGATCCCGATCGTTCTCCGCTCTGGCTTCGCCAGCTGCAACAAGCGCCGCACCTCGCCCATCTTGACCTTCTCCTTCGCGCCCGACTCCGCAACCTCTCCCTCGTCAATCGGAGGAGACGCCGTCTTTGCGACGGCCGCACTCGGCTCCTCCTTGGCCCCTCCCCTTGCTCCGTTCGATGCCCATCGCGCGGACGCCCGTATCCGTCTTCGCAGGTCGCACACCGGGGTGATGGCGAGGGAAGTCGGAGGAAGTGACCGGGTGCAGACCGCGATTCCTCGAGCTGGCCGACCGGGCGCAAGACTCGCCAATGACCGTACTGCATGCTGTTGTCGCTCAGGTTGGATCGGCAGGACCCAGCGTGCGACGGTTGCTGGTCGACGAGAGCAGCCGGCGAGGACGCGAGTTGCGGGTGTCGCCATCGCTTCGAGCGTGCGAGTGGCTCTGCGAAGTCGGTGCCGAGCAATCGACAGTCCTCAGGTCCGCAGAAATTTCTGAGCGGCGCAGGCTGAGCGGTTGTGAGTGCTCGGAGGGCAACCCTCTCCTCATCGCCCTTGACCTCATCGCTCGACTTCCGCTTGCTCTCAGGGCTGTACACTCAGACGCAGAGCTGATCAATCTCCCAAGTTGTGCATGCTGTGCCGTACTACGCACTGCTGTCAACCCTCTCAACCGCTCTCCGGCTGCCTCTACCGCTCTACCTCCCTCCATCCGACTATCGCGACCTGCGCGACGAGCGCCTCTGCTGCACATCGTCGTCTGTCCCGCTGCCGTTGTCGGTGGGAGGGTCATCTCGGTAGGAGCCGCCTCGCCTGCCACCCTTCCCCGATCCTTCCCCGTCACTCGGTTCCGTCTCGCTATCGCTGGGATTGCCTCCGCCGCCTCTCCCGCCAACAAGCTTCTCCTCGTCGCCGCCTGACTCGCTCGAGTTCCCGCTGCGACGCGACTTGCGCTTCGAGCGGCCTTTGCCTGCCGCGCCGGATTGCTGCTGGTGCTGCTGATCTTTGGCATCGTCCTTCTGCTTGCTGCGCCTGGTAACGTCCGAGAGACCTGTCAGGGCTTCTCAGCGGAATGTCTCGAATGAGTGACGCACCACCACCAAAAGCCGCCGCCTGCTGCAAGCAAGAGGAGGACGACCACGGCAATGGCGATCATAGCGGTGGTGCTGAGCCCTTCCGAAGACGACGAGGACGAAGAAGAGGATACGCCTGAATCGGAGCTTGCGGCAGCCGAAGCTGGATCGGTCGGCGTGGTCGAGCTAGGGACATATCGACAATCAGACAGGGGTGCGAGCTGTCGAAGACAATCTTGGCGTACCCGATAGCATTGGAGATGTCAGTAGTGACGGCGCTCGAAGCAGAGGCTGTGGCTGCTGTCGAAGCCAATGCGTTCGTGATGGCTGCCGAGTCTCCGCTAGTCGCGCTGGATGTAGCGCTCGCCATGAAGGCAGATAGGCTAGCCGACGCCAGTGACATGAGCGTAACGGTCCTGTTACCGGAGAGCAGACCACGGAAAATGTGAATACAGCGCGCCTCACCGCAGCTCAGGAAGTCGGCGCACCCCGTCGACGAGCTGGACTCTTGGCCAGGCTGCCAGTCCGAAGGCATTACGGCTGCCGAAAGCATTCCTCCGCCAATCTGACCCGTTGGCGCGCCGGCAATGTCCGAGGTCCGAAAGCCGTTGTTCGGGTCATCCATGAGGGACTTGGTGTCGACGGCGGCTCTTCGTCGGCGCTAGTCTTGCCATGCCCGCCAGTGTGGCCGGTCGAGTCGGGGTCGGGCGAACCCTTCTTGGTCGAGGCGGACTTGCCGTCGCCCTCGACCACTGTCGGCTCGCTCATCACCGTCTGACCGCTGCTGTCCGTCACGCGCACGCGCACGCTCGTACCTGCAGGGACCTGGTCTGCGCTCGCTCGCCATTGGACGTAGTTGGTGGACCAGCCCTGATTTTGCGAGACAACCTTGTCGTTCAGATAAACCTTCAAGGTGTACGGAGGGGCTCCTCCCGTCCTGAAAGATCTGGTCAGCGCGAGCGGTTCTTGGGTGAGAAAATCGAACATCGAGGGCGTACCATTGAAACTTGATGGCATTGCCGACGTGCACGCTCTGCTGAACCGTGACCGAGATTGGTGCCGAGGAGCCGGCAGAGGCGGTCGCAGTGATGGCGGCCAAACCAGACAACAGCAGAGGAAGGCGCATGTTCGAGTTGATGGGAGCAACGAAGGGAAGGAGGGAGAGCAGGAGGGCGGGAGGATGAAGCGTTGCCGGACGGAGAGTCCGCGGAGCAGGGCAGGAGGAGCGCCCGTTCTTGCTGTGCGCTGCTCCATCCGAAAGCGACTGTATCCGCCACGAACCGGGTTCAGCCACGGAAGCTGTGGGCCTTGCGCCCACATTGTGCGAGCTGGACACTGGAGACGGAGGCGGAGGAGCGGCGACGACGAGGGAAAGAAGGGCGAGTTGTCTAGCAGCGCAATGGGGAGCCTGTGCGTTTCGGGGAGAGCAGAGACACCTTGGACATGCTCTGTCTCGTGCGAACCCGCGGAGAGCCGTCGAGCAGTGTGCGGACGAGGGGAAGGAGGGTGTTTGCCGTTCACGAGTACACCCTCCTCCCGCTAGCGGGCGTGCGATGGCTCCTCCTTCTTCGCTACTGCCTGTTCGCAAGGCTCAGGCAGGAGCCTCTGCCCTCCCGCGCCTCAGAAGCGTTCAACCTCTCTCATCAGTCCGACCCCCACAACATCTCCCTCAACACGACAATGCAACCCTCGCAAGGCCTATTGAGTCTGCGACTACATTCGAAGATGCAGACGTGACGGACTTCGGATGGGGAGACTTGCTGGACGGAGGTGACGAGGGCGTTGCGGACGGCTTGTTCAGTGAAGGAGCGAGCTGGCTGCTCGACCGCACCGACTTCACCATCGCCGCTCAGACGCCTGCGAAGGACCGGGTGCGATGCGTAGACGATCCAGTCGCAGCGTCGGAAAACGGAGCGGACGACGAGGACAAGATCATTCTCGCGCAGGTTGCCCGTCAAGAGCTTTCGTCGAACCGCGACCAAGGTACGTTCTTCGGTTGTGACGACGCTCCGAGAAACCAGCTAACTCTTCTGTACCAGCAGCCGCCGAACGTTCCACTTTGCGTACATCGCACAAGCCGGCTATTCCTTCGCCTTCACCGGCGTCTGTCGACAGCGCGAATCTCGTAATCGCCCTCGACGACGCACATCCGAATCGCCCTGTCACTCAGCCGTCTGCGACTTCGAGCGAAACTCGAGCGGAGCGATTTCATCCACCTACCCTCCCCGCACGTCCAGCAGTGACCGCATCAAACCCCTCTCTTGAGACGACTGCGCCATCCTGCGCCCGCTCTCCCTCACTTGGAACAGCAGCCTCCCCTCCTCCACACACCACTTCCGGACCTGCGCACCCTGCGGCGGCACAGGCCCTCGCTCCGCACTCGCTACGCTCGGCCGACCCCATCGCCGAGCAGGCAGACGACGTGCAGCCCGCCGACCCTCGTACTCTTACCTTCACGCTACCTCTCGGCCCTCCTCCATCACGCGACGAGCAGTCCCCTTCCGCTCCTCGCCCTTCCGATCTGCGGCCACTCAATTCGCCTCCGCGTAACATCGCCCCGCCACCAGCGCCCGTCATGAGTGCTGTCGCACGTCCGTTCACGCTCACTCGGCCGGCCCATATTCTCCCGAAGAACCACCCCGGCCATCCTCGACGATCCGCCGCAGCCGCAGTTACCGATCCAGGCGATCCTTCTGGTCAGCCGAAGAGGCGTCCTGAGGAGAAGGGCATCAAGTTAGCTGACGACGCGACCAAGCGCAAGGTGAGGGAGGCCAAGACCGAGAGGGAGAAGAAGGCGAAGGAACGGAGGGACAAGGCTCAGGAGGACGCCGCGAACAGGGCGGCCGCGCGCAGAGAAGAGCTCGCTCGCGAACGGAGCCAGAAGAAGGAGAAGCGGGATGCGGTGGCGAGAGCGGGACGGCGAGACGCTACAACGGCGAGAAGCGAGACCAAGCAGACGACGGCGCGCGACCCGAAGCAGCATGAACCCCAACCAGTGCCATTCCTCGAACCCATTGCCGCGCCCCCGACGCTCGCTCTCGACGCCGACATGTCCTTGCCAGCGATGGGCGCGGTTCTCGACTTTCCCGGCGAAGTCGGCGCAGACGGAGGCATCTTCGACGCATCGACTCGTGTGACGAGTACGCCAGCTCGACCGCAGAAGCGGCATCGGCCTGCGGAAGGGCCTGCGGCCACGCATTCTGCGTCAGCCAATCCCGAGGTCAAGGAGGTCAAGCGTGCAAGACGTACGACCGCAGCGATGCCGCCGCGGGAGACTGTCGAACCGATCAAGGAGGAGAAGGAGGCGGAGGAGGAACACCTACATATGTCGGCGCTCCAAGCTGAGCCCCGTCGCCGTGCCTCCCGCCTGTCTTTAGCGCCTGCGGCGGACAATGCGCCTCTCCCGACATACCCCTCGCAAGATCGCACCGTCCGCGTCTTCCTCCGTCCACCCGACGCGGATGAACGGCGCAGCGAACCTCCCTCAGCGGCCGAAGACACAGCAAGACCTCGCTCGATGTCGTTTCGTCGCGCATCACGAGTCTCTTTCGCACTCGCGCCGGGGCACGAGGCGGACGGTGCGGCAGTCTCGACAGGTCAGACGGTCTCCGCGGCACAGCAGAGACGCCGCACCGCAACCCGCATCTCGCTCGTTCCCGTCGGCGTCCCCGAGTCTCAGCTCTCGCCTGACGGGATGCGCGATGCACAGCAGGACGTGCACGAGCTTCTGGCTGCGCGCAAAGCCTCGATGTCGCGAAGAGCATCGCGGGTTCCCGCCATCGTCGAGAACTCGGCAGCTCCGGTCGAGGAATCAGCTCCGCTTCCTCGCGACGGAGACACTCGACCGACTCCAGATGGCAGGACGGCCGCCGCCAATCCGGATCCCTACTCACCGCCGCCTTCGAAGGCGGATCCTCTGAACCGGCAAAGACGATTCGCTCAAACGCTCGGCGGTGTCACCCTTCCTGCTTCATTCTCTTTCGCAGCGCCGAACACGGATCGTGAGCTGGAAGCCGCGCGTCGACGGGAGGAGAAGGAGAGGCGGGACCGGCTTGCGGAGGAAGTTTTGGCGCAGAAGAAGAGGAAGAGGGAAGGCGTTAGCTCCTGGGCTGTTCAGCGCGGAGTGGATGCGAAAGTGGGTATATTACGAATTATCGCCGGGATGTAGCTGACAAGGAGACTCCGCAGCGACCTCGTTTGGAGGGTTCACTTTTCGCCTCGTACGATCGCCCCCCGCCTGCTTCGACCTCGCCCGCTCCTCGAGAACCTCCGCAGGCAGACGGCCTTCCCGACGAGCGCTTCGCCACCCAGTCACACCCAAGATCTGCACCGAGCCTCACCTCTCACGCCAACATCGACAAGGAGTCTGTCGCAAGCGTCGGATCTTGCGATTCCGCCGCCACCGTCCCGCTTACTAGGGAAGCTCTCGAGCGGGCTACGCGCAAGGCAGGTCCGCGGTCCGATCCGATGCGGAGGGTGTCGCGATTCCTTGAGGGCATCGCCGAGGCGAGCAAGACGGACGAGGCCGAAGTCGGCGATGACTCAGGAGGAGACGCCCTGCCAGCAGACCTGGACGCCCTTGCCATCGGTCCATCCGCTCCACCGACAGTCGAAGCTGCCCCGCTCGACGCCTTCGCCCTTACCATCGCATCTGCGCCTGCGTCAGCGCCGGTGCCTCCCGCCCCTTCCCCTTCATCAGTTCGAGCGGTCAGCACACAAGTGGTCGCGCCTCGCCGCCGCGCAAGCCGAACCCCCCTCACCGCCGTCGTCGTCGTCAACAACGGCGCCCAGGGCGCCTCGCCAGCTTTCGTGGAGCGCCTGTCTTCGTGGAAGGCTCGCGAGTCGCAGAGCTTGCACAAGACCGCTGGAAGGTCGACCTCGCTGCGGGCTACGCTCGGAGGTGCTCGTCCTGCGCCGGACACGCTCGCCAGGCGGCAGAAGGAGAACGCGCCTGCTGCTGCAGCCACAGGCTTCGGCCGGCGGATCCTCGCAGAGAAGGGCGTCGCAGCAGCGATGGAGAAGCAGATCAGGGAACGGCTGGAGTGGAGCGAGAGGCAGAAGAAGAGGGAGGAAGAGGTGAGGCAGAAGCGAGAGCAGATGCGCGAGGAAGAAGCGGTGGGTCCCTCTCTCTTCTGGCATGATTTGACTAGTTGACCTGACTCGCAACTCTCGTGCAGGCCCGCGAGCGTGATAAGCTCGCCCAGCTTCGTGCCTCGCTCGCCGCCCGCGATATGCGTCCTCTCGCCAAATCAGCGCCGCGCCGTACGGCTCGCTCGTGACCTGCGATATGTTCTGTTTGCGATGTGTATGCCAGGCTTCTCTTCTCGCTTTGCTCGTTGTTGCTGTTCAACCCCTACCTTGCAACGTCTCGTCCTTTTGCTCATTTCCGCAAACTTCGCCTGAGTCCCGGGCGCGGCGCAGTGCGACTGCTTGAGAGTCTGAGAGGAACAGAGCTAGACGGTAAGGAAAGGCGGAACGGCCAGACCGTGGGCGTGAAGGCGGAAGCACTGCATTGATTTCTAAGCTACTCCTCCAACAAGTCCACAAGCGTAGAGCGCAAGAACCCCGAGCTTCACAGCTTCGAGCCAGGCGGGAGGACCTTTTCCTCGAAGAACTTGTTCCAGTCCTCCTTGGAAAAGCTGGACGAGATCGACGGCTCGATGATTCCGCTGCGGATGGGAGCAACGAGAATCAGTAGACGGTTCTATTGCTTCAGGCGAGGCGGAGAGAACGTACTCGAGCGCGACCGTCGGTGTGACGTGAATCGAACGTCCTCTGTGATACTTGATCTGCTGCTTCAAGTCGTTGGTGACCTGTGCAGGTAGCGAGCGTGAGTCTTAGCTGGTGCGCAGAATCGCAAACGCACCGCCGTTCCGCCGTTGCCCTTGCCCACCGAGATAGCCTTGAGGAAGCCAGCGCGGTCAATCCCGACGGACTGAGCAAGGTCTGCGAGCCTCTCGCGAGTTTGGTTCGGGGTCTCGTTCGCGCAAGGTTCGTCGTAGAAGGCCTGTATCAAGCTCGTCAGTAAGCGGTCGAGCAGACGAGCGGCATCAGCAGCGCACCTCCTGCCCGTCCATGAGCTTGAAGAAGAAGTCCTTCCACTTCTGCTTGACCTCGGTGTCCTGGAACGACTTGCCGCTGTCGACGAGCGCTTTGCTTGCGCCGAGTGCAGCCTCGTGGACAATCGTCGAGGACGAGTGCCACGACTGGGGGACCTGCAGATCCGAGTCGTCAGGAGACAGACGTTGTCAAGACTCTAAAGGAAGGGAGGGGGGCACCTGGCGAACGATCACGCTGAGGTGACCCTTGAGCGGGCCGCTCTCGATGAGCGGGAGGACGTTCTCCCTGAGTCCAGTGAGCTGCTTCTTCGAGTAGGGGCAGATCAGGTCAAGGTAAACGTCCAAGGTGTGCGCAGAGTCGGGGGTTCCAGCAATGCGGTGCGTGGCGAATTGGGGCGCGAGAGCCATGGTAGTCGCTTGTGTAGGAGTCGTCGGTTGTCTGCCCGAAGAGGAGAGGGTGAGTGTTCGGCAACAGGATCAAGATGATGCGATGAGGACGAGGCCAAGAGCAGACGTCGCGGGGCGTCTCCCGGGCACCATGAGGCGGTCCACTGGACGCTGCTGAGTGACTCACGAGTGCGTCCGAGCCGTACGAGCGTATCGACGGGGAGAGGAGGACGCCAACCTGTGGACCCGCCCCACTTCGCTCCTGCCGCTCATCCTCCGTCGCAGATACCGCGCTGGGAGACCGCGCGCGACTATGCACAGCACGAGCACACCCAGAACGAGCAGACGGACACCCCTCGCACCACTCCCACTCGACTCCTTTCACCCCGCGCCATCTTCATCGCCCAAGAAACGGCCGCGCCTTCCGCTCTCACACCGCGACATGTCGCTCCTTCCGAGCCCTTTCCTGCCTTCAGCGACCCCTCGAAGCGCGTCGGGACCGCTTACCACGCTCTACGAGCGGAGCCCATTGAGCTTCTCCCCGTCCCGGACGCGTCAGGATGGAGACGCGACGACACCTCTCGAAGCGAGTCCCAGGGGCATGATGGCGGCGGAGGACGCGCAGAGGAGGGCGGATGACGAGATGCCCATGTCGTCGCCGCGCAGGCTCATCGATGCGTTCGTCCAGGCCTCGAGGTCGGGTCAGTCGCCGTCGACAAGGCGGAAGGGCAGCCTTCCGCCTCCTAGTCCCCGGAGGGCGCCGCAGGATGTAGAGAAGGACGAGCCAGTGGAGCGAGGTGAGTTTGGCACGCTCTCGGGGAGCCTTGCCGCGACGCTAAACCAGTCTGCCTCCTTAGCCTGGGACTTCTACGAGGACGATATCGACGAGGCGACGAGCGCCACTCTCCCAGCAGCATCCGTCCAAGACAGCGAAGCGGAAGCTACCCCAGTCGACAAGGAGAATACTCGCCCTTCTCCCCTTCCACGCCGTCGATCCACCTCCCTCCTTTCCCAGGCCTCTTCCGCAACTCTCGCCGCCTCACCGCCCCTCTCGGCGCCGACCCCTACAACAGCCCCTCGCACACCACCTCGCCTCCCGCAAACTCCGCCACCGCCGTCGCCAACCGTGCCCGCTTTCTCGCCCGACCTCTCCGCCTCCTACACCCTCTCTCACCCGCCGGTCTCAGCTGCACTCTCCAGCGCAGGCCTACACTTTGCCGACGGCTCAGCGACTTCGTTCGCGGCTATCGCCGTCTCTGCGGCCGCGCACAGTCCTTCATTCGGCGCCGAAGCAGGCTTGACAGGTTTCGCTCCTGTATTCAACGAGCGGATGCGGGGCGCCAAGAGGGAGAGTCTCGATGGAGGAGAGGAGGAGCGCAAACGGAAGAGGCGGAAGAGCGATGAGGCGGAGTGATGTGGAGTCTGCCGTTTCCGTTGGTTCGCGCCGCGTCGTCGTTTCCTCCCGTTCTTGCTTGCTGTTCTTGTCGATTGTAGGAACCTCGCTGTCATACTCGCAACTTAGCTTACTTGGCCAAGTCGGAAGTGGAAGAACGAGAGCGATACAATGCAGATGAGATGAAATGACGGCCCTCCTCCCTACTGCACGCCTACCTGGGGACGAGCAACAGAGCCGAATCAGTGGTGCTCCGAGTCGTGAGAAAGGAACGTTGGACGCACTGCCACCTGGATGCCCATCGCCGCCAGCTCTGCGACAAGCAAGCGGAAGACGAAGGGGACGGCAACAACGTCTAAGTCGCCGCCCTTGACCTTGACGTCGCGCTCAAACGTCATGCCAGTCTCCTCAACCTTCTTCTGCTTCTTCGCCGCCTTGGCCTGCTCCTGCTCGGCCTCGTACTCCTCAATCGCCTTGTCCCGGCACACGCGGCAGTACTCGCCTCCCGGTCCAGCCGCGAGTTCGAGGCCTGGTCGGTCGCTGGCGCCGGCATGGAGTGACTGAGCGAGCGTGACCTGGTCGTAGCCGAGCGAGATCATCGAGCCGCATTCGCGGCAGACCCACGCTGTCGAGTAGTCGGAGCAGTTCATGAGACGGTCCTGCAGCAGGAACGACGTGCCGTGCGCGAGGAGGGCGTCGCGCTCCATCTCTCCGAAGCGGATACCACCACCGCGCTTGCGACCCTTGACGGGCTGACGGGTGACCTGGTCGAGGGGACCGGTCGTTCGGACCTGCCACTTGTCGCCGACCATGTGACGGAGGCGCTGGTAGTAGACGACGCCGATGTAGATGTCGGCGTGGAACTCCTCGCCCGTGATGCCAGAGTACATCGGCTCGTTGCCGTAGTAGTTGTAGCCGGCCTTGCGGAGCTGGTCGCCGAAGTACTCGAGCGGCGTGTCGTCCTCCGAGAAATTGAACGGCGTGCCGTCCTGGGCGAGACCATGCAGCGCGCCAGCCTTGGCCGCAATCGACTCGACAAACATGCCGATCGTCATGCGCGAGGGGAAAGCGTGCGGGTTGATGATGACGTCCGGCTGCATGCCAGACTCGGTGAAGGGCATGTCGACCGCCGGGTACTTCTGCGAGCAGACACCCTTCTGACCGTGGCGAGACGAGAACTTGTCGCCGATGACGGGGGAACGAGGAACGCGAAGCTTGATGTGCAGCTTCTTCGCCGTCGCGTCCGACGTGTCGTCGCCTGTGGGACGCAACGGTGAGCTGAGAGACCAACGAAGAGCAGCGAAGCGAGCGCACCGATCAATCGCACCTCGTCGATGTAGGCCACCTCGTCTCCCTTGTACTTCTCGACGCGGGTCTTGCCGGCCGTGCGATCGTAGTACGCGGCGATGACGTCTCCCGTCTTGACGCGCATGCCGACGAGAGGCAGGCCGTCCTTGTCGACGGTCGAGAACTTCTCGTTGTCCGGGCGGATGTCGGGTCCGACGCCAAAGTGCACCTCGGGGTGTCCGCCCGAACCCTTGTCGCCTCGGACGGTCTTGAGGTCGACGATGTGGCTCTTGTAGATCGAGCCGTGGGCAAATCCTCGCTCGTGCGCCGACTTGTTGAGGATCATGGCATCCTCCATGTCGTAACCGGTGTACGAGATGACGGCGACGATGGCGTTCGTGCCGTTCGGGTAGCCGTCCATGCCGTACGTGTTGTGCAGGTCGGGGCGGACGATCGGCGTCTGGCCCGACTGGAGACGGTAGAGTTTGTTGTCCGTCCGCCGCTGGAGCGCAGTCGACGGCGTTCCCATCGTCTGCTTCGACATCTGGCACTGGTACATGTTGCGCGGCGACTGGTTGTAGTCGGAGAAGGGCGTGAGGTTGGCGAGGAGCGAGAGGACGTGTGTGGGCGAGAACTCGATGTGGGTCGTCAAACCCTGCTCGACCTCTTCTTGCATGCACGCAATGTCGAGGTAGACCTGCTCGAAAGGCCCAACCGAGTCGGTCTTGCCGTTCGCGAGGTACTTGACGTCGCGCATCATGCGCGCTCGCGACGCAAACAGGTACAAACCGGGGTACTGACCGCCCTTGGAGAGCGGTACGAGGCCGATCTCGAGGTCGAGCGGTACGTCGTGCTGGCCCTCGGTCTTCCACAACCGGAGCGTGTCGGCGAGCTGCTTGGCGAGGACGGGCGTTGCCCATCCGATGATGCGGCCGTCGAGCTGGACGACGACGTGCTTGCGGCTGTCGATCGAGGGGTCGAGCGGCTGGAGCATGCCAAGGGAGGAGAGGAGTGCGGGGATGTGGTCGACATTGAGGTGCTGGTGGACGAGGCGGCACTTGTGGGCGAAGTGGTTGAGGAGACCGCAAGGCGAGCCATCGGGCGTGTGGACGGGGCAAAGGAAGCCCCACGCTTCGGGCAAGAGCTTTCGGACGGTCGTCGTCTTGAGCTCGGCGAAGAAGGCGCCACGGTGGACGGATCGGAAGTGGGCGATGTAGCGCGTGAAGTTGAGCTTCTCGCCGACAATGGTGTAGCCAGACGCCTGCTGCAAGTCGAGTCCAGACGGCGAGACGAGGTTGCCCGTCGCGAGGAAGTAGGCGAGCTTGCCGCCAATGTCGGCATTCACGCGCGAGATCGTCTTCTGGATGTACTTGGGGTCGGTCAAGTCGGTGCCGGGTATTTGTCGCCGGATATCCTGGAGCATCTGCATGCGGATGCCGTTCAACAGCTCGTCGAGTTTCTCCTTGACGATCATGCCGTAGAGGAACCCGGGCATGAGGATCTCCTGGTGCTGGGGCGAGTCGGGGTTGTCGGCGCAGCACTCCCCGCCGACGAGCGCGTACAGCTTGCGGAGCATGAAGCTGTCGTGCGGAACAAAGCGTCAGTCGCGCTCGTCTAACCTCTCGCACCGCCGCCCCGACTCACAAGAGCATCCGAAGCTTGTCTCGCGGGTCCTTGAGGTGCGGCAAAACAATCGTGTCGATGAGGTGCTGCCCGACCCGCTCGTCTGTCCAGTCCTCCGGGCAACCGAGGACGACGCGGAACTTGTCGCCGAGGAATTCGAGGCACTGCGCCTTGGTGTAGAGGTTGTAGGTCTTGAATCCGCGGAGGAGCAGCTCGACACGGTCCGTGACGAAGGTGTTCTCAAAGTCCTTCTGGAGGATGCCGAGGAAGATCTCCTTGTCGGTCGCGCCCGTGAGAGCCTTGAGGATCATGACGACGGGGACCATGTACTCGGCCTTGCGCCAGCTGAACCGGAGGGTCGCGCCGCCGTTCGAGAGGTAGTGCAGCGTGTTGGTCTGCGACGTCTGGTCTGGTCGGACAGATCGGACTGCGACACCGTACTGCGTGTAGGCGACACCGCGGTTGGCAAAGGAAGGGCGGATGATGGACGTGACGTGATTCCGTCGGGGGACGATGAGGAAGCGGATGAGACGCTCGTTTCCGTTGATGATGAAGTAGCCGCCCATCTCTTCGGCTTCTTCGTGGTGCGCGACGAGTTCGGCGGGAGGGAGGTTGCGAAGGTGGCATCGTGCGGACTGGGCGGGTGCGAGACGAGGTCAGCCCGAGCGCTGCCGACAAGCGGACGCCTTTGACGCACCTTGACCATGATGGGCAAGTTGCCGAGCTCGCGCGACTCGATCTGCGTCGGTCCACCGTTGACAGACCATGCGATCTTGGCCGTCATCCGCCCTGCGTACGTCGCTAGCCGCTCTCGGGCCTGCAGGATGGTCGTGTCAGCACTTGGGGGTGCTTGAGAGCACTCTTGTACGCACTTCGGTCGGGTAGATTCGCCGCTCGCGCGACTGCGCGCCCTTCATGACGCCCATAGGCCGGCCAACCGTCACTTCCAAGACGCGCACTGTGCGGCGGGATGCGTCAGCGGGCGCCTCGAACACTGCGAGGAATACACGCACTCTCGAGCCTGTTCCCGAGCGAACCCTCGTCGCCCTTGTGGTCAAAGACGACCTTCGGGAGGAGGTCCTTGACGCCCATGCTCAAGAGCCCCTCGCTCTGAGAGACGGTGCCGTCGGGCTGGGGTGCCCCCTCAAAGAGCGCATCGAACGAGTGGATATGGGGCGCGACGAGTTCCTGCGGGGCGGGGTACTTTGACCCTTGTGTCGAGGGATGGGAGAAGGCGCGTTCGCGGTCGAGGGTGCGGAACGAGGTGGGTGCGAATCCTGTGCGCTGCTTGTAGGCTGCTGCGGACTTGGATGGCCCTGCGACGGGTGCCGGGGTGGGCGCGGTGACGACCCCCGGCATGGTTGAGCTGACGAGAAGAGGTTGGAGAGATGAGGTCGCCGCGAGTGCGGTTCAAGCCAGCCGAGTCGAGCGCAGTCTGAGCGACAGTTGTGCGCTGTTCCTGTCCAGCACGGCGCCCGAGCGAGCGCGCGAGTGAGCAGCTTGAGAGCGAACGAGCTCGACGGGGCGGTGCGCAGTGATGAACCCGATTCCTATTCCTGAATACAAACTCATTACAACTCGCTCCTTACCCCCCGCTCACTCACTCAGACGCTCGCCGAGGGACTCGCTGCTGGTGCATTGCTGCTTGAGACTCGCACAGACTCGCTTGGAACACTCGATCTGTGCCCGCACACGGTTGACGCCGCTTGACACATCACTCGTCCTTACCGACTCATCCTCATCAGCAACACACGCGGACGCCCACCCGCACCGCATCGCACGGCAGACCGACACGCCCACGAAATGAGCGAAGACGCCGCAGTCCTCCTCGCAGACTTTGTCAGCTCGCTCGACAACCTCCCCTCCGAGGTGTGCCACATCCTCGAGGAGATCGGCCACAAGGAGAGCCGCGTGTCAGACTTGCGATCGAGGGCACTCCAGCGTGACCAGGCGATACAGAAGCATGCCAAGTCGGCCGCAGCCGGAGGGCAGGGGCTGCTCGTCCCCAACCCGAAGGAGGAGTCGTCAATCAAGAAGATCAAGTGCGTTCACGGCGTTGCGTCTCTCGGAGGCTTTTCCTACACGATGCTGACGTCCACGACGTGCCGCAGGCTTGACCTGGAGAATGCCGAGGTGACGACGCGCGAGAAGCTGGCGCTGAGCGAGCGAGGGGTCAACCTGGTGCGTCCGACGCCGCCCGCCGAAAGTCGCTGAGCCGTGTCATCTGACGCTTCAAGGATCCACGCAGCTCTCTCGCCACCTGAACCGCCTCCAAGCGCAACTCGAACTCCTCACCTCGTCCGTCCCGCCGCTCCCGACTCTCCCCTCCTTCGCGCCAACCCTCAACACGCCCACTCCGAACGCGATGTACGGCGCACAAGCAGCTTATACTGCTACGCCAGGCGGAGTGGGGGCGTACAACCCGTACATGGCGAGCTACGGCGGGCAGCCTGGAACGCCCGGCATACGTGCGTCCGCTCGCTTCTGCTTCGGCTTCCGGGTCTCGACACATGCTCACTCTCCTGTTCGCTCTCTCCACGCAGCCCGGAAAGCGACGCCCGGTCAGATCCCCCTCCTTCCCGCGCAGATGACCCCCGGCGCACCCTCCGGTTACCCCTTCACCGCCCAAACCCCCGGCACCCCCGGCACGCCTCTCGGTTCCTCCGCCGCCGCCAATTCTCGCCGCGCCGGCCCTTCACGACTGCAGAACGTCGCCTATGCTTCTCCCGTCCCGGGAACACCGCACGGTCTTCCCCCTCACGCGCAGCAACAACAGCAGCAGCAACAACCGAACCTCGCCTTCCTGCAACAGCAACAGCAGATGCAAGCGAACCAGCTCCGAATCGCACAAGCGCAAGCACAAGCGTTGGCGCAACAACAGTTTTCGACGCAGGCGCAGTTTGCGCAGTTGCAGGCTCAGGCGCAGGCTCAGCAGGCTCAGCAGCATGCGGGTGGGTCGAACAAGAGGAAGAGGGGGGAGGAGGAGAGGAGGGGGCACGAGGAGGTCGAGGGCGAGGCAGAGGGAGAGGACATGACGCCTTATTGCTTCTGCCACCGCCCGTCGTTCGGAGAGGTGCGTCCCTTTCCCGTCTTCCTCTCAACGCGACCGGAAGCTGACGTGTGTACCGGTCGCGCAGATGATCGGCTGCGACGCGCCCGACTGCAAGATCGAGTGGTTCCACCTCAACTGTATCGGGCTGAAGGAGTCGCCCGAGGGGTCGTGGTACTGCAGCCAGTGCGAGCCGCGCATGAAGGCGCAGCAGCAGGGCCGGTCGGGCAGGAAGCGATGAGCGTGACGAGCGGGTTTGCGTTTCGAGTCGTGCAAGGATGTTGTTGTTGTCTCCCCGTCTCGCGGCTGTGGAGCAGGAGAGAGTGCGAAAGAGAGCGTAGATGTTACATGATGGTACAGACAGACAGGACGAGCGTGCTGATACAACCGAGAATGTGAGGAAGGGACGTCTATGAGAGCGAGTCGAAGCGCTTGAACGCGTGCTTCTCGAACTCGCGCATGCCGTGGCCCTTGTCGTGTCCGCGCCCGCCACGCTTACCGCCCTTCTTCGACTCGTTCGCCCGCTCGACAGGCACCTTTCCCCTCCGCATCCCGCTGTTGACCCACTCCTTCCACAAGTTGCCCTCGGGCTGGAGCGTCCGCAGATTCTCCGCCAACTCGTCGCCGAGCTGGAAGGTGACGGGTGCGTCGGGTACCCTCGAGGGGCCGGAGCGGTACCGTGCGAGTCCGCGTTCTGCGAGGCGGGCCTTGCGGACCTTGAGCGCGGCGGCCTTCTCCTCGAGCGAGAGGTTCTTCGCCGCGAGGATCTCGGCCTGGACGTCCTTCGCGTGCTGGACCGACGCGATGCGCTTCTTCATCGCCCGTCGGTCGGCGAGGTCCCGCATCTCCGCCGTCACGCGCAACTTGGTGTTTCGCTGCGCCTTGGTCTTGCGCTTCGCCGCCCGCCGCTTCAGCAGCTCCTTGTACGCCTGCGCCTCGGGGTCGACGATCGCAAGCTCCTCGTCCTCCTCGCCCGAACCCACTTCCTCCTCGTACACCTCCCACGCCTCTCGGCCCCTCGCCAACCGCCGCATCTCATCCAGCGCCTCCTTCGCGTCCTGTCCACGCTCGTCTCGCTCTTCTTCGGCTTCGTAACGAACGAGAGCGGAGGCGAGGAGTGCTTGGTGGTGGTCGTGAGCGGGGTTGTAGGACATGCCGGGATGAGGGATGGCGACGGAGCGAGGCTGGGCCGTGGACAGCAAAGTGTGAGAGTGCAGAGATGTAGGAGCCTGCACAGACACACGCGAGGCGATGAGCGGTGGTCCGTACGAGGGAGAGACGAATAAAACGAGACGCACCTTGGGAGCCGGCCGTGTTTTGGGGTCGTGAATGGCCAGGACCTCCTTCATGGCGGCATCCTCGTCGTCTCCCGTTGCTTCTTGTTCCGCCTTCCACGCATCGTACTTCCCGGCGTCCCTCACGGCGCCCGACACCGCCTCCTCGCGGTCTCCAGTCGACTTGAGACCCCACAAGCCCTCTCCTTGTCCGTCGCGGCCCGTCATGCGCTTCAACTTCTCCTTCGTAGCCCTGTCGACCTTGCCCAACTTGGCCTTGACGCGCTTGGCCTGCGCTTCGGCGGACGGCACCACCTTGCTCGAGAGAGCGGGTACATTCGACCGCTGCGCGAGGATGAGCTCCGAGCGGAGCGGCTTCTTGAAGGACTGGCCCTTGCGGAGCCTGGCAGCTGCGGGAGCCTGGTCTGCGAGGAGGGTGTGGCGGACAGACGAGGACCCGGTGGTGTCAATCTCGAAGAGCGGCTTGTCGGCGTCGGCGGACGCGGCGAGCTTGGCGGTCGACGGTGCCGCCTTCTTCGAGTTGGCGCGGGCTTTGGGCATCCTGATCAGCGCACACGAGCAGCGGGAACAGCGAGAGAGTGATGAGGCCAAGTCCAAGCCAGAGCGAGCTCAGGAATGAGGACTGACAATCACGCTCGCACGCTCAGCTAGACACGGTGGCGCCTCCAAAGCTCACGCAGAGGACTCTCGAACGTATCTCGAAGCGCGACAAGCCCACGCGCGATATCTCGTCTTGGGCAACGTCCGCGACTGGATCCGCCGACGACTCCGACACGATGGCGGCCGAGCGGGATGAGTTGGACTGGCCAGAGTACATCAGCGAGGCTAGGACGGCGCTCAGCAGGACGCGGACCAAGGATCGGACGGAGACGCTCGCTGAATTGCGGGTGTGGGCGACGAAGCGTGAGCGGAGCGATCTCCCGCGCAGGCGGGCTTGTTTGGGCTGACTTGGGTGTGCTGCAGCGTCTCTGGAGCCGGCTCAGGTACAGGACCTCGTCCGACTGCTCGTCTCGACCGTGCCCCGCTACGTCGACTCGACCTCTCGCCAGGCGGTCCTCGCGGTCCTCGCGGTCCTCTCGGCGCTCCTCGCACGCGACTACGCCCCTAGCCGAGACGATGTTGCAGCGACGTCGAACGGCAAGACCGCATCGCTCACGAACGGTCTCATCAGGTGGCTCGAGGGCGAGACGGCCAAGGTCGACAAGACCGGCGCCAGTTCGACTCGCTTCGCTCTTCTTGCCTGGGCCAACACGATCTACTCTTCCGTCCCCGCCGACCACCCTCTCGAAGACGCACCCTTCGCCTCCCTCGCCATCACTCTCTCCACCCTCCTGAATGCGGTCCTGGACGAGGCGAACGGGGCCAAGGAGTCGATCCGCAAATCTGCCCTTGTCTCCACGCGGCGCGCCGTGCGAACAGTGAGTCTGACTATACCTGGTGACGGTCAGCGTGCTGACGAACCTTATGCAGCGCCACGAGTCGATCCCTCGCCTTGTCACAACGCTCGCCTCCGCCAAGTCCGATCCCAGCTACCGCCACGCAGCCTTGGTCGGCCTTGCGATGGACGTCGCGCTGCGGCTGAAGGATCCGAAGGGTCATCTGAACGTTGGGAAGGGCTACGTCGAGGAGCTCAAGCCGATCGTGAACGACCTCTACCTCAATTCGGTCGTCACGAGCAAGACCGTCCCTCCTTCCCACGTTCTCGGCGCTCTCTCCGACTTCTTCGCTGCCACCGTCACCATCGACGATGCGACATCGACCTTCATTCCGGCTATGGAGAAGGCATTGAACCGCGCAGCTGAACCCGCACTTACCATCCTCCGATCATTCTTCGCCGCTCTTCCTCCCTCCGTCTCTTCCGACCCTACATTGCGCCAGAAGCTCGCCCCTGCCATTCTGACGTCCGCCAAGTCGTCCTCCGCCCCGACTCGCGCCGCCTCGATCCGCCTTTTTTCGACCCTCTACTCGTCCGGCTCCGAGGAAGACCTCCTCCCCGTCGCTGAGCAGGTGTATACGCCCGTTCGAACGGGCAAGACGACTTTCGTCGATCACCGCGTCGCGCTGTACACCATGCTCGCCTCCCTCCCTCCTTCGCCAAAACTCTCCGCCGAGATTGTCACGACCGCCCTCACCGCCCTGCCGAAGGAAACGAACGAGAACACCGTCTCTGCCGTCTCGCAGGTCTTGTCCGCGCACCTTCCCGCCGTCCTCCTCGCCGATACCGCCGTCCCCGCGCCTCAGATCGCCGCACTCGTCAAGGGCATGGCCGATACGAAGCCAGCTATTCGCCGGCTCGTCCAGGCAACAGTTGGAAACGTCTTCTGGGTGTTGAAGGAGTCGGGGAAGGAAGCGACCCAGGCGGAAAAGGCGTTCGCGACCGGTCTGTTGCCCGGGTTCGAGGCGTCGCTCAAGATTGTCACGACCAACATGCTCAATTCCCCGTCGGGTCCGCTCGAAGGCTACGTCGCCGTCGCAGTGCTGAAGAGCCGGGCATCGAAGTGGGGTGTTAAGAAGATCGACGACCTCGTCAACTCGAACGCCGCGATGCAAACGCTCGGCCAGACGGGCGCCAAACCCAACTTCTTCCTCTACGACAAGGTGTATCGCAAGGCGTCGTCGGTTGAGGATGGCGTCTGGCTCGCTCGCGCGCTGGAAGCGTTCTTCGATGCGGACGAGGACAAGCTCGCCAAGGACGAAACGCTCCGGGCCAACTTCGCCGCTGCGCTCCTGCACCTCATTACCGAAGGCGCATCGCACGACATCCGCGCCGAAGCCGTCGGCTTTGTTCGCAAGGCCTGCGCGCGGTCCCCGAAGCTCGTCCACCTCGCTTTGCGCGACGGCATGCGGGCCTGGCTCGTTCAAAGCGAGAAGGCGAAGGCGGTGGCCAAGCCGACTGCCGAAGACGCCGAGGCTCCGCTCGACCGTGCACCTCGCCTCCGCGCCGTTCTCTCCGCCCTCGCCTCCTTCGACGACGAGGTCGACCAGCAAACCCGCGAAGATCTCCTCGTTCAGCTCGTCGTTCTTGCGCACTACCCGCGACTGTCCAAGTCGGAAGCCAGCCTTTGGGTCGACTTGCTTCTCATCGCCAAGGTCTCGCCAGACAAGGTGATTGCTGAGCGGCTGTCAGAGCTAATCGACCTGGTTCTCGCGGACGCTTCGCTCACACCGGCGGTATGTTCGTGCTGCTCGACATTGCTCGACGATTGACTGACATCGTCACGCCTGCAGAACCAAGCTTTTGCGGACGCCGCCTACCGCGCGGTCACGACCTGCGCCCTCGTCCTCCCCGAGAAAGCGGTTCCAGCACTCTTCGCCCAGTTCCAAGACGACCTCCTGCCGTCGCATCTCGAGTTCATCGGCGCGACCGAGTTCGGCGTCTGGGGTACTCCCGAGGGCCAGACGTTCGTCGATGTCCTCGCCGATGCGAAGAAGAAGACGAGTGCGACGCCTGTCGGCAAGGCCAACTCGAAGGAGCACCAGATCGCTCTCTGGGAGGCGGAGTTGCGCGAGTCGCTTTCGCGCAAGAAGCCCGTCGCGGCGCAGCTTTCGAAGCAGGACCGCGCGACGCTCGACAAGCAGCTTGCGCTCGAGAGCGAGATCCGCGCGCAGGTCGGCACGGCACTCGGCAGGCTGCGGCGAGGTTTCCGGTTCGCCCTGTGCTTGATCAGCTCGCATGCCGAGCTCGTCAGGGAGTACCTTGCGAAGATGATCGAGCAGACGCTCGCCGTCATCATGCTCCAGCCTGCGACACTCGTTGCAGAGGAGGCTTTCGAGACCTACTTGGTGCGTTGCGTTCTGTTCTTTCCTTGCTCATCCGCTCGAGCTGATTGCTCCCTCGCAGGCGCTCGCAAACGTCTGCTCCGAGCGACTCGGTGTGTTCAAGACCGCGATCGGCGTTGCCGTCCTCCGAAGCGTTGAGGCGCAAGTCGTCCCTGAGAACTACCGAGCCGAACCCCTCCCCGACCTCATCTCCCGCGTCCTCTTCCAGCTACGCTTCCTCTCCGAACAGTCGCCGTTCGACGCGGGAACGTACGCCTACGCCGCGCCTCTTCTGAGCAAGATCCTCCGAACAGGCGGCGTCGGCATTGACAAGTCGCAGGCCGAGACAGCTCTCGAGCAGCTCTCGCTCGCGCTCGACGTCATTTCATTCCATGTCCGCCAGTGCAGCGACACAGCCTTCCCGCGACTCGCCCTGGTTGGCGACCTGCTCGCCGCCTTGACCGGCTACCCGTCGCTGAGTCGTACGGCGGCAACGGCGTTGGCGGACCTCGGCGAGGCTATGCAGGACAACGCGTCGTCGGACGAGATCGCCGCCATCCTCGACGGTGCCTTGGCAGAAGAGGCGTTTGTCCGTCTCGCTGCTCTGCAGGCACTGCAACCGCTCGACTTGACCGACCTCGACTTCCCAGTCAAGCTTTGGGTCCTCGCTCATGATGTCGACGAGCGCAACCGCGAGCTCGCCATCACCGTGTGGCAGGAGAACGGTCTCAGCGTCCCCGCGAAGACGTTCTTGCCGCCACTCATCGCCCTCCTCAGCCACTCCGCCCCCTCTGTCCGCGAAGCCGTTGCTGCAGCCATCGCTGAAGGCGTCACAGTGCACTCCGACCATGTCGCAGACGCCCTACTTCAGCTCATCGCCGAGTACGAGGACAAGGCGAAGGAGCTCGTTCCCGAGTACGACCGATTCGGCATGCTCGTCGAGGAGTCGCTGTCGCGCGAGGACCCGTGGCGGACCCGCAAAGCGATCGCAACGACTCTGCGATTGATGGCCGACCTCTTCTCGCCGGCAGATGTCGAGACTTTCTTCGACCTCCTCATCGCTGGCAAGGCGCTCGGCGACCGCAGCCAGTCCGTCCGTACCGAGATGCTGGAGGCGGCGCAGACTGTCATCGACATCCACGGCAAGGAGACCCTACAGCACCTCATCGAGACATTCGAAGAGTACCTTGCTCGCCCTAGCACCGGCGATGAGACGCAGGACCTCGTCACCGAGGCGCTCGTGATTCTGTTCGGTCGCCTCGCTCGTCACCTCGACCCGACCGACCCGCGCATCAAGACTGTCATCGGCCGCCTGATCGAAGCCCTCAAGACGCCATCCGAAGTCGTCCAGGCTGCCGTCTGCGACTGTCTCCCACCGCTCGTCAAGGTCCGCAAGGACGACATTCCGGATCTCGTCGACCAGCTTCTCAACGACCTCTTCAACGCACCCAAGTACGCAGAGCGTCGTGGAGCCGCCTATGGTCTCGCCGGTGTTATCCAGGGTCGCGGTCTCTCGGCTGTTCACGAGTTCGGCATCATGGGACGCCTGCAGGACAACGCCGAGGACAAGAAGTCGCTCCAGGCTCGTCAAGGCGCCGTGTTTGGCTACGAGGTCTTCGCGACTGTCCTGGGCCGCCTCTTCGAGCCCTACATCCCCGAAATCCTCCCGACCCTGCTTGCCAGCTTCGGCGACCCGGCGCCCGACGTTCGCGAGGCGACGTCGGACGCGGCGAAGGCCATCATGAGCAGGCTCAGCGGTCACGCCGTCAAGCTCATCTTGCCGACGCTTCTCGAGGGCCTCGACGAGAAGCAGTGGCGCGCAAAGAAGGGCGCTATCGAGCTCATGGGCGCGATGGCTTTCCTCGCGCCTCGTCAACTCTCAGCATCTCTTCCAACCATCCTTCCTCGCCTCACGGAGGTTCTCACCGATACGCACAAGCAAGTTCGCGAGTCGGCAAACACCAGTCTCAAGCGCTTCGGCGAGGTCGTCACGAACCCGGAGATTAAGGAGATGACCTCCATACTCCTCGACGCGCTTGTCGACCCCGCTCGCAAGACGCCCAAGGCGCTTGACACCCTCCTCACGACGACATTCGCTCACTTCATCGACGCTTCGTCGCTTGCACTCCTCGTGCCGATTCTCGACCGTGGCCTCCGCGAGCGCAGTGCCGACGTCAAGCGCAAGTCGGCCGCCATTGTCGGCAACATGGCTACCCTGACTGAACCGCGCGACCTCATCCCGTACCTGAATCAGCTCGTCCCTCTCCTTCGCGACGTCCTGATCGACCCAGTTCCGGAGGCCCGTTCGACCGCCGCCAAGTCCCTCGGTGGTCTTGTCGAACGCCTCGGCGAGAACAACTTCCCCGACCTCATCGACTCCCTCATGTCAATTCTCAAGTCGCCTTCGGCTCAAGTCGACCAACAGGGTGCGGCGCAAGGTGTTGCCGAGATTCTTGCCGGCCTTGGAACCGATCGCCTCGAGGAGATGCTTCCTGTCATCCTCCAGAATACCTCCAGCCCGCGCACCTACGTTCGCGAGGGCCACATTTCGCTTCTCGTCTTCCTTCCCGTCACATTCGGCGACCGCTTCTCCCCATACCTCGGCAAGATCATCCAGCCGGTCCTTTCGGGTCTCGCAGACGACTCGGACTTTGTCCGCGATGCGTCGATGCGCGCTGGCCGCATGATCGTCGCTAACCACAGCACCAAGGCCATCGACTTGCTCCTCCCCGAGCTCGAGCAAGGCCTGTTCGACGAGTCGTGGAGGATCAGGCAGAGCAGCGTGCAGCTCGTCGGAGACCTGCTCTTCCGCATCTCTGGCATCAGCGGCAAGATCAGCGAGGAGGACGAGGGCGACGACGAGGCCGAGGAGACGGCCGCGCCGGGACTCGACGCCGCCAAGAAGGCTCTCATCGAGGGTCTCGGCAAGGAGCGTCGCGACCGCGTCCTCGCTGCGATCTACATCGTTCGCCAGGACGCCGTTGGTGTCGTTCGCCAGGCTGCTATCGGTGTCTGGAAGGCGCTCGTCTCGAACACACCCCGGACAGTTCGCGAGATCCTCCCCATTCTCAGTGCGTCTGCAGGCTTCTTGTCCGGTTTGGGTGGCATGCTGACCGGTCGCATCAACAGTGCAAACTATTGTCCGCATCCTCGCCAGCCCGGCCCTCGAGCAGCGCGAAAACGCCGCTCGCTGTCTCGCCGATTCGTGCCGCCGCCTCGGCGAGTCTGTCCTCGGCGAAGTCATCAGCATCCTGCAGAAGGCGATGTTGTCGCAGGACCGGCGCCAGCGCGAGGGTGTATGCTTGGCGTTCACGGAGCTCATGGCCAACACGAGCAAATCGTCGTTGGAGGCGCACGAGGAAACGGTCATCGCCGCCGTCCGGTCCGCCCTCGTCGACTCGGATGCCAGCGTCCGCTCGGCAGCCAGCCAGGCGTTCGATATTGCTCAGCAAGTTATCGGCCCTCGTTCAATCGACGAGATCATCCCGACTCTGCTCGACGCACTCCAGACGCCAGGAGCGACGGCCGACGCAGCGCTCGAAGCGCTTCGCGAGGTGCGTCCTGGTCTCCTCCTCTCCTGCTCGGGAGAATGCCTGACATCCTTTCTCCACGCCAGGTCATGCAAGTCCGCGCCGAGAAGATCTTCCCTGTCCTTATCCCTCGCCTCATCGCGCAGCCCATCACCGCCTTCAACGCTCGCGCTCTCTCCGCTCTCGTCCGCGTCGCTGGCTCGGCGCTCGGTCGCCGCGTCACGCACATTGTCGACGCGCTGCAGACTGCGCTCGAGAAGGAGCAGGATGAGGAGACGAAGGAGTCGCTCGATGCGGCTCTCACCGCCGTACTCGCCGCCGTCGAAGACCACGACAGTGGTCTGGGCAGTCTCCAGATGCACATGCTCGGGCTCTGCAAGCACGAGTCGCCGACGAAGCGGATCACCGGATGCAACCTGTTCGCCCGCTTCTGCCGAGCCACCGAAGCCGACTTCTCCGACTACGTCGTCGACTACATCCGCCAGCTCGTCTCGCTCTTCGACGACCGGACCGGCAACGTTGTCACGGCGGCTTGGTCGGCCCTTGACGCGCTCGTCAAGAAGCTCGACAAGGAGGACATGGAGCCGCTCGTCGTTCCTCTAAGGCGAACCATCGAAGGAGTCGGCTTGCCTGGCCACCCGGTCGAGGGCTTCTCGCGTCCGAACGGCCTCAAGCCTATCCTGCCGATCCTCTTGCAGGGTCTTCTTGCCGGTACCGCCGAGCAGCGCGAGCAGGCCGCGTACGGTCTCGGCGACCTGGTCGAGCGCACCACGCCTGAAGCCTTCAAGGCGTACTGCATCCAGACTGTTGGTCCGCTCATCCGTGTCATCGGTGACCGTCTCCCGCCGCCCGTCAAGTCGGCCATCCTCTCAACCCTCACGATCCTTCTGAAGCGCACGCCGCTTTTCGTCAAGCCGTTCTTCCCCCAGCTCCAGCGGACCTTCGTCAAATCGCTCGTCGACACATCCTCTCTGTCGGTCCGCAATCGCGCGGTCGCCGCTCTCGGGGCCCTCATGCAGCACCAGCCGCGTGTCGACCCGCTCGTCACCGAGCTGGTCAACCTCGTCGCATCCGAGGAGGGTGATGTCCGCGACTCGGTCGTCAACGGTCTTGCAGCGACGGTCGCATCGGGCGGCAAGAACATGAGCGAGTCGAGCATCTCGTCGGTCGTCGACATCATCTCGGAGGCGTTCGCAGAGTCTCCCAAGGGTGAGTCGCTTGGTTCTGAACTTTCCTCGGCAGCTCTGACTGTCTTCGCTCGCAGAGTCCTACGCAACGGCCGTTGCTCGCCTCGTCGCTTCCGTTGCGCTTCACTCCCCCTCTTCTCTGGACTTCATCGTCGCCTCGTTCGTCCTCGGGACGTCGACCGACCTGCCGCCAACACAGCTTTCAGCAATCGCGCTGCGCGAGCTCATCGATACTGCACCGGCGGTCTTGTACGAACTTGACAAAGACGCAACGGTTGACCGAGTGGTTCGGATGGCGAGCGGAAGTGCGACGGGCGGGACGGCGAACCCTGCGATCGCGAGGCCAGCGAGGGAGACGAAGGAATTGATGAAGGAGCGGGAGCCGTGGCGCGATGACGAGGACGTGTTGTCGAGGTTGTGAGCGGGGGAGGAGAAGTTGCAAATAGATCGCAACCTGCAATTCGCAAACGCAAAGCGGCCCTCCAGCAGTCTTCGGAGGTCGCGCATTCTCACATGATGTCGCGGTGACGAGTAACAACCCATGCGATGCAAGACAGACAATACGATCCTCTACCAACTCTCCCATTCGTCCTCCTCCTTTGTCTTCTTCGGAGCAGCAGCTGCGGCTTCCTTCTCCTTCTGCTGCTGGGCCCTCCTTGCCGCCGCCTGCGGTGCGAGCGAGTCCCACGATCCGGTCACTTCCGGCTTAGGAGGCGGCGGAGTCTGCGTTGCCGGCGACGAGCGACCTGTCGAGCCAGCTGCCAACGTCGAGCGAACAGTCGGCATGTCGCGGAAGCCGCCCATGTCGGAACTCGAGCCCGCCCCGCTTCCCGTGCCGAGGTGCGCTTCGAAGAAGTCCCCCTGGCCCGGCTCCATCGTGCTGTGAGCCGTCGGAGCGTGCTCCTCGCCAACCGCACCGTATCCCTCGCCGGCACCGCGACCGGTCGCACGGTCGATATAGCGCGCGCCGAGGTCGCCGACGTCGACGCCCAAGTCACGGCGGATGAAGGTGGAGGAGGTCTCGAGGCCGGTCGAGAGGAGCTGGCCGGACGTCTTCGCAGCAGTGGAGAGGGTCGAAATCGCGCGAGAGGAGATGGTGGACAGCTGAGACTGAAGGGCCGGGTCGGCGGCGCGTTCCAGGGTCGGCTGGAGGACGGATCTGCGCAGGCGCATCGTCAGCAATCTCGCTCACGCTGAAAAGCTCACCGGACGCACTCGTTCACCGTCTTGCCCACCGCACCCAACGCCGCGCCCAAGAAGCCCCATCCCTTGCCGAGCGCGCCGACAGGGTCGTCCCGCAAATCGTCGAGTCCTGGCAAGTTGCGACTGCTGAGCGGGTTCGCATTCCCTCTTCCTGCCGAGGACGGCGTGAAGGAGCCGCTCGAGCCGAAGCCTTGGTACTTCCCGCCTTGCGAGGGAGGAAGGTTGTCCGGCCTCGAATCGTTCGTCGCACCCATTCGAGCGAAGAAGTCTTCGTTCTGCGTTTTGCTGGGCATGCCGGACGGCGTAGCGGGAGAACCGGTACGTGATGGTGTAGAGGACGTGGACGAGGCAAAGTTGGTCGAGCGAGGCTTGCGGAGGGTGGAGGATGAGGACGAGGAGGACGGAGCGGGAGGGTCGGAGGGGATCCACGGTCGACCTTCAGCATCGGCGAGGAGCTTTTCGCGGTACATGTTGGCGACGTGTGTGTTGTACTGTGGGTTAAGGGCGTCAGGCAAGCTGTTTCGCGGGAGGAAACGCATGTCCGCGACAGCGCAATCCGCATCTCCTATTGAGCAGGCCGTCCATCTCCAGACTCACCTTCTCCGTGATGGGCAGACTCTTCCAAGGCTGTCCGTTGCCCTCGAAAAACTCGCGACATTTGCCGTTGCCTCCCGCCTTCATCCGGTCAATCTGCGCCGGCGTCCACTTGTCCTGTGAAGCGTGCGAGCGTCAGCGTGCTGTAAGCGGGCGCGGCAAAACATGCGACTGTGCTGACCATAGTCAAGGAACGAACGAAACTCAGGTGCGAGCCGAGCGACCTGTGTGTTCCGGAACACGAGAGGCAGAGCGAGATGGCGAGCGACAAAGAGCACCACTGGGGATGCGGGGTTGCGCATTCGGCGCAAGTCTTGTTGTCGCCTCTGTTGTTGGGGAAGAGGATCGAAGCAGACCAGGAGGAGGGAGAGGAGCCGACGAAGATATCGACGAGGTGGGGAGAAGGGAGAGCAAGAGTGAACCGTCAGCTCTGTGGCCCGCCAAGCCAGCCGGGCGTGTCCTTCGTCTGCTGCATGAGGCGCTGCGCTGCCTCGCCCAGTCAAGCGAGCTGTGAGACGCACTCTTTCATCCACTGTCGTCGCAAACACGATCAGCGCGTTGCCCGTCGCAGAGAGCGAGGGAAGGCGCACCTCGAGCAGGACCCCACGCGTGTCATATTCGTATGCCATGGCGTTCGGATCGGTTGAGCGCTTAGCGAGGGAGATAGGTAGGAGGAGCGGGAGACGCGATCGGGTCGACAATGGGGAGAGGAGTGAGCAGACACGCGCTGTGAACTAGCAGAGCGCCGCGATAATGCCGACAGAGCCGTAGCCAAGCGAGGAGCTGAGCGCGAATTGAGCGCAGATTGAGCGAACGAAGGCAAGACGGGAACCGCGAGCGAGCGTCCTCCTCGACGAAGTTGTCTAGATGCATGCTGATTGCGATACAGTACACTACGCCCGACCCTCCGCCTAAACAGACTGGGTCGCCGCTGCAGGGACCGCGCCCGCCTCAGCAAACCTGCGCAAAAGCTCGACGCCTCCCGTGAAGCCAGCCGTGACGGGCTCGCCTCCTTCGAGCGCCGGGCGAGTCGGAACATCGCCCCACTTCGACTCCTGAGCCTGCTGCACCGGCCTGGCAGCCTGGCTCGCCGCCTTGAGCGCCGCCTGGACGTTCTGCCTCGTCGAGCCAGTTCCAGTGAGCGCGGTGAACGCGTCCTGAATGAGCCGAGCGTCCTTCCACTCGTCGAGGACCTTCTCCTGTATGCGGATCTGCTTCTCGACCTCGCCGAAGAAGGTAGCGCCGTGCGCTTGCGCTTCGAGGCGGGCAGATCGGTTCGCGGTTTCCTGCTCGGCGCGGAGTGTGCGGAACTGGGCGACGCCGTGCGGGTATGCCTTCGACAGTGGCATGTTGTGGTGCTCAATCAGGTTGCTGATGAAGGAGATGCAGCTGGAGAACGACAGGATCGAGCGTGAGCAAGAAGAGGGCGACTGGAGCAGTAGAATTGGACGAACTCTTCAGGCGTAGGGAACGTCGACCGTTGTCGCAGCTCAGTCCACTCCTTGCCCTGCGGGTATTCGGGCTCGGTGATGCGCTCGTTCTCGACAAGCGTGGTCGGCCGGTACGCTTCGTACGGGTGGTCGAGGAAGAAGAGGCGGCGAATCTTGTCTTCGGGAAAGACGATCTCCCGAGGCCTGACCTTGCCCATCCCCCAGGCAGTAGGCGGCGCCTTCCGCGTGACATCGCGAACGGCTCCTGCTCCGAGCGGGTCCCTCAGAGCCTCCTCCTCGTGCGCCGTGAGCTTGATCCCCCGCTCCTGCTTCTGCTTGGCCGTCTGGTACATCGACCGGTTGTCCGCACCCTGCTGCGACTTCCGCGCTCGGAGGGGAAGGTCGGCTTCGGGGCGCTCGGGGAAGGTCCGGACGAGAGAGGGTGGTGGAGGGTGTGCGAGGATCGGGTAGAAAGAGGCAGGCGGGTTCTTGAGGAACGCGCCCGACTTGAGCTGTCGCCCAATCGCGTGCGGGATGTTCTTCGCCGACTTGCGCGCGTTCATGGCGAAGCGAGAAAGGCGGGAGGGTCGGAGGTCTGGAGGGAGGGCAGCATCTGGTCAGCAGGCGGTCTTGACAGTGTGAGCGCCCTTCGAGGCTCCAAGAGGTCCTCCCAGCACATTCAAGCGGCTCGCCCGTCCAAGCACGCCGGCCGACAGCCGATTCGACCTCGAGCGATGGAATTGAGCGGGTGGTCGGGGGAAGGGGAGGAGGGCGATGGGGTGCGCTTGAGATGGACGTACGAAGTCTTGTACTTTGTCTCGAGCACTCGCAAGCTGTTCCTGCTCAGCGCGTGAGCCTTGCACGAGTTGTTCGCTGCCAACCTCGCTCGCGCTCCTCCTCATCAAGGCCATCCGCTCACACACGCTGGACGCGCTGTTCCGGCGCTCAGACGGCTCAAAGATGCATTCTCGGCTACTACGCGCCTCCCTGCTCGTCGTCCTCGCGCTGTGTGTCGCGCGAGTACACGCCCACACCATCGACCTCGACGCCGGCGCGAAAGAGTGCTTCTTCGAGGATTTGCATACCGAGGACAAGGTGAGAGCGCTCTCGAACGCGGCCGCGTCGACCAAGCGCCGGCCTAGCTGACACCCTCGTCCTGCACACTCCGCTCCGGCCCCACTCCTCGTCGTCCCCGTTGTTCCGCTACAACTCGCCGTGGTACTGTTGTAATGTGCGCAGATGACCGTGACGTATCAAGTAGCAGGCGGCGGTCACCTGGACGTCGACTTCTGGCTCACCGGACCCGGGAACCGGGTCATGAACGAGCAGCGCAAGAAGGACACGGGCACGTACTCGTTCACGGCCGAGCAGGACGGGCGATACACGTACTGCTTCAGCAACGAGATGAGCACAGTCAGCGGGAAGACGGTCAGGTGCGTTTTCCAGGGCACACTCGATGGAAGCCCTTTCTCCTTCGTTTGTCGAAGCTTGGTGTCCCGCTATTCCTGGACGTGCTGACGAGGTTGTTCTCGCACAGCTTCAACGTGCACGGCATCATGTATGTCGAGGACGACGGTGCGTGGCGCAGTACCATCGCTTCAATTATCCTCCCGTCGTTCTGACTGCCCTCGTCTTCGCAGGCCACACGGCACCCATTGAGCGCGAGATCCGACAACTTTCAGCGGCACTTGAGGCGGTCAAGGATGAGCAGGAGTACATCGTTGTCCGCGAGCGACTGCATCGAGACAGTGGGTTCGCCTCCTCCTTCGCTCCTCGCATCTGTACTCACGGCCGAACCGTTACAGCTGCCGAATCTACAAACGACCGCGTCAAGTACTGGTCCATCATCCAGACCATCATGCTCTTCGCCGTCTGTGGCTGGCAGATCTTCTACCTCAAGCGCTTCTTCGAGGTCAAGCGGGTTGTATGAAGCGTGTCCGCATCAAAAGGTGAGTCTGCAAGCCTCCACAGCCCCCGACGATCTGCTGACGCTATCGCGCCGTACAGATCAGTTCGCCTTACGACCGCTCGCAGAACCAGTCGTCGCACCCTGTAGTTTTGGTATACCCGCTTCCTTCGCAGCAATTGCAAGAAGGAGTTTATCCGCCGTCCGACTTGGGCATTGTGCAGCAGTCCATCTTGCTCGTGCGCTGCTTTGTCGAGACTCGTCCGCTGGACGCTCTTCTCGCTTGCTTCTCGCTGGAAAGCTGAGTACGCAAACGCCGCGGAGATCGCTTGAGGCTATCCTTGTTCAGCTAGCTGCCTCTCTTTCCATGCGAATGGCGGAGTCGCTTTCAGGGAGGACCAGCGACAGTGCGCAGAAGCAAGAACGTGGTTGCGAGTTGACTTAAACTACTCTGACTCGTCTTTCTAACAAGCGCTGTTGGTGTACCGGTAACATGGCTGCCTTCCATTAAAGTGGTCCAGCATTCGTAGTGGGTTCGACTCCCGCACAGCGCAACTCATTTTTTGCTGTTCTCGCCCACAACCTTTTCTTCGAGCGAGCGGCAAGTTGCCCTCTCTTTTGCTTTTCGCCCAGCCGGTTGCGATGCGGTCAAGCAGGACAATGCCGGGGGCAGCACTGGCAAGCGAGCAAAGCCGGACAGCAGGGGAAGTCAACGTAACTCGCCTCAAGCTTACTCTCGCGCGCAGGTGACGAGATATGCAAGATGCGATTGCATGCGGCGTTGCTGTGACAATGGACAAAGGACCACGGAACCGAGACCGACGACTGCTTCGCTTCGAGAGAGAGATTTCCAATCCCGTCTACTTCGACTCGCCGAGCGCCTCGAGTTCCTTCCGCAACTCGGCTTCGTTCTCGAGCTTCTTGTGCTGCGTCAGCTCGAGCTTCTCGCCCGCAGCCTTCTTGACCTTGAGCTGCTCGATCGCGTTGAGCTTTTTGATGATCGCGCGGCGCTTCTTGTCCTCGGGCGAGAGCGTTGCCTCCTGCGCAACTTCGGGTGCAGGCTCGGGGACGGGCGGTGCGGCGGGCTGAGGCGTCGCTGCGCCGCTGCCGGGTGCCGAGTCTGAAGCAGACGCGCCGTCCGCTTGCTGGCCCTTCTTGCCGCCCTTCTTCTTGCGCCGGTTCGCGAGCGGGTCCTCTCCCTGCCCGGCTCCAGGAGGCGCGCCAGGAATGTTGCGACGACCGCGCTGGCCGAAGCCGCCCGAGCCCGCACCGTTCGCGCTCTGCGAATGAGGGAAGAGGTTGGCGCCGTTCGAGCCGGAGTACGCCGCGCCTCCCTCATCCTCGCGCTTGTAGACGGTCGGGGTGAGGGTGCCACGGGCGTGAGGCGGACGGTAGGCTCCGCCGGCAGCTGCGGGCTTGGGAGCGGGCGTGGCGGCGACGGCGATGGAAGCCTTCGGTGCCGGCTCGAGAGGGCCGCTCATCGGGTACCATTCGGGGTTCGCCGGTCGCCACGAAGCCTGCGAGACATGAGGACGGTCAGCGGATGATGGCGAAATCTCGCGGGATGAGAGGCACCTGGTAAAGCTCCTCAATCTGCTCGACGTGCAGGAGACCGCCGGTGAAGTGGTACATCTTGATGCCGTTGTCGACGCGCAACCTCGGGCTAAGCGTCGCGCACATGAGGTACCGACCGTCGGCGCTCCACTCGCAATGGACCGTATTGGGCGCATCGAAAGTCGTCACCTTTTTGAGCGTCTGGCGGTCGTAGATGTCGATCTGGCCCGCAAGGTTTCCAAAGCCGGCAATGCACAGGAGGCGGCCTTGCGGGTTGTACGAGATGAAGTTGCGAGGGCTGAGGCCAAAGTCGGAGATGACCTTGACGCGCTGGTCGAAGATGACCGTCTTGGCGGGCATGTCTGCGAGACTGTAGGTCAGCGGATCCTTCGCCGTGCCGCGCAACAGTTGGACGCACATCCGTAGGTGACGGCAAACTCGCGATCATTGGGCGACCAGGCAAAGTCGTGGATACCGCCCTCCTTGTCTGCGCAGGTATCGCTTCAGCTTGCGCCCGAGTCAAGCAGGCAGCGAATGATGGCACGTACCGAGCGTGACGCGGCAGTCGAATTGTCCCGCCGAGTTCATCAGGTAGAGGTTCGTCTCGCCGTAGTACGACTTGCCGGTCTTGTCGACTTCGGTCTGAGTGAGGAAGAGCAAGTTCGTGCCCGACTTGTTCCACTTCATCTGGATTTTGTCGGCCTTGTAGAACGTCTTAGAGCCGGATGCGACGCTGAGAGTGCTGAGACCGTGGATTTTGACCGAAGCGGGTGCGCCCTGCGAAAGAAACCGTCAGATCTCGAAAGCGATGGGATGGGAAAAATCGAGCGCGCCTTCTTCTCCGCGACGAACAATGCGACGTTCGGGTTCTGCCCTGGCGAGACACTGACGCTCGTGACGCCCTCCAGCCGGACCTTGTCGGCGATACCCGCCTCCCAATTGCTAGGATTGTAGACGTGCACCTCGTTCGTCACGCAACGCACCGCCTTGCTCTCGTCCGCCGTGTATTGCAGCGCCCTGGAGACGCACTTGGTCAGCTCGCGGAAGTCTGCCGAACGGAAGGCCACGAGCGCACCAGTTGTCCATCGACTTCTGCGAGAATGACGCCAGCTCCTGACCGGAAACCGAGTCCCACACCCGCAAGTTGCGATGAGGCGGCTCGCCCTCAGCCGGCTTGACTACAGGGCCCAAGGAAACCAGGTCAGCGAAAGTCGACGAGGGAAGTGAGGAACAGCACAACGCACCCTGCCTCTCCCATGACTGGATCTGGGTGCCCTTCGGCGAGAAAGCAATGTCCAAGATACCCTTCGCTGCGATTTCCGACACGACGGCCGCTGTTGAGGCGTCAAGAACCTGAATACTGGAGAGGGAAGAAGCGAGGTCAGCAGGCTCCGGCTAGGAGCGAGAGCGGCCGCAGCGCACGTGGTATTGGACACAGATGCGAAGTAACGCCCGTCGTCAGAATACCGGAACACCTTGACAGCGTTCTCAGGCCTGCACGGGTGCAGGTGAACCGGGTCAGCTCGCTCGAACAGCAAGCCTGAGGGAGGCAGCCATGCCCGCCAGGGAAACGCACTTCTGGAAAGATGCTACTGGCTCCCATGCAGGCGGCCCAGAGACGAGACCAAGCTGCTTGAGCGAGCGAACTGGTTGCAGGAGGAGAGGTCAAAACCAGCGTCAGTACTGGCCGTCGACGCGCTTCGAGGGGCCCACAAGCACAAGAAAGGCTGTACTTACGAGCGTATTGGACTGGAGGAGCACTCATGGCGCCTGTCGAGCGTTTGTCGGCGAAGGCGAAAAGGGAGGATGGAGCTGGACGGCGGTGCTGGTGGATACGCGGGAAGGGGACGCGTTCGACGACTAGCACAAGCTTAAACAGTACGGTCTGCTGCCTGTACGCTTCGTCACGAGCTGTCAAGAGCGAGAAGTACGAGTGCGAGAAGCGAAGCCAGAGACGGACGCTGGCGGCGGCTCACGAGCAGCTTGACATCTTTCTTTCGGGCTAGCTTGCTCGCGAGTGCAAGGCCTGTATGCTACAGTGTCCATTGTCTGTACAAGGAAGCGAGCGGAGGAGGGTGAGGGGGGCGAGAGGGAAGGAACGAGGGTGGATCCGTCTTGTACGACTCCAACAAGCGAGAGAATGACCGAGTTATGTCAGCTTATCGCGCATGAGTGACTGGCGTATTGGTACAGGCGGCGGAGAAGCGAATGAGGTCTCAGTTGTAGGCGTAGAGAGTGTCGAAGGAAGAGGACGTTCCGGTAGCAAGAACCGCGTTGAGACCGCCCGAGGCAGGGCGAGGCGGAACGAGCGGAAGGAAAGTGTGCTGAGGCTGTTCAGTGGGACGGCGGCTGGAATAGTCGCTGCTAAAATCGACATTGGCGAAGGTCGTCGAGTCGTGCGGATGTGGCTGCGTGGCGGCTGGAGGTTCGGCACGCGCCCGCCGGGCAAAGTCGCGGTGAGGTGAGGTCGATTGGCGAGAACGAGCGTCAGGAATCGAAGGGAATTTCGGGCAAAGCGGGGGTGCGAAAGAAGCGGGGCCATTCGCGGCGTGAGCGTGCACGGCCGGGAGAGGTGGAAGGGCAGGCAACTGTGCCCCAAGAGCGGATGTGCTGCGAGGAGGGAGAGGCGGGGCGAAGGGAAGGCGGGTGTCGGCAGCTGACTGCCCACCGACGATTGATATTCGGCGACTCGGAGGCGTCGACGTGTCTACCGATTCAGGCGCTTCAGGCTGGAAGATCGAAATGAATGGCACAGGAGGAGCAGTAGGCGGAAGAAGCTGCTGGTTGGGCGTGAGGAGAGCGAGCGGAAGATATGTCGGAACGGTCGGCTGTTGTGAATTGCTGCCGAGGAAACGAGAGGAGGGTGCAGTCGCAGGTGGTGTGCCGGAGAGAGCCGCAGGTTCTGCGCGTGAGGGGGATGAGCGGTTTCGTGCGGTGCAATGAGGAAGAGAGGGGGACTTACCGGGAGGCGCCTCGCCTGTCTGCCCCGCCGATACTGCACCACCGCTCTGATTGCTTGAGACGGTACCTGAAGCGTAAACGAGAGATGCGGGAACGCTGTGCGAGGGTGAGAGAAGGACGTCGTTGAGTAGAGCGCGCGAAGTCTCAGGCGTGGGGACTGCATCGTTCGCAGGTCCTGCGGGAACGGCTGTCACCGGTTCGTCTTCTAGGCTAGAGCAATCAGGACGCACCTTCGCCCGATCCTGTCCCGTCCTCCTCCTTCGTCCTCCCCTCCGAAAGCGGAGCAGGTCGGCTCGAAGCGGGGCCGAGTAGTGCCCTCGCAGCGCTCCTCGTACGCGGCAGCGGCTGGAAGGTCTCGTCGACGTCGAGGCTGCGGTCGGGTCGAAGAGACTTGGCCTCGCCTGGCATAGCAGCATTCGGACCGTACTCGCAGCGGTGACTCGGTCGTTCTTTGCTGTAGCGGAGACAAGCCGAGCAGACGGGACGAGCGAGGTCGCAAAGCACCTGCAAGTAGGGCTCTCAGCTCGAGTCGCCTGAGAAGGTTGACGACGGGGAGGAAGACGCACCTTTCGAGCGTGACAAGGCTTGCAAACCTTCATCGAGTCGAGCTGAGCCGGCGCAACCTCAACCGAGGCCTTCTGCCTCATGGTTGAGGTTGGCTGCGAGCGAGTGAACGGGAGAAGGAGAAGGAACGAAGGAAGAAGCTGGACGGGTAGCCGGTCGAGAGCCTCCGCGGCGAAACCCTCGACGCGCCCGGGTCGAGGGAAAAGGCGAGACAAGCGTCGACGGGCGCGCAACAGCACTCATGTCGCGCTTGACGCCTTCAAAGGCAGTGGAAACGAATGAGGCGTGCTCGTTTCAGAGCGAGGTGTGCTTCTGCAAAAGCTCCATGGTGAGCTCGAAACCGAGGAACTGCAGGGGCGCACATCGTCAGCGGCGAGCGATGAGTATACTGAGTCTCGCGGCTCACTGTCGCGGCGGCGGCCGGCACCCTGCAAGGGAAACGAAACAGGTCAGCGAGGAAGGCGACGGCGGGAAGGAGTCAGCGCACGCCCTGAGGTCTGTCAAGCGATGTCCGTTAGCAACGCTTCAAGTAGAATGGGAGGAGAAATCGTACAAGCCGGCGTCAATCCAGCGGTGAAGGCCCTGAGACCCTCTTGCCGATACATCGTCCTGAACGTCTCGACGATGTAGTTCGCTCCGCGCGGCGGAAGCTCGGCGTTCTGCACTCGACTCTTGACCACGTCTGCTCGTTGAGAAGTCAGAACAGCCCATAGGAAAGCAGTAGCGAGAGGAGCGGACCCAGCGGGTAGCTGAAGAAGGGGAGGCGTTAGCTTCGCTGTCTTTCTCGAACAACGACGACTGACACGCACCAAGCAGTCCAGTACCCCAAGCCTCCGACTCCTCCCGCCGACAGCGTCGCCCACACCGGAAGCGAATCCGTTCCCAGGTTCTTCTGCAGCGCCCGCTTCGACCACTCGTAGCCGGCGTAGAAGCCTGCATTGTGCATTGAGAATTATCAGTTGAGGTTCACAGGGGGCGAAGCTGGCCTAACTCACCTGCGTAGGCAGGAATCTCGCGAACGAAGGTGATCTGCGAGAAGGAAACGGTCAGGACTCCGGCCCAACCACACGTAAGCTCGTCAACGCACCCAATAGCCCCTCATGATACCCTGGCGCCATCCGTACTTGCTGTACATCTCGCCGACGATGTCCCGCAAGCGCTTCGGGTTCGGTCCGTACTGCGCTTGCAAGCGGACCTGCAATACGCAAAGCGTCAGCCCACAGTCTCAGCCAGCCTTTAAGGCGTTGCAGCGCACCTTGAACATCTCGACGGGACTCGCCAATACCGCCTGAACCGCACCCGCCATCGCTCCAGCTGTCGCGACCTGTCCAATGCTCAGCCGGTCGGGGTACGGCGAGATGAGGCGGCGCGCGGCGGTGTTCGAGGCGAAGAGGAGCGAGTTGACGGCGGCAATGCCAATAAGAGGAGGCGTGACACCTGCGAAAGCCCAAAAGGCAAGAAGTGAGTCGAGTCGAGCGGAGAACAGGGCGTGAGCACGAGCGCACCCTTGTAGAATGCGAGGATACCCTCGTTGCGGAACGTCTGCGTCGCCAGGTCGAGCGTCCCCTTGAACTGGCCGGGCGCAGCGAGCTGAGAGCGAGTCTTCAGGACGTCGAGCGGATTGCCAGAGATGACCTGAGCCATGCCGCCCACCGAGCCAGCGATGAGCGACGCCGCCGTCGAGACTGGCCTTGTCGCAGGCGGAGGTTGAGTGGGCAGCTCCTTGGAGTCCATCGTGCGAGGAGGAGTCGGCGAGATAAGTGGGGAGTTGAGTCGGTCGAGGACTTAGCGACGCGAGCGGCGGCGGGGCTGGCGGCGGTTCAGGTGGGTTTCTTGGGTGGTAGAGGGCCCCTCGAGAGCTTCGCAGCCAAGCACGAGCGGTGTGGTGGATGGGGAAGAAGTGCGACGGGCGGCCGCTTCTTGCGCAAGCGAAAACCGCCTCTCACTCTGCCGTTCCAGCGAGCTGGGCTGATCTCTGTGTGCAGTACCAGGATCGCAAGAGAGAGAAGAAAGACCGTGTGTGGGTCAAAAAGCGAAGTGAGTCCCCCGACAGAACCCGCAAAAGATGAGTTGCGCTGTGCGGGAGTCGAACCCACTACGAATGCTGAACCACTTTAATGGAAGGCAGCCATGTTACCGGTACACCAACAGCGCTTGTTGAAAGAGGAAGCCAAACAGCGTTTACTCACCACAGATCCATGCTGTCAACCGTCGCTATGCTCGGCTGCTCGTCCTGTGGGTCAGGGCTACCTCGAGACGAATGTTCTGAGGCTACAAACGAGAGACGCTACCGCTGGTGGGCCGCGAACAGCCCTCGTCGACATCTCTTCCTGGCCTTCCCAACTCCATGGCTTCGCTACGCTCTGGCTTTCCACTGATCCGGACAATCCAGGACAATCGATTGCCTCGAGCCCTCGAGGGCTTGGACGTCGGACATCCCCGAAGCTAGAGGACTGACAGACTCGGGGGCTCTCGCTGAGCGAGTTCCTCGACACTCCTCCTCGCACCCCTTCGTCGGTCGAAGGGGACGCTGTTCGTCGCACTATGGCGGCTGTAGCATACTTTGCGAGCCCGGAGTCGGAGTCGATCAAATCTGCGGACGATCGGAGAAGGAAGGCGGGAGCCAAAGCAAGAGCGGCGCAGAATCCTGAAGCATGCGTTGTCCAAGCGACCGTCGCTACACCTGCCAACGTCCTGCTAAGCCTTTCCAGCAGCCCTGTCCCTCGCTCGATATGCCTCAACGAGATTCCATCCTTGCGGCGTGTTGAGCCGCACCGGGTCGAAGCGCTTCTCCCGCCAGTCGTCTACGTTGCCAAAGGCTTGGGCAGCGCGAGCTGGTCCGTCCGTCGCAAAGGTAGCCACGGAAGCCGCGTCGTCGTCGTCAACCTCGTCGCCTGCCGCTCGATCCGCTTCGCGCGCCGAGTCGAGCCGCTTGCGCAGTGCTTCGAGGTTCTCCAACCCGTACACGCTAAGTAGTCAGCGGGGGTCACAGATTATGCACAGAGAACGAGGTCACTCTCCCGCGCCTTCGCCTCGAACGCGAGCAAGTCCTGGTGAAATTCGATGTTGGGCAGCCCTCCCCTCTCCCTCGCCGCATGCGCTTCTTGGTCGCGACGCCTCTGCAGCCGACGCCTCTCTTGCTGGAAGACCTCGCTCATCTGCGACTGGTAGTCGAGGAGGGCGTCCGAGATCGAGCGCGAGGTGACGGACGAGTAGGCGCGGCGGGTCAGGCCGAGCTGGACGATTTCTGCGCCGAGCGAGGCGAGTCAGTCGCGTGCCGGCGAGACAGACCTAGTGCAAAACCCACGGCTGTACCAGACCCAGTTGTTCTGATAGATGAGCTTGAGCAAGTCATCGTCCTCGAGCGCGACTGTATTCTCCCTTCGCCGGAACGCCACATTCAACACTTCGCCAAGCTCGCCCGCGCTGATCTCATACTTCCTCTCCAACACTGCTGACTCCTCATCCCACTCCCTTCTGTTCGGCGGAACCCAGAGAGGACAGCAACACCGCCTGCCTTCTCCCGCCGCAGCCTGATGACGCTCGGCGTGAGTCGAGTCGGTCAGGTCGCGCCACAGCAGCGCACAAACGCCTGCCGATGGGCCATGGGAGATGAGAACTTCGGCAGAATCGTCCTGAAAGTCGCGCGAGAGGACGAGGTCTTGCGCGACGACTATGCCGAGTGCTTCGAGGGTGGCGCAGTCGGCGGTGACGAGTGGGTACGAGAAAGCACTGTAATTCAAGCTCAGCGTTAGACGGCGACCGGTGCCCGGACTGAAGGAGGGGGACTCACGGAGGAAGCGGCTCGGAGTCCTTTTCGAGCAGCGTGATCCACCTGCCCACCGCTCCTTGCCGCGTCGGATGCTCGAAGTACGCCTGGTTCTGCAGCAAGTCGATGTCCTCGAACTTGGGCTGGAAGACCGTCTCGGGGTCCTCCTGCTCATCGACGTATTCCTCGAGCGAGTCAGCGGGTGAAGTTTGACGTCCCACTCCTCCGTTGACGCCACCAGACAACGACTGCCCGTTGCGAGCGAGAGCGTCTGTACCGTTCGAAGCGCGACTTGCGGAGCGGGAAATCGCGTCCTGGCTGTCCTTGACGGCGTCGTCCTCTGACTCCGACGGCGGCCGGCGCGGCGGGAGTTCGACAGAATCAACTCGACCTTGCCGAGGGAACTCGGCCGTCGCCTTCGCGAGCTCGTTTGCGAGACGGGCCTTGACGTCGAGTGGGCGGTAGCTGGGGGCGGGCAAGTCCATGCCTTCGAGGAAGTTGAGGGCTAAAGACGCGAGCATGTCAGCTCAGGAATTGTGTAGCGCATCGAGGGAGAGCAAAGAAACGCACCGTCGGCCTCGACCTGCTTCTTCGTCTTCGCTTTTTGCCGCACCTTCTTGCGCTTCTTCGGCTGCCTCTTGATCAAGCCGTTCCTCCTCCTCCCAGCCGCTCCCTCATCCGTCCCGATCGTAGAAGCGTCGTCGTCGTCCATCGGCATGGGCGTTCCCTCCGTCAACTCGGACGGCTCGTATTCGTCCGAGTCGCTCGACAGCTGTCCTTGCGTCGCCTCCTCCTCCTCCTCCGAGGTCGAGTAGTCACGCTCAACGTACTTGCGAGGAGCAGTCTCGGCACCCTCAATGCCGTACTCGCGAGAAGGCTGTTCGTCCTCGAGGAAGAGCGTGCTGCGGCTCGTTCCCGCGACGGAGGGCGTCGCCGATGCGGCGCGGTCGTCGTCGAAAAAGTAAGGCGCAGCAGGAGAAGCCCTCGAGTCGCCGTCGCTGGTGCTCAGGAACGACAGGCTGTCGTCGTCGTCGGCCGGTTCCTCCTTCTTCAGCCGATTCTCAAGCGACGGCGCCCGCTCCTTTCGCCTGTCCGGCTTGACCCGCGCCGCATTAACCCGTGAGCGGTACAGCAGGGCGCGCTCTTCCTCCTCGGCGAGCTCGGCCTTGATCTCGCGTTTAATGCGCTCCTTGTCGTCCGGCGAAGGAGCTCTTGCACGCGACGATGTCGTAGCCTCGTCATACGAGGTGCTCCCTCCGCTCCAGTCGTCTTCGTCCTTGGCCTCGCTCTTCGGGACAGAGCGGATGCTCAACTGCTCGAGAGTAGTTGACGAGGCGGACGAGGCGAGCGGCGAAGGTGCGGTCGGGCGGTAAGGGTATGACCGCGATTGGGGAACGAGGGGGACGCGAAAGCCCTCATCGAAGTCTTTGCGACGCTTGGCGGGTCGTTCGACCGGTTCTGGAGACTGTGAATCTGGCACGACCGAGAGGAGGGAATCGGCGGGAGAGAAAGGGCGGTCGCTGCGCGCGACAGGTGCGCACGGTCAGCCATCCTGCGAATCAAACCAATCCGAAGTCTCTCTCGGTACTCACAACCACCCGCGCTCGCCCTGCATCGCGCTGTATCCTCAGTCGAGGTCGTGTTCGTTGACGAGGGTGGGGATGGGAGAGCAACGACGGCGGGAGTGTGCGGGCGCCCGCGAGTGTAGTAGCTGCGAGTTGAGACGCTAGCAGACAGTCAAGCGAGTCTTCCCAAGCGCGTCCAGCGAGTCGTGAGCGAGTTGTCGAATGTCAAAAGAGGAGGCGAAGTTGACATTGCACAACAACTTGCTCACAGGGCTTTGGAGAGCATGTAGAGAGCAGTTGAATGCTCTGTATCGCTCCAACACCCTATCCTACCAGTTCACTTAGCCAGTCAGTCCGCTTGCGACCCGGTCCTCCCCGCTTCGCCTCTTGCATCTCATTCACAGCACGCTTGCTGGACTGCTGACAGCTCAGACTGAGTCTTTGTGCCCTAAACGGCCCGCCATGGCCAGCTACGCGTCCTCCACGGCCGACTCGACCTCCACGGGCACAACCGACGAGATGAATGAACCGCTCTCGATCCTCCAGCCGCTGTCCTACTCGGCCAACTCGTGCGGCTACTGTGCAGAGGTCAAGGGCGCCAGGTCGCGCGCCAAGTCGAGCAAAAGCTACGGAGCCTGGGCGCATGCTTTGTCGGCCGGGACTTACAAGGCACTCCTCGACCGGGGATGGAGGCGGAGCGGGTGCTACATGTACAAGCCGGACATGCGCAACACTTGCTGTCCCCAGTACACCATCAGGTGCGCCCCTCGCTGCCCTGCCAGACGATGTTGTCGCTGACCTGACTCGTCTCTCTCCACAGTCTCGACGCCGGCAGCTTCAAACCCTCTCGAAGCCAGCGACAAGTCCTCGCACGGTTCAACGCATTCGTCAAGTCGGGCGAGCGGGAAGGACAGCCTGGATGGGGACCCTCGGCGACCCAAGAAGCCTCGACTTCCGGCACTTCTCGCGAGACGACGGCGGCAGTGAACGGCGGAAACGACGTTGCGATGGGCGCGGCGGCACCGACGAAGAAGAAGGACAAGGGGAAAGGCAAGGGAAAGGCTAACCAGGCGGAGGCGGCAGATTGGTGCGAGTCGGTTCATGCCGGAGATTGGGACCGGAGTCCTCAGGACGAGCCGTTCAAGCACCGCTTCGAGGTGCGTCGTCTCTTCCGGGTTCTTTCATGATCCATCTGACGATATAGTTGCCCGCAGTTCACGCTCGAGCCTGCGAGCTACACCGCCGAGAAGTTCCAGCTCTTCAAGCGGTATCAGGTCAGTTGCGCCTGCCCTGCGACCGGTGGCGCCTTGTACTGACACTATGCCATCCTTAATAGATGGAAGTGCATGAGGAACCGGCTTCAAAGGTGTCGGAGAAGGGATTCCGACGGTTCTTGGTCGACACTCCGCTAGATGTGCGTATTCGCTCACGCATGTCCCTCGCTCGCTCACTGACATTTCGGACATCGCCAGATTGAGTCCACAGCATCGCCTGACTACGCATACGGCTCACACCACGGTCTCTGGCGCCTCGACGGTCGGCTAATCGCCTTCGCCGTCCTCGACCTCCTGCCAGGGGCCGTCTCCTCCGTCTACTTCGCGTGGGATCCGGACTACTCCGGCATGAGCTTGGGCAAGTTGAGCGCATTGAGGGAGGCGCAGATGGTGCGAGAAATGGAGAAGGCGGGCCTCTGGGCAGAGGGAAGCGGGCGGTACATGATGGGTGAGCGCGAGTTAGCGGCGAGGCGGCGCGGTAACACGCTGACGAGCTGTCTTACAGGCTTCTACATTCACACTTGCCCGAAGATGCGGTACAAGGCCGACTACCAGCCTTCCTTCCTGCTCGAACCGGTGCGCCTCCCTTTGGAACGTCCCACGTCCCGATCATAGAGCTGACTGGCGATCTCCGTTCCCCAGAACACCAATCGCTACGTCCCTTGGGCGCTGTGCAAGCCTCTCCTCGACCTCTCTCCCCGAATCCTTTCCTTCGCCGATCCTCCTCCCGCCTCTTCCGCCGCGCCAGATTCGCATCATCCTATACATTCCGAGACGCTGCCCACGCCCCCACCAGAAGATGCCTCGATGGCAGACTCGGACGACGAAATGGACGAAGACGACGAGGCGGCGTACCCATCTCCTCCGCCTCCAGGATGCCTCGACCCGCACGAGCTGCCGAAGGAGTTGCTCATCGAGTCGTTCGTGCTCGAGAAGCGGACGCTCATGCCGTTACTGGTGCGTGCGGCGTACTCACACTCGTACAGGACGAGGTGAAAGCTGATCACTGCCTGTTCGCGCAGCTCTCGTCGGCTTGGCATGACCCGGTAACGCCAATGGAGGTGCGGGAGCTGTTGGCTACGACGGGCGACGCAGGCAAGGGCAAGCTGGCGATCTGGACAGGCCGGTAGCTCAGATTTGCAACGCGTCAGTCTCTCTCCGCGCTCTGCAAGTCAGTAGTCTGTCGACGTGAGAGTCTGATGTATGTATAACGGAAAAGGCAACAGCTGGCTATGTACAAGCTATGCGTATCGTCAAGACTCCTTCAGCTGCTTCGCGCCCATCATCTCGTTCGCCCCAATCCTCTTCGCCACGCATCCACCTCGACCATCGCTCTACGCCCTGTTGCTGCCCTTCTTGTACCACTTCTGGTAATCGAGGAGGAGGTAAAGGCGGAAGCAAAGGAGCGCAAAGTCGTCCTGCTCAAGTTCTTCGGGGTACGAAGCGCCGAGCGAGTAAGCAGCTGCCATGCCGGAGATGCAGGCGAGCTCGCTGTGAGAGAGAGAGGGCGGAGTGAGAGGGACGGAGGAGGAAAGGCGGGAGTTCGCAGGCGCGGGGTGAAAGGAGAGGGGCTCGGGGTCAGCGACAGCGAGCTGACGATACGAAAGGGATGGAAAAAATGACGGACTGCGCGTTAACCAAAGTCCATGCTGCTGCAAAGCGCACGCGCTTCTTGCCCTGGAGGAGCCACATCCAGGGAACGCAGCCGGCGTAGTGTCTCCAGCCGTGGCAGAGCTGCGACAAGGGAACGGTCAGCTACGGTTGAGCGAGGGATTGTGAGTTGACGCACTTGGTGCCACCAGTCGATGCGGACTGCGGGATGAGAGACGAGAAGATTCAGCAAATCGCGAAGGCTGAGGAGGAAAGGAATTGCGACGTACTGATCTTGTCCTTCTTGATTTCGTCCATCGACCAGTACTTCTTGTGTTTCGTGTTGAGGAAGATGGTCTGCAGAGGTGACGATAGCCGTCAGAACGAGAGAGAGGGGAGGGGAAGGAGAGGAACGAACCTGGAAAACGTGGTCTTCGAGCGGCTTGTCCTGGTCGAGCTGGAACTGGAACGCGCTGCAGTCGAAGCACCTGTGAAAGAAGCGAGTCAGCGTCTGCGAGACCTGAACGGGCCAATGAGACGAACATCTCGAGCTTGCGAGGGTCGCCCGGGCACTCCTTGATCAAGTACATCCTGCGTCGGCGGCATGTCAGCCTGAGTCTCTCTACGAGTGTAAAGAGTTGATCACGCACGGATTGAAAGCCTTCTTGCCCGCCTCGTACCGGTCCGTCTCGTCGCGGTTTCCAAGCTTCTTGACCGCCAACTCGGGCGGGAACTCGACTTCGTACCACTTGCGGATGTAGTCGAGGTCGTGGTGCGTGACGGTGACGTCGTCGGACCACTTCGGGACGCCCAAGATGCGCTTCTCGATCCACCTCGCCTTCTTGCCGAGGAGGATCTTGGCCGTGTCGGCTAGAACGCAGAGAACAAGCTCGTCGTACTCCTCTTCTTTCTCCGGAAGGTCCTGGTCGCCATTGACGGGGTTGTGGTGATCAGGCTGCGGGCGTCGACCGCGAACTGTCACACGAACTCGCTTCGAGGAGCGCTCGATGACGGACGTGACTTCGGTGTTGAGGCGGACGTTGACGCCGCGGGACTCGAGGTCGTGCTGCCACTTGGTGTAGAACTCGGTCTCGTTCGGAAAGACGACCATCGGCGGCTTGTGGCTCGAGAGGCTCTTGTCGTCGGCGGGATACCCTGTCCAGCGGCGAGAGGATTCCTCGATTAGCTCATGCTACTCATTTTCGAGCGTAACGCGATTGACGAACACATTCCGTAAGTAGGCGAAGTGTAGAGACGCTCGAGCATGATGGTGGGAAGGTCAGGGGTCGCGTTGCCGGTCCCGAGGAAGAGTGCGAGACTGTGTATATAGGACCATGATAAGTATGGAGGCAGCGCTAAGCGCAGTGAGAGGTGGGCGGACCTGGGGTAGATCATCCGGTGGATGAACCTGAAGAGCAGGACGAAAAGCCTTTAGCATTCGTTGCGAGCCGATTCAATTGCGATCACGCACTCGTCGGAGAAGAAGAACATCTTGAGCGAGACCTTGATGGGGATGATGGCGACTGCCGATCGCACGGGTCAGCGGGACTGCGAGGAGCGACCTTGAGAAGAGAAGGCATACAGAAGAGCTCGAACCAGCGCATGATCTTGAGCGCGTACTTGAAGCGCTTGATCTCCTTCGCGTGCTTCTCGACGAGAACGGTCGGGAAGACGTTGGTCCAGAAGTGCTCGCCCTCGCCGAACGAGACTTCAAGGTCGACACTGCGAGTATCGGATGATCAGCTCGCGATGCCTGGCCAACCGTAGAGATGGACGCACGGCTTTGCCTCGTAGCCTTGCTGCTTGAACATGTGGAAAGTGTGGTGGTAGATCCACGAGCCGCTGCGAGCGCACAGCACGAACGAGAGTCAGTTCTTCGCTTCCACGTGCCCCTCATTGAGCCGCACGCAGGGCCAGAGAGCGGATCAATCTTCAGATGCTTCAAAGAATTGAACGCACCCCTGAACACCCTGATTCATCCACTTCGCGCCAAACTTCTTCTCGTCCAAGTCGATCGAGAACGCCTGACCGCCACAATAGTCCTGCGACTCGACGAGCGTGACATCGAACCTGTCGGGGTGTCGGGAGAGCTGTTCGGCGCAGGCCATGCCCGCTGCGCCGGCACCGACGACGAGGACGCGTTTCTTCTGGGGAGTCGAGGAGGAGGGCATGGTGGAGCTGGTGGGTCGATCGCTTGTGGGAGAGTCAGAAGATGAGATGAAGAAACCGCGGGCTGCCTGCTGGCTCGATATGCGCGAATCGGACGAGTGAAGAGTTGTCGCAAAGAGTCGGGCGAGGGTAGTTGCGATCGCTGCGACTGGACGCCTGATGGGTTGCTCTGGTGGCTGCAGTCGCTAGCCTGAGTCTGTGTGAACTGCTGAGCGTGTGCAGCGAGTCGTGCGAAGGGTTGGCGGAAGAGCGATGGCAGCCTGAACGAAGGTCGGGCGCGATCGAGGAGGCGGTGTCGTCGGCAGTCGCGCGTCATGCTGTCAAGCGATTAAGGATCGAAGTAATCAGCCGGGGATCTGCAAACGAATACAAACCTCGCAAGCATTGACTTCTTGTAATCTCGCTCGTCGAAGTGCAAAGTGAACGCTGCCATCTATTCCATCTTGGACGCCCTACTCGGTCGACGCATGATCCTCGCCCGACAAAGCCCCGACGAGACGCCCGACGTCTTCACCCTGCGAGCCAGGTCCTCCCGCCTGCTTCGCCTCGCAAGCCTCGACCACCGCGTCCACCAAGTCCGCCGCAAGCCTCATTTGGTCCCGCATGCCCTTGAGCGTCGGCAGGACGACGTCGAGCGGGCGAGTGTCGTCGCATGCGTCGAGCGTGGCCAGGTCGACGGGCAGAGAAGCGGTCGTGGCCATGCACTGGCGCAAGGCGAGAAGCGCGGCGACGACCGGGTTCTCATGGCCGTCACCGTAGGCAAAACCGCTTGCACCGTTGTGAGGGCTGGCCGCGTAAGTCGGCGTCGCCAGCGCAGCCGAAAGAGGCGGATCAAGAACCGAGTCGCCCGACGACTTCTCCTCCCTGAGCGGACTGATGGGCGTCCCGTTGATATACGGCAACATCGAGAAGGCGCTTGAGGGCGTCGGGACTGGTGGGAGAGTCGACGATGAGCGAGTGAGGGCGCGGGGAACGGGTCGAGGAGGGAAGGTTAGGGAGGGGGAGAGTCGGGGGTGCTGAACGAGCGGACTGGCCGAGCGCTTGGACTGAGAGACGCTTCTGACTCTTTGATGGGATGGCGGGAGCCTGCGAGAGTGCAGCCGGCGCGGAGGGAGTGCGAGGAGGAGGGACGAAGTCTGCCGGAATAGGCGTGACAGGCGGTGTCGCGTAGAGTGTCGGACTCGGCGACAGAGGCGTCAAAGGCGCGAGACCAGTCGACTGATCGTACCGCGGCGACGCCGGCGGCGCAGAGAACGCCCTCATCCTGTCCATCTCTGCGCCCTCGAGACCTTTGATCGGACTCTCGCCGACCGCGAGCGGTCCCGTATCGCCGCGGTCCTGAAGACGCTGGAGGGCGTCGAGCGTCGATTGCTTGATGTGCGACCTGGATGAGGAACGAGGGCTGGTGAGGAGCTCCTCGAGCGGAGGTATGCTCGCGGGGACGGGTTTGCGAGGGATGCGCTGAGGCGAGGCGAGTCTGCTGAATGCTGGCATGGTCAGCATCGTCGATTCGAAGGAAGAGGGCCGAGGGACTCACCCGTTCATCCGACCAAGCGCATCCGTCGACCTCTGCGACGAGCTCCTCGTCAACCTCGCGCCCGTCCCTCCGGCCACCAGCTCGAGACGGCTCGCAATCTTGCCCGCCCTCGTCTCGACAGGCAACCTATCCGCATGCTCTTTCTCGTCAAGCTCGACAAACTCGCGCACGCCAAGATACGCCGCGCTCGCTTCGCTGACGGTGCGACCGTGTTGCGGCGACGCACTGCGCTCGAGGAGCGCTTCAGAGCTCGGCGAGGAGTTGATGTGCTTGTCGAAGGGCGAGAGGGCGACGAGGCTCATCCGCCTCCCGCTCGCGCCGAGCTTGACAATCGCAGCTTTGACAACCGACGTCCCTCCACTCCCGCGGGTCGCATCGAAGCTTCCGTTCTGCGACCTCGAGAGACGCTCGCTCGCGTCGGACGAAGCGGTACGCGAGTGCGAGCGAGGCGGATGCGCAGGGGGAGGCTGCTTGTGCAGCTTCGAGTTTGAGCGAGCGTGAGGGCCGAGGGAAGAGGAGGCTGAAGGACGATGCTTCGGCATTGGAGCGTCGGTCCGCTGTCGCGGAGGAAGGAGGCGAGGTCGCGAGTCGAGGGAGGGGCGGCCGAAGCGCCTTTGGCGTGCAGTTTCTTCGGAGTTGGCGGAACAGGTTTGGGCGCGACGGACTGGGGGTCGAAGGGGGCGAAGGAGTCGCCGCTTGTGGTGCGGTGAGTCATGAAAGTGGAGTAAGGGAGCTCGTGGGGTGTCGGAGGCAGGGGCGAAGAGGACAACAAGTCTTCGCGCGACCGGCCCGTCGAGGACGAGAGCTTTCCTCGCAAGCTGCTGAGGAGGTTACCCGCCGAGCGACTCGTGCGCAACGTCGTGAGACCGGCGTGGGTGTCGGGTCCGCTCGTCGTGGCGGCGTCGACCGTCTGCGGCGAAGTCGAACCAAAACGCTGGCGGAGTCGAGAGGAAAAGGTGCCACTGCGCTTCGAGCCGAGCGAGGGTGTCTCCTCGGGCGTTATGGCGGTAGGAGGCGTCTGCACCATCCAGGCGGGCGGCTCCGAGTTGAGGATGTCTGTCGGAACGAAGGGAAAGCATGAGGGATTCAGCCATTTCGACCGAGAGGCGCGCTGGACGCACCCATAAGCGTCTCCTTCTTCTCCTTCCTGCGCTTGGGCGCTCCGTAGCCAAAGTCGTTCAATTCGTCCTCGAACTCGTCGTCCGTCTCTTCCTCCTCGCTTTCGCCCGATCTCCGGGCCGTTCCGCGCCCGACGATTTCGGCAGAAGGGGTCCACTCATCGCTCGGTGCTGCCCCGACCAGCCCATTGGCGCGAGTTGAGCTGGGGTATGGATCTTCGAAAGGCGAGGCGGGATGTGAAGCGAGCGGAGGGGAGGAGAGCGGCGAGGTAGATAGGCCGCTCTTCGAGGTTGCTGCTTGCTCGAGCTGGTAGGCCTGCATGGGTGCCAGGTCCGGTCAGTGAAGCTCGTGCAGTGGGATCGAGGGAACGAGCGAGCGAGCGCACCAGGAGGTCTGCGGAAGACGGCTTGGGCATGGTGCTTCGGCAGAGCGGACAAAAGAAGGTCAATCTACTCGCCCAGCTAGCGTGGGAGTCTGGAAGCGGTCAGAAGAGCGAGAGGAGGAGAAGGGGAGCGAGAGGAGAAGGAAAGGCCTGTGCGGCCACGAGGAGGTCCGAGCAAGATGAAGCGCGGACAGTCGCCCCTTCCATCAGCGCTGGATAGCCTGTTTGCGACGCTCAATACGCCCCGTACAGCGCCTGGCAGGCCTCGACAGTGTTCCGGCGACTCGAAGCGATGAGGACGAGAAAGGCGGGCGCGCGACGACGGGTCGTCCGGGGTGGACTCGTAGCAGCTTGGATAGCTTCGAGCAAGTCGTAGAGATGCTCAAGAGCCCGTCAGACGAGGTCGAGGTGAACCGGATCACGCCAACGTCTCGCCGCTTGACTCTCGACTTCTCACTGCTCTCTCACTCTCTCACGGTACTCAGAAGGGACGCGCAATGATGGCAGGACCAACAGGTGCGCACATTCTACCCCCCGGTATCCGTACCCTGACTCCCACGTCTCCCGTAGTGACGGTCCACCCACCCGCATCGCCGCCTTCCGGCGCCAACAACCGCTATTCGCGCCTGATCCCCTCGCAGTCGATTGCGACAGTGTCCGAGTTCACGCTCGAGAGCGGCGTCACGCTTAGGAATGTCAGCGTCGGGTTCAAGACTTGGGGCAAGATGAACGAGAGGTGCGTTTTCTCCTCTAAACCGCTGCAGGGGGCGCTAGAAGGCTGATTGCTTTCGTTCGTACTCCAGAAAGGACAACGTGATGGTGATCTGCCACGCCTTGACGGGTAGCAGTGATGTCGAGGACTGGTTCGTCTCGCTTCGGATCCTCCTCTTCGTTGTCTCAGCTCACCCGGCTCTTTCTGCAGGTGGGGACCCCTACTAGGCCCTTCTCACGCCTTCGACCCAACTCGCTACTTCATCTTCTGCGCCAACGTGATGGGTTCGCCTTACGGGACCGCTTCGCCCGTCACGCAGAACCCGGATCGAGAGGATGGAGGGTGGTGGGGACCCGAGTTTCCGTCGACTACGACAAGGGACGACGTGCGGTGCGTCTTCCAGCTGTCTGGGAGACGACGAAGAAAGACTGACGATTCGCTCACTCAGGCTGCACAAGATCCTACTCGACCACCTCGGCGTTTCGACGGTCGCAGTCGTCATTGGCGGCTCGATGGGCGGTATGGCCGTCCTCGAATGGCCCCTCACGACCCCAGAAGGCTACGTCCGCAACATCTGCCCGATCGCGACTTCCGCACGGCATTCGGCGTGGGGCATCTCGTGGGGCGAGACGCAGCGGCAGTCGATCTATTCCGACCCAGAGTACGAGTCGGGGTGGTATTCGCCTGAAGGGGACGGGCCGAAGCGAGGATTGTCGGCGGCGAGGATGGCGGCGTTGTTGACGTACCGGTCGAGGGACTCGTTCGAGAGCCGATTTGGACGGAAGGAGGTCGAATCGGATGGCGAGGGGCCGAAGAAGGCCAAGGCGAAGAAGATTGGTGCGGCGCTCGGGAGGGGGATCATGACGGACGCGCATGGCGTGCCGCGGACGCTGGCGGAACGGGCAGAGGCGCAGCACAACGACGGCCACCAGCCCTTCGCGGGCAGCTCACGGCCCGCTTCGCCTCCCCTCTCAACCGCGAAGAACTCGCTCCCGCTCATGCCAAACGGCGAACCCCTCCCTCCTCCTTCCCCGCCTCCCCTCTTCTCCGCCCAGTCTTACCTCCGCTATCAGGGCGACAAGTTTGTCTCCCGCTTCGACGCCAACTGCTACATCCACCTGACGCGCAAGATGGACGCGCACGACGTCGGCCGCAACCGGCCCGTCGACCCTCCTCCCCTCTCGCTCGTCCCGCCCGGCGCACTCGTCATCGCCATCTCGACAGACGGCCTCTTCACTCTCACCGAACAGCGCGAGCTCGCCTCGGCGATGCCAGACGCAAAGCTCGTGGTCGTCGACTCGCCCGACGGGCACGACGGGTTCCTGCTCGAGTTTGAGCAGATCAACGAGGCGGTGTTGCAGTTCCTGCACGAGCGGCTGCCGGAGGTCTATGCGGGCGAGCCGCTGGTCCAGCCGGGCGAGGGCGAGGCGGACCAGGGCTTCGAGGTGAAGAAGGCGAGCCTGTTTGGTGAGGCCGAGGGCGAGGACCAGGATATCACGCGGTGGTAGATGGGGCGGGCTGGGCAAGGAGGTGTTGGGTCGCGTGTCGTTGTACCAAAAGGACCAGAGTCCAACCTCTTGTCCACGAGCATCCTCGGCAGTACAGTCAACCTTGCACTCGCATTATCTCTTTGTTTCCGTTCCCTCGCACGGCCGTTCTTTCGCAGACCTCGAGAGTGCGCTCCTACGGGTCTGTTCTACACCTGTATACACTCGCAATCCCAATACGACGACCCCTTTCGAGATGTCAACAGTGTGCGCGCATCAAGTTCCGCTGCGATCGCCGGCCGAACGACGGCTTGCGCTCTTTCGCCGTCGTCGTGCGAGTCGACGCGCTCAGCAACACGCTCGCACGCTTCACTGCAACACTCAGAGCGGACCCACAGCTTCGCCTAGCTCGGCCGCTCGCTCAACACGCCACCGCCTTTCGCCGGACTTTGCATCGCTCGACCGCCTCGAACATCGCACAGGCAGCCAGTGCGGCAGTGCAGAACGGCTCAGGGAGTAAGGGAAAGATGGGACGAAAGGTCGTGCTCACCCTGCATCGCAACGATCTCCGGTGAGTTCGACCTCTTCCTCCTCGTGCCCCTTCGACGGGTCGGCCGACTGCACCTCGCTTCTTTCTTTGCTTTGCCTGCTCGCCTGGAGCGAAACTAAACTTTGTACTCGCACAGACTGCACGACAACGAGCTCCTGCATGCAGCACACGACTCCTCACACAGCGACGTGACCCATGTCCTGCCGCTCTACGTCTTTGACGAGCGATTTGTCGAGCTCTCGGGTTTCCCAGGGTATGACAGGGAGGGACCAGAGGCACGGACGCGGCTGTGCGGGTTCTGGAGGACAGGAGCATTCAGGGCGCGGTCAGTCTCGCTTTGCTCCTTCGTCTCCCGTCTCAAGCGGCGGGCTGACGATATCAGCGCGCAGGTTCCTGGTCGAAGGCGTGTACGATATGCGCACCTCGCTGCGACAGCGCGGATCGGACCTTCTCCTGCGGTTCGGCAAGATGGAGAAGGTCACGACCGATGTTGTCAAGGCGTTGATCGCGAACGGAGACGAGGTTCGCGAGGTCTTCTTGCAAAAGGAGGTGCGTTATTATGCTTTGTAACGAGTTGCGGTGCGAGGCTGACCCATCCGGCGCGATAGTTCTACACGGAGGAGCTGGCGATCGAGCGCAAGTTGCGGAAGGCTTTGCGGAAGGTCGGCGTCGAGCTGCGGACGTTCGACCAGGTGCCCCTCAGTGCGTAGCACTCTCAAGTAAAGTACCCGTCTGGCTTGCACTGACCCGCTTCCTTCGTAGTCCACGTCAACGACTTGCCCTTCGCACCCGAAGCCATGCCCGACGTCTTCACCCCCTTCCGCAAGCGCATCGAGAACCTGCCTCGCCTCGGTCGCCCTCCCTTCCCTATCCCATCACCCTTCAAGCCCTACCCTCGACCGCCATCCGACTCGCAACCCTGGCCCGGCTACGGCGCACACATCGAGCTCGAACACCGGGGGCTCGAGTACGTCCTGCACTGTCTCTTGCGGCCTTTGCAGGACACGTTCCAGCTGCGCGCTGGCAGCGAGGGCAAGAACCAGAAGAGCGCGTTCCCGTACGCGGGAGGGGAAACGCCCGCAGTCGAGCGGCTCGAGTGGTACTTCAAGGAGGGGAACCCGCCTCCTGTCGCGCGGTACAAGGAGACGAGGAACGGATTGCTTGGTCACAGCTACAGTACCAAGTTGTCGCCCTTCCTCGCGTTCGGCTTCATCTCGCCCAGGTTGATCGTCAAGGCGCTCGACGAGTACGACGAGAAGTTCCGGTCGACGCAGAACACGTACTGGATCCGGTTCGAGCTCTTGTGGCGCGACTACTTCCTCTACGCTGCTCGGTGCGTTGAACGAGCCTTCCTGCCCGACGATCACTGACCCTCTCCTTCGCACAGCAAATTCGGCTCGAAACTCTTCACGCTCGGCGGCTTCGAGGAGCGCACAGACCCGAAACAAGCAGCGATCAAGACGCAACCTGGGTGGTGGAAGCAGTGGGACCAGGACCAACCTCTCGTCGGACAGACCGACAAGGAGCAGCCTGCGGTGCGTTGGATGCAGGGAAAGACGGGCGTGCCGTTCGTCGATGCGAACATGGCTGAGTTGCGGGAGTCTGGGTGCGTGCGATGTCGTCACACAGGGCGAAGGATGAGCGCTGACCGAGCCTGGTCACAGCTTCATGTCGAACCGAGGTCGGCAGAACGTTGCGTCGTTCCTCACGAAGGACCTCCAGATTGACTGGCGACTCGGTGCCGAGTTCTTCGAGAGTCACTTGATAGACTACGAGGTGCGTTGCGTCGTCGCCTTGTCCCCTAACTCGAGCTGACCTTCGCATGCTTGTCAGCCGTCCAACAAGTCAGTCTCACCTACTCGCGCTCGACCTATTCTCGCACGAAGGAATAGCTGACCCCTTGCGCTCGCAGTTGGGGCAACTGGGCGTACATCGCCGGCGTCGGCAACGACCCTCGCGCGTCTCGGCAGTTCAACCCGGTCAAGCAGGGCAACGATGTGCGCTGCATCTCACTCCGTCGCTCCTGGACGCTCGTTAACCACGCTCCTCGCGCAGTACGATCCCTACGGCGACTACGTCCGCACCTGGCTTCCGCAGCTCTCTGCCGTCCCGACGAACCGCATCCAGTGCCCCTGGATCCTCTCCGACGCCGACTTTAACAAGTACATCCCGAAGGGCTCGTACCCCCGCAAGCCCGTCATCGAGCAGCCAGGCTGGAAGGCGCACTACACCCGCCGCGGGCCGAGCAAGCAGGGCGTGCCGAACCGCAATGAGCGCGCGAAGAACCTTGGACCGGTGATTCTTGGTGCTGCGGCGGCGCGGGAGCAGGGGAAGAAGCCGAATGGCGTCAGTACGGCGACGCAGACGGCGGGCAGCGAGGCGGACGGGTCGTCGAGGAGGCGCGAGACTAAGCTCAACGGTATCGTGCGGGCCGAGGCGAAGCAGAACGGCAGCGGCGGCGGTGGAGTGTCGAAGGCGCGGTGCTTGGAGTAGGTGTTGCATCGGCGGTCTGCCCAGTTTTTCTCACTCTCTCCAGCATCTCCGCATTTTCGCAACTTTCCCTTCCTCCTCCTCCTCCTTCTCTCCCACTCCCTCTCCTCGTGTCGTCACAATCCTGCACAGTCACTGATATCATATATTCCCTCGTTACTCATTCTAGCGTCTATGTCTACTCCGTGCCTATGCCGTTTCGGGGACAAGCTGGATCTGCTTAACCAGCTTGCAGTGGAAAGCGCCGTCCTGCGAGCCAGTTCGTCAGCTCGTGCACGATTATGGGGCAGGAGCGACGCACCTCCATAAACTTGTCACCCTCACGGACGTAGCCAGCCTTCGCATAAAAGCCCTCGGCGTGCATCTGCGAGTGCACGACAGCCGTGACGCTCTCCTTGCCCTTCGATGCCTCGCCTGCCTTGCCGCGACGATTCCGTACGTGCTCTTCGATGCTCGTCATGAGCAGCTTGCCGGTTCCGCCGCCTCGGTACTTGGGGAGGACTGCGCAGGCGGAGGTCAGCGGGGCAAACGGCAGAAGAGCAGGAGGTGCATACCGCAGACGCGACCGATCTTTCCTGCCGCCAGACCCGGCTTGGGCCACCAGCGGATCGTACCTGCGTCTTCCTCCTTACCGTCTGCACCGACAGTTGTCATGAGGAAGTGGTCGGACGCCGGGTCCTTCCTGCATGAGCGAGTAGCACCAATCAGCCTGACTCCGCTGGAAGACTGACTGGCACGACTCACTCGTCCAGCTCGTCCTCCATCGAGAATCCCTGCTCGTCGACAAAGACTGCGATCCGAATCTGGATACACCGGTCGATGTCGGATTGCGTCTCGCACCAGCGGACGGAGTATGAGCGTGTCGGCGGTTTCGAGCCGTTCAGGACGGCGATTGCGGGTCTACGGGCACGGACGGCAAAGTAAGCAGACGTCTGAGCGCATGTTTCCGGTGCGAACGCACTCGGGCTTTAGCTGGATGGTCTTGACGACCTTGCAGTGCGGCTGGCCCTCCTGCGAACGCATGATTTCGTCAGTGGGACGAACGAAGGATGAGAGAAGCGGAGAGCGCACCTCAAGGAAATCCTCCCCGACCGTCTCCCACCCCAACCGATGGTAAAACACCTCCGCGATCTTCTGCGAATGCGCAACAAGGTCGAAGCTTGTCTTCCCTCGCATCACGTCCGCCGCCTTTCCTCGTCGTTCGCGAACGTGTTCCTCGAGAGCGAGGCAGAGGGTCGAGCCGGCGCCTGTGCCGCGGAATTGCTTGTGGACCGCTACGCGGCCGACTTTGCCTTTTGGTGGGTACCTGCAAGGACGAAAGAGTGAATTAGGCGGATGAAGGAGCGATACTCGCAGGGAGGACGAACCATCGAAGCGTTCCGACATCCTCCTCGGTCCCGTCCTCGTTCTTCTTCGTCAAGAGCAGATGGTCACATAGCGCGTCGAGCCTGTCGCACGCATGCCCCAGTCAGCCCTGCCGTCCTCTACGGAAGCCATCCTCGAAAGTGCGTCAAGAGAAGCGACCACTCAACTCGTCCACCTCAATTGCCGGGTCGTACCCCTGCTCCTCGCAAAAGACCTTGTGCCGGATCGCCAGCGCACGCTGCATCTGTTCGGGCGTCGAGCAGAGGACGGTCGAGTATGCCGGCGCGGCCGACGGGACAAGCGGGGCGTTGTACGTTGAGGCCATCGCAGCAGGGGAGGATGGGGCAGAACGGGCAGGAAGGAGACTAGCTCAAAAGTCCGCCGAGCGTTGAGCCAGCGCCCGGGAGCGACGACGAGTCAAGGAGCGAAGCGCAAGAGGCGGAGCGAAGGTCCGCCGACGACAGCGTGCCGGATAGTCTCGCAAACATCGCACAGTTTCACTGCGTAGATCATGGATACAGTACTGATAGGCTATAGCTACACGACACCCGCCGTTCAACCCTATGCCGCCTTGAGCCCCTTGACCGGTTCTCCCTCCCACTCCTCCCGCAACGCAGCCGCGAACCCGGTGGAATGCAGCGCGATAGGCGTGCGCAGGCCGTCCGAGTCTTGGCGAGAAGGAGGAGAACCGCGAGTCGTGTCGATCGAGAGGTGTGAGGAGGAAGGAGCGGTAAGGGTAGCTGAGGAGGGCGTGATAGTCGAGGAGCGAGAGCGGGCCGAGCGACCCGAAGACGAGGCGGAGGAGCTGACGGAAGGTTGAGCATGGTGCGACTGCGAGCGCACGGCGGGAGGCCGGCCGCCTTGCAGAACTAGTTCTGTCGCGCCGAGCGAGCGTGCTTCTTCCGGGGAGACCATGACCTGCGGACAGGGCACTTAGCAAAGTGCAACAGTATGCAGAGCAAGCGAGGGCAACGCACCGGCGCATACACGAGCACCCGCCTACCGCTCGACGCAAGATGCGACGACCCATGCCCCTGCTTAGGTGGCGGAGGAAAGCTCGACCTGACGGGCGAGCTCGCCGTCAACGACAACAACGGCACGCCATCCGCCGTGCCCTCCTGCCTCGCCGCACGTCCGCCAGACCGTTCCTCCGGCCTAGGGAGGAGGAAGATCCTCGTCTCCTTCTCAAGTCGCTTCTGCCCTCCTCCGCTCAAGCTCGCTCCACTACTACTCCGCTCCCTCCTGCGCCTCTCAGCAGCGTCCGACTCGGACCGCCTCTTCCGCCCGCTGGGACTGCGGTGCAGCGCAGGACCCGACTCCAACTCGACAGGCGAGTCGCAGTACTGCCCGTCTTCCCCTTCGCCCCTCCTCGCATGCCTTCTCCCTTCCTCGCTACCCTGCCTGGCGTGGCGCGCGCCGTTCTTGCGCTGCGCCAGCGCGGCGTAGAACTGCAACACCTTGACTGCTCCCCAGCCCCTCAATCCCTCGACAACCGCCAACGTCGCAAGCGCCGAAACGACGACTCCCTCGAAGCGTTCTTCGCACGCTTCGAGCGAGAGACCAAGGAGGTCGGGCAAACCGAACGAGAGGGAGAAGGACGACGAGGCGGACGGAGCGGAGGAGAGTGCTTGGCAAAGAGTCGTGGCGAGTGAGGCGGATGTGGGGGATGAGAGTGTCAGGAGGAGGATGACGAGGACCACAAGGAAAGTGTCGAGTGCGAGGGAGAGGAACGAGTTGAGCATGAAGAGGCGGACGAAGGGGAGGTGGTCCTGCCGACGGGGATCAGCGGCGTCTCTTCGCTTGCAAGACGAGCCAAGCGCACCTGTGCAAGTCCCCATACGCCAATGCAAGCAATGCCAACCGAGCACCAAGCCCACAACTGCCAAGATGGTCAGCCCCCACTTTCACACCGAGGACGACGGAGCGAGCAAACGCACCCTCCCGATCCCTAGTAGCGTCCTGACCCCATCCAACCTCCTCCACTCCGCTCCTTCAAGGTCTCTCGCATCGTCTCCGCCTCTCGCGCCGCCTCCCGAGTCGCCGAGTGTAGTCCCGAGGCTGTCCTGGAAAGAGGCTAGCTTGGCGGCGAGCCAGAGGTGGAAAGCGAGTGCGGCAAAGGCGATGAGCAGGACGTGTAGACGTTTGAGCGAGGGTCGCTTGCCCTGCGCTGGCTGGGGTTGTGGGAGCATGCGAGGTGGAGGAGAATGGAAGCGAAGTCGGGCCAATCGGGACGAGAAGGCCCGATAGTCGTGAGAAATGGAGTGCAGAGCGAGCTACAAGGATGAGTGTGTTGCGGATAGGAAAGGTGAACAACGAGAAACAAGGCGAAGCGAGGTTTGCGACGTAGTGAGGAAGACAACACGGCGAGAAAGGAACGAAAGGGGTATCGTCGAGCGGGCGGCGGGCGAATCTAAGGGTGTGTACAGGAAGCGCAAGGGTGCGAGAGTGGTTGATTAGGGAATGACGGGCGAGGTAAAGACGTGGTCGTTCTCGCTCTTCGACCGGAGGCGACGGTTCGTCCGTTCGTCGGCGCTCGCGGTGCAGGTGCTCTGGCACGTCGGAGACCTTGGCGGGGAGATCATGTCGGCTGGTTCGGCGGTGAAGACAGCGGGAGGTGACGGGCGAGGTGGACTCGAGGAGGTCGAGCGGCTGTCGAGCGAAGGCGGACGACGGGTCGATCGGGACGGCGACGGAGAGAGGTTCGACGAGCGGGTACTGGCGCGCGAGCGAGGTGGAGATGCGTAGTGAGGCATGGCGAAAGTAGGCGAAGAAGGCTGGCAAACGGGTTGGCCGTGCGCATCAAACATGACCGGCACGAAGACGAGTTGCGGTCGTCGCTTGTCGGTTTGGCCGAACGCGATCGTGTTGGACCGCGAACGCTTGTGTCCTTCGAGCGCGTACGGCAGAGGAAGGGTGTTGCTCCGTCGATCGTGGTTCGAGGAGGAGAAGCTGAGACGCCGGCTGGACGAGGATGACGACCTAGGCTTGCCGAATGCCTCTTCGAGCAACAACGGAGTCTTCTGCTCTCCACCACCGAGCTCAACCTCCTCCAGCTCGCCCACATCGACCCACCCCTCTCCCGCATCTCTCAACTCCCCCTCCCTCAAATCCGCGTTCACCTCCCACGTGACCCAGGTCCCGTAGATCCTCAGCGCGACAGTGACGACGCATCCGATCAAGACGAGTACCATCGCTGTCTGCCACGCCTCTTCGCACGCCTCGACGCCCCAGAGGACAAACTCGATCCCGTTCGACCAGGTCGACCAGGTTTGCTCGCTTCGGCCCGAGAGGAGTGAGGCGGAAGAAGTGGAGTAGTCGGAGGCGAAGGCGGAGGAGCAGAGGAAGCTGCCGAAGGGAGTCGAGAGGGACGGCGAGAAGGTGAGGAGCGAGAGGGTCAGGGTCAATAGGATGGAGATGGCGAGATCGGTCGCTGTCGTGACGGCAAAGACGCGGTGGAGTTTCGACTTGCGCTGCGTGCGATCACACATGTCAGCTCGACCGTCTGGCGTGCGAAGGGAGCGAGCAGGTGCGCACCATGACGAGACCGAGGACACCACAGAGACTCCCTCCCGCCGAGATGAGCGACCATCGGAGTCCTGCTTCTCCGACCCACCAAGCAATGACCGCCGACTGGTCCATATCGACGTCTACGTCACTCGCCAGCTCCCTCTCGAGCGCGGTCGTCCACACCCAGAGCGTAGTCATCAACCCGGCGCTGAGGAGGAGACTCGAAGTGGAGACGACGAGCGGCGCGAGGCGGGTGGGTGTTGGTCTCGGCATTGTCTGTGAATGTGAGCGTGGTCGCTTTGGCATGGTGTCCGAGGCTGCACGAGGTGGAGAGGGGGTGGTTCCTCGGCGTGCGAGGCTCGGTCGCGTGAGGAGTTCGCTCGTTCGGAGGATGGGATCGTACGAGTCTGAGCGAGTGCTTTTCAGGCCAGTCAGCCGTCCGAAGCCGTGCGAGCGAGAGAGCGGCGTCGATGAGCAAGCGAGGCTTTATCCCGAGCCAAGAGCGGAGACGGCTGCCGAGTAATCCATCGCCTCGCACATTGACAGCGGGTGTGACGAGTGTATTGCAATCTAGTGTTCAACAATGTGAGGAAGACAGCGCGGCGGCAGTACAAGACCGAAACAAGACATCCGACGGCGACGACGAGGGGGAAGCGAGCAGGACCAGGCGGCGGGTCTCAACCGTTGTACGGGTACTCGAACTTGGCATCCTTCTTGCGCCAGCGGCGGGCCCTGCAGTCACGGCGGAAGCGAGTCAGCAAGGCGGACCAAGCAGGAGAGTCGGACAGACGCACTTTTTGTTGGTAGTCGCGTGCGTGACCCACGCCTCGACGCAATGGTCCGCCTTGAACTTGCGGATGAACTGCGGGTCCCTGAGTGTGCGAAGAGCCAGTCAGTCAGACTATGGGACGCAGAAAGGAGATCATCGGGTGAAGGGGACGCACCAAAGCTCTCCGGCGATACCCAAATCCTTGCAGCAGCGCATCAAGGCGTTACTCTTGCACGCCTCGGCAGCAGTTGCCATGCTGGACCCAGCAAACGTCTGCTGCTCGCCGCGCGCGATCGAGAGGAGCCTGCGTCCGCCAGGAATCCGGTCAACATGCGCCTTACGAGTGCGAGCACCCCGGGGAGAGGAGAAGGAGCTGTACGCACTTGCCGCCGACTACGAGTCCCCACTCGCGCGTAAAGAGGTTGTTGGCGAGCGCCTCTGGGCCTCGAGGGACCATTCCCCATCCGCCGGGACCGAATGCCGAGTTGAGGATGCGACGGTACAAGATCTCGGGAAGGTAGAGGATGCCATCTGCGTGCGCAACTCGTCAGTACGAGCAAAGAGTCGCAGGCAGAGGGGGCGTGAGCGAGAACATACCAGGCTTGATCTGGATTTCCTCCGGCTTCAGTGGGCGCATCAGCTTCGCCGCCTGCTCCTCAGTCGTGACGATCTCTCCCAATCCCTTCCACGTCGTCGTCCAATCCACTCCATCCTGCCTTCCTCCGTTCCACAGGGGCGCCGGATTAGGTTCGCCTGAAAGCGCATAGCTCGGCGCGAAGACGGGCTTGCCGTACACGGGGAGCTGGGGACGGAAAGGGGAGGCACTCGAGGCGGAGCTGGAAGCGGCGGCGCCTGATGAGGCGGGAGAGGAGGACGATGCGGAGGGTCGAGCGGCGAACGATCCGCCTCCTCCCCCTCCTCCTCCGCTGGTCGCGGCGGATGCTTGTGCGGCGCGGGGAGCAGAAGGTGTAGGTGTAGAGGACTCGAACGGGTCGAAGTCGGGTCCGAAGGCGGCGCGGGCGGACGAGGAGAAGGTGGCGGTGTGAGCGGGAGAGGGGCGCGAGATGGAGGCCGGGCGGGCAGTGCCAGCGGCGAGCGTGGTGAGCTTGCGGCTGAGAGTGGAGGTCATCATCGCAGGAAGAGCCGACGTGCTGGCGTGAGTGAGCGGGATGAGCAGAGGAGGGTTGACATCGCAGATTACAAACTGGCATACAAGGTGATTATAATCCAGCGGTAATGCAATACAAACTGATTACAACCCGCTGGCTATTGCGCTTCATCAGCGTCTCCAACACTTCTCGCTCTCCTCGCTCACACGCTCGCTAGTCCACCATGCCGCTCAAGGCCAGCGACATCTCCAAGGTCCGCAACAAGGACGTGCGGTCGCAGCTCGTCCAGAAGCGCAAGAAGGAGCTCCGACAGGCAAAGCTCAAGCGCCGCATCGAGCGCAAGGAGGCAGAGGCGCGTGGAGAGCAGGTCGAGAAGGGTACGTGCGGTCCTTACGAGTCTGTTGGTGGCCCTCCAGTCTCGCACGAGGCGTGGTAGCCGACTCTTATCGACCGGAACTGACATCCTTCGTCTCGCAGGGATTCCTCGGACGATTGAGAACACGCGGGAATGGCTGGGCGAGGACGACGAGTACGAGGATGCACGGACACGACCAGCGCCCGTGACGGTCAACGACGAAACGGGCGACGTGACGGTCGACATGGGTTCCCTCTCGAACCTCTTTCCTACCGCCGCTCCTCCCGAAGCTTCGACCTCCGGCCTTCCTCCGCCTCCTGAACCCAAGGTGCTCATCACAACGAGCCCGGGAAAGCCGCCTGCGCCGTTCACGAAGGGATTCCTCGAGGACTTGCAGGCTCTCCTGGGTGGGAAGAAGCGGGCGGACGTCGTCCCCCGCAAGAGCCCCAAGTTTGAGCTGTCGAGGGTTGCGCGGTGGGCGAGGAAGAGGGGCTACGGCGCGATCATGGTGGTCGGAGAGGACCACGCCAAGCCGAGTGCGTCTGAACCTCCCTTCGAACCCTCCTGTACTCACTCACGTTCTCTCGCAGCCACTTTGACCGTCTCTCTGCTTCCCTACGGTCCTACTGCGTGCTTTCGCCTGACCGGCATCACGCTTTGCAAGGACATTCCCGTGCGTTCGGTTTGCGTTCTGCCTTCTCGACTCATCCTAATCAGCTTGCGTCCCGCAGGGCCACGCCAAGCCGACTTCGCACCCTCCCGAACTCGTCCTGAACCACTTCGCCACTCCCCTCGGTCTCTCTCTCGCCACGCTCCTCTCACAACTCTTCCTCCCACCTTCACACGCCGAGATCCTCCAACGACAAGGCTTCCAAGGCCGCCAAGTTGTCCTCGCGCAAAACTCGCGCGACTTTGTCTTCATTCGTCGATACCGTTACATGTTTGCGCTCAAGTCTCACCGGCTCGGAAAGACCAAGAAGCGAGTTGATGTCGCGGCGATGACGAATGGGGATCCGGAGGGCGAGGCGGACGACACGATCAAGACGAGGTTTCAGGAGATTGGGCCGCAGTTTACGCTCAAGATGAGGTGGATCCGGAGGGGACCGTTGGGAGAGACGGGGGATGAGCGGACTGCGAGGGAGAAGTACGAGGCTGAGACGGGCGAGCAGGCGGACGAATTTGGTGCGCAGCCGGAGGGCGACGACGATGAGGTATTCGGAGAGGACGGAGAGGGGATGGACGTTGAGGCAGACGAGGAGCAGGATGCGGCGGACGAAGACGCGGCGAAGCGGGAGATCGGACTCGACGTCGCAGACCAAGCCGGCCAGCCCAACTTCCCGGCCGCTCCCGCCTCGACTGACGCCAACGCCGACGCATCTACCTCATCCGCCGCACAACCATCCGCGAACCCGAAGAAGCGACCTCGCGAGAATCGCGTGCGCAAGAAGCCCTTCCACCCGCTCAACAACCCGCCGCCCGACTCGGAGTCGTCGCCCGAGCCTGAGGAGGTGCCACTCCCCACGATTGGCAAGAAGAAGAACAAGGAGCTGCAGAGTGCGCTCAGTACGGTCGGCGACACTTGGCATGCTGGCAAGGGCGAGGGAGGCGTGCGCGAGGGGGCAAAGAAGCGCGAGTGGGAGTGGCATGTGCGTTTGCGCCATTCCTCAAAGACGCTCACAGTGTTGCTGACGCTGCCGTGTTCCTACAGGCCCGCATGCAAGTCTCGCGTCGCAAGTTCTTCCTTTGAGCGACGTCGACCTTGCGCACTCCTCCCTTTCCCTCCGTTCGCCATTCGCTTCCCACGTCGTTGGTCTTTGTCGCACGTTCCTTGTTGTCTCCCTTCCCTCTTCGCATCCGCAACGGGCCAACTTGTCGTTCTCTTCCTCCTCGCGCCTGTCATGAGCCAGTCCGCCGCCCTCGTCTGGCTTCTTTCTGCGGGCTGTTCGTCACGCGTGTTTCTGCAACGTATAAAAACTATTGTACGGCGCCCACCTGCCCACCCAGTGAGTGAGGACCTCAAAAGCCGCGCGAGTCGCTCTTCTCCTCCTCACCATCATACCGACTCGCACAACATGCTCGACTCGCTCGTCAACCTCCCCAACCGGATCCACGAGCGGCAGAGGGCTTTCCAGGTGCGTCACACGTCCCCTCGCCAGCCGACGCGGCCAATCCGCATCGACCCGCCGACCCTCAGCGTCAAGCGAGCGCGTGCTGACCTTTCTCTGGCTCGTGGGACACAGTCGGACCACCGCTTCGTCTACCAGAAGGTCCCTCGTGCGCGTCTGTACATGAGTGAGTCGCCCGGTCGCCTCGTTCCGAGCGGAGAGCCTCTTGCGATGGGACAGGAAGGAGGAGACGAGCAGGGTCGCTGACGCTCCTTCGGTGGCTCGCGCACAGCTGGATTCATGACCGTCTTTACCGTCGGCATGCTCGGCATCACCCACGGCATCTACAAGATGGCCATCGTGCGTCGACTCCGCTTCGTCGTCTCCTCCCCTCAGCGCTGACCCCGAATCGTCCTTGTCCCCCCTCTTCACCTCGCTGTGCTGTTTGCTCTCCCCCCACGCTCTCGTACCGCTTGCTCTGCGCGCATTCCACATCAACAGGGCAAGAAGAACTAAGGAGGACGAGGAGGGTTCGGCAGTATTTTCGTGAGGCGACTCGCAATGGTGCAGGCGTTGTTTCTCGTCGACGCTGGCGTAATGGCAAGGGAGAGATTGTGGGACCGAGGCTGTTCTGGGGACTCCCCTGGGCGTGCAAGGCTGCTCGACTGCTTGGACGTTCAGGACTTGACGGCGCGATGCGGGCTGTTTCGGCCATTCTCACCTTAGCGGGAAACGCAAGGGCTGAATGACTGATCCAGTCGTGGCTTGCACGGGGTGAAGCTCGGTAGGCGTGACCGCGCTACCTTCGAACATGGCTTTGCGTCTTCCTCATACTTACTCACACTTCTCCCAAGTCATATTGCTTCGGTGTGGCACTGCCGCGCCAGGCATCTCTCTGGACGCACGAAGAGAGGGAGGCGTCAACGCGCACTTGCAGACAGAAGAAACGGGTGCAAAGGCTATGGACAGCTACGAAGGACAAGGAGGAGTCGCGGGAACTGTTCCGACGCTCGAGAAGAAAAAGGAATGGGTATCGTGGCGCAGCCAGGGAATAATAGGTGAGTTAGGGAGTGGATGGTAAAGCTACAATTGAAGGGAAACGAAAGGGCGATGCGATGCGAGAGAGGGAAGAAGGCCTAGACGACGAAGACGGGCTCGTCGATGCAGCAGACGGAGCGAGTAAAGTCGAGCTTCGAAAGCTTGCCGGCCTTGGGAGTCGGCTGCTCTTCCGGTCGGATCGAGCGGAGCCGACGCTGGTTCTGATGCTGCAGCTGGGCGGGCGTGCCGTGAACGGGTCCGGTCGACGTCATGTAGACGTCCTCCTCGCGACCTTCGGGCTCGTCTTCCTCGACGATGAGTGGTCCGGCACTCATGGGCGGCGGCGGCGGCCTGTTGACTTTTGAGGAGGCCGGAGCGGGAAGTCCAGCGTGCACCGGGGCGTTCGACGACGTTGAGGATGCAGGCGACCAGCCGGTGACCGAGCCAACGAGGGCGCCGAAGGAGTAGCGCGACTTGGTGGGCGACAGATCGGACGGGGTCGAGGACGACTGCGACAAGCGCGAGCCCTGTTGCTGGTGCTGGAGGGCGACCGAGACCATCGCAGACGGCGAAGGAGGAGGCGGGCGGTGTTGACCAGAGAGGCGGCGTGTGTGCGGGTTGACACGGTCAAGCGGCCGAGGCGAAGACGGGCGGCGGATGTGCGCAGTCTCGATCGTGCCCTCGACAGGCGGCGGCATGACGAGTGCGACGTGGTTCTCGTCGATGTCGAGCGTCGACGAGAGGAAGGGCGGCAGGATGTGGTCGCCAATCGGCAGAGGAGGGAGCGAGTCGTGCTTGTTGTAGCCGAAGAAGGTCTGGTCATCGTCCTCGAACGAGTTGCGCGTCGAGCTGATGCTGCCCTTCGGGAACTGCACAAGCCAGAGAAGCTATCAGCGGATGTAGAGAGGAGAGAAGGAGGAAATGCGGACGCACGCTCCAGTTGCGAACGAACGAGTACGAGCGATGGTGGTGCTCGGACGACGACTTGTCGGGTGTGCGCGGCATGACATCGCTGCTGGTCGAGGTCGAGTCGGAGCTCGTCCTTGGGCGTGAGTCGTCAACAAGCGGGGTCGCCTGCGAGAGGTCGCCGTGAGCCGCCTCCTCGTCCTCCTCTTCCTCCTCGGCAAGAGTGTCGAGCTGGCCGAGAGCGACGGCGAAGACGTCCGAGTCGCGGGTACGAGAAGCGGGCGGCGGGAAAGGACCGCTGCCGAAGGACGAGTGAACCGATGTCGGCGAGTGCACCTTGGACGAATACGAGTCGTCCATGTCCGTCAGAACCGATGTGTCCTCGGTGAGGTTGCCCGTGTACGACCTGCCGAAGGACGAGAGTGACGACAGCATGCTGCCTTCCGAAGTCGACTTGGAGTAGTGGCGGGTTCCGCCGAGACGCGAAGGCTCGCGCTCGTCGTTCCCGTCCTCCTCCTCCTCGTCGGCATTGGCGTCGTCCTCGACCTCCTCCATGATGAGCGCAAGGTCGTCGGGACGCGGCTGCTTGAGCGTAGCCGGCGTGCCGGAGAGGGAAGAGATGTGCTGGCGCTCGCGAGAGGCGGCTGAAGGAGGCGGCGGCGTGACGCGAGAAGCAGACGACGCATTCGAAGCGAGCGACGACGCCTGCTTGTGGTGCTGGACGTCGGCTGCCGCCTCCCTCACCCGGTCCTCGAGGATCCGCTCGACCTCCTTGCGAGTCTCGGCGTGCTCGTTGCGCTCGCGCTCGAGAGCGGCGACGAGAGTGTAGATCTGGTCCCTCATCTCACCGATGAGCTTGGCCTGCGCCTGAGCGAGCGCATCCTCCTCCTTCTCCTTCTTGAGCTGCGCCTCGAGACCGCTGCACCGAGTCCGCCAGCCGTCGACGTCCTCGCGCAACGAGTCGCGCTCGTCCGTCAAGTCCTGGATGGCCTCCTTGGCCATGTCGGTCTCGCGCTGCAATCCCTCCGTCTCGAACCTCCTGGCGACCCGTTCCTCCTCGACCTGCGACTCGAGCTCGGCGATACGCGAGCGCATCTCGCGAGCCTCGTCCGATGCCTTCTTCTCGAACTCGGCGATCTCGAGCGCATGCGTAGACGAGAGCTGCGAGTTGCGCAGCTCGAGCTCCTCAACCTTGGCGCGGAGCGAAGCGAGCTCGTCTTCTGCGGCAGCGAGGGAAGCGGGAGCATCCGCAAGCGAGCTCAAGCGCGAGTGTGCAGGCGAGCTGATTGCCGAGACGGAGGAGGGCGCTCCGGTGCGGTCGCCGTCGTCCTCGACCTCGAGATCGCCGAATCCGCCCGTGACGCCAAAGGGAAAGCTCGAGTAGTGCCTCGTCGAGACAGCAGGACTGATGACGCTCGGCGAAGGTGTCTGCTGCTGAGCGAGCGACGAACGCCAAGCGCGCTTCTGGCCTTCCGGAGTCGAGGCGGCGATCGAAGCGGGCGAGTCGGTGCTTGTGCGGTACGAGATGGACGAGCGCTTGTTGGTCGGCGCGGGCGAGACTTTGCGAGTGGGCGTGCCGATGGTGCTGGCAGGCGAGACTTGCAAGCTCGCAGGACGGCCGGAGAAGCGTCGCTCGTTGAGGCCGATCGTGGGAGAAGTGGAGACGCCGCTGCCGATGGAGAGGGATCGAAGACCGCCGCGCGATTGGGCTGCTGGCGGAGGCGTTGACATAGCGAGCGCAGACTGCGTCGCAATGCCCGACGCTGGCGGGTCAGGCGCAAGACCCAAGGCGGCCGCGGTGTGGAACATCGAGATGTGCCGCTTCTCGCCAATCGGCGAAGGTGCGCGAGCATCAGGCGGCGACGACGGGGCATGCAGTTGCGTCGGAGAGGTGGCGGTTGAGGGCGTCGCAGCGGGAGACGAGGTGCTCGAGGCGGAAAGCGAGAGCGGGCGGATCTTGGACGATCGCTTGGTAGGCGAGGGCGAGGGCGAAGACTGCTGAGCGGCCTCCTCAGACGCCGCCTCGATGACCGACTCGAGGTTGACGGCATGTCGCGAGTCGATGTACAAGCTGCCAGGCCGGGACTTGCGCGGGCTAGGCGATCCTGCGACGCTCTTGCCCGTCACCGACCCTCGCGGACTCGTAACAGACGGCGAGCTCCTCACACTGCCGCGACTGCTGGTCCTCCTCCGCCGAGGCGAGCCTAACGAGCCCGCTTCACTCATCCCGTCCTCCTCCTCGTCCTCCTCCGCAATCTCGCCAAGCTCAAGCACACCCTGCGCGCCGACATGCGCGACATGGCCCATCGCGTTGCCCCAGCTGTTGCGCTTGCTGGGCGGGATGACGTTGCCCGAAGCGGTCGTGCCAGCAAAACCGAGTCCAATCATCGGGCTGGACAAGCCGACTGACGACGGGGCAGACGACCCAGCAGGCGCGGTTGAGAGGTATCCCGGACTGCGAGGCGCAGCGAGCAATTCGCCTGGCGCCTCGTCGCCGAGCGAGATCATCTCGCTAGGAGCCGCGAGTCGTCCTTCGAGCGCCTCGAGCGCAGACTGCCGCGTCTCTTCCGGACTCCGCGAGCCATCCTCGGTTTCTCGGCGTCCTCGCTCCTTCAGCGCTGCGAGAACCTGGTGGGGGTCGTTCGACCAGCTTGACGAGGCCGAGACGGAGGCGGAAGGGAAGGGACTGGACGAGGGCGAGACGTTGGAAGCTTCGGCAAAGGACGAGATGGCGGGTCGGAGGAGGGATGCGTCGTTGACCGTGCCGTTCGAGACGATGTCGAGCGACTCGCGAAAGTTGGAGACGGACGAATGGCGGGCGTGCCGTGAACCTCGACGCGCGTGTTGAGGTGGAGGACCGGGCGCAGGTGCTGGAGGGAGAGGTGAAGTCGGGCGGGCAAGCGTGGAAGACGAGGCGTAGGCGTTTGTAGAGAAGGAGGGTGGTCGTGCGAGTTCCGGCGAGGTGGGGAACGAGCCAGATCCGCCTTGCAGCCAGCTGGAAGGCGTCGTGAGGGCCGCTGGCCGGTCGCCTGCTGATGTGCGAGGTGTTGGCGAGATCGGCCGATCCGTGGACCCGCTCGCTTGAGGTGCAAGAGTCGGTGCAGGTCCGGAGAACGACATCGAGATGCTCGCCCTCGAGCGAGTGTGACCGTGTCCCGCCTTCTTCAAGCTGATCGAGCTCCTCGACATGCGCGACTTGGACGCTCGTCGTGCGTGCCCGACGGCTCCGACACCTCCTATCAACGCGTCGCCGCCCATCGCCGCGAGCAGGCCGCTCTTCGACTGACTCCGTCGGTGCGCATGCTTGGCGCTAAAGTCGGCGGCGGACGAGATGGACGATGTCAAGCCAGACTGTCGTCGTGTGGCCTTGACTGGAGATGAGGAAGGGGTGGTGGACGAGCCGCTGAGAATCGAGGAGGCGGAACTGCGCTGGTTCGTTCGTTGCCGGTAGAGCTTGAGCTGCGGTCGTGCGACATCGTGTCAGCCTCTGCAGTCCTCGGAACGCCCTCATCTCGCTCAACATAGCTCAGCATGGCCGCACTGACCTTCTTCTTGGCCGCGAGGAGACGGTCCTCCCTCTCCTTCGCCGCCGCATCCTTGCCCGTGTACGAGTACGCAGACGTGCTCGCAACAGCCGACATCCTTCCGATTCGCTAGTCGTGGTCGCAGAGAGTGGTGGAGAGACGAGGCGTGTGACGGAAACGGGCTGGGTCGTGTCGTGAAAGTGGCGCGCGAGGCGTGAGCGTTGGGGGGTCAAGTCGTCACTGGCTGGAATTGAGGTGTGTCGGATTGGTCGTGAAGCGTTTGAGTGAGCAGAAAGACCAGCTTTCGCTCCGTAGGGAAGAGGGAGTGTTGTCGCGAGAGATGGCAGGCCTGAGGTTGTGATGGCGGGTCAGTCGAGGTCTGGACCCCACACAAGGGCGAACAAGGTCAGCGCAGATGGGACGCCTGATACTTCTGTCGTACTCACCGTGTATCCCACTGTCACTCACACACCTATCCACGACCGCGAGCGAGCGAGAGACGCGTCGAGAGGTGAGCGAGCGGGGATCCGGGCAGGGAGGGTGAATGCGACGAGCACAGTCCGCGTGCGGCTCGCCTGTCCGTCCGTTGGTCTGCAAGACTGTCTTCGAGGTGTCCGGTCGACACGCCGTCTTCCTCCGTGCCGTAGTCGACGAGCGAGAGATGTGGGAACTGCTGGCCGAACGAGGGGAGCGGACACGGATCCGGTTGGCTGAGACGCGTGCTTGCGGTGCTCGAGTCGACTGTACAGTCCGGTCTAGCGTACACAGGCAGCAGGAAGCGCCGCAGCGAGCGAGCGACGGGTTTGGCGCGGGACAAGGAGGAGGAGGTGTCGCGACGGGTGTGCATACAGTCGAGTGGGAGAAATCGCTTCGAGACGGGGTTTGCATTGCGAGTGAGCGAGAGAGAAAGAAGGGAGAAGGGGAGAGACGCTTGTATACGAGGACGGGGTAGATCGAAGGGTATGTACGCAGACAGGCGGCAAAGGAGCGAGGGCGGAGAGGAACGATGGGAATGAGAGCGAAAAGAAGCCAACGATGAGAGAAAGAAAGGTTGAGGAAGAATGGCGATAGCCGAATGCGAGAGAGCCGAGCGGGAGGGTTGCGAAGGGGAATCAGGCTTTTGGAGGTGCGGGTACAGTCGCCCCTTGCGGAACCTTGGGCGTGATGGACGGTGTTGTTGACGAGCTGTTGGGCGCAGACGAGTCGCCTGCGGATGCGCCTGTCCCGTGCGAGACGGACGAAGGCGCGGACGAGCCAGACGAGGTCTTTGCCGCAGATGTCTTGCTCGCCGGCGAGCTCTTCGACTCGGGCTCCATCAGCGCCAGGAAGGGCTCCGTTCTGTACAGTCAAGACGTCAGCGCAGAGTTTAAAGTGATGAGGAAGAACTGGTAGCGCGCACCGGATGAATCGGGGCACCTGGTCGGTCGCGAGGAGGCGGAAGATGTGCTCCTGTATCCGCTCGTACTGCCTGAGGAGCGTCTGAACCTGCGTCGCTCTGAGCGGGGGTATAGGCTGGTCCGTCACCTCGCTCGCACCGCCCGCGCTTCCCGTCGACGACGTGACGCTCGTCGACGACGTGACGCTCGTCGAGCCCGGCACGCCGGGGATCCCACTACTCGCCGCAGCAGCCATCGCAGCCGTCGCGTCCGCGCCGGGGTTCTTGGCGCCCACTTCTGCGAGCGAGCGGTTGACGTAGTTGACGACGTCGACTCGGAGGTTGTGGTCGATGTTGAGCTCGTTGGGCGAGAGCGGGGCGAGGTACGTGTTGTAGATGTGAAGGGCGGCGGCGACGAGGTTCTGCTGGTGCGACTCCATCGCGTTGAGGACGGCAGCCTGCTTGCGCTTCGTGCCGGACCCGACAGCCGACGAGGTCGTCGAGAACCGCCGCCGAAAGTCGTTCACCTCGAGCCAGAACCCGAGGTTCTCGTCGCAGTAGTTTGCGCGCAAAAAGTCGCGGAAGAGCGCTCGCAGCGCCGGTTCCTCGAGGATCGCCCGCAGCCGCGCCGTCGTCGAGTGCGAGTCCTTGCCGAAGGCGGGGGCGGCGCCCGACTCGCTCAAGTTCGACTTAAACAAGTCGGCCATGCCCTTCCGTCCGCCGACAAGGGAGCCCTCGATGTTGCTCAGCCCAGTCCCGCCCACAAACGACCGCTCAGTCGGGGCCTTGTCGAAACTCCGCACCGAACTCGCGTCGTCGTCCGCCACGCTGCTGCCCGACCCGCGCGACACAGCAGGCGCATTACTGCTCGCCTGTGCCGCCTGAGTCGCCGCCGCCTCCTGCGCCTTGAGTTCCGCCGCGGCCTTCCCGCCAACAAACCCAACAGCCGCATCTGCCGTCGCCCCGCCCTGCGCAACTCGTCGCCCCTCCTCCGTGATGCGATACAGCACCCGCGGACCGAAGCGGTACTCGGCCGTCTGCCCCGTCGACCCCTGCACCTCGATGACCGTGACGCGGTCTCCTGTCCGCGAACGGTCGGCGTACAAGACGATCAAGCCGTACCGAACCATGTGCGCGAGGAGTTCGCCCGCCTCTTCTCGACAACAGCAGGTCGAAAAGTCGAGCAACCAGTCTACTGCGGCGGTCGCGGCAAAGACCTGCTTGACGACGACGACCTGGCCCGCTTTCGACTTCTCCGTCACGTCCTGCAACTCGACGCCGTTCGCTCGGTCAAACGAGTCGGGTAACCGCACGTTCTCGAGGAACGGTTTCGCGATAGGCGGTCCTCGCCCGTCGTGAGGCTCGGCGACATAGTTCGGATGCCGCGCGCCGGCGAAGCGGCGGAAGACGACGTCGATGACGGACCGCGAGATGTGGATCTCGTCGTCCGACTGCCGTCGCTCGAGGTGGAGGAGCTTCATGCAGATGGGCTGGGTGGTGAAGACGGGGATGAGGTGGTCGGCCGAGATTCCGTTCTTGGTGATGAACCGTTCGAGGATGTGCAAGCCCTTGGGCGTGATCTGGTAGATCCCCCGGTCCTTGAACGTCATCGAAGACGGGTCCGCCGCGTTCTCGATCAGCCGCGCGTCCATGAAATGCTGGCAGATGCCCTTGGCGATGTCGCGCGACATGGAGAACGTCGTCGTCGTCGTGGTCGTCACGATCCGCTGCGGGTCGTTCGGGTCCGACGTCCGGTTCGACTGGGAGAAGCGCAGCGAAGCGAGGTTGGCGGCGGCGTCGTCGGTCGTGAACGCGTTCGGGTACGTGCGGAAGAAGCGTGTCCGGTCCGACAGGTCCAGCGAGACCATCAGCGTCGCAAACAAGTCGTGCGTGTCCTGCGTGATTACCGTGCGGGGTAGCGCATGGGCAGCGGGTGGAGGAACAAAGGCGCGAGGTGTGAGGCGGGTCAGTCTCGCGGTTCACGGCGGCTCGGTCAATCGCGAGGACGCACCTTGCAGAACGGGTTCCCTCTCCGACCCGTCTTGAGCCTGTTGTTCGAATGCGCAAACGAAAGCGAGTCAGCGCGCGAGAGAAGAAGCGGTCGTCGGGCGACGAGGTGGGACTCCGCATCCGCCGGAGAGAAGGCTGGCGGCGAAGTCGCGAGGCGCGCGAGTGTCAGACGAGGAACGCACATGTGGCTGCTCTGCTGCTGTCGTGTCCTGCCATCGCCAGAGCGAGCCTGCGCCGACATGCCAGCCGGCGCGCGCTTGTCGAACGAGAGACGGGGAGCGAGCGAGATGCCAGGGCGAGGTGAGGAGGCGAGAAGGCGAGGCCGGCGCGCGGTCTCGAGGGCTCAGAAAGGGCTCGCGGGTGGTTTGGCGCGCACTGTGACGCTGTGTGGGTATATCGAGGCAGAGAGCGAGCCCGCTGAGGGGTGCGCTGGCGGTGTTCCGGGATGAGGGAGCGAGAGTCGAGGCGGACTGAGCGGGCTGGGTGGTGGATGAGGGCGGGCCGGGGTGGGTTGAGCGTGTGCGGGTGAATGCGACGGGCTGGACTGTGCGTGTGCACGGGTGCTCTGCCCAGCGGAGCGACGTGAGAGCGAGCGAGTGTGGGACTTGGGTTGGTCGTCGTCGAGCGCACGAAGGGGAGCGGGCGAGGTGGGCGAGTCTGCTGAGTTGGATCGAGGACGGCAGCGTGCAGAGTGGGCCGTGTGCTGCCATTGCCTCTGCTAACTCTGCTGTTCAGCTCGAGAGCGAGGGCAAGGAAGGGACTTGGGCTGTCGCGTGGCGCGAAGCTCCTCGCTTCTCTCTCGCTTTCCCAACTCTCTCTCCTCTCGAGCGAAAGCACGGCAAGCTCCTGTCCACGCTCAGGCCCACTCTCACTCGTGGTCGCACGCACCCCTTCGCCTCCTCTCCCACCCACACGCCTCCCTCGTTCGACTCGCCAGCTTCCGTTCCCTCGCTTGCTTGACGCACATCGTCTCCGACCGGCCGGTCTTTCGGGGGACGTTTTCCAACTCGACATTCGCAGCGCTACTGTACTGTAGTTTACTCAGCACAACGACGGGCAATCCTGCCCTCGTCCTCTGACTGCTCGCTCACCTCCATCGCGCTTCACCTCTTGCTCGCTCTCTATGCTACCGCTCCCGACCTCACACACACCGCACGTTCACCCTTCCTCCTCCTCCTCCTCCTCCTGCTCTCTCGCCTTTCTTTTCACACGCTGCCGCCGCCGACGATCTTCTTCCAGACCCGCCCCGGACCACGGATCCGAGACGACGCTAAAAAGTCTTGAACTTTGTGTGTCAGTTGCCGGCGAGCGATGTCGTCGAGCGTCGAGTGGTGGAGGGGTTGGGAGTTGAAGGGAGGAGGGAGGAGGCTGGGAGTGGACTGCTTGTGTCCTTGCATTGCCAGGTCTTTCACGCAGGTTTGTCCCATTCGCCGCTACAGCTCAGCGCAAACCGCTTGTCGAAGTTCCTCGCTTGACCTGCTGCTTCTTCCATTGAGGCTCGCTCTTCCTGCCTCCAAGTGTGTTGACCTCTCATCCCTTAAAGAGCATGAAGACTCCGTCAGGCTGGCTGGCGTGGCTTGGCTTGACCTGGGGGACGAAGATGTGAGCGGGAAGCGGAGCGAGGAGAAGGGCGGGTGAAGCTGACTTGTTCCTTGTTTCGCGCCTGTACCAGCGCCTCGCTTGCATCGTTACGCACGAATGCAGACCGCGACGGAGGCGGCAGGACCAGGAGACAGTTGACGAGCGGGAGAGGCTAGGATGGTCATCGACCAGGAGGATAGACGACGTCCACAACGACTCGACGCTGCCAAGTTGCTTCAGCGTCCTCTCGCCAGGTGTCTGCTCGTCTCTGCAACGTCTTGAAGTCGTCGTGGAGCAGCGGCATCGAGCAGACCGTCTCCCAGAGAGCAGTTCGAGCTGAGAAGGCGAGGTCGGGGAGGTCGTTGAGTGCTCGCTCTGCCCAGCGTCCCAGCGTCCGACGTGTGCAGTGGCTGCAGCTCTTGGTTGCGAGTGGCAAAGGAGAGACAGCTCGTTGCACGGGCACCTGTCGATTGGATGGCGAGGTCGCCGGGGCCCCCGGCTCCCTCTGCCCCTCCACTTACTCTCCTTTGCTCTGCTCACTGACGACTGACAATGGGACTGCTGCGACGTGGATCACGCGCGAGCACCGCATCGACCGCAGCCAGCGACGCATCGTCCATCTCGGCATCCGACGCATCCTCGTCCGCAACCACCGCCTCAAAGTGCGCTCCTCCCCCTCACCCTGACCCTGAGCGCACTCCCTCACCCTGACCCTGAGCGCACTGAACCCGCACTGACACTCGAAGCACGCAGAGCATCAACCAGCAGCAAAGTCAAGCCATCTGACCTCCGTTTCCCCATCAACAGCGCCTCGCCCAACTCGCGCATCCTCTCCGTCCCAACAGACGGCAACGGCTTCACCCCTGCCGCAAACGCAAACAACGCAGGTTCTCCTCGTCCGTCGAACAAGAGCCCGGCGCTCGCCCGCCGCCCCAGCTTGAGCAGGACCAGCAGCGCCGGATCGGTGGGGAGGTCAGCGGACGAAGGGGACGACGAGTCCCCCGAGCGTCCGGCGCCTGTCAGGCGCTCGTCGTCGTCGAATGGTGTTGCGCGCGGTGCGGCTGCAGGAGGCGCGGTCGCTGCCGCCACCACCGCTGCTGCCGGCAAGAAGTCCACCGCCGCCGACGCCGACGTCGACTCGAGTTCGGACGAATTCGACGAGGCCGCTTCGCTCGAAGATGCCGACACTTCCTCGGAAGAAGAAGAGGACGACACCTCCCGCAACAAGCCGCAAGTCAAGCTCGCCCCGCGCCCTTCGAAAGTCGGTACCGAAGCTCGTGCGCCGACTCCGCGTGCTGGGAAGAGCAAAGCGGCCAAGATTGCGATCGCCAAGATGGAGGAGGATATCCAGTTGCGCGGGAAGCTGGGCAAACCGCTTTCCCAGCTTACGGCGCAGGATGTCGCCCTCACGCCCGAGGACGTCAAGGAGGACATCTCGGTCGTCTGGAAGGCCATGTACGTTCCTGAATGCTCTTTTCGCACGGACAAGAAAGCTGGACTGATACGTTGCGCGCGCGCAGGCACCTGTTCATGTCGTCGCGCATGATCGAGGCCGAAGACATCTGCCTCGCGGCGTGCGACCACCGCCTGTACTACTCGGTTGGCTACTCGCTCATCCAAGCGATCAAGTCGCTCGCGACTTTTGAGCCTGAAGACCTCGAGGCGGCGATCCAGTGCTGCAAGGACTCGATCCACATCACGCAGCTCCTGCGCAAGAAGGACCACGGGCTCTTTGAGCGCGTCGGAAGTATCGCCAAGGGTTCGACGTCGGTCAACAGCATCAAAGCGATGACGCTCGTCCAGCGCCACGCCGAGCTCGTCTTTGCCGAATGCACGCTCCTCAAGGCCGTCTTGGGCATCATCTACTCGGGCGACTTTGTCGCGTTCCTCAAGGAGGCGCTCAACATGCGCAATGCGTACGCCATCTACCGCACGCTCGCCAAGTACGTCGAGCTCGTCGACTCGGAGTACCACGGACCGGGCGACGAAGACCCCGCCGTCGACCAGGACTTCCGTTCGGGCGTCCGCCTCGGGAACGGCATGATCAGTCTCATCCTCTCGCTCCTTCCTTCGACCGTACTCAAGATCATGGAGGTGTTCGGGTTCACCGGAGACCGCGACTGGGCGCTCGCGACGCTCATGAAGGCCGGAGGATGGAAGGCTCGCACGGCAGAGCCGGGCATGGACCCGGAGAAGGAGGGTATCAGGCGACCGAGTGAGTTTCCCAGTCTCACGGAGCACGCGTCCACCCGACTGACCCACTCGCGGTGACAGTCTGCGACATGGTCCTCCTCATGCATCACCTTGTCATCGCCAACTACTTGCCGTGCGTCTTCGCTTCCTTGGCATCCCCTCTCGCGGTGACTAACGTGCACACTTACCCGCAGTGTCGGCGGTGTCGACGTCCCGACCGCCGCGCACATCTTGCACTACAACCTCGACCGCTACCCCGGCGGGTTTGTCCCCCCTTCCCTCCCTCTCGCTTTTCCCGCTCGTACTGACCCAGCTGGAGCGCGCAGCATCTTCTTCCTGTACTTCGCCGGCCGCCTCCACTCGACCGAGACGATGCTCGAGGACGCAATCAAGTCGTTCCGGCTTGCCATCCAGGCTCAGCGCGAGTACATCCAGCTCGGTCACATTTGCTACTGGTGCGTCCACCCTCTTTACGGACCGAAGCGCAAGGCTGATGAGTTGCGATGCAGGGACTTGGGACTGGTCTCGCTCGCTCAAGGTAACTGGATGAAGGGATATGAGTGCTTCAACATCCTCGACAAGGAGTCTAACTGGTCCAAGGTGTGTCATCTTGCAGAGCATTCTCGTCAACAGCGCTGATTCCCGCTCGTCGCAGGCCATCTACGCCTATGCCAAGGCGACGACGCTGTACGAAGAAGGAGTCGAGACGCCCAAGGTCAACTCTACGATGGCACAAGTCCCCGACCTGATGCAACGCATTGCCGGCAAGTCGATCCCGCTCGAAAAGTTCGTCGCCCGCCGCGCGCGCAAGTTCGTCCAGCAAGGGAACCGCCTAGTCCTTCCCGGTATCGAGCTCGCCTACGTCCTCAACTGCCTCGGCCTCAGCCCGCGATTCGTCCTGTTCGAACAACATCTCGATCAGGTCTCGCATGTCCTGGCGGAGCTGCACAAGGTTCGTGAGCCGAGCGAGTACGGCAAGACCGGCGAAGAGTTCTGGGATGGTGCGCTTCCTCATCTTCTCTCTCGCTGTAGTTCCGCTCACGCTCGTTCCGCGACGCAGACTACTGCCTCGCCCATCTCCTCCGCGGCATCATCCTCCGCTTTATCGCCCACCCCGAGCCGCACGTCGTTCCCCGACCCAAGCAGTCGCAGATCCCGGTCCAGGAGGCCGACGAACAGGCGCTCATTTCGTTCAAGTGAGTCTTTCCTACCTGCTGAGCGCGAAGCGAGCGTGCTGACGAGGGTTGGTGTGTAGCAACGTCATCAAGCATGGCAAGGACATCGTTCACGATCACCACCTCGTCTGGTTCACCCGTGCGTCCCTCGCCGTTCCTGTGGGATCATCGCGACAATAGCTGACGACGTCCCGCAGACTACGAACTTGGCCGCCTCTTCCACTCGCGCGGAGAGTACGAGAAGGCTCGCGAGCAGTACGAGCTGGTCATGGGCGGCAAGCACCTCGAGGTCAGCCCGAAGAAGGGCAAGGGCAAGGTCTCGCTCCAGAACATGGCCGTCTTGCGGTCGAATGCCGGCCTCCAGCTCTTGAAGGAGAAGGGCCACTAGGCTTCGCGCTCTTTATTCGTTCATATCATGTCCCCTCCTTGACGGTCTTGGGTTCTTCCTCTTTATCCCGTTGTGCTATCCCTCCATGCCACACTTATCGTGTCAGTATAGCTCTGTCCCTCGCTGCTTGTACCCCGCTCGCTTCTCTGCAATATTGCGTCTTTCTCACTCGCGGACTCTCTGCTTGCACTCTTCGCTTACTGACTTGCATATCGACGTGTTGAGCAAGCTCGCAAGCCGAAGGACAGCCGATAGACTCGACACTTCGGCACGACACCGACTCGACGACCCTCCTCCGCTCGAACCGTTCACTCTTGCTCTCACTCAGCTTTCTTGCGCTCAACTGATCTCCCGCTACGCTGCTACGCTCTCTCGTTGTGCTTGCACGACATCGCCCACCCAGCATGACGCCGTCTTCACCTCCCACATCCTCATCAGCTCCTCGAGAAGCCCCTACCGAACAACAACCAGCAGCGACTCACGCGAACGGCCTATCGAACGGCACTGATTCGAAAGCCGAGGCAGACCGCAAACGGGCGTACCGAGCGCAAAAGAAGGAGGAGCAGAAAGCGCGGAAGGAGAGTCGGAAGGCTTTCGCTCTCGAGACGGGACTGGATCCGGCGTTGCTTCCCAAGGCGATTGCGGGCGAGCTGGATTTGGCGAAGAACGGGAGGGTCAGGCCGAAGGGGTTCGAGCCGCGAGAATGGGTCGAGGTTCCTCACCGGAATGGAAGTGCGGCGAGCGGTGAGGGCAGGAAGGTGTCGATCCTATCGTGGAATGTGAGCTGTCCTCCTTGAGAACCCGCCCACCGTGCGCGACAAGCTGACGGTCCCACTCTCGACGCAGATGCTCGCGCAGGCTCTCGTCCGTACGCTGCAGATTTGCGAAGTTTCGCTCGTTCTGCCATGACTGATGGCTCCTCTCCTTTACAGGCCGCGAACTGTTCCCGGGGAGCGACTGCCTGAAGGTGAGCGTTCCAGTCGTCCTCTGTGGATCTCAAGCCGACCTTTCCTGCTCGCAGGGCAAAGATCGCCTTCCGGCTTTGATGGAGGAGTGCGTCTAGAAATGGCCTAAATTGTCCAGTAGGGCTGACGTTGCGCCTTCTATAGAGTCCTCTACTACGCGCCCGACGTCGCCGTTCTGCAAGAAGTCGACCGCCTCTCAGAGCACCTTCCTTCGCTCACCCTTTCCTACGGCTACTCCTCCTTCGTCGGCTACCGCCAAAAGTCCCATGGCCTCCTCATCGCGCACCGGATTACCGTTTTTGACAAGGTCGGCGAGCGAGGCATTCGGCTGGACGACCTGCCTATCGACGACTCGCAACCGCTGTCGGACACGCCTGTCGAGTCGGGGACGGCAACGCCTCTCCTGACCGAGGAGGGATCGATTGAGGACGGAGCTGAAGCACCGCAGGCGGAGGAGAAGCTCACCGAGAAGGAGAAGGAGATTCGTGCCCGTCCGCCCGATGCTGCGAGTTCGACCGGCAAGGCGTCACGACAAGCCGCTGGACTTTCTCGCACGACTCGTAACGGTGCGCTACCCGACTCGTCGATTGTTTTCGCCTCGAAGAGCTGACTGTTCTCTCCTGCAGTCGCCCTCTTCGTTGCCCTCGCCTTCAAAGACGACCCGACAAAGGGCATCATCGTCGGCACATCTCACACCTTCTGGCACCCCTCGCACATCTACGAACGCGTTCGGCAGACGGCTTTGATTGCGCGAGAATTATCCAAGTTCCGCCAGGAAGGAGGAGAGGGGAAGTGGCGAGACTGGCCGCTGTTCCTCGCAGGAGGTACGTTCTGCTTATCGCTGTCACAGCGCGCAGTCGCAGCTGACGCACGCCTCCACAGACCTCAACACCCAGCCGCGCGAAATGACCTACCGCCTCTTGACTGGCGCACCTCTCACCGATGACCTCCTAGCCGACTTCGAGCGATCTCGCGTCGTCCACCAGTCCGTCGACAAGCTTTACGACCCGAGCTATGAGCCGCCTGCACCGCCAGAACCCGAAGCGAAGGAGGGCGAGAACGTCACGTCGGACGACTTGTCGCAACATCCCGATCGGGTGATTAAGAACACGCGGAATGCGACGCCAGAAGACGGCCTTGCCACGCTCGAGCAGCTTCAGGCGATGTTCCGCCAGGCCGGCGCTTCGAGCGGCGAGGCGGTCGGAATCCGCAGCGCGTACGGCGAGGCTTACGGCTTGGTCGAAAGCGAGCGGTCGAAGTGGTACTGCGACAGGAAGCCTGAGGTGCAGATGGGGAACGGGTGGAAGGTGCAGGAGGAAGAGGCGGAGAAGGCGAAGCGGCAGCAAGGATCGTGGGATGAGCGGGTCAGGCGTGGCGACTTTGAGCCCAAGTACACCAACTTCACGCCGTTGTGGCGCTGTACACTCGAGTGCGTCGACCATCCTTGTGGTGACTGACTGCAGCTGTTTGATACCGCCTTCGTCTTGCCGCTCGCAGCTACATCTTCCTCTTCCCGCCTCTGCCAGAATCGCCCTCGACGCCAGCTCCGCAGTGGCGCTCGCTCTTGTCGATGCACGAGTTCGAGCAGCGGTGCGAGCCGGGCTTGCCGAGGAAGGGCATCGAGCCTTCGGATCATGTTCGTCTCATTCTCTTTCGCATCCTCCGTCGGCGACTGATGTGGCTTCTCCCCTATAGGTCGCCGTCGGTGCCGTCATAGAGCTCTTCTGAGATAACTAGAGACCGTGATTCGCCTGCATCAACACCTCGAGCAGGAGCAGCCAAGTCAGGGAAGCAAGAGCGGTCCCTCTAACGTGAGCTTCCGAACCAGCCTCGCCGCTCTTACTCTGCCAGCGCAGCACGTGAAGCGAAAGACAGACGGGTCCCATTACTGCCGGTCCCCGCCTCACAAGCCCGAATCCTCCTCCTCGGCCCTCCTCTACTTGGGGTGAAGGTCGTCGGCGGTCGTAGTCGAAGGGGTGATCCGGAAAGGTTCCCACTGTCCTGGTGCTGGCGCCTCCTCGAGGTCCTCCCACCTGTATATTCGAGCGAGTTAGCGAGACGAGCGGAAGAGGCGGTGAGCAGGAAGAGGTCGACGACAACGACGCACGGCTTGTACTCGAGCATCTTGGACGCGAGCTTGAGCTCGTCCTCGGCTTGCTGGATCAACTCCTCCGCGATTCCTGCCTCCAGCTTGCTCTCGACCTGCTCGATCTGCTCCTCCGTGTTGCCCTCGCCAGCCTGCTCGACGACGGCGAGCCTTTCGCGGGTGATGGCCTCGGCGGACTGCCGGTAGACTGCTGATGCGGGGACCTGCTCGAGGACCTTGAGCGTCGAGGTGTACGTCGCTCGGAGGGCGTGAAGCGGATCGGGGTGGACGGCGAGGCCCGTGATGCCGGTGCTCAGCTTTGTCCGGTGGGTCGTGGCGGCCTTGTTGATGGCTTGTGCGGCAGCGAGCACTCGGTGGGTCGCACGGAACATGGTCGTCGTGAGCGGTCGAGGTGAGGCCTCTCAACGATGAGGAGGTTGGTCCTGGTCCACACACTGCCACCGCCTGCTGGATCAGTCTGACAGTCTCGAGACTTCCTAAGCTGTGCTGCTAGCTTCTTTGACCCTTCCCGCGCTGCCCCAAGCTTACCTCGACGCTTCTGAGCCTCCTCGCTTCTGCCCTTGAAACATCGTTCATCGCACGAGCGGGGCGCGTATTGGTCACGTACAGACCTGGAGAAGGAAGTGGCAGGTCTGTTGGAGGGCTGAATTTGGTCGCAATGGGTGGTCTGAAGGACTCAACCTCCGCTTCGCTCTGAACTCTCGCCTTTCAAGACGCTACTGCCCGCATTCGCTGCGCCGAGTTTCATGCTTGGCCTCTGTTGGGCTTTGCTGCTGGATGACCTTTCGGCAGACGGGCTAAACCAATCTTGCGTAATGAAAATGGTAGAGGCCATCGGGACGACCGCAACGCATTACGCAGGTCTGCGGCTCCTCTCTTTGACTGGTGCGCTCGTCCAGCATCTCCACACCGCTGACTGTGCTCCCGCTCTCCCATCGCGACGACACCCAGTGGACCTCACGGAGGGCGGCGGAGCCTTTGAGGATGTCGAGGAGAGGCCTTGGACGGAGCCGCAGCCACTTTCGTTCCGCGCGGCAATGTAGGTTTCTCACCCTGGCGAAGGAACTAAAGAGCCACACCTGCAAGTAGCCCGAACGAGCGAGAGATTGAAAGCGCTTCTTCCCGCCAGAATTCCGCCAAGTCCCCCTTGCTCACCACCACCACGCCATGTCGCTCCTGGCAGCAACACGAAGGGTCCTGCGGGTACGCAGACCTCCAAGTGCGCTATGCGAGCTAGCACTGACCCGTTCGCACGCCGCTGCAGCCCTCCGCCTTCGCCTCTTCCTCCCGTGCTTTCGCGACCTCGATCGAGTCGACGGCGCCGTCCGCAGCCGCGCCAGTACGACGAGCAGCCGCAAAGACTCCCGCGCCGACACCCAAACCTGTCACCCTGCCTCCTGCGCCGACGAAGACGCGTGCGTGCCGACGACCTCTCCTCCTCGAGCGATGAAGCTGACCTCGCTCGTACGCCCGTGCAGCCAAGCCGAGCGTCTTCGATGAGTTCGTGCACGTCCCATTGCAGACTTTCTACCCGCAAGGCGCCTCCGTCCAGGTCGCCAACGAGCCTCTGATTGTCCCCCTCCCCGCTACCGTCTTCAACATTGCTTCCCGCCCCACCCTCTTGCACAAGATCATCGTCGCCCACCTCTCCTCCCTCCGACAAGGCACCGCATCGACCAAGAACCGCTCGGAGGTCAACTACTCGGGCAGGAAGATCCGGCCACAGAAGGGTACCGGTCGCGCTCGTCTCGGCAGCCGTGGCTCGCCCATGCTCGTTGGTGGTGGTCGCGCATTCGGTCCGAGGCCCAAGGGTCCGAACGGCTGGAAGCTCAAGATCAACCACAAGGAGCGGCAGCTCGGCACGAGGGTTGCGCTGAGCGAGAAGTGGAGGGCGGGCAAGCTCGCGGTTATCGACAAGGCCGGTCTGGAGGTGCCCAAGACGCGCTTGTTGCACGAGCAGCTTGTCAAGCGGGAATGGGAGGAGGCGCTCTTCATCGCGACGGCGGGTCAGTCGGACGAGGCTCGCCAGGCGTTCGTGCTGGCGGCTCAGAACATCCCGGGTGTCAAGGTCGTCACCGACATCAACCAGCTCTCGGTCTACGACATCGTCAAGGGCAAGCGGGTCATCATGGAGCTCGACTCGGTGGACGACGTGATCGCACGGGCAGACCCGCTCAACCCGTTGCTGGAGATGGACGAGTACGAGGATGGCGAGTATGAGGAGATCAGTCAGGAGGAGCTCGAGGCGTTCTTGGCGGAGAACGGAGATCTCCTGGAGCAGCTGCAGCGGGGAGCGGTGCCCGGTCAACTCCCAGCATAGCATGTAATCCAGCAGCACCAGCATTCGTTCGCACAAGACTGGAGGTGTCCGAGCTCTCGTTGCACTACTCCTTCACCAGGCCCTTCCTCGCAAGCACCCGCTCGACCGCCCGCTCAATCATCTGCTCAAGCGCACCCCCCGTCTCTCCTCCGCCCTCAAGCACATTACGCACGACGCTCTCAACTCCCTTGCCGACTACGTCGCACTCGACGTTGACCGTGTCGCCAACCGACTTCATCGCGACGACTGTCCGGCTCTGCGTGTGCTGCACAAGCATGACGCCGAACAATCCCTTTGGCGCGCCCGGCTCAAAGTGCTCGTCGCCTTCTTTGGGCACGGAGAGGTGTGTGAGGGTGAGGGAGGTGCCGTCAAGAGCGATGTAGCCCTTGGGGATGAGCGGGGTGTAAAATTCGAGGGGGAGGGAGAAGAGAAGCCGGATGGAATCGCCGTCGGGAGTGATGGAGACGATCTTGGCGGTCGTGTCGACGTGGCCCTACGAAGTGGTGAACTGTGAGCTTGACATCGGACCGGGGAGAATACAGCGAGTGCGCACCTGGACAAAGTGTCCGCCGAATCGTCCGTGTCCCGCCATCGCGCGCTCCAGGTTCACCTTGCTGCCGACTCCGAGCTTGCCTGTGCATTATACCTTCGTTAGCTCGCCGGAGAAGCGTCCGGAGAAGCAAATGCGCCACGCACCCAGGTTCGTCCGAGAAAGCGTCTCGTTCGCCAGCCCAACCTCGAACCATCCCTCCTTCGCATCGAACCGGGTGACAGTCAGGCAGACGCCGTTGGTAGCAATCGAGTCGCCAATAGCGCAGTCCCCCAGGATCTCGCCTGCGTCGCCGATTACGAAGGAATAGCCCTCGAACTCGGTCGTCGGGTGGATGGACTTGATCACGCCGAGATGCTGCAGGCAGGCGAAAGCGGTCAGATCCGTCGGATTATTACTCGCGGTGGACAGCGCACCTCGACAAGTCCTGTGAACACTGCCGCCAGAAAGGAAACGATCGGTCAGCGAAGTTCGGGAGGAGGGGCGGCGGCGGCGACAAAGCTGCGGGGACGGCGGAGACAGTCACAGCGCGGAGTACGCACTATTTGAGCGATATCTAGCAGTCTACCGAAGCGAACGAGCGTTGTAGCGTGACTAGACGAGGGGCAACTTGCGAACGAGTGGGTCCGCTTCCACCAAACCCGCTCACCCTCGCTTACTGCTTCCTTGGCTTGTCTGACTGCTTGAGAGCGCGCTTTCTGGCCTACTCGACAAGCCGGGCAGGCGCGGCGGGCGGTCGTGATGGACCCCTCGACTTCATCGCAACCCTCCCCCACCACCTCTTCACAACCGTCGACGAAGGCGCAAAGGGCGTCGTCAGCCTTCTCGAGACTCGCCAACATCGCCTTGACCGGATCCAGCTCGACGAGCGGCCAAAGCTTGTCTTCTCCCGCCTCTGCAGCCGTCCCGGCGACAGCGCCGACTTCCTTGCGACGAGGCGGCGCGCTTAATGCCCTCGAGACCATCGCGAACGCCGACCAGGGAAGAACGAGGCATAGTAGTGCGGATGCGGCAGCTTCGGGTTCAGGTCCCGGTCGACCAGAGAGGCGGAGGTTCGGCTCGACAAGCGGGAGGAGCTGGCAGATGCGCGATTCGAGCGGGTCGAGGTCGCGAGATCGACTGGACAGCAGCCTGGAGCGCTCCTCGATGCGAATAACGGGCGCAAGTGACAGCAGCGGCGGCTACATCGACTCTCCTGCCAACATGTCGCTGCGGAATGGGTCGTCCTACTGGAGCACGGAAAACCTCCCGCCTAATGCGTCTCTTAGCGCTTACTCGTCTTTCGCTGGTGGAAGCGCGATATCTGGAGCGGGCGACAGCCACTTCTTCCCTCCCGGTGCATCCGGCTTCTCCTTCGAAGGACCAGCATCCTCGTCTATCTGGGACGCCTCGTACCGCTCTTCTCTCGCCGCCTCGCCCTCCCTCTTTGACGACAGTCGTCCATCACCCGGTCTCCGCCAATCGACGAACGAGTCTTCCCCCCTCAACCCGCAAACGTATTCCTCCGAAGGATCCGGCTCTCGCTCCCGCAATACCTCGGCGGTCCATCTGTGGGATCTACCCAACTCGGCATCGACGTCAAGGTCGAACGGCAGCTCGGCATTTCGCACGTCAAGTCCAGTTGGCGGCGGACGCAAGGCGAAAGAAGCCAGTCGCGCATTGCGGTACACCGTCTCGGGCATCTCGCGAGACAAAGGGCTCGTCGGGCTTGCCAAGCCGCCGAAAGAGGCGGAACAAGGGCGAGTAGCGGTTGCAGGAAAGACCGCGCTCAAGATCCTCAAGGTTCCGCACGGAGGCTCGCGGCAAACCTCGTCGGCTCCTGTCACCGCTGCGCCCACGCCTTCGTCGTCTTATCGCTCGACGTCGATTGCTGCGCGTCGAAGCAGATCACGGGGCTCGCCTGCGCCTGGCGCGATTCGGGACGACTCCGTCGGTCGGGAGGACAATTCTGCGGACGAGAAGGAGGAGGTCAGCGAGGTACTTGACGTGCGGCATGGAAGTCGGCTCGGTCCCGCGTACCTCTTCAGCGATATTCGATGGGGATATGGAGGCGAGTCGCGGCGCCTCATTTCGTTCCACCTTTGCATCGCTCAATACCGACCCTTTGCCTCCTGTAGCGACCGCCAACAAGCTCGCGACTGCTTTCGGCAACGGCGCAGTCGTGCTGTGGGATCTAGCGAAGGAGGGCTCGCGAATAGGCAGGTCGCCCAATCCGCCTGCATCGCGCTAGTCTCTGACTCGTTTCTTCACAGACCAGCTCAAGTACGAGCACGACCGAGCCGTCAACCGCGTCGTCTTCGGCGGTCAAACGGGTAACTGGCTGCTGAGCGGAGGACAAGATGGCCAGATGAAGCTTTGGGTGCGTGCGACTTTGGCCTTGTGCGCGTGTGCCGTCTCACTGACCACTAGCGCTACAGGACATCCGCGAGTCTCGGCCAGCATCCATGATCCTCAAGGCTTCCTCGCCCGTCCGCCAGCTCTCCTTCTCGCCCTCGCCTTCCCAACCCTTCACTCTGGTAGCAGCTTGTGCGTCCGGCACACTCATTCGGTACGACGTCCGCTTCGTCGCACGGCAGAACGGCGGCGCGACAGATAGGGTAGCAGGTCATATCGGTTCCTGCCTCGCCATGGATTGGCGAGACGGGTTCTCCTGCGAGCGGACTCCCAGCTCGGCTGGTACGCCAGGGGTGACGAGCGAGACTGCTGGCGGTGGAAGAGAAGGTGGCTGGGTCGTCACTGGCGGAGTCGACCGCACGATCAAGATCTGGGACTTCAGCCTCCCAACTCTTTCGACGAAACCCGTCCGCACGCTCTACGCCTCGCAGCCTGTTCGCAGCGTCGCCTGGCATCCGACTCGCGCGACTGAGCTCGCTTCGAGCCCTATGCCCAGTCTTGGGTTGGGCGCTACAGGCGAAGGCAGCTCGGGCAGTCTCGGCGAGGACGCGCCCGTGACGCCCCTGGCCGCGCAGGATCCCGCCATCACCGCTGCCGTCAAGGGCGATTCGTTGCGGGTCAAGTCGGCTCTCGACGGTGACGCTTGGAAGAACGAGATCGAAGTTTGGGACGTGCGGCGGCCGTACTTTCCGAAGGTCGCAATCAAGACAGAGGAGCCGACGGCTGGTGAGTTCCGCCTCCGCGCGACTTCGGCTCTTCTCTGACCCTTCCTCTCGCAGCGCTCGTCTACAACGACGACGAGACGATCTGGGCGGCCTCCAAAGCAACGCCGACCTTCCTGCAGCACGACGTTGGCAGCGACTCATACTCGATCCTCGACGGCATCGACCGCACCGTGACGACCTGGGATGCTGCCGGCGAGCTCGCCTTTGTTGATGACGGCCGCAAGCTGAACGATGTCCCGTTCGAACGACCGTGAGTTACACGCTCGTGTGTCCATTCGAAGCGAGCTGACGAATCTTGAACTCCAGCTCACGCTTCATGCCGCCTGTCGATGCTCCCAAACATCGCCCCGAGACTTTCGTCAGCGCCGTTGCGGATGTCGACACGGACTTCTCGATCGAGTCTTTCGTCTACCTCGCCGAGAACTGGCGACTCTCCGGCAAGTTCTCCGAGGTATGCGAGCACAATGCGCAAGTCAGTCTCTACGCTGGACGACCTGATGCCGGCCACGTCTGGGCGACGTTGCGGACATGGTTCGACGATGAGCCTTTCTTCCCGTCCGAAGCGACTTCGCCAACCGCGACGCCGCCGCCAGAGCCGATACCGCCTCCTCCAGTCGTCGATCTTCCCGCGTCTCAATGGCTGACGTCGCCCAAGGCGCTTTCCGCGCCCCAGAAGTCGAGCCACTCTCGCCGAGGGTCTCGCTCAGGTCGACCATCCTTCTCGTCTGGCCGCACCTCTCGTCGGTCGTCGCTCGAGGGAGGTCACGGTGCACACAGCGAGTCGACAAGCCGGCCTCGCCTCGATGCCTTCTCGGAAGAGTCGACCGCGAGTGAGACGGATCCTGCCGACGGGAAGAAGCTCTACCCGGACCTCAGTTCAACGTCCTCCGACTCCGAGCACGAGATCATCGGTCGTCGAAGAGCGT